CAACAGCAGTCCGTCAGCGCAAACACCTTGTCGACGTCCGGCTTCAGGCCCGTCGTGTTGACCTGCCGCTCCTCTCCACCAATGAGGCTCTCCCTACCCGAGTCTCGCCGCCGTCTAGATTGACCGCTTGCGCGTATCAGCTGTGCAGCCCGCATACGCTCGCGGTGTGTCTACATACCATTCAGCATAAGACAGAGTCCGCCATCATGAGATTACACAAACACACGGACTCACCAGTCATACTGCAAACAGTGCAAAGGTCCCAGCCGCATACTAGACGGCGGTGCAGCGCAATTGCGGTGCTGCTTTCACAAAATGGCTTTGCCCCGGTCAACGCAACCACGTCGAGCTGCAACTAGACAACTCATCGTACAGTACATGTACTTTACATCCTACTCTCAGAATTGACACCCTCACTGCTTGACCACATCCCTCATTGTGGTGTCAGGTCAGAAATGGTTTCTGCTGCGGTTCACCGGGTATGGCAGTAATACCGGGCTATCACAGTTGTTCGTTGTGGAGGGGAAACACACAAGAGATACTATAGTGTTCTGCAAAGATAGATCAGTAGGCACAGTTAGTACTTACTACAAGCAGGTTGACTGCTCAAATGATCTTGGGACAATAGGCGAGCGTGGCGAGTATTCTTGACGTGAGGCTGATCTTGGACTTGAGAGACGAGCGTGGCTAGATGAGAATGAAGTTGCTGGTTATGGATCACAGCTTACCCAAACAAGAGCACTAGTGTAGCACTTAGCAGAAGCTTACAGTCACACGTTGACTTTGGGCTACCGATACTAAATTGCTTGGCTAGGGAGCAGCTTGCGAACTACTCAGTGAGGTGGGCAATAAGGGGGCACGAGTTGCCGGGGGGATTGCTCTCCTACGTACTTGCTTTTTTGCTCCCTGCGCCGTGAGTCCTTATATACATGGGGAACAGGCTGATCTAATACTAATTACATGAGCTGACAAACCCTTAGTCATCCAATACACAGCCTGAGTCATCCAAGGATACATAGCCTGAGTCATCCATCTGCACAGCTTGAGTCATCCATTTCACAGCATGAGTCATCCATTTCACAGCATGAGTCATCTGTTTCACAGCATGAGTCAGCCATGACACAGTGTGAGTCATCCGTCAACCAGCATGAGTCAGCCATTGGACAGCATGAGTCAGCCGTTGCACCGTGTGAGTCAGTCATTTGTACAGCATGAGTCAGTCATTGCACCGTATGAGTCAGCCATTTGTACAGCATGAGTCAGTCCTTGAGTTTGGGGTGCGAACCTAGAGTGCTTGGTAATCGGGGTCCATGTGGCTGCGTCTCCTAGAAACTGGGGCTCTCGCTGATTCAGGATCCTTGGGGCTTGAGTCTAGGCTATTCTCTGTGCATGTCCTGAGCCAAACACTTTTGGCTCAGGACAGCGGGCTGCAGAGGCAGCCCTGCCACCTAATACACCATATCGATCAACTTCATCTACAGTCACCACAATTGTCAGTACCCCATCGTCCGCAGAAACACAGGCTAGAAAATGCGCACCTGGTCGATTGAGCTCTGGTTCGTGACAGTGCGCAGACTCGCGCCCGCGGAGCCTGTCGACGAAGACCTCGAGCTGCCAGCAGTACGTGCTCCGGTACTCCTCCGAGCACCGTGCGCGCCCGTCTTCCCGGAGTACTTGTAGTGCTTCTCGTACTGCGTCTCGCCCGTCGCCTTGTCCTTTGTTGCGATGTAGTAGTACAGCTGTTAGTGCCATAGTAGCCGTCAGCGCCGGGACCCGGGACCCTCTCTCAGACGAGCGGGGCACGTACGTGGTGGGGCATCGTGAAGTTATAGAGCGTCACGACTGCACGCTCCGTCTCGACATCGATCGTAGGGAGCTCCCACACGCGCGGAACGAGCCCGGCGACATTCGCGCGGCGCATGTCCGCATACACTGTCGCCTCGACATCGTACTCACCCTCTGCGCTCTCCGCGGAGCCCTCACGGTACACGAGCGTCGTGTCCATCGCCTCCGACGTCGACACGCTCATCCCATGGCGACGGCCGCGTGTGCGCGGACTTGACGCACAAGGGGGCACCCGCGTCGAGCGCGAAGCGCGTGCTCAAGAGGACGTACATCACGTCCATCAGCGCGCCGCCCGCGAGGTCGAACTGCCAGCGGATGTCCGACGCGGGGATCGAGCAGACGGGCGAGGTCATGATCGCATGTGTCCGCAGGACCTTGCCGTGCTGCGGGCCGGTGAGCATAAGGGAGAGCAAAGGGAGGGCAGACACACTTTTGACACGACGTCCTTGAACGCGTGTGCGGCGGGATGGCACTGCCAGTGGAACGCCTCCATTACGTGCGCTGCGCGGTCTCGATGACGCGCCGCGCCTCCGCATCGTTAGCGGTGAAGGCCTTCTCGAGGAGGACGTGCTTGCACTTCTCGAGCGCCTTGATCGCCCACTTGCCGTGCTGCCCGTTCGGGAGCGAGATGTAGACGAAGTCGACGAGCGGGCTGTACATCAGCAAAGCTGTGATTTGTCTGACAGGCCCTAACCCTCTAAACGTGTCTGGCCAGTCTAATTATTGTCTAAAATACCTTACCTTTCTAAGTCTCGTCTAGACTTCCACCCCAATTCTCGTGCTCAACCTTATTCAATGGCAAAATCATGTATTGACGCTACCCAGATACAATGGTATAGTACTATACTACATGGACTTGGTGCACGTCCTTTCGCGGTGGACTATCTGTGTCGACCCTCAGGCTCCCGCGCCCGCCTCGAGCTCGGAGCACGAACGTGCCTGGGCTTGGCCGTGTTATAGCGGCGTGACGACGCGGACGGACTGGTCACAGTGCAGTGCGCGGGCGTGCGTCTTCTCCTCGCGAGTCGCATCGTTAGTGGCCCGGAGTCTGGACGAGTACACGGCAGTCGTTGTCTGAGGCCTGAGGCGTCAGCGGGGGCCAGGCAACTGCGAGATGCGCGGGAACCGTGCATTACCTCGTGGTCTGCTGCAAGCAGTGGACGTCCGCGTAGGGAGGTGTCAAGGTCGACGCGAGAATCGAGCGCACTCGACACGCTCAGACGCGATTCCCACGGGCATCCGTCGACCGGGCGCGAGAGGGGCAGAGGTCGAGGAGTGTCGGCGTGAGAGTCGAGCGTCCGTCCATGAGATCTTGAGAGCTCGTTGACGAGACCCGAGGCGAGTGGTGAGTGAGGGCAAGCGGGCTTAGCGTGCGCGCGCCGCGCGCAAGTAAGTACTTACCGCCGACCGGTGGCAAACTCCGGTGGAAGCCTGCCCTAAACCTCCCGTTGCCACGTCAAGCCCTGTCAAGCCTGCGTTGCTGTCTGGACTCTGTCCAAACTCTGTCCCTTGCCGCCGCGATGACCACCCTCCGCCCCCGAGAAATCGTCCTAGTAGGCTACATCAGGAAAACTACATGTTGCTTCATCTGTCTTATGCGGCTTTGCGTGGCTTTGCACGGCTCGACAACTCACTTTGCGTGCTTAGCAGTCTTAAGACTACTTACCATTTGCAGGCTGTTGCTACACCGAAGACAGGCTAAGCCAACAAGTATTATTAAGCACTATTCTAAGCACTACTCTAAGTACACACAATTTCTGCGTAAACTAAGTCGTCTGAAGCACCATAAAGCCAATGGCCCAGTCGAACTTACACGTACCGGCCCGAAAAGCCAGGCCCAGGCGTAGCATACTGCTCCGCGCGAGTCTTCACACATTGCGGGCGACATTTCGTGTCTACGCGTGCTCGTTAATAACACACTTAAGCCCTGCCCCATCACAATATGCAAATTGCGCGGCGGAAATAATCCCTGTAGGCGTCATAATAGAGAGCCCATTAATCGGGTAAACGACAAAGTCGCGCGTGGAATGGGGTGGGAGGGCAAAACAAGATGAGAACCCGGGATACTCACCTGTATCCGGTTGCTCTGCCTCGTCCCCGCCCCCTCCGTCCGTGCTCCAGTCGGTGGTCTATGCCGTTGGGCATAGGTCGCGCGGCGGCACTTGCTAGCCGGGCCACGTCGCAATGACGTGGCCTTCCCGCGCGGTATTCAGCCCGTTGGGGGCGTGCGTTGCTGGCAGATTGCAAGGCGGCAGGCTTGCGACGGGTCGGGGACGTGTGACGAGGCAGAGACGAGGCGGAGACGAGGGCGGGAAGAGGTGGTGGAGGTCGCGAAAGGCAGGGAGGTCGCAAAGCGCTGAGCGGAACACATCAGCGAGACACGTGATATATCCGGTGTCCGCCGAGAGCAGGTCCCTCGACGCTCCAAGTCCAACTTTCCTTGTTGCGCTGGCCTGCTCCCCTGCCTTGTCCCCGCCCAACGCTCGCCCCTCCCCCTGCTACTCCCTCTCGACCTCTGCTGCTCTGCCACAACGAACGCAAAACGCGACAAGCGCAAACGCGACCGGTCTATCAAGAGACCGGCCCACTCTGCGTTCTTGAAGGCGCGCCGTGACGCGCGCTGCTCGCCCGCGTCTCAAACGTGTACAAGAGCCTGGCACAAGGCGAGCAACCCGCAGGCACCTGTCCGGGCGGGCAGTCGTACGAGCAGGCGGGAGAAGGTGAGTGTACAAGGGGGTGGGTGGATGTGTGAGATGGCGGGCACAGGGCGACACCAAGAGCACGACCTGCGCGCACTGTGACGGCGAGCACGCAGGGCGAAGGCCCGCATGCAAACGCAGCGGACGGTCGGTGCCCACAGGGAGCTGCGCGCCCCCGTCCAATGCTCGACCCTCCCTAAGCGCGCCGCATTCACGGTGAGCCCACGCCAACCGCTATCCGTCGCGACCGCAAGCTGAAACCCGCTAGCACGCACCCGCCGTCAACCCGTCATGCCGCCGCGTTCGCGCCGCCGTTGCGCGCCCATAACGTGCCCATGTCGCGCCCACATTTCTCCCACCGCCGCCGTCCTCTACTCACTGCCACTGCCCACAACGCCCTCCCTCGCACTGATGCCGCCGCCTCCGATGCCAGCACCTGCAGGTGCCGCTGCCACGTCATGCCGCCGCCTCCCGCATCTCGCCGCCGCGCTCAACCATTGCGCGCGCCCGCCGACCGTGACTGCATCACTCACCGTGTCGCGTCGCCCATATGCACCGTCGCCCGCATTGCGTGCTGCACGTGAGTCGTAAGTGCCACGTTCGACGAGGCTGTCCTCCCCATTGGCCTGACCCTTTTACAGGGCTGCACAAGCGGAGGTTGCACAAACAGTGACAACGACACATCCGTCCCGAGCAGTGGTGGCGGGCGAACACGCCGAACTAATGGCTCGAGGGTGAGTGAAGGTGAGTAATCCACACACTGTGGTCTCGGGTACAATGATACGCAAGCGCGGCGCACACGGCGACGCCGAGCACACAGGACAAAGGCCCCGCGAGCAAACAGCCGACGAGCGCACCAAGGGCGCAGGCTCCACGACACTCAGGGAGGAGGGCAAGCCTTGAGCGGCAGGCACAGGGCACAGCGATGCAAACGGCATGGCGAGCGCGACACGCGCGGTGACGCTGAATATGCAGGGCGGGACGGACGGCCAAGCGGGCGGGTGAGGAGGTGAGTGAACAGGCAGGAGGGCGGGTAGATGGGTAAGCTGGCAGGCAACAGCGCATGAAAGCCCAGCATGCAGGAACAGCTGACGAACGCATACACAGGTGGGCGAGTGGGACGGTGGGCACACGCAGGCAGGTGAGTAGGACAGCAGGCACGCACACGCACACAACGACACGCATGTCGACGGCGAGCGTATCAGGCGAAGGCCCAGCACGCAACCGTGGCCAACAAACGGACCGCGCGCGCGTGAGGAATGGAAGGCCAGGGCGAATGGAAGACGATTTGGCGGCCGTGGGCAGAGCCGGAGTGTGGCCAAACCGGGTGCGCGAGGCGAGTGAGCGGGGAGGAGGGCCGGAGGATGGTGGGTACGGGCGACTCGTGCGAGCGCGGGCAAGTGAGGAGGACGGCGGGCACGGGCGCAGGCGCGCCAATCTCTGCATGTACGACAGTCAAACGTAATATCAGTCAATGTAACAATATTAGCTTAATAAATCACTTGAGAATTGTACATATTGGAGCTTGATATGAGGCTTTGTGTGAACTTAGTGGCGGCTTAGCCGTGCTTCATTAAGCAGAACGACTTGAAATAAGCAACTGGACCTTCTTACTTAAGCCACCATGGCTTACCAGCTTAACTGGCTTAATGGCTTAATTAAGCCATCTAAGTCGTCGTGAAGCCATGTGCAGCTTTCCTGATGTACCTACGGGAGACTACGCCGCCGCGCCCTCTGAGTGATGACAAGCCCGACACAGCGGACAAGTCGGCTTTTAACAAATTGGAACATTGGTCTTACATAGCAAGGGTCAGTAGTTTTCTAAGCGGCCATGTACGGTTACGTAACATGTCACTTAAATATGAAATGTTCACCGCATGTAAGAAATTTCGTACATAGGTTTTGAAAGATGTTATGTTCGGCTACAGTACATTGACCACACGTATCCTGCATGTTAGCAACATGTACATTGAGACTAAATACTGTATGGTCAGATAATGGTAGTCACTCTAGCATTGTCAGCACAGTTATAATGTTAGAATGTCGTGCATTGCGGGAACAAAGGGCGCACATTCGGAATGAAATCACAATGTAAGAGGGGCTGCGCACATTAAAAATGTAATGACAATGTAAGACATACATTTCAAATGTAATGACAATGTAAGCACAATGTTAGAGGGGCCTTCTTACATTGTGATTACATTCCGAATGTGCGCCCTTTGTTCCCGCAATGCACGACATTCTAACATTATAACTGTGCTGACAATGCTAGAGTGACTACCATTATCTGACCATACAGTATTTAGTCTCAATGTATGTGTTGCTAACATGCAGGACACATGTGGTCAATGTACTGTAGCCGAACATAACATCTTTCAAAACCTATGTACGAAATTTCTTACATGCGGTGAACATTTCATATTTAAGTGACATGTTACGTAACCGTACATGGCCGCTTAGAAAACTACTGACCCTTGCTATGTAAGACCAATGTTCCAATTTGTTGAAAGCCGACTTGTCCGCTGTGCGACACGTCAGCGCATACGGTAAGGCCCCGACAGGAGGTCACTCACCCGACGCGGACGGCCGAAGTCCAGCGCACTCGCAAGCCCGACGCACCGGCCGGCTCGACGCGCGCAAGAGCAGACGCAGACGAGGACCCGCGCGCCACGCTCACGAACTGCGCGTCTTGCGCCTGCAAGACCGCCTTGCAGGAGGCTTCGGCCAGTCAACCGGCACCGGCCCACCGCGAAGGGACGAGCGGGGAAATTGGTAGAGAGGAGGGAGTCAGAAGAACTCTGGTGAGTACCTCAATTCTTCACCTTCCATCCTCCTCTCTCCCGCCCTCTCGTTCTGCTCGTTCACCCTCACTCGACGCACCTCTCCCGTCCGAACGTGCCCGTCACTTGCTGTCTTGCACGCCCTCGCACCCGCCCTCACTCGTGCGTTGCGCGGTTCTACCCGCCGTGCCCACTTCGCCCTCGTTCGACCTTCCCTCTCCCTTCGAACACTCCCGCCGACCGCCGTCTCCCCTGCGCTCGCACCCGCCCTCGCTCGTGCATTTCGCGGCTTTGCCCGCCGCCCTCGCTCGACATGAAGTATCCTCCAGAACGCGGCCATCTTTCGCCGCCCCCGTCACCCTTGGGCTCCGCCGTCCACACGAGGTTCAAGAAGTTGTCGTAGATCTTGTTATCAAAACCAACCTTCTCGCTGTTTCACGGCACGCCCGCTGTGCGCAACCGCCTCAAACGCCGCGTGTGACCTCAATGCTGGCCAAGCATCACCAGCAGGTGACGCTCATCTGTTCCGTTGACTTCACCTGGTGCGTATTACACTGTACGATGTTTGTCCCCTCGCTCCCAGCGCTCACGATGTGTCCGCCCAGTGACACAGTGCGAAGATGATAACGACTGGGCCCGAGCGCCCTGGCAGTTCGCTCCGACCGCTTGATTGTTGCGCACCTGCAACAGATGGATGCGCGCCGTGGCCTGTGCAACCTGTGAGCATGTGCTTGTCGCACCCGGCGTACTTATCGGTACACAGCAGGATGGCATAGTAGATTAGGTGTTGAGATTGAATATATTTACTTTTATACTATTGTGTCTGGCGTGTCTGAAACGTCTCGAAATTCCGGGCAGTCTGAGACTCTGAGGGGCCTCAAAGTGTCTAAACCTGTCTCGTTTTAGAGAGGAATCTACTAACTCGACTGCTCGTGTCTGAATCGTCTGATACGCCTAATTGTCTGAATTTAGGTGTTTTAGATGGTATTAGAAGGTGTTAGACAAACGGACGGATTTGCTGATCTAGTAGCAGCTCGTCGTACGACCCGAAGGCGTGTGCGATGTTAGCCTTGAAAGGCTTGAAGCCCACAGACATGTGTAAGTAATTACTGAATACAACTACAAGCAAGTACTTACCTTGTACCAGCAATAAAACACGTTCAGACAAGGACGCGAGCAGACTGAGACCGACGCGACGCGTTCAACATCGAACACGGTCACATGAGGGCTCGGGCACGTCGCCGTAGCCACAAGCGCCGGCGCGGTGGCGCGGTGGCGCGCGAGTGCGATGTCTTTATTCAACTCGTGGCGGAAGAGCGACTTCCCCAAGATGTTTCCGTGCGCAAAACGCGTGTTTTATGTGTTCTGAATGTACCTAGAAAATATTGGCCGCTACAATTCGAAGCTGAGTGCCGGAGGTGGGCTAAGGCCACACACTCACGTGTCACACTCGGTGACAAACGGTCACTTGATCACACTCGCGTCACATTGCGCGCGCATTTCGTGTAGGCCGACTTTCGTGAGCATACATTTCGTGTACCCTTCCGAGTTTCGTGATCATCCAAAGTTTTCGTGAGTGGTTCCAAACTTTTCGTGAATGCACATTTCGTGCGTTTATGATACTTTTCGTAGGTACTATTACATTTCGTGCGATCCGATTATTTCCACAAACGGGCCGCCATATGTTATCACTGACACTGGCAGATCTCACTGGTCACTTACATGTGCACGCCGATACGAAGTCAATGCAGTCCTGATGGAGCCTTTGACGAAATCTCGTCCGATCCGGACCATCGCCACTCCGCTACGTTTACAACGCGTGCCAAGTGCACAGCATACGTATTGCAAACATACCGACGCGCCAGACTTGCCTCACCGATCATGTCGATCCCCACCGGGGTCGGAGGATCACCGTGACCGCACTGCAACTTGGCGGACGCTATCGAGATACCAAGTGTACACGACGCTCGCCGCCGCGCACATGCGCGTCTCCCTGGCTGTCCGGTCTTCCTCTCTGTATGCACGCATCCGCGGCGCCAGGTCCGCCTATGCATATTAAGCATTCGGTAGTACTGGGTTGTACATCGGTCGGCATCCGCCCGTGCGTCCGAACGGGGGGTCGCGTTCTCCGGCGTCAAGATACTGAATATTCGCACTGCAACCCGTTCCTCCACAAGCACCGACAGAGCATCCCGGCCCAGACTGACGCATGACTATTCAGTAGGGAGTGCAGTAGGAGCTGATGACTGGCCTCGATTACTTGACGGGCGGGCTTGTCCCAGGGTAACCTGATGTATATAAACTGAACGAGGTGTCAGGCTGCATATAAACTCACCAACTACGCAAGCCACACAACCCCACCAACCACACACTAGGAACCTTTCGGTTCATCATGCCTGCAGTCACTTCTGGAAAGGCGCTGGTAACAGGTGCCAATGGTTTCGTCGCCATGTGGCTCGTGCGCAAGCTGCTCGAGCGCGGCTTCTCCGTCCGAGGCACTGTCCGGTCTGAAAGCAAGATCGCGCCCGTCAAGCAAGCCTTCGCCGGGTTCGGTGACAAGCTCGAGTTTGCCATCGTCGAGGACATCGCGAAGGTGCGCACCGCCCACGCCAGCTATCCGTACGGACACTCATCTCCAACAGGAGGGCGCTTTCGACGAGGCGGTCAAAGGCGTCGACCTGATCCAGCACACGGCCTCGCCCGTGCACTTGTTCTCCGTCGAGCCCGACGAGCAGATCATCCCTGCCGTGAACGGCACGGTGGGCATCCTCAAATCCGCACTGACGTACGGCACTTCCGTCAAGCGCATCGTCTACACCTCCACCTGTGGCGCGATCCGCGAGAACCCGACGACGCCGCGGCTATTCAGCGAGGCGGACTGGAACGATGCGGCCCTTGCGGACGTGCGCGCGCGAGGCCGCGAGGCCGACCAGCTCGCAAAATATCAGGCAAGCAAGGTCCTCGCAGAGCGTGCCGCGTGGGAGTTCGTCGACAAGAACAAGGAGAGCATCGGCTGGGACCTCGTCGTATGCAACCCGCCATGGATACTTGGCCCGACGCTCCAGCCCGTGAGCAAGCCTGACGACCTCAACGAGAGCATGAAAATCTGGTATTACGCGATCATCAACGGTATTGATGCATCGGGGAATCCGCAGAAGAAAGAATTTTACACGCACTTTGGGTGAGTGGGTAGTGGTATTTACTGAGGCAAGAGGTTTGACGACGAGCTAATGCATAGGATGACCTGGATCGACGTGCGGGACGTCGCGGAGGCATTGACCGTCGCTGCTGAGAAGGAAAGAACAGCCGGCGAGCGCATAATCATCTCAACGAGCCCTTGGAAGGGCCAAGACTTCCGTGAGTAGGCTCAATTGAGTGCACAGAAACAACCTGCTAACGATGTGGGTGTCAGTAAATGCGGCGAGGAAGTTCTATACAAACGTACCCGTGGGCGACGAGTCCTACGATCCCGCGACAGCGACGCACCTCGTGACGTTCGACACCTCCAAGGCGGACCGCTTGCTTGGTCTGAAGTACTTCACCATTGAGGAGTCGACGCGCGATATCATCGAGCAAGGCAAGGCTAAAGGCTGGATCTGAACACCGAGTATATCAGCGTTGCTTGTAACTTAAGAACATGTCTGGGAAAAATGTTACCAGTGTACTTTACGGTGGCGGATTCAATATTCGTTTTGTCAATGATGGATGGGTTACACTTTGTAGGCGGGCTTGGAGATTTGTCAGTGCAGGGAGAAACCACACCTGCGCTCAGTATGCCTCTCGGGAGCATCTGAACATTGTCGACAGAATCAACACGGCGTGCGCCCACGCATGTGTCTTTGCCAGCTATCGAACCCACACATACACGCATACCAGTCTCATGTGAAACAAGTGCAGTTGAGCATCAACCTGTGAGCGCAGAGGGGTTTCAAAGCAACTAATGCTACACGACGGCATACCAATACAATCCTGGAACGCAAGACATCAATCATCGAAGCCAGACATGTCTATATCGTAGAAGAAGTGCTGGAGACTGGGTTGAGCATACAGTCACATGGATACACGGAGCGGACGCACCTTGTACAAGCTCATGACCTTGACGACCCACGCCTCAAGGTGGAAGATCTTCTTGTTCCCGACGCGCATCCTCGTCTCATATATCGCCGCCCAGTGCATGATATCCGCTTTCAGGCTCTCGTCCACCTGGTCGACGACTCGGTCTGCGATCGTCTTAGCCGCCAGTCAGCTTTTAGCTTGACGAGCAGAGGACAAAGTGAGAGACGGGAGCGTACCTTGAGAACGACCGTCGGCGGGATGCAGTGGCTCAAGAGCTCGTACAGCTTCGCGCGGACGTCCATCACGCGCTGTGGAGACTGTTCTTGGACGATCATGTCAGCGACTTTGTGACAGTACGTCTCCCAGTCGGGCTTTGCGATCGTAAGCGGCTTGTCGAGGTCAGTCCTGCACGGATAGTCAGTCAACGAAAGGAACACGTCACATGTCATAGCGAAAAGCATTCACGATTGCATTTTGAGTGCTTCGAGCACAAGGATGGCTTTGCGGAGGTTGCCATTTGAGTCCTCCGCGATTTCGTGTGCAATTTTGTCGGGGACGTCGAAGCCCTCCTTCTTGCCGACGTACCGTAGCACCTCGATCGTCTTGGTGAGAGGGTAACAGTCAATCTCGCGTAGGAGACTATGGGAAAGAAGGGGCCTCACCTTAGTTTCATCAGGTGCTGCCACTCTAACCAGCAGGCAGCGACTCTTGATGGGGGCAATCAGGCGGGAAGTCGAGTTCGCACAGAGGATAATCCGCATGTTGGACATATACTTCTCCATCGTCCGACGGAGAGCTGCTTGTGCATCTCTCGTGAGTGAGTCCGCCTCGTTGATTATAACGACTGCAAGCAGAGTAAGTCACGCATATGGAACGTGGCGATGCGACGAACCTTTGAAGCGCTGCTTCGCACTGAGGTCGACCTGCTGCGTTTGCGCAATCTCCTTGAGGAGTTCCTGAATCACCACTCGATCGTAGTTCCCAGCCTCACTGTGATATGACATGTGTCTAAGTTCACGGGAGCCCACTGACAACCACGCACCTGGGTGTTATCTCAATGTGGAAGTTACTCTGCACGATGTTCACGTCGAGTTTCCGCTTGGACGGTGTCAGGAAGACCCGTTGATCAATTTTCAGCTAGCAGGGCATCGCACATCAATATTGGAGGCTAGTTTTCATGGTTTGATACACACCTTCTCCACACCCTTCCCGAATAGTTCACGCAGCGTGCAGGCAATCCTCGTCTTCTTGCCTGCACCAGAGGGGCCGTAGAATAGCATGTGAGGGAAGTCTCCCGAGGCTGCCTACGTGAGAGGTACGCGGTAAATGGAGAGCAGCCTGAGTTCCGCGAGACATTCTGACTTACCAATGCGCGAAGTCGTGCTGAGAGGCCTGCATGGTAGTGCAGGTCGTCGAGGACGCGTGGCCGATGCTACGCGCAATGAGTGTCTATAGAGCTTGGAAGAGCTACGCGTGTATGTACCTTGTCAACCCACAGAGACATGGTGGTGAGTGCTGAAAGATTGTCTCGGACTTCGAGTTGGGCGTGGTCGTCTTGGGCGACAGCGCCGGTTCGATGTAGTGAGGCCCAAACGCGATCACGTGGTGCGAAAGCCATGGCCAACGTGGGAACCGGCGTACTACTACTAGCTTATGACAGGCCTCTGATGACCCTTCAATCGTTCCCCTCAACTTCCTCCATCCTCGCTTCCGCATTTCATCAGCAACTGTCTGACTTTCTGTCTTGCTCGCTGACCGTTGGCGGTTGCAGTACGTTTCACGATCCAACATGGGTCAGTATTGGCAATTGTAAGTGAGGTTGTCAGATGATTGAAGCTGGGTTCACTGACGCGTGGGTTTGGTTAGCATCAACATCGACCGGAGGCAGACGATGGACACTGTTGGTTTAAAACTCGGCGAGATAATCCACTGGACAGATCCAACGACGTTGATAGAGTTACTCGCCATACCTCGCAAGGTGAGCGTTGCGTTGTAGAGATCATAGACTCTGATACTCATGTGGTCGCATGCAACGCTCGTTCCGACAGCCCAAGCCTTACGAACGCTCTATTGAACAAGGACATAGCAAGGATACGCGCGACCTCGGCGCGTTGGATATCCCGTTCGACGTCTTGGTTCGCATATTCGCCATCATCGACCACGAGGACATCCTAGACGCTGCCTGTCTCGCTCTCACCAATTCGTTTCTCCGCGTCATTGGCCAGAAACGCATGTACGACGAACTACTCGCGTACCATGCTCCGTGGCACCTAGAGCGCATCATCTGCGTTGGCGACTACCTTCAAGGCGACGACCTGCCTCCTAACATTTTGAAGGAGCACGAGAAGGAGTCGCTCAGCGGTGACTTTCCCGACTCTGAATATGGTCCGCACGGCGCGCGGCTGTATCATGCGGGTGATACGTGGATCAATATCTCGTACCCAAAGACACTCTGGCGCAAACGTACCTCTGTCACCAAGGGCCGGTTGTCGGGGGCTGAGCGCCGCGAAGTGCATAACATGGTACGCGCCGACTTCTCCTGGGACGGGAGGCGCGAGACCGAGTGGATCCTGTGCAACTGGACGCGCGCGGAATATGTACGTACCAGCGGGGTCGCTAGGCTCACCGATTCAGCCATCGATGGCCCCTGGACAGACAACTTTCTGAGCCTCGGGCATGTCCTCCTCACGCAGATCTGCTGGTCGTCGGATCCTTCAATTGCCATGGCGTATGAAGGTCCCCTCCATCGTGGCCGCTGGGCAGGGCACTACATCGCTATCACCACCGTGGACCAGTTGACGGAGAACATCAGTTTTTCGGCGAAGAAGAATTGGGTCGACGTCACCAAAGAGGTTATAGCTCAGGTGTTGGAGATATGGAGAGCTGACGATCCCAGGGTGCTTGCGCCGCACCTCCGGCTTAAGGGCGCCGACGACGCCAGCGACAGCATTCCGGATGCCACGGACGAGGAAGACAGGGTGCAAAGTGAAGAGGATCCGGAAGCAGCAGACAAAGGAGCACTGGCGGGCGGCGAGGTTTCGGGCGATCGAGGGGAGGATGGTGCGTCGAAGGACGGAGACAACGGGACATCAGGCGACGAGGAACGATAAGTTGCTTGCATTTACTCATGTGTCTGCCTGTATCCACGTCTGCTGGTCTGGGTGTATCGTCGAGCTACGTCGTGTGCAGTATGGTGGTGAAGTACTGCTGTGTTCTCTCAATGGTATTGTGAGTGTGTACACTATATTTATGCTTCGTATCGCTGAGCAATGCGTCGCCTGTGACTTTTTGGATGGCAAGTACTCGCCTATGATATGACATTCAAGCTGGTCACCCTCAATGCTATGATAGTTCTTTGACTTGTTGCTGAAGCTCGGAGTAGCGTCTACTACACCATTGAGCGCCTACTCATAAGTAGTATCGCGGCACATGCTCACATGCACTGCATGCTGGGCGTTCGCTGCTTCTGCACCGCATACACGAGTAAGGGTACGTATTTGCCTTCGGCTAATCAAGGGTACCCACAGTATGGGTCGCGGACCTCGGACCATACCGAAGGGGACTGACAACGGCGGCTTGGACCAAGTGGCTGACTTGCAACCCGCCGGCTGACGTTGTCGTCAGCCTCTCTCCCTTTCCTACTTCTACACTGCCGTCGTCTCTGCTCCTCCTCGCCATCCACCCTCATCTAGTCCGTGAAACAGTCGACACCCTTCTCCGCCATGTGGAACCAACGGTACACCCGCTTTACGCTCTCACTACTGCTCGTCCTCTACCTCTGCCTGGCTCGTGGCGAGTACTTCGACTTCCTCGCGCCATTCAAACACCTGGTCAGACCCGAGGTGCGGTACATGTGCAACGGCATTCTGCTCTGGTTATTCGTCCACTTCGGCTTCGTGGTGGGCCTCTTCGTTATCCTCGACACTTTCCTGCAGTTCCTCGGGCTATGCTACCGATCCTCATGGTTCGCTGGAGAAGCTCTCAAGGTCTGTTGCTACATATGTTCTTCGTTGGCTTCTTGTGACAGAAGCCTTCCAGGCATGGGCTACATCCCTGTTTGCCGCTACTCGTGGTCAACGCCGGGTCGTGGCGCTGGGGACCCACGCCGCCGTCGAGACGCTCGCCGAACATTTAGTGGGACCGATCGACGACTCTCAGGCTCTTACCCATCTGGACTCTGACGCTCGCGACGGATCTGGACAATGCAACGACTTGCCGACTGACGCTGGTTTGTGCTCCTCCAGCGGGATGACCCTACTACTACTAGACGCATCGCTGGGAGAACCCGCCGAAACACTACCTCCTGCCATGCTGTCTCCACCTGCGACCCCCGATCTCGGACCTATCGCCACCACCTCCGCCAGCCCAGCCCTCGAGGTCGTCAGCGTTGCTTCTACAGACGCCGTTCCCACAGCAGTCGATGCCACTCCTGCCAGTCCTGCTTCGGAACTCCTCCCCTCTAGTGCTGTCAGCCGCACTACCGAGCTAGTCAACACCGCTCCTGTCACTCCCCTTCCCGAGCCCGCCGCCGCCACCTCTGTGCCTCCTACCGAGACTGTCCCCAAGTGTGTAGCTAAGAAGCTGGAGAACGAGCTCATCTGGCTGAAGATCGAGCTACACGCTCAAAAGAAGGAGTATTCCAAACTGGCGAATGTGAACAAGACCCTCAGGAAGACCGGCACCGAGTTTCAGCTCCGCGCCTGCCGGCTTCAGGTCTCACTCAACGATGCGGAGCTTCATATGGCAGACCTCAAGGGCGACCTCGCCCGTGCTCAAACGGAAGCCGCCGAGAAGTTCGACGCTCTCAACGGCAAGCTGACGGTCTCGGAGGAACATGCACAAGACCTCAAGCGTGGACTGGACAGTGCTACCACTAAGGTGATCATTCTCGAGGGTCGCCTCTGCGTGCGCGATGCCGAACTCGTCTCCTCTGCCGACATGCGCCTCAAGGACCAGGAGAAGATCGCCCAGCTCACCCGCGAATCCGAGGACTTCCGTGCGCAGGCTCTGCGCTTCAAGCTGGAACTTGACACGTGCACCGCGAAGAATGCCGAACTCGTCTCCATTGCCGACATGCGCCTCAAGGACCAGGAGAAGATCGCTCAGCTCACCCGCGAATCCGAGAAATGCCGTGCGCAGGCTCTGCGCTTCAAGCTGGAGCTCGACAAGCGCACCGCGAAGGACACCCCGCAGCAACCCCGGACCTATACCATCTCTAGGCAGCGCCTGCTGCGCAACGAGGACTCTCCCGATGCCAAGAGCTCCGAGCTACGGTGGTCGCCGACTACGTACGTCCACGAACTGAAACGTCAGAGGGTCATCGCGATGCGTGGCGTGGAAGAAGTGCGCTCAACGTTGGGCTTGACGATCAATGAGCTCAAGGAGGCTTTGGCAACCATGACAGCACAACGGAACTCCGTGGACGACCAGCGAGACAAGCTCCAGGACGAAGTCGACCTGCTGAACACTCAGAACGCTGCGCTCGAACAGGACGTGCAAGATGCCATCGAAGCAAAGACCATTGCCGAGGAAGAAGTCGAGCGCCTCTCTGCTCTGCTCGACGATCAGCCTGTCCACGTTCGCAGCGACGCTGTTGGGCATGGACTGAAGGTACGACTCGCCAGGGCTGCCACCATCAGCTCGAGGCACGCGCGCGCCCTGCGGTGCATTCAGCGCAAGAACTTGGACACGGCTGCTACTCAACTTGCTTCCGTCAAGGATGCCCTGTCCACCACCAAGGCCGACCTGTCCACCACCAAGGCCGACCTGTCTACCACCAAGGCCGACCTGTCTACCACCAAGGCCGGCCTCAAGGGCGCAGTCGAGGCCCTCAATGCACTGCAACGTACAATTGACGGGGCATACGCTCCGCTGGGCCAAGTCATGATGGAGCGCCTCGCGGCGAGGGGTCTACACATCCAGAGGGCTCCCAAGCACGCCGAGATGGTGACCATGATCTCGGAGTTCGCTGTTCACTTGGCGAACGAGGCCCCTCTGTCTAGCTCTCGCTCTATTACTATGGCAGACTGTGTGGTTCATGACCAGAACACTGTGCAGTCCACCATTGGGGCGCTCGTCCCGATGGAGTCGGTGCAGATGGAGCTCGCCTCGCGCAGCTTCTTGTCTGACATGGACACGACTCTCGTCGATGTCGACATGCGCATGGCGACCCCGTACAAGGCCGCCGGTCCGGTCGGCACCCAGACCCCCTACCACTGGATGTCCCAACAGCTTCCGGTCACTCCTAGCGTTCATTCGAGCTACATGCCTCATCTTCAGCCGTCGTCGATGTCCGTCGATCAGTTGGCCCAGGTCCCCTTCTCTCCTCAGAAGCATCAGAGCACACCGTTTATGAACGGGCCGAGGAAGTACTCTGAGACGGAGGCAGACACGCGGTTCAGGGTGCTCGACAATTTCGACACGCCGACGCCGAAGGGACGGTTGGGGCACTTGCAGGCCATCTCCGAGTCGCGCTCGTTTGGCTCACTCTACGATGAGGCAGAGGAGGCACAGGTCCAGGTATGTACCTTCGTTCTGAACAGCTCTAGCGCTTGACTCATCTGCCGTATGATGTATAGGAGATGTTGTTTGGCGCACTAGGCGTCAACCAAGCAGTCGCTCTCGCCCTCGCTACTTGAGGCCCACATGCGGACGGGCATGGGCAGTGCAAGGCGGTTTCACGGTCACGGAATGAGAATCAGCAAACAATTTACATCGCAAGAAGTTACCCTTTCCCCCTCAAGCATCAACATCTGTATCTTGGTTCGTGCATCTTCACAAACGTCTGGACAGGTATGTCTGGCCTCCTTCACATCAGCATTCGTGCCATGCTGACTGTCTTCAGTCTTAACATCATCTAGGTCTACAGCTACTACCCGATCCTCTCGACATCTCTACGACAAGGCTGTTCGTCAATTCGCGCATCATCATCGTCAGGCCCATGTCAAATTACAAGGTAGTGATACCACCCACTTGGTTCGTCCTGTCCTCGGCTCTGCCGCTCCGTGTCACTGATGTCCGGACCATGTGCAGCGGACACACAAGCTATTGTGCGGAGCTCGTCGCTGGCCAACTTGTACTTTGCGAAAACGATAAGATACCCATACCTCGGCCTTGATTCACGGAATGTTTCTAGTGCTTTGGGTGCGTAACCCGTCCTACTCAGCTGACGTACTCTTGACATATAATTTGCGCAGCCTGAACAAATTCGTCCATTCATCTTTATACATAACTATGTCTGCATCTGGGACTCTCAACTCTTGTATACCCTCTGGAACATATAGGCTACGTGACATGTATTGCATCTGGATACCCAATAAACTGTGTTGCACTTGACTCAGCCCGAATAAGTGGTCTCTGCATTTCCAACTGGGCTGCTGGTCACATGCAAAACAACAGTCCCAGGGCACCCGTACGTTTCCCATCTAGACCGTTTTCAGATCCAACCTCTTGCTTTGAAGTCCTCGACCATGTCCTTCGTACCCTCCTCAATAGAGCGGTACTTGATCCCCAACAACTTGGCCGCCTTCGATGTGTCATATAGGATCATGTGTGTCGTCTTCGCGGGGTCGTAAGTCTCGTCTCGGGGCGAGACTTTGGGGTAGAACTGTCGTGCAGCGTCCACTGTAATTGTATGCCATTCAGACTTTGTCAGAGGACAGTGCGCTGTCCATGACGCACCGAAGTCCTGCCACTTGTAGGGTCCTTGCGAGACCATGATCCGCTCACCCCCTGCTTCCTGCTTCTTAATCGCGAGGACATGCGCCTCCGCCAGATCGCGGACGTCGATCCAACACGATCTGCGCGTTGACGCATATCAATAGGGTCCATTACGGCATCGTCCTCAAGTCGAACGTTGAACATCGCTTACCCAATCGAGGACAGCTGTTCTTTGGTCTTCGAGCCCTTGAACACGGTGTGGAACCAGTCGTACATGCTCTCGTTCAGTGCCTCGGGGGCGCCGACTTCATGAATGGCGGGACCGAATACGTATGGCGGGTTCACTACGGCAAGGTCCCAGCCCAGCGTCCCTTTGTTCTTCTCCACGAACTCCCAAGCCGCCCTCTCCGCAAGCGTCTTGCTCGCGCGGTACTTCATAGGGTTCGGTGCCTTTGCACCCTCCTCGCGGACGAGCTGGATCGCTCCATCGTTCCAGTCTGCCTCAGTGAAGGTGCGCGGTGTGCTCTGCACGGTGAGCACGGCGGCGGTGGAGGAAGTGATGACGATGCGTTTGACGTTCTTGCCGTGCGCGAGCGCGGACTCGAGGATGCGTGTCGTGCCGTGCACCGCGGGGATGATAAGCTCATCTGGGTCATTCGCCTTGAAGTGGAATGGCGAGGCGGTATGCTCGATTGCGTCGACGTCCTTGACGTATTCGTCGAAGGCTCCTGGCTGTGTGGATCATACGCATGAGTGCGCGTCGGGAAGAGGCAAGTACGTCCCAGGGTTTGGTGCCTAAGTACATAATACACGTACCTTGGTGATGTCCTCGACTATGACCACCTCGAACTTGTCGCCATAGCGGGAGAAAACTTCGCGGACATGCTTCGCTTTACCTTCCGAACGCACTGTACCGCGAACGATGTAACCCTGATCGAGCAGGTGCTTCACGACCCACATCGCGATGAATCCATTCGCTCCTGTCACGAGCACCTTTCCTTGCTGGACCGCGACCATAGTAGCAGACTTTGGACTATGCGTCGTCGTGTGCAGAGAACGCAGGCAGCGCGGTGGGAGTGAAGAGTGGGTCTGGGACTCTCCTCTTACATTGGCCGCGTCTTCTTATACCTTCTTGCGTTCGACACGCCATCCCGTTTGGCATGTGAGCCGCTTGCCTCCGCTTGCATTGACAATCCTCGGGGACGTGGGTGGGATCCGTCTCACGATAAGAGAGGATTGCGATACATGTACGGATATATCGCCGAGGTGTGATCACGTTGAGTGCGATGCGTAAGAATGGCAGTGACTCGCGCATCTGCAGGTCAGACAAGGATATCCTGAGGCACGAAGGTTGAAGGAATTGTCTACGTCTGCTTGGGGAGACTAACATGCAGTCACGATAGCTCATCGCGCCCACCGTGTGCGTGCTCGAGTCCACACTTGCGACCAGCGCATCGTCCTCACGTAGACGTCTTCCAGCACTGTGCAATGCCTCGATCCGCGAGTTTCGCGACCTACCGCGTCGGCGCGTACGTTCACTGAGGACGACCGTTCAGCCTAAGTGACTGGCCCGGTCACTTTCACTTTCACTGACACCGGCATGAACGGCAACAAGATTGCTTTCACTTGAAGCCAGCTTGAGGCCATAAGCAATAATGAGAACTTGATTTGGCAGCGCCGAGTGCCAGTCTCGGTTGTCAGGTAAACGATGCGGACGCTGTACCTCAGCCACTGTGCCGCGCACCACAAACTACACCCGGGTTGACATGGATTGTAGTCACATACACTTCAAAGCTTCATCATTCCCCATTGCCTGATGTCCTGGTGTCTTCGTCTTCCGAGGCGCAATCCTCTTATTCGTCTCATTCCTCTCGATCGCCCGAGACCTCGCCGCCCGCCAGTGCTCCTTTGCCTGCCGCTTTCTCTTCACTTTGCACCCTGTCTTCCTCGTCCGTGGAGACCGGAGTGCTGTCGCTGACATCGCCCTTAAGCCGGAGGTGCGGCACAAGCACCTCGGGATGCTCAGCTCGCCAAATCTCCAACACCTGAGCTACAACCTCTTCCGTGACGTCGACCCATTTCTCTTTGTCCGCAAATCTGACGTTCTCCGTCAGCTGGTCCATGGTGGTTATCGCAATGTAGTGCCCCGCCCAGCGACCACGGTGAAGGGGGCCGCGGTAGTTGACGCTCGTCGAATCGTCCGACGACCAGCAGATCTGCGTGAGGAGGACATGACCGAGGCTTGGATCGGCGCTTGTCATAGGGCCGTCGATTTCTGAACCGGTGAGCCTAGCGACCCCGCCGTTACGTACGTATTCCGCGCGTGTCCAGTTGCACAGGATCCACTCGGTCTCTTGCCTCCCGTCCCAGGAGAAGTCGGCGCGTATCAAGTCCTCCAATTCGCGGCGCTCAGCCTTGGACAACTTGCCCTTGGCGGCAAACCGTTTCCGCCAGTGCCCAATGGTCCTGGATGAGCGGTTGGTCTCAGCATCAGCCGCATGATACAGACGCGCGCCGTGTGGCACATCCGAGTGATTGGATGTACTGTCATCGTCACTGTTAGTGTCGGAAATGTCGCCGCTGAGCGACTCTTTCTCGTCCTCCTTCAAGATGTCGGGAGGCAGGTCGTCGCCTTCAAGGTAGTCGCCAACGCAGATGATACGCTCTAGGTACCATGCAGCATAATACGAGGCTAGTTCGTTGTAGATACGCTTCTGGCCAATAGCGCGCAGAAACGTGTTGGTGAGAGCGAGATAGGCAGCGTCTACGATATTCTCGCTGCCGATGGCCTCGAATATGGCAGCCAAGACGTCGAAGGGGAGATTAAGAGCGCCAAGGTCGCGCGGGTCTTTGCTGCGCCCTCGTTCATTAGAGCGGTCGTAAGGCTTGGGCTGTCAGAACAAGTGTTGTATGTGGTGTCTTGAGTTTCAGTCCATGACCTCTGCGCAGCTCAACACTCACCTTACGAGGCATGGCGAGTAACCATACCAGATTTATTAGAGTTGGGGCGAATATCACCTGGCAGAGTTTGCCCCAGCTCACTGACTGCCTCTGGTCGATGTTGATACTAAGCAGATCCACGTGTCAGGCAACTCCAGCCTCGATAGCCTGCCAACAGTGACTCTCACTCACAGTTTCCAATACTGGCCCATTGCGACTAGTGTAGCGGTTAAATTGAGAGGGCTGGGCTGAGACCTGATGGAGGGACTGAGGAAGGAGTGAAAGATACAACTGCGCGTACATACCCCCTGGGGCCGAGCCACAGTGCGCAGATTCCCACAGCATATGTATCACGTGGCCGCGTTTCAGTGGCCGTCCGAGCCCACGGACACGCACCACACAAGGGCTTCCTTCTCTAGCTTGAAGTCATGAAGAGAATTGGTTATACATCGAGGAGATCTACAGCTCGCACCCCATCACACTGTACCGACGCATTCGATAACACGGGCAGCGCATTCCATCCAACCCTCAGGCCTCAACTACAAGTACCCGCACGGCGAGTGCTAGTCTCCGCATCGGACAGCTAGGAGCGCCCACGAGGGTACGTTGAGGTTCCCTTATTATGTCAGTGAACTCTCAATGGCCTCTCGCTGAGCAAGCCAGATGCTCACCAATCCTCCCTGTACCCTCCATCACCTCCGTTGTCTGACAAACAACCCGGCGCTTGTCGAGATACAAGTTCTGCGCCTCGACACAAGATGAACAGCAGGTCGAATCTACTGAACGCGGGCAAGGAAACCAAGCAATGCCTGCAATCACATCAGGTAAGATCCTCGTCACTGGCGCCAATGGCTACATCGCCCTGTGGCTCGTGCGCAAGCTACTTGACCAAGGGTACGCCGTGCGCGGCACGGTCCGTTCGGAGGGCAAGGCTCGGCACCTCCGCGAGACGTTCAGGTCGCACAACAGGCTTGAGACCATCGTCATCGAGGACATCACGAAGGTGCGCTCTCCACACCCTCTACCACGCATATAGCCAGAAATTAACGTGAAGGCGATGTACAGGAAGGTGCCTTCGACGAGGCAGTGAATGGTGTCGACGCCATCGCGCACCTAGCCTCGCCGGTCGTGTTGGGTGTCGACAACCCGGAGGAGCTCATCGCACCCGCCGTGCGCGGCACCATGCGCGTGTTCGAGTCCGCACTTGCGTACGGTACCAGCGTCCAGCGTATCGTCCTCACATCGTCCTGCGCTGCAATCCGCGAGTTCCGCGACCTACCGCGTACGTTCACCGAAGAAGATTGGAACGATGCGTCACTCGCAGAGGTGCGGGCCCGCGGGCCCGCTGCATCGATTACGGACAAATACTGCGCGAGCAAGGTCCTCGCAGAGCGTGCGGCTTGGGAGTTCGTTGAGAAGAACAGACGGGAGGGAAAGATCGGCTGGGACCTCGTCGTAATCTGCCCGTCGTACGTATTCGGACCGCCGATGCTGCCCGTGCGCTCTCCCGCAGAGATGGCCAACAGCTTGCGAGAGTGGTACGAGACGGTGATCGTCAAGGCGAAGGACCAAACGGATGTGCGGTCGGATGGAATGGTCGTCGAGTCAGCGCCAACTTCGCATGTTAATCGGGATTTGTGCGCTGATCTTTGATGTGCGTGCCTATTACAGGATGTGCTGGGTCGACGTCCGAGACGTCGCGGAGGCGCACGTGCTTGCTTTCCAGAAGAAAGAGGCGGGCGAAGAGCGAATCATCGCATCGGAAGGGCCCTGGAGGTGGCAGGACTTCGGTGAGTCGACCTTCAGAACTCCGGCGATCTGCGATGAGCTCATGGAGATGTATGTGTCTGAAGTCAAAGCCGCGCATGAAGCCGATGCGTGCCTACCTCCTGGCGATGCCACCTATGACCCTACCGTCGCAGGGCACAGCTTCTTGTTCGACGCTGCCAAGTCTATGAATATTCTTGAGCTCAAGTACCACACGAAGCAGGAGAGTACCGACGACATGATTCGCGGGTTCAAGGCGCACGGATTGCTGTAGTGGCCTAATGTGATCTGCGATAAGAACTTGATGTAAGCGAGACTGGGTATCGGTAGACGTATAGCGAAATTAGCATGACGATTTACCAGGAAGTCTCAGTGCAAAGACATTATCGCGTCTTCGAGGAGGACAGATTTCGATATCGATATCGATCCTCCGCTTCTCATGAAGAGACGATGATCGACACAGGCCTAGCCATAGGTTCGCATGGAGTATATCTTGCAATTAAAACGACTACCGGGTCTCTCCTCACTCAGGGACGTCGCGGACTAGTAGGCCACGACCGGAACATTGTTTGTATGTCCGATGTCACAGGATGAGGCCTATGGCCCATGGGTCCGTCACAAAGCGCGAGGGGGGCGACGACTAGGAAAATTCAAAAGATCCGTCATCGCCTCAGGCCTCAGTTGTGACGGCACTTAACTTACACGCCAGACTTCCAAAGCTACAAGAGGTGGCAGCGCCGTAATGGATGACGGTAGGTGTTTTCGGGCATGCCTGAAGAATCAAGAAGCAGTCCACCAGATGTAGCAAGCATACGCACGTTCGTTCCGAGCTAACAATCGCAGCAAGCCCAATTTGAACGCGAGCCCGGGGCAATGCACCTCCTCAGTCCGGATACAGATGGACATGCTCATCGATGCGCGTCCCGGTCATGACACCGTCCGACCGCATAAATCCAGCGGGCACGCACCATAAAGGCTCCTCCTTCACGAATTATGTATTCGGCCTCTTTGTACACGCACTTGTGACTGACCCGATTCCAGACCGCAGTAACTGACGAGCGTAAGAGTTGGCAATGGACCGGGCCGTAGAGCGATGGACTGGGCTAAGGCCGCGATACGGATGATCTTCGAGCTGTTGCGGCCTTTAGTCGGAGTACTCGACACCGTCGCACGAATGGTTGCACAAGCGTATGTGGACGATGGCAGCGATGAAGACCTTGACGACGTGACGGGGGTGGCAGAGAGAAGAGCGTAGCGCTGAAGTTATTCGACCAAAGAGGAAGTGTTAACACAATTAACAGGTGTTAACAGTCTATATACCAAATCTGGATTACCGGCGAAGCTTCGATCAATTACGGTCGCATGACATCATCGATAAGTCCTTCTGCTGCAGCACAAATCGCATAAAACCGGAAACGCTGCTCACCGTCGCTCCCATCGCCCTCACTGCCTCCCTCAACACCTTGCTCGACGCCGCCGTTGTTGGCCCCAGTGCCCAGCGCCGTCTACACGCTGCCCACGATGTCACAGCGACCGCCCCTCACCACGTCGCCTTCCGAGCTCCTCTCTCCGCAAATCCCCGAGCTCGACGGCGCGCAAGGTCACCTCATCGTCGTTTCCAACCGTCTCCCCGTCACCATCACGAAAGATGCGTCGGGTGAATACCACTTCAAGATGTCCTCAGGCGGCCTCGTCTCTGCCCTGTCTGGCTGCAAGAAATCTATGTCCTTCACCTGGATCGGTTGGCCAGGATTCTTCATTCCTCCGAAAGACCGCCCAATCGTCGACAAGCGGCTGATGGAGGAGTACTCGTGTCAGGCCGTCTACCTGGACGACGAGGTCGCCGACCGCCACTACAACGGGTTCAGCAACTCGATTCTCTGGCCGCTGTTCCACTACCACCCCGGCGAGATGAACTTCGACGAGGAGAACTGGCTCGCGTACCGCCAGGCGAACATGGCGTTCGCGCAGGTCATCATGAAGCAGCTCTCACCCGGGTCGATGGTCTGGGTGCAAGACTACCACCTCATGCTCCTCCCCATGCTCCTCCGTGTCCTCAACGACGGCTCGCAGAACGTCGGCTCGACGACTGCAGTCGAAACCGAGCGTATCCTCGAGGGCATCGAGATGGAGGACATACCGCCCGCACATGTGCCGAACGTCAAAGTCGGCTTCTTCCTGCACACTCCGTTCCCGTCCAGTGAGATCTATAGGTGCGCCCGTCCCGTGCTGACGCCGAAGCCATACTCACGCCTGGTAGGATTCTCCCTGTACGGCGGGAAATCCTGCTCGGGACGCTGTATTCGGACCTCATCGGCTTCCACACGTACGACTACGCGCGACACTTCCTCTCTTCGTGCACACGCATCCTCGCGCTCCCGACGATGCCGAACGGCGTCGAGTTCGAGGGCCGGCTCGCGCACGTCGGCACGTTCCCGATCGGTATCGACCCAACGTCATTCACGGATAACCTCAAGAAAGAGAGCGTGCAGCAGCGGATTAAGCAGCTGCAGCAGCGCTTCGGGGACGTGAAGGTGATCGTGGGCGTGGACCGGTTGGACTACATCAAGGGCGTGCCGCAGAAGCTGCACGCACTCGAGCTCTTCCTCAGCCAGCACCCGGAGTGGATCGGCAAGGTCGTCCTTGCGCAGCTGGCCGTGCCGTCGCGGCAGGATGTGGAGGAGTACCAGAACCTGCGCGCGATCGTGAACGAGCTCGTTGGGCGGATCAACGGACGGTTCGGCACGGTCGACTTTGTTCCCATCCACTTCATGCACAAGTCGTTGCCGTTCGATGAGCTGTGCGCGTTGTACGCTGTCAGCGACGTGTGCCTCGTCACCTCGACCCGTGATGGTATGAATTTGGTGAGTGCCTTCGTTCGTAGACGCTACTGCGAGACTAACTCAGTACCAGGTATCATACGAGTACATCGCTTGCCAGCAGGAGAAGCAGGGCGTCATGGTCCTGTCAGAGTTCGCGGGCGCGGCACACAGCCTGAACGGCAGTATCGTCGTCAACCCTTGGGACTCGCAAGAGGTCGCCGACGCGATCTTCCAAGCCGTGAGCATGGACGCGGAGACTCGTGCGGAGAACCACCGCAAACTGTTCAAGGTAAGCGTTTATTTACGTCGCCTCGCTACTTGTGCTCACGGACCCCACCAGTACGTGACGAAGTACTCTGCGGCGTACTGGGGCACGTCGTTCGTGCGGGAGATGACCAAGATCCAGACGCCGGAGGATGAGCCCGCAGGGACGCAGAAGGGTGGCCAAGCGGAGCTAAAGCTTAAACGCGAGGACCTCAAGGGCCTCAGCTTGGTGGAGGGGAGCGTACCCATCACCCCGCCTGCCAATGCACCCGCGCGTAACAGCCAGTAGGCTATGTATGCATGCACGGTGGTATTCTTATTCTAGCATGGGCGGACGTTGCAATGTAGGCTTGTAAGAAGCAAGGCAAAGACGTGTATCATCATTTCGCTCTCCCGCTTTTGTCTGTATCGGCTATAGACACGTACACTCACATAGACCATCTCCGGCGGTTCCGCACAAGCACTCATGAAACATGTTGACATAGCTAGTGTACACCTCTTGACTTCTCATCCGATGGTAATGGAACACGAATAAATCTAATTGACGTTGGCTTCGCGAAATAGCTAGATTGAGACACGCCCGTAGACGAGACTGTGCTATAGGCATCGATGGCACTCCATAGCCAGGGGCAAGCTGTACTAGTATTGAGTGTTGTTCTCGATTTCCCGGGATGCCCTGGAGTCAGCGAGGACAAGTTGAAGCTCTTGTATTTAGCAGTCGAGGCCAGGCAAAAGCCGCACGTTACGATCGCGCTAACACGCGGTCACGTGGTATATATACTGTGGGAATATGTGCACTGTGGCTCGGCCCCAGTGGTTATGTACGCGCAGTTGTACCGTTCACTCCTTCCTTCAGTACTTCCCTCCATCAGGTCTCAGCCCAGCCCTCTCAGCTAATCTGCTACACTAGTCGCAATGGGCCAGTATTGGAAACTGTGAGTGAGAGTGCCAGCAGGGCCTAGGTTATCGAGGCTGGAGTTGACTGACGCGTGGATCTGCTCAGTATCAACATCGACCAGAGGCAGTCAATATATTGGGGCAAACTCGGCGAAGTGATACTTTGCCCAAGTCCAACGCGTCTGATAAGGTTACTCGCTATGCCTCGTAAGGTGAGCGTTGAGCTGCGTAGAGGTCATGGACTGGAACTCAAGACACCGCATACAACACTTGTTCCGACAGCCCAAGCCTTACGACCGCTCTATTGAACGATGGCACAGCAAAGAATCGCGCGACCTTGGCGCTCTCAATCTCCCCTTCGACGTCTTGTCTCTCATATTCGAGGCGATCGACAGCGAGAACATCGTAGACGCTGCCTATCTCGCTCTCACCAACACGTTTCTGCGCGCTATTGGCCAGAAGCGTCTCTACGACGAATTACTCTCATACTATGCTCCGTGGTATCTAGAGCGTATCATCTGCGTTGGCGACTACCTTCAAGGCGATGACCTGCCTCCTGACATCTTGAAGGAGGACGAGAAAGAGTCGCTCAGCGGCGACATTTCCGACACTGACAGTGACGATGACAGTAAATACGGCTGTCCGAGTCGTCTGTATCGTGCGGCTGATGCTGAGACCAACCGCTCATCCAGGACCATTGGGCACTGGCGGAAACGGTTTGCCGCCAAGGGCAAGTTGTCCAAGGCTGAGCGCCGCGAATTGGAGGACTTGATACGCGCCGACTTCTCCTGGGACGGGAGGCAAGAGACCGAGTGGATCCTGTGCAACTGGACACGCGCGGAATACGTACGTACCGGCGGGGTCGCTAGGCTCACCGGTTCAGACATCGACGGCCCCTGGACAAGCGCCGATCCAGGCCTCGGTCATGTCCTCCTCACGCAGATCTGCTGGTCGTCGGACGATTCGACGAGCGTCGACTACCGCGGCCCCCTTCACCGTGGTCGCTGGGCGGGGCACTACATTGCGATAACCACCATGGACCAGCTGACGGAGAACGTCAGGTTTGCGGACAAGGGGAACTGGGTCGACATCACGGAAGAGGCTGTAGCTCAGGTGTTGGAAATATGGCAAGTCATGGATCCCAGGGTGCTTGCGCCGCACCTCCGGCTTAAGGGCGATGTCAGCGACAGCACGCCGGATTCTACGGACGAGGATGACAGGGTGCAAAGTGAACAGAAAGCGGCAGACAAAGGAGCACTGACGGGCGGCGAGGTCTCGGGTGATCGAGAGGAATGAGACGAGCAAGAGGACTGCGCCTCGGAAGATGAAGACATCAGGACATCAGGCGTTGAGGGATGATGAGTCACGTTGTGAGTATGTACAACTCATATGTATGCATAGCTTCCTATCGTTGGTTGTACCGTGCCTCGTGTAACATTGTGAATGATATTGGCTACTATGGCCCAATTTTTGGCCCAAATCTACATACCGAAGATGTTTAAAGCACCATTCGCATTACACCGGATGAAACTTTCGATCCTTCAAGTGAAAGATCGATAAAATTGACAAAATCTTTTTCACGATATTTCGTATGAAAGATTGTCAATAAAAGTCAGAAACAATCAATGAATCATTCAGACTCGAAGTATCAGGAACAGATCACAGAAGGATTCATTGACAAGTGTCTTTGATCTGTTTGTGATCCTCTAGGCAAATGATTGAGAACATGATTTTGAAAAATTCTTAACACTATGTGGCTCAATTGTTCTGAAAAGATTGAAAACAGATTGTCACATGGGGTGTTACAATCTGTTCTCAATCTTTCAGGCTGTCACAATCTGTTTCAAATCCTTCCAGCTGTTGATATCTTGGTGAGATTGGAAACAATTTGTATCCCAGGGGTTCAAAACAATTTGCCCAAAAGGATTGACAAGAGATTGTGACACTAGCTGTGACACTGTGCCACTTCCCTATGACAGAGCAGTGAAGGCAAACATGCCAAACCTATGATAAGCTGCCTTCTGCTGGTATGCTCAGTCAATTTTGGTCCCTCATTCATTCATTGCCTGCCATCACATGAGTCTCATTAGATGCACTCAGTGTACAGGGTTGTACTTGTGATTGTACATTCCTAGAGATGTGCATCTCATTATATGACTAATGAACATGTCCCAGACCTGTGCATGTCCAGATGCAATGAAAGAGGGACCAAAATTGACTGAGCATACCAGCAGAAGGCAGCTTATCATAGGTTTGGCATATTTGCCTTCACTGCTCTGTCATAGGGAAGTGGCACAGTGTCACAGCTAGTGTCACAATCTCTTGTCAATCCTTTTGGGCAAATTGTTTTGAACTCCTGGGATACAAATTGTTTCCAATCTCACCAAGATTTCAACAGCTGGAAGGATTTGGCACAGATTGTGACAGCCTGAAAGATTGAGAACAGATTGTAACACCCCATGTGACAATCTGTTTTCAATCTTTTCAGAACAATTGAGCCACATAGTGTTAAGAATTTTTCAAAATCATGTTCTCAATCATTTGCCTAGAGGATCACAAACAGATCAAAGACACTTGTCAATGAATCCTTCTGTGATCTGTTCCTGATACTTCGAGTCTGAATGATTCATTGATTGTTTCTGACTTTTATTGACAATCTTTCATACGAAATATCGTGAAAAAGATTTTGTCAATTTTATCGATCTTTCACTTGAAGGATCGAAAGTTTCATCCGGTGTTACGGTCACGACGACGGCTTTGCGCTACGCGGTCACGTGTATCTACTACGCTACGCGCCATCGCATCACATAAACCAGTTCCTTCTGTCTCCCAGTACCCTCGCCAAATTCAAGTTCCTCTGCATCCGTCGTAACAAAGCCCCATTTCCTATAGAAATTAATGGCCCGCTCATTCCGCGTGAATACCTTGACGCGTACACCGGTCTCCCTCCACCGTTCTCGCACGCCCTGCATCAACATGCCTCCGTAGACTCTCCCAGACCTGCCCACCTTCACGAAGAACATGTCCAACTCCGGCTCTGTTTCATCTTCCTCGGAATGCTTGCTTTTAACGGAGGCATATCCAAGGATCTCACGCGAGCCTGCAGCCTCGAGGCAAACGGTCTGCACGGCGGGAGGGGGGAAGAGGCGGTTCTGCAGGTGCGATTCGATGCTGGGAAGGCCGTATCCCGGAAGATGAGAGAATTTGACTCCAGGAAGAGACGTATCTACGGATGCAAGGAAGAGGCGTGCGAGCTCGGGAACATCGTCCGGGGTGGCTTCTCGAATGGTAGGTCGCTCGAGTGTGACGCTGGCCGCAATGTCGGACTCGGGGTCGATGATCATATTGAGCTATCCGCGTCGGTGAGATGTTTACGCCTTCCGCGTGATGGACGAGTAGAGCGAAGTAAGCATACTATTCATCTGCTGAAGGTGCCTCGTCACTGACCGTTTAATCTGTCTTACAGACTTCGAAGTTTGCGACTCGAGGCAGTGGCAAGGTTATTTGCCGTAGCTGCATTATATCGCTTGGCTAGGCGTCTACAGGACTCACGCAGTCGGTCAACAACGAGGTCCGACAGCGGGCACAGTGAACATTCGCTACGCCGCAGGTGCCAAGTCAAGTCTGATTCAGATCGCTCCTTTTCTGTCGCATTTTTGGTCTGTGTTGGCTTCTGAGAGGACTGGTCGTGGGACCTCGTGCGCTTTGGCGCAGCTCGTTGTCAGAGAGTACACACCGCGGTTGTTTCAGTCCGCAAGCATCATATGGACCTTTTGTGAGGCAACGAGGGGCGGCGTTCATATGCACGAATCTGGCAGGCGGCAAGAGAAGAGCATCACCTAAGTAAGTATGTTGAATTGTCAGCAGGACGCGGTGATTGAATGCGCTGGTGACTCTGAGCTACCTAGCGGTTTTTGATGAAGGCTGACACAGTTGCGAGATGGAAGTGTACGCACGGGGCGAAATACATGATAGACTGCACTTCCTTCAAGGTATGATTGCCTCTTGCCGTATGTCTAGTCTATGGTTGTTGAAACAGAGCTCAGGAATGTAGCCTCAAGGTAGCTTTCGTACCTTGCATTCGCACTGGCTTGCCGTACTTGCCACGCAACCACGCATCTGGCACTCGTCCCTTGGAACAAAGGCTACTTAGCTGGTTGTGCGTACAGCCCTTTTGTCTAGGACTTCTCCTTGGATTATGAACACAGCTGATTTGAAATGCTGCACGAACGGAACGTATGGTCTTGCGGCTGTCTTCTCTAGGTCTGTACGATATCCAGGTTGGTGTTCACCATGGCTATCACGCGAGTCTTCCAAGCTTCAAGCTTCAAGCTCAAGTTCGCACCGCCTAGAAACTGTCCAGCCCCCTGTGTTGCCACGAGTGTCACTCCGCAAGGTATAAGCTCCGGCTCGGGCACTGCCTGACGATCGAACCTTACCTGAAAGCCGTCCGGCCACCAGGAGCACACGAGCAGTTGACCGTGCTTCCTCCGAGCTCGAGAGGGCGTGTCTCACTGGGATGTACATCGAGTGTAGTATCTATACGTATGACCCGATATCGACTACTAGGGTAGCACTCACCAGATCGTCTGCAAATATGTGACGACACCGTATGCGCTCCTCATGACCACTAGCTTCAAGCTTCATCCTGTTCAAACTCTGTCAGGTATTCTTGGAACACTGCACTTCCACATCCGCGGCACAACCTTATCACGGCGCCGAAGTCCTACATACTTCCAGTGCATGCTTGTTTGACATTCGGTAACTCGCCGTTGAGGTGGTCCCTGACACGCTACAATTCGTAGCAACTCTGTCGGGGAGGATGATGCGCCTATGCCCAGCGGTTGAGGCGACTTCGTAGAACTTGCTGTGTACTGTTCCGGCGAAGATCTCATGCCTGAGCGGGCGGATGATAACAGAGCGCGCATACAACCACACGGTTGATCTCTAGACGGGGGCCTACCGGAACACCCATCAGCCTCACGCGCCACATATCTGACAGTACGTGCGAGCGCATATGTTCTCGTCCACACGAGTCTAAGCGCACCTCCCAGTCAGCATCCGATGTCGTCATCGGACATGAAAATTCCTTGGAACATGCGCCGCGACAGCACAGGCCTTCCGCGAGCCCCGCCCTGAAGGGATCTCATCGTGGCTGAATGGGCGAGATTGAGTTCTGCCGGAAATGTCCTACGCGACTGAGATTGGTTCGTTTCGGTCAATTGGCGCTCGAGGAAGACATGGAACCTAACTTGCTGGCACTGGCAGGAGAGCTGCAGTGCGTATAAGTTCTTTTTATTCAGGAACTTTACAATGCCGGGTAAATCCAGTAAATCGCCGGGATGCCACGATCTCGCTGGATCTTGCCGCATCGGGCACCGGTGCTGAGTCAGCGCCTTCTCCGGATCTCATTCCGCACGCGTACCGCGACGCGACGCGTCCTTCCCTTCGCATCGGACGCGTCCTTTCCTTCGCATCGGAGTCCTCCATCTCGAAGACTCGAACGCGTGCAAGTCTTGGGCTCGTCTCACACACACTCTCCTGCCTTTCAGTACGGAGGCAACGCGAACGACGCCTATGCTCTCTGTCACTGAGCCTCGCATTCCCCGCCGCCGCCCTTCCTTGTCGCGCGCAAACCCGAGTCCTCCACACTCACCGCGCGACGCGCGTGCGCACGCCTACATTCGATGTACTCAAATATACTCAATTCCAGGCTGATGCAGGGTGCAAATCCACACGCGGGAGATCAGCCGTCGGCGTCTGGATGCTGGGTGGCAGACACAAGGGCACTAGGATAATGAGGTGAGCGACTACCTATCACTGCCGCTCACAACCTGTACAATGGAGTGTTGAGCCCCCGAATCATACTTTATGTCTCGTGTCTTTGATCTGGGCAGCCTATGTCCCTGGGCGTGCTAGTGGTACAGCCCTCGAGCTAAGATGGGTGAGCCTACGCTACACGTCCTACCCGCCGTTGTTAACACCGCCTACTGCGAGACGTTCTGAGAAGTGCGCTCGTATACGAGGGATGCCTGCCTGCAGTGATACGTGTGGTTCTGACTGGGCCGCAGAGATTATGTTGTCGGGCATGTAGAACTGATTCATGGATGTAACGATGCCCTCCAATGTATTCTGTAATGCCGTGGTGTCTGGCCGCGGTGTTTTCGCTTTCTTGATCTCTGTGGCTAGTACTCATTACATCATGACAACGGCTGCCGAAATCGACCCTGAGGTTCGCAGCTAGGCATGGACCCACAGATCACGGAGTATCAGGGAACGTGCCCTTAGGATCACTCGGCGTCCTTCTGTTGCTCCGCAGATTTACCAAAGACCCACGCACGGGCCAGGAAATTTACCAGATTTACTCGGGCCGAGTAAAATAAAGTGTACGTCGCACTTTACCCACTTAATCCTCTTTACTGAACACAGCCGCGCGCTGTCGCACTGATCAGCACTGCCGAGCACTACGCGGCCTGCCAGTGCCAGCTCACAATCCCTTATTGTGGTTGATATCCACGTAAGTCCTTCTCCTGGTCCATTGTTGTTAACCCACGCTGAAACCTATGAAGTCCTACACGAACTCTAGCCGCGCTCTTGTCTCGTGCACCGGCCCCTTCCTCTTCCTCTTCACCATCTGCTGTACATCCCCGACCACTAACCGACATGCCTCCGCAGGCCATGCCGACATTTTGACTGCTGGTATCTGCGATCCCGTCCGAAATGGGCTCGGCGGCCGAGACCAGTGGGCCCATTCTCGCTCAAACTTGCCGCGAGTACCGGGAAGGATGCTGGCTGTACGCATGCTTCTTACAACCTTCGGCACGAGCGTTCAGTTTGCGCGGATGCTTGCGTGGGTGGACGACTGGGAGGTCGGAAATAACTGAACTATTCAGCCATTGGGAGAGGGCCTGGACGACACGGAATAGGTACGCTGGACTTGATCTATGGACGTTGGACAGGATCTGATAGAGGTGTCTTGCTGTGCATAGTATGAGGCTGCTATTGCGCGGTGCGGTCATTATGGTACAACGGTCATCTCAGAGGGTGTCTACAACGTGGCGAGGTGAGTACGCTGCCCCTGTGACTGAGTCAACTGGAGTTGACGATGTGTAGGAAGATAATGTGGGACCGGGTGGAGTCTCGAGTTGACCTGCACGGCTACTTGAACATGTGTACGAGTGTCACTCACCTTCTCCCCTCTCGCTGACCCAGATGACAGTTCACGGCAAAGCTGCCATACTGGATGAACCCCCAAAACACGTACCGCGTCGTGTATATCTAGGTAAACTAAGCTGTCCATTCGTCTCGCGCGTTTCCGCATCTGACATTGCACCGTGCAGGACCTGCAGGACCAAGCCTCCTGGTTCGTCATGACCAGCCGCGACTTCACCATCGACACGCACAACACGGGCAGGATCATCGGGAACGGGCAATGTTGGTGGAACTGGTATGGCACCACCAGCTGGTACGACGGTGACGGGCGGCCGATCGCCTTCACCCTCCGGCGTGTCCTGCGGCACGTCGTTGGCAGTGGTTGCACATCTGTGTCATCCGTTGCCCACTTCGTGACGTCGTCTCCTCTTCCCCATGTCCCGCCTCCGATGCCCTGCGCAAGCGACTTGTACCGAAGATGCCCAAGCTGGGCTGCTCATCGGCATTGCTGGCCCCGAGCCAAAGGACAAGGGCTCCGAGATCTATGTTGACCATGCGGAGGACGAGGAGCTCGAGGAGAAGAGCCGGCCGGGTTGAGTATGCGAGCAAAGTTGGCTCTGCGGTTGAAGAGTGAGTCCTCAGGTTTGTAGAGCTGGTGTGTTCGGACTGACAGCTTGTTGCAGTCCCTGAGCCGGTAAAGTTGCTTGACCATGACCCTCAGTCGCTGTTGCGTGCGTGACTCAACTCGCTCGACTCCGGCGCCGCCAAGAGAACGTACCACGACCTCTGTGGATCAGGTGTCAATGGGTAGCAACGGCCTGAAGTTGCACCTGAGCCGAATCCCGTGATGGCCCTGACGGGATCAATAGCTGTGCGCGCAGTTGTGTTGACGTCCTCATGAGGACGACCAGCTAAGCGCGACTCATGAACAACAGCGATCAGGAGAATACGCAGCCCGTCATGATAGCTAAGGTGGCGAGAGAAATGGCGAGAGAAAACAACGCTTGGATTTGACCGCACCTCCTCGATGCGGCTGGGGACTGTAACTGCGACTGCAACCGGCGTGACGATGCGCAAGGTCTCAAAGTGCCCTCGATTGGCTCTGCGGAAGTCGGGCAGCCTCAAGCTCCCACACGACTCTCCGTATATCCCGCGCACCTCATCATCATAATGTGCACGGCCACCCAATGTCCATCATGTCCAGTTGGTCATCGCTTCGGATGCTGTCAACTGTGAGTGCCATTAGCTTGAAGCGTAGCAAGAGCTCATTGTCGAGTAGCGTTGCTAGTGTATGCTAGTACAAGAGGTACACGAAGCTCGTACAAGCTCCAGCAGCTCCAACAGAGAATCGGCACGCAAGAAGGCTGGGCGGGCGAGAGGTCTTGCGAGAGTAGTAGGTCAATAGGTAGTTCAACAGTGGAGGTATTCTTTTGAGATTGATGTGGCCTCTGATATTGTATGTACACACGAGATAGTGAAACTCAAAAGGCTACGTATAGACGTCATGAAACACTACGCGGACTCGGGGAGCGGCGCGGTGCATGTCAAATATGGAAGCTGGTCAGGATCGCAATGGACGGACCCTGATCGAGAATTCGAGGTAGCCTGAGGGCTGTACCCATCTCAGCTTGCATCCCTGCTGACGACGGACCTTGCTCTTCCCTATCCTACAACTGAGATGCCTCGAGCAAAATCTGAGCGGTCAGCATCTATAGCAGTACCGTTCCCAGCGACGGCTGTCTCAGGGCCATCCTCTCCACGAAAGCGTTCTTCGAAGGCAACGACCACCGCGGCTGACACTCCTCTCGTTGGTCTTGAAATTCTTCGTGCTACAAAGGAAGCAGGGAAGTCACATAAGCACACGAAGAGCACTCGCGACGGCTATGCAGGTTACCTCGTCCGGATGCAGAATTGGGCGGCCAGTTATAGCCTGCCAAATGGACAGACGGGCGATATTAGTGGGACCAGTGCACTACCGATTGCGAAGGACGTTGCAGACGCTGCGATGGGTGCCGATCCGGAGTTCCCTGAAGCGTTTTCAGGGCCTCCGAAGCGGTGCTCAGGAGAAGCACTTGCGCTGTATATCACATTCAAGTGCCTACACGAGAAGCGCGGCGTCTCGACAGCAGAGGGCGCACATGCTGCTGCCAAGAAGTACTGGGAAGAATAGTAAGCCATCATCAACAACTTGCTGAATTATTTGCACGCACATTTCACTCATCAATTGACGTACCCACTAGTGAAGGCGATCTATACCGTGGGGAATGGCGGTTCGATGAGCATCGTAGCCGCTGGGTTGGAAACCCTGCAACATGTGCAGAAGTTCGCGACATCCTGAAGGCAATCAAGAACAAAGCAAACGCGGACGGCGGAGAGCGGACTCACTCGGTCGCAATGCGATATGACTATTTGAAGGCGATCATCGAGTGGTCAGAGACCGAATGTCCTCCTGCAGAAGCCATGGTTACTCCAAGAGACGTAGCACACCGAACAAAGGTCACAACACACCTGTTCTTCCGTGCTTTTGCTTCAACGGGGTGGACCATCTGGACACGGTACGATGATTGCCTAAGCGCCACATCTAAGCATGATTTGGCTGACAAATCACTTTGTGTCAGCAACTTTGAGACCGCTGGATTGAAGCGCAAACATTACCGACTGGGGCATATAAGCCCAGCACCGCTCTCTCAGCCGTTCTTCAAGATTGAAGTGACTGACCGGAAAGGTTGGCAGCGCAAGCTGGACAAGAATGGCGAGCTTGAAACTGAGTTAGAAGGTACGTACTCGGCGAGGTTACACGGTGAACTGCACTTGCTAACTGGGATTTTGATGTACTCGTTGCGTGCAAAGGCAATACCTTTCATATCTACAATCAGCCTCACCTCTCAGCGGCAAATATGTTTCATCACCTACCTGTGTGGCTCAATTATCTCGAGCGCTTTCACTATCTCCGCCCGCTGTGCGATGAAGAGTATCTGTTCCCTGTCATCGGTCCCAACGGGATCATTCAGCCGCACCTCCCGGTCTCTCACGACACAGTACAGAAGCTTTTGGACCATTTTACGTCAGCTGCTGGGATCGCGCAGAAGGTAAACGGAAACTTCACGACACACACCTTCCGACGAGGGGGAGCACAGTTTCGCTTCATGCTCGCTCCAGCTGAGGAGCGATGGACACTGGCACGTGTTCGTTGGTGGGGAGGATGGGCAAAGGGCGAACATGTGAGTGTGCATGCATAACCAAGCATCATCATTGAGTCTCATATAGTACTATGCCGTCTCATCATTTTAGCGTGACACGCTCATTCGGTATCTACTGGATGAGTTGTACATGTACGAGGAATCCCATATCGATGCACTCCAGCCAACAGCGACAATCACTGACCAGAGGAACGACACTGGCAAGGCAGTGAAGGCGGAGGCAGCCGCAGATGTTGAGGACCTCTTCCGGAACAGCCTGTTGTCCATCCAACAAGACATCACATCGATGGTCGCGACAGCACTCAGCGCATGGGCTGTCCCACCTCAGGTGATGTCACAAGATCCGATTGGTCATGTCCATCCTTCTCTATCGTACCCGGGTGAGTTCAGTTCAACGTCTCATTTGTTTGGACTAGTCACTCACGAACAGTGCAAATCAGGTGCACTATGCACGTCCCAGCATACGAGAATCGGAACATTCACAACGACTGAGCTGTATTCTCAGGCTAGCCGCGTGACTGGCACACGCCCTCAGCCCGCCGTACTACTACCAAGGCTTATTACGACACAACCGTCACATGCACCTCAATCTCATCCGAATCCGGCAGCAGCGTCAGTCTTGCCGCTCACGTTCCCACCTTTGCCTATACACAACATTGCATCGGCACGAGGGCACTATTGGCAGACTCCAGACCTCACCTCTCTGAGAGGCTCAGGACCGCATCCATCGCATCGCCTACCCCCTAGTAACTCGGAACCTGTCATTCCCGTCCAGCAGAGTCTCAGCCTCGCACCATCTCCTCTCGTTCCCAGCTGGGCCTCGTCATCAACGGGCAGTCCCTTTCAACTGCATAGGTCACACTCGCTCCCTGTACTCAGTGGTATCCAGCCGCTCACAAGTCTGCCGCCACCTGATGCACGTGTGCTCAATATCCCCATATTGCGTGATGGGAAACGAGACAAGGCAAATGCGTGGAGAGACGTAATCGAACTCTGGGATGTTGGAATTCCGTCCATCAATGTCATGCCGCTGCGTGAATGGCCGAGAGAATGGCTTACAGGCGAGAACAAGACACGGTATGCAGCAAAATACCAGCAGCGAAAGGTTGTAGCAGAAGAGTTCATTCAGCGGTGCGTACATCCATAGTTTCAGAATGTATGGCCTTGCGAGCTAACTCGTATTGGCTGTTACTAAAGGTTCGCCCGCGATGAGCATGCCTTCTTACATGCATACCCCGAGGCCGGGAAAGGGTCCACTGCACTACTTAAAGCAATCAACGAAGCACGACGAACGCGTGGTGATCGCATCGAGCGCAGGAGCAAGAACGGCGACCCCGATGAGCGACGACGCCATTCAGTGACTGCAGAATAGTATTGTGCACGTTTATGGCGGTTGTTTCTTTCTCGCTCTACGCCTGCCTACTTCGTTTCATTCTCGTTCTAATAGCATACATTACACTCTCATTCTAATAGCGTACATTATCTAAGAACTTAGTAGCGTACATACCGGCTGCTGCCATCACCGCGCGATATTAGAGGACCGTAACAAGCCCTACTATAATGGATCAATGTCACTACAATTAATGCTAGCCGCTACCTCTCTAGCCTGGCCCTACTGAGCAAATCGGTCGGCACGTAAAGTTGCAAGTGCGAAAACGCAAGCGGCGAGGGGGCGGAGAGCGACGAAGAGCGACGACACGTCGTCGTACACGCCCTACGCGCCTGGGCAAAGGCAGTGCCCGCAACAGGAAGGAGCCCGGAGTGTGGGCCGGTTTGGGACGGTGTGGCGCCGGTGTGCACACGCGAGATCCCGGGTGTGATCGTGCGAGTGATCGAGCGGACTTACCATAAAGGGAAGTCCGCTTAGCGCCTCCGCCAGCCGACGGTAAATCTCTCGAGGTAAGTAACTACACCAGTGGGCAGCGTGAATGGCGCACAGTAAGGCTCGGGTGCTCGGCATACTTGATGTAAGGACGATTGAAGTTCTCTTGCGCTGTACCTAGAGTCCAATAAGCGTGATTAGCACACAAATATGCACAGGGGTCCGCACGCACCACAATTCAACGCGGCACCCGGGACCCACAAGGCCTGCCGAACGTAAGCACGTAAGCCCCCTGTATGCGTGCCAGGCGTAGCACGCAAGCTCGGCACGAGTCCAAGCCTCTACACCAGCACCGAAGAGTCAACAGCCAAGCAGAACTTTGCCGCGTAGGCCAGCGACAGAAGCGTCGGCATTACCGGCGTGGAGGGGCTATTGTACAAGGTGCAACCACGAAGACCGACGACAAAGGACCATGACGGCTGTGCCGAGCTGGCCTTGCGCGCGCAATCAAGGTATCTCAATACCAAACGCGCACTTACAAAAGTACAATAGTAAAGTGTGGCTAAGATATGCAGCAGTGGGGAGGATGAGTGAACAGGAGGGTGGTACGAAGGCCAAATATATCAAGAACGGTGCGGCGCTCTATGTGGACTGTGATGATGGAGGATGCGGGGACGAGGTACGGTACGATGAGCATGCGGTGCGACGGCGAAAGCGATAGTGCGAGTGTCTGTTACAAACTGGCGAACTGGGGGCGGCGAACGTCCTTTGGCGGGGGCGTTGACGTACTAGGAGGGCGCCAGAGCGCAGTTTTGGACACGGGGCGGCCGCCCCTCGCCACGCCGCGCGTGTAGGAGGCGAGGCGGCGAGGTCGGCGCGGCGGGCGAGCGGTCACCGCTTCGGCGCGAGGGACGAGAGGGAGAGGCCCTGAGCGAGCTCAGCCTTCCACGCGAGCCTGCGGATGGCCTCGGTGTAGTCGACCCACTCGCGGCGGCGCTCCTTGCTCTCGAGCCATTCAGCATCGAGGTCGGCGACGTCGAGCTCGTAGAAGTGGTATGTCGAGGAGGCGGTGGGGATCGTCGTCACAAATTGGGTGATTTTGCCACGCACGCCCGCTGCAAAAGATGCACACGTAAGGCATTGGTGACGCGGCGCAGAGGGGAGGAGCAGGTTAGGCAGGGGCGGGGAGGGTAGAGGAACGGATGAGACCTTCTTCCAAGGCTTCCCGCGAGGCTGCTGCTTCCAACATCCCATCTGACGGCTCCCATCCTCCTTTCGGCACTTTTTTGACCAAGAAGCGTGGCGCAAAGAGACGAGTTAGCAAGCTGCGTCGCAGCCCGTCGGGGGGCGAGAAAGGGCGGGAGGGACTTACAAACCCAGTTATTTGGCCGTTTCCGACTTGTGATCACCAGGACCTTGTTTGCGCTCCTCGCGATGGGGATTGCACAGCAAACGACGCGAGGCGTGGACCGTCCTTTGTTGCTCATGGTGGGCGGGCGGAGTAGCGAGGATACGGAGGTGGCGATGGCAGAAATCTTTGTTGCGTAAGATTTGAGCGTGGTGCCTTCGGACAAAACCCGAGCCGAGGGAAGTCACGGCGTGGCTTGCTGGGCGACTAGGAGGGCAGCAGAGTATGGCAGCGTGTGCAGGCGACTCGGGAGCTGGCGGGGGTGAGGGAGGAGGTGAGGGAGGTGGCTGGGGCGCCTGGACGGTTCGGGCTCACAGTGCGCGCCGGGCGGGGAGGGTGCGCGACGGCGGGGAGGGCGGGGCGGCACACGACCGTGGTGGTGGTTGGGAATTAGCGGGGACTGGCGGGAGGTAGCTTATGAGGGCGAGGGCAGAGGCGTCTCCCCGACGAGCACCGCGGTGGCACAACCGGCGGGCGCCAAGCGTGGCCGAGCGGCCGTCCCGCCCAATGGCCTTGCGCACGTTCGCCGGCCCAGCGACTCGCCGCCCGCTCGCCCATCATGCCCATCAGCCCTCCTCCTCCCAGCCTGCCCGTGCGAGCCTCCTGGGCAGTCGAAGACGCGCTATTCACAGCCAGATAGCCCTCTGTGTTCGCGCATCTTAGGTTCGTACTGCGAAGATCCACCGTGCTTCGCAATCTCGATAGCAGTCTATACTACTCATCTCGGCCCCGTGCCTGAGGCTGCCAATAAATACCATCCGTCCAATATACTTTACGCCCGACGCGTGCTCGCCCACAGCCCGGGGTACTCTCTGTCTACTTCTACGTACGCACGATGTTCAGAGCAGCGTTGCGAAGCCCCACAATCGAAGCTCGCACGAGCCTTCTACTCGTTCCATCTGTCCGAGAAGCATCAGTGACGCCATTCCCCTTCGCCGATAGGAACACGGGCACGTACGCGACCATGAACATACACACCACGCCGAATGCCATTGCGGCGAACTACACAACAAGTTAGTGAACGCGTTCGCTCGACACACGACAGCTGGTCCCTTACCTCGCGGAGCGCCTGTTTACCGCTCGAACTCTCCTCCAGCAGCCTGCAAGCCAGTCCACAATCAGCGACGCACGCCTTAGCCTCTGAGGCAGTCAAATATACGCACGTCGGCAGGACTGCCACAGCGCCAATGTACATAAACCCGCCGGCGACGAACGGGATCACCTGGAGGAGCGGTCAGTAACGCGCTGTCACCCACACGCCCACTCAACAGATAGACTCCGCCGAGACGCACCAGATCGGCGAGCTGCACGGTCGTGCCTAGGATCCCAGCGGCTGCCTGTCGCACCGCTGCAGCGAGGTCCGAGACCTCGCCGTCGACCGCATCCGACGCTGAGAGGTTCCGGATGGCGATCCCCATAAACGTCCTAGCACCGTCATCAGCGTTCCGTGCGGATAGACATACTATAAAGCTGCGGAAACTGGTACGTACCCGACCTGCGCGTGGGAGAGGGGGATCCGAGCCGCGAGTCAGCAATCATCCAGGGAGTCAAGGGATGCCGTTAAGGCGGAAGCGCACGCAAAAAGGCCGCGCTTTATAAGGGATAGGACAGTAAGAAAGCACGCACAAACGCCCCGATGGCAGTTAGGAATTGCGACTGCATTGCCTGCTTCTTCGTGAACCCGCTCCGGACGAGGATCGAGTAATCCGCGATCTCGTGCGGGATCTCGTGCGCGAAGCATGCGAGCGTCGTCGTCGCGCCGATCAGCGGCGAGGAGTAGAAGGACGCCGCCATCCTGTTGAACGTGCCAGCAGCGCCATCAGTTCGCACCGTAAACGCCGCAACGGCTGTAACGTAAAAACACGCACGCAAGCCCGTCCGTACTGTGAGATAAATCCCATATATAATCAGTCAATATCGAACGTGCATCCTACAGAGCAGGCTCACATGTTGTGCACGAAGTCGCCGAAGAGGTTCAAGTACGCAGAGAGTTTCGACGGCTGCTTCCCTGCCTTTTCCAGCTCCTGCTCTTCCGACGGCGCAGCGTCGTCCTTCTGCGACCCACGCGCGCGCAGCTCGTTGGACGCGCTGTTCTTCGCAGCGCCGGACGCCTTGCCGTCAGACTTCGCCTCGCCGTGCGAATGGCTGTGCGAGTGCCCGGCGTGGCCGTCTTCGCTGCCGCTGCCGAGGACGCGCAGGGTCTTTTCCATGAGAAAGAACGACGCGAAGCCGACGAATATGCCTAGCCTGTGTGCGCCGGTGTTCAGCTGTTCCAGAGCTTCTGTGAGAGGGCGAGTGCACTATACCCGATTAGGATGTTGCGCTTCTCCTCGACCATGACGAAGTGCACGCCGCCGCCCTGGTGCTCACCCATGAACGAGTGGGGCACCAAGTGGAGGAACACGTCCGAGAGCAGGCCACCGGTCTACAAACATGTTGCAGGTCTGGTCAGAGAACGTAGGACGGCGTGAGGAGTACAGGGCACCCACCGCGAAGGCCGTCATGGTGTTAAGCGTGTTAGTGTTGATTTGCGCAGGAATGAACGCAAGAATAAAATTAGGTACGCTGTCAACGGCGCATTCAACGCGGATATGCGACACCGGGGGGCGTGAGCCGCTGGGAGGAGGGCACGGGGGTACGGCACTCACGAGCTAATGTAAAACGTCCCCAGAACTGTAAAATCCGTGTCAGGTTGATTCTCTTCCGGAGTCGCGCAGGAACATGTGTAGACACGTTCGTCGCGTACGAGGACCGCATCAGGACCCCGAAATGGTACGGGAACCCAAGCCGATGCCTGGCCAGGAGCCACACGCTGACCGCCCGAGACGTATATCGATCCTTAGACCGCACTAGCCTGTCTCATCTCGACATTGACACTATCTTAGATGGTCCTACAGTCCGAAGAAATTGAGTAGCGGGTCCCAGATGAGGATAGGCCCGCAAAGTCGGCTTTGGGACGCCGAGAAGGGCCCGGTGCCCGAAGCAGCCCCTCGTGCGCCGGCACATTGTCAAAGGGCGGACCGTCCGTCTTCTCACTTCCTCTCTCACTCCGCTTCCTTCTGGGAGAGGCAGACCGGTCCCTAGGGAAAGGATCCTCCATATAAAGGGTTATGCGACTCGGCTCAGCTTGAGCGCATGGCAGAGCTTCACCGTCAACGGCCGCAGACTGTGAAAAAAGGCACAGGGGATAGACAGGTCATAGCTGCCCTGCCACCACGTCAAGGTTCGCCTCAGACTGCATGGAGCAAGGGGATACCAAAGACGCGGAGGAACCATAATAAGCGCTGGAACGGCTGTATTGTACCGCCTCCAGACGCAGCACGGCCGCTTCCAACCCTCCTCCTCACCGGTCGTAGACGTCGCTACCACATCACGTCCACGAGAACGTAGTCCGCAACGGCTAGGCTTGTCCCATCTGCTCGTCACCCGCAGTCATGAAGGGCCTATGCGTATATCGTTCTTTCGCAGCAAGTGCACTGGTGTGGAGACCCATGAAACCAAACAAATCACTTACTCGAGTTCCATCCAGGTCCAAAGGGGAACAGCCATGCAAAGACCTGTCGCATGATGGGCGACTGCGCGGCCTCGAGCTCTTCCTTGAGTTCGCTGAGCTGCACGACCGGTGCACATTGTCCTATCTCTGTTGACTGCGATCGATAGCCTCCAGTTAGCCAGGCCGTCTTTGTACACCCACGTGCGCGAGGCGGAATACGTGGACTGGTGAGCGGAAGCAGACTCACGAGAACGGTCAACGGTGTTTTCGTCGTGTCCGCGACGATGCTCGAGACTCCCGCGGCCAGACTGGCGAGGATGGTTAGAAGCACGAGGCGGCGTCGACACTGCAGAAGGAGAGACTGCATGACAAGTTCGAGAGATGAATGCAGTGCTTGCTGGACGTCGGGGTGGCTGGAACGAGCGGAGACGAAGCGCCCAACGTAGACGCGGTCGCGATCGTGGTACGCTCGTAGGCGCCGGTCACGTGGGGAAGAAGCGTTTAATTGTGGGCGCCGCCGCGCCTGTGGCTGGAGGAGCAAGCGCTCGTTCGTTTGTATCCCATCCCGACTTTGTTCACAATATATTCACGTTGATTCTCGTGGCGCACACTGTTCCAGTTACGCCTCAACGTGCTGCAAGATGGATCCCACTCAGAAGGAGCAAGCTGTAATCGAGGCCGCGGAGAAGCTCATGACAGAAACGATGGCTCGGTACGACCCCTCTCATGACGCATACCATGGTAGGTCTACTATAATTCGAACGTCGACTTACTGACGCGTTCACTGGCAGTACACCGCGTAAGAAAAACGGCCCTGCATATAGCGCGCTCTGTCACAGTTTCCGAAGGCTCAGTCCAGCCCGACCTCCTCACCGTGGAGCTCGCCGCGCTCCTACACGACGTCCTCGACAAGAAATACGTCTCTGCGGCTGATGCTGCTGACCCGTACGCGTTCTTCCTGCCCTTCTTCCGACAGATTTCCGAGGAGCACGGGATAGATCTCGTGGAGGATGGCAGAGCACGAACTATCACGAACATTGTGGACAACGTTAGCTGGTCAACGGAGAAACAATTGAGGTCAGAGGGAAAGTGGAGCGAGTGGCATGAGAAATGCGTGGAACTGCACTGCGTACAGGACGCGGATAGACTGGATGCCATAGGGGCCTTTGGTGCGTGTCTCAGCGGACCTTTGTTGAGCTCACTGCTCATAGTTCGTAGGTATCATGCGATGCGCTGCATACAGCGCCGCTACAAACCAGTATGTACCCCTGCCCAAGATCATTGTGCATCAGAAGTGCTGATCGGTCGACAGTGCATTGCACACACCTGCCGGCGATCCCGCCCATCCCGCTTCTGCTGTACAGCACTTCCACGACAAGCTTCTACGCATCCGTGGGCGCCTAAAGACTGAACCTGGCAAGCAGTTGGCCGAAAAGCGCCACAAGCTGGTGAGTGATTGGTTGTTAAAAGGGATACTCTACTCACGTCCCGCCACATGCCGTAGATGCTCGACTTTTTGCAGGCAGTGGATGAGGAGTACAATTTCACTTCGTATTGAAGCGTGAAGGGCTGCTACCGCGATGAGAAGCACACACGAATTCATGACGTGGCATATTGTGAACGTGTTCGGTAATGTTACGAAAGCGTTAGTGTGACAAGCAGTAGTATATGAGCAACACAAGCTCCAGCAGCAGTCCACACCTATCATACAAGCCATGATTACCATGGCAAATCGTCCGGCCTGCCTTTCAGATCATCTTCCTGCAACTCAAAGTATCACCCTTCGTCTTCGCTTCCGCCAAACTCGTCACCATCGTCGTCGTCAGCGCCCTCGTCAATTCCTGTACCGCCGTTCCACTCGCGGTCCCAAAGCGGTACACCGCTGATATCTCGGAGTTCGGAAGTGAGCACCAAAGCAGGGTGGCCCTCGCCAAGGACATGACGCGCGTTTTGCAGACGAGAGAAAAGCGCCTCGCGGTCGTCGAGCAGCGCACGGATGTAGTCGATGGCTGGGAGGACACGAGCCATGAGCACAGGCTATCAAGCGGACATAGAGCGGCGAACGGGCACTTACTCTTCTGCAGGACCACGTTCTCGCTTTTTGGCCCTGCTCGTCCATCGAGCGCATTGTCCTCGATCTTCTTCCGCCGTTTGCGTCCCTTCGCACTCGACTCGGCCTCTCCGCCGCCGTTGGCCTCTTCTTGCGCAAGCGCCTCTCGCAGCGCGGGCACCGCAGCACACAGTGCCTCATATCCCCTACGAATATTCGCTCGACGTTTCTGCTCGCTCTGGATATGGTTCGCGCGCTTCTCCGCCGGGGTCAGCAGCGTAGGCTTCGCCTGCTTGTTGGCAGAGCTCGCGCTCGCAGACGATTGTCTGCGCTGCTTCTCGCGCGGCGCTGACTGTTTTGCGCGTTTGGAGCTGCTGGGCTCAGAGTCATCTGGAAAGGGGCGCTTCGACGAGCTGCCAGTCGGGTGGTCCAATACTGAAGGAGCGGAAGGGGTCGAATTGAGCGAGCTGCGATGAGGGGTATCGAAGCCGTCGTCAGGAGGCGACAGGCCGCCGTTGAGAGGTGGCAGCGTATACGGCGGTGAGCCCGATGTGAGCGAATGTATCGACGGCTGCGACTGGCTGTGCGCAGGCATCGGGTACGCGGCGAGCTCGTGTGGTGTCATCGACTGGTCGAACGAGCGGGGGGACCGCGCGTCGCCGCCATTCGGATCCGGGCTGAAACTGGGCCAATGGCTCGGCCCCGCTGCTCCTGGACCTACGCCCGCTCCAGCTGAGCGGCTGCTGGCCCCCGAGCGAGTCTTGCTGCTGCCGTGGGCGCGGTTGCCCAGGGACATGAGATCCTTCGTGGCCTTTGCGAGGGCATGCCTCCCCTTCGCGATGGAGATCTGCTCAAGGAGCTCGGGGCTGATCTCTGCGTCGTTGGTGTGGTCGACCGAGGAGAGGAAGGCGTTGAAGGACTGCGCCTCCGACGACGAGAGCAGGGACATGATGGTGCGGGGCCCCGCCCTTTACATAGTCGTCTGCGGCTTGTGATAAACACGACGGCGGGGGAGGGGCGGCGGTCACGTGCGCCCAGATAGCCAGTGAGAGTACCAAGGCGGCTAAGTAGACCTCCGAATTCCTATCGCCATGTCCAAGGAACCAACTCGCAACCAGCTATCGTCCAGGCTCGCGTACAGCGCGCAAACGCCCGCTTTTCTTCTGCGGATGCAGGCTCGCGTCAACGGGACAGCCGAAGATGAAGACGATGACGAATACGAGTACGACGGCTCTGGGCGCCCACCCATTCCGAAGCGTCCTGCGATTCCAGAACGCCCGGATGACGATCCAGGCAGTGCCGAAGAGGATAATGGCGATGAGAAACCACAGGTAGTGGTTCTGAGGGAAGGGAAGCACCTCTCGGAGCGGGAGGTTGAGAATGAGAAGCGAAAGGGTGAGCTTATGCCTGCGTGTAGAGATCGCTTGTTAACCGGCGTGCCCAAATCAGCGAAGGGCTTGTCGCCTCTGCCTGACATCGTGGAAGGGGAAGCAGAAGCCCCTGCGTCGGGTAGCACGTCTCAGAAGGACAGTGCAGAGAAACAGGCTCATAGCCGTTCGTTTGGGTCGATCGGCTTAAAGACCAAGTCCACCAAACGGAAAGCCGTGGGGGACGCCCGAGACGACGAACCGCCAACAGGCAAGCCAACTAAGGGCATGAAGAAGAAACCGAAGAAAGCAGAGAAGAAGTTGCTGTCGTTCGGAGACGAGTCGTGATTCTGTGACTAAACTCTCGCGCTACACGTGTATACTTTGCGCGTCGGTTTCGATCCTCCTGTAAGTCTTCATTTCATGTTGCTTGTTCGTTATTGATTGTTGTGCCATCAGGGCGCCGTAGGATCCTGTGGCACTACCCCCGCTCGGGCCTTCGGGAACCGTGGAAGCGGGTGTCGTTAGGTCTCAGCATCTACGGCAACTTGACCGCGGCTGCGCAGCAGCATTGTCGGACATAGGGTGCCAGGACGGAGGATTTTAAAGCGGCGAGGCCTATATCGCTGGATTTCATCCTCACTCCATGATGAAGAGGCGTATGTGCAGTACCGCCTTTCGGAGCGACGTTCATGTGACCACAATTCCTGGCAGGCGGTCGTTCTGTCATAGGACAGACGATGGGCCAGAACTGCGGGCAGCGTATGTACTATGCGCTCTAGGATGGATAATCAGGCCGATGGATACCATGGAAAACCTACACCTCGAGTCTATAATGGGATAGTCAGTACTATCAAGCTGTGCCTTCGCCGTGGCCATGCTTATGATCGCTAGATTGGTGAGAAATAAGTGGGGGCTACTAGGATACAGACCGGCGCTGGGCACGCCCGCTTCAAATGTAAAAATGCTACTGACATATGTGTTATGATCATAGGCTCACGCATGTTCTCAAAAGGCCACACAAGAAGAGAGGATCTGATCGAGGTTCGAACTTGAAAACTAAAAAGGAAAGCGACCTGCCTAATAAGGAAGGTATGCATGTCCAAATTGCATGAGCGTCCACTCAGTCACGACAAACCGACAACCTCTTACAGCCGTGCTCCGGCAATCTCGGATAAGGCACCTTCACTTCAGAACAGTAATACCAATCAATGCTGTTACTGTCGGAAGGAAAAGGTCAACAACGCTGTGCACGAGGCGAAGTTGCATCTGCGCGGATGAGTGGCGTCACGGTCGCGAGGACAGTCATTAGCGGTCAGTCTTGTGCTCAGTGCAGTCTTTGTTTCCTCTGACGCAATGAGACTAGTCCGGCAACGTTCACGCTCTGTGATCGGTTGTACCAAATACGAGCAGTCGACAATGTGCCTCGATCGAGACAGACAATGTCAGGCCGGATGAAATCTATCACCCTGTTGTGCCCCTTTGTGGCGAATGCTTTTGCTTTGACCATATGATCATCCGCTTCAGCACACTTTGGTGCGCTGTTGCCATGGCCTCAGGCACCTTTGTCAAGTACGCGTCCGCCGGAGCCACACAACGCTTTGGCGACAGAGCCACATGCTCAACCGTTCCCCTGTCTCCTCAGGTATAAAAGGGCCCTGGATGAGTACCAACGAATGTATCGCCCTCCCCAACTTCACTTCCAACTTCACTTCACATGCTACGCACGAAACCTCTCGTGGCCCGCTTGCCGGGCCCTACCTCAAGTCATCCTCAAGCCTTGCGCTTCCTGATTCAATCGTCATTCCACCCCGGATCGAGACTGCGACGAGCCGTATCGTCATGTACGCTTTCACTCAACAGCCATACCATTTTGCGTACTGATGTACTGACCTTGTCCATAGGTCCTCGGTTCTGAAGTCGTCGTGCTGGCCGTGGTACCGTGCGCTCTGTATATCCGTGACCACGGGCAGAGCCGGGACGCTACGTCGTGCGCCGTGCTCGCATAGCCTCAGCACACTTCACATAGGCACCACTGGCAACACCTCGGAGCTCAAGCTAGGGCTTGGCTCTGTCGAGAGCGCGGGTCCGCCCATGGTAGGACCATCCGCCCTGCTTGGACCAGCGCACGATCCGTTTGCTTGGCACGACCCGATGGAGAGCGCGACTCAGTCTGTGCTATCGTATGTTATTCATTCACTCGAGAATAGCTTCACACGGCTAACGCAAGTTTCGTTAAGTGATTTCGATGGCACCTCTCCGTGGCTCACAGACAGCACCTGGGGGACCACTAACAACACAGATTGGCTGAGACAGCCATCATGCTGCTCGACGAGCCACGTCGACTCAGTTGCCTGGGCTGGCGCCCCACCGTCTGGATCCCGGTCTCATCCGCCAATACCCATCCTCTCTGAGGGTTCAGCGCTTGAGGGCTTCACGCGTCGACAGCGCAAACCGCGCCAGGATCCCTACGCTCGCGCAGGACAGCATTCATCGCCCTCTGCCGCCTTGTCTTCTCCCGGCTCGTCGACATCGGCGTCGACACCGCTTTACGCACCCTCTCCCTCTCTGTCTCCCGCTGCACCCGGCCACCTACCAACGCTCCGATTAACATTTTCCAGGGCACGAAACGCCCAGTTTAGTCTCTCCCGGGACGACATTGACCGGATCCTGGGAGAGCCGAAACCTCCCGCAACAACGTGCCAGTGTTGCGGGAAGCGCGTCGCTCATGGGGGTCTCGAGCGGCACCTCGAAACCCACACCTCGGATGACAGAGAGGACCTCGTCCATTGCATTGGAACACCTCCCGAACTGCAGCCTTTGGACGGAGTGCAGCGCGAGAGGTACCTGCACAAGACGACAGGCAAGCTGTTCGTGGGGAATTATGGCATTGGCTTCAGCGAGCGCGGCGCGTACTTGCGTCAACTACGACAGGGGACGTGTCTGCCCAGAGCACACACTGGCACTCGGGCAAGTCATCGGCGGAAGTCGGCTTGGGCCACGGAGGGGCACTTACACCACCCGATGCGGACCATGGGCAACTCGACCCCGATAGCATTTCTATACGCGGGGCAAGGGTAGCTTCGACAGCGACAATATCTGCAGAGTCATCTTCCGCTCAGTCATGACGCGCAGAGCGAGCACAACAGCAGGAATCGCGCACAAACGAACAGTCGCACATCATGTCTACACTCGGCTTCGGTTGTTGAGTACCGGCTCGTTGGGACGGCACCGTCACGTCGGCTTGATTTCAAAAGCAAGCGGCGGGCTGCGTTGCATCCAGACAGCTACTCGCTCATCGACCACATCCCGGGCCGTGCGACTACACTGCAACGTTCTTGCCTTCGGAGGAAGCAGCCTTCAGTGGTCAATCCAGCGTCGGGTTCGCTATCTATGGCACTACGGCCTCCAAATCCGGCGCGTACAACATCAGCGTGGTTCCTCCTCCGGACAGCCTCCCTTCCATCATCCAATACAATGCGTTGACAGCATTCGAAGTTCTGGACGCGCTGAAGCCCTTGGCGACGGGCTTGAACGAGACGATGGACATGACGAACACGATCCGCGACAAGACGTCGACATCGGTCCGATCCTGCACAGTGCTGTGCAAACGTGAGTCTCTCGTGTTCTGAGCCTGAGGGAATTTGCGCGCCACACTGACGATGACACTCTCGCAGGTCGAGCTCTCCGATCAGTGCAAGTTCGACGTCAAGCGCGAAGCCGTCTAACATCGGGTCCGTCAGTTCTGGAGCCGCGACGTCGGGCGGGCGACATCTCAATCCGGGAGATATCGCTGACCTAGCGGTACGCCACCCTATCCCATGCATCGCCCTGCCTCAACTGACGAGAGCCTCTTAGATCGGATGCGCTGCATGCCTCTTCATCGATCATCTCCTGGGCCATCATAGCTTTTCTGCGGTCGCACCGACCTGCGAGAAGTAGCTATTCTGGATACGCATCCGAGAAGTCGTTCACGTCGCTTTACCGAAGACATCGCTACCAACGCGGGGCTCGAGGATCGCCTCCTCTGAGGATGGACCTCATCGAGCCCGAGGCCGCCGTGATAGGTGGAGAGCGTGAGCCAATGATTCCTGAACTCGCAGTAACAGCCTGTATGTTCCCATACGACTTCGTGACGCTTTTATCTCACTGGGATTGACGTAGTTGGGTGATAGTTGCCTGAATGTACCACACCTCCATATTGTTTGCATGAATTTATTACCTTGAATGAAAACCCAATAAGATCTCAAGTCGATCACTGTTAGTCTCAATATTGATACGCGAGTGGCATAAATCGCGATATGTCCGCTGTGGATCGTCATGTTCATGCGGCATAACCCAACAAATGAAGCAAGGTAGTACACTAGTACCGAAGCGAAGTGATGACGGCGCGAGTAGTCCCAGCATACATATGATGCACCGAAAGCAACGAACAAGCAACTGAAGAACGAAACCAATACGTCATCAGACGTCTCACCTCCGATTCCCCAATCCACTCAGCCGATTCCGCACCCTCGCCACGAGCCCGCCCACGCCCTGCGGCTCCTCGCCCTTCACGCTAAACGACACGACCGAAAATGACCTGCTCTCCGCCAAGTCCCCGTCCATCATGTTCTCCGCCGCCCGCGACTCCGCCCTGCCCGTCCGCCCGTCCTCCGCACCCTCTTCCGACTCACTCGACCTCGACGCGAGGCTCTCCGGGACGGACGAGAGCGAGCTCGACGTCGGCACAAGCACGCCGCGAAGGGGCGAGCCCGAGCCGAGCCTGCTGTGGTTCCCCAGCTGGGCGTGCGCATGAGCGTGTGCGGTGGCCTTCATGTTCGGGTTCGATTTCGACACGCTGAGCCCGCCGAGGTGCAGGCTCTGGCGGATCTTCTGTGCGCTCGACGCGCTCGGCTTCGCAGTCGCGCTCGCGCCCGACTTGGACGAGCTCCCGCGCGCGCGCGGAATCGCCGCGTTCATCCACCCGGGCATCGAGCTTGCTGACGTGCTCCGGTCCCTCCCCGGCGACGCGGGCGCGGGCGATGACCGGCGGTGCGGCGACGCGGGGAGCGGGTTGTCCGCGATCATCCGCGCAGCGGCGGTCCCGAACGAATCACTCTCGTGCCGCGCGCGCGGGGGAGTGTGCGGCATCGGCCCGTGTGCGGGCGCGCGGAGCGAGACGTCGAGCTCGGAGGCGACGAGCGCGTCCAGGAGGTCGACGGCGTACGCGGGCACGCCGGGGTCGTCCGCCTCGACCTGGGAGAGGAGGTCCGCGCGCGAACGGGGCGAGTCGGGCAGGAGGATGTCTGCAAAGCCGGCGGTCCACGGGCTGGAGGGCGAGTCGGAGGGAGACTGGGGGTGAGGGACTAGTCGCGAGGAGTACCTGGGAGGTGTCTTGGGTGAGCGCGAGCTTGCGAGGGCGCCCTTCGACGGCGTTCCTGGTAGCGGGGGTGTCCTGGGCGATGCGGGCGATGCGGGCGAGAACTTTGGAGAGCGTTCGTCGAGGGAGCCGGCGGGGCTGAGTGGGCGCGTATGTGCGGGCGCGGGGTGTTGCATGAAGGCAAGCGCACAGGCGGACTGGCGGAGGCGGAGGGAGCGGACGTGGTGCATGGTCTTTCGCCATTGCGCGGCGACGACAACGTGCTGCCCGGGCGCGAGCCGCGAGGCCAGCGGGACCCGTGTGCCCGCCTGTTCCAAGAATAGCGCCAGATTCGCCTTCGCCTTCGCGTGCTTCCGGGGCGACATCCGCGATTCTCCTGCTGCTGCTTCTTCCGGGGCATGGGGTCGGTGGCTGGTCTCGCGCAGTGCCGTGAGGGATGCCTCGAGGATCCGCACCGCATTGCTCATGTCTGTCTCCCGCTTGTCCGCCAGCCACCGCTCGCGCAACATGGACTCGTACTCCGTGGGCTCCATGTTTGCGCGATCCGCGAGACACTCGCGCAGCCGTGCGGCCTGCTCCTTGGATTCCCGGGCTTGAGTGCTCAGCATGGCCGTCGCGCGCTCCAAAGCGCGGATCTGCTGATCGACTGGAGACGGCTCGGGGAGACTGTGCTGCAGAGACGAGGATAACGCTGTCTGCGCACGGTGATAGCGGAGCTGCCTGCGAGAGCGTGGTGAAAGGTCACGAGGGGCAGTGACGACGGGTTCGAGAGATAATGCGGAGGAGCACGGTAGATTGGTCGAAATGGAACGGGGTGTGGATGAGGAAACGCTCTGACTGATGGTGAGATCTGGTGTGCTGTGCAGGGATGTTTAGTGAGTTGTCCTCAAGAAATCGTTCTCGCAGTGACCCAGGCTAAGTGAACTTTGCGTTCCTCAATCCTCCACTTCGAGGCGAGTGGAACAAGAGTCCGGCGCACAGAGTACTTGACGCCGTGGAGCACAGACCCAAGCGTGATAGCCAATGGCGTAAAGACGATTGTCATGAACTAGAAAGGCGCACTGTACGGAATACGAGACCTGAGATGCCTCGGGGCCAGCCAAAGGTAGGCAAACAGCGCTGCTGATAGGTGTGTATACGACAACCATTACGCCAGCCAACGAAATGACGACAGGTACTCTCGCCGAGTACACATACGGAGACTAGGTGGGTTGTATTGGACCCATCATTTCCGGTAATATATACTGTCCCGACTAGAGTGGCCCGCCGCGTCAGGCAGTCCTTTCGCCATGTCCTGCGCATGTGCTCCGGAAGGGCGGCTATCGGCTGATGAACGCCGCCTAGGTTCCCCGTGCGCGCTGCCTCGAAGTACCCACAATGCTTCGTTTGCGATTGAAACTGGCCTAGGTCGCAGCGAGAACAGTCGAATGACACGAACACTCACAGAGGTGGTGGGGCAGACGGAAACCGTCGCTCATATTCCGCCTTGCTCATCTTCTTCTAGTTTGGTCGTCTGAGAGATTAGAGTGGCACTGGCGGAGGAAGGACACGTACCACAGCCAGCTCGCCAGGGAACCGCTTATGAGGCGACGCAGACACTCCATAGAGCCTTATCTGTGCAACCCGCTTCTTCTGCGCAGGCCGCTCCGTGCTGAACATGTCTTGCTGGACAGAGGGCACCATCTAGACCAGAGCAGCGAAGCAGAGTGCCGTCAACGTAGCTACGCGGGTGCGAATGTTCCCAGCTAGTGTGCACCGCGCTGACGACGAGGCGCAAGAGACGTAAGGCTATGTGGCAGCAGGAGTAGAGAGGGAAGGACGCAGGAGCGGCATGAGGCAGCAGAGGCAGGGACCACGCAGGCAGGAATCAAACAGACGGCTCGCGGTCACGGTTGTCATCCCGCGGGCGCGCGCCGTCCCCAAAAGCCACAATCGCCGATCCGAGATCTAGCGAGAAACAGAATCTCAGATTCAGGTACGTTTCGAGCACTAACAGTGGCTCACTCCCTTCGCTACACACATAGCTGGTTGGCTATAACAGGAGACTGGCTATAAGCGCTTTTCGCGACGGGTGGATTCTTGCTCCACGAGACTCGAGGCTAATTCCAAAGGCTTCCGGTACACCGCAGGATAATCAAATTTCAACTCTCGAAGTGAATGAAGGCATTGGAAAGAGCATGATGTGGCCCAGCCTAGTCTTCTTCCCCAGGCTGTAGTACGCCGCGTTTTTCTTCAGTCAACTCCGAGCAGCCACGATTCTCTACTAAGGGGTCCACGCGCGTGACTTGTCGGGCGAACGTCCCACGACCGTAGCGACAAGGTGCTCGTGTCGCAGACAGCATCGGGACGCCGTACGACGCCTGCATGTCCGCGGCCGTGGAAACGGCAGACCCACTGTGAGACTATGAGTTGAGTGGTTCGACATGCAGGCCTCGCGTGAGCAACGCGAAAAAATGGCCAAAACAAAGGAGAAAGTGCACGAAGAACTTCATGCTGAGTAGGCCGACGGCGGGAATGCGACCAACAAGACTGGGCCAGTCCATTCGTCGCGCTTCGTCACGGTGCGCAATACGTTTGCATCGGACGAGAGACTTGAAGCATCACTCGGACATGCCTCCACGTATGCAGCTTCGAAGCATAGCCGATTTCGACCAGAGAACAAGCTGCAACTGTGAAAGATTCATTGATGTCTCGTTCGGCATGAAAATCAGGTACCAGTTGTCGGAAGTTGCATATGAGCTCCGAAGAAAGCTGTAGGTCTTTCGAACGGCAAGTTCGTCCTGATCTGTTCTGCTCCCACCGCCATCGCTCAATGATACGGCGTCCCATTCAGATGGCACCCTTGATAATATCCGCCGCTACAAAGGCTCGTCAAGCAGACTTTGGCAGAGACGACAAGTATTCTTACCTTGCTCCGCCATGGCATACACCAAGGCTATGCGACAGCAATTGTCAGTGCTCGCGATATGCGTCACACGAATGTAAGGCCAACCTTGAGTATGGCTACCAATCTGCATGGGTACCACGGAAAGATCAACAACGCGTATGTTGGTGGTTCCGTAGACCTGTCGGGAGGGAGCTTCGTTGAATTTATGCAACCTTATCAAGTGCGGTTCGGCTTTACCTTCAAAGTAGAGTCCACAACTCCGCCGTCTTCCTTAGGGAGCATAGAGCACGAACTCGACGTATCTATGTTGTCGAGAGTAAGTGCCCCGCGCGCATACGTTAATTCAACCGAAGACGTACGGTACGTAGTTCTGACATTGTCGCGGAGCCAATCTGATCTCCATGTCAGCTTCTGCTTCATGCGCGGATGCCCTCGTCTTACCAGCGATCTGCTCGTCGGTCTGGACGTCCTTGCCGGGATACACCTCCTCTAAGCGAGCATCATGAGGTCGACGACTGATCGATGTATCGGACCCGACTCACCATTTATGACGCTTTTGAACGGCTCAGTCTGCAACAACTTCCTGTTGAACTTGACGGACTCGACCATACTCTGCAGATCTGTATATGCTATCAGCTACGACTCGTAGTGACTATTGTTAGCGGCACTACCATATGGCTCCTCATAGACGTGAGGATCGATCGTCGGGTGCTCCATGGGATCCGTCGATGCAATATGCTGTGGAACGCGTAAGAAAAGTGACCAAGCGAGATATGCTCGGGAAGACTAGGTGTACTCACAATTGACCCACGCGAGAAAGGGTTGTTCAGTCCAAAGCAGAGCGAGACATGTTTCCTCTCAGGATGCAAGGTAGCTACCGGGCATCCGTAGTCAGGGCGTATGTGCTAGCTAGCCTAAGAGCACGCACCAACTGGAACGATGGGCGATGGCACCAGCATGATCTCCATGTTCGGGACTTGCTCCTTGAGATGCTTAAGCTGCAACTCATACTGTTTGCGGAGACCTTGGGGGTACTTGTTTTCTTGGATTCCAGTCATTATGTGTTTCAAGAGCGTGCTCTGTATCTCTTCCGCATCCGGACATATGGACTGCAACGGGACGAACGTGAGGCTGAGTGTGCGTATGTTCAAGGCTCCTTTCCCTTCCGGACTACAGCGCGGATTAGATAATACAAATCACGGGGATTCGACTAACTAGATGAATGCTCACCGGATCCTGTAATGCTCTGGAGCCAGGTCAGGAAAGAAGAGCGGGTCGCACGTTTCGACTTCGTGGCCATTGACGTGATGCTCCTTGACCTCTAGCAGCTATAGGTGTCATATCTTGGGCAGGCGTACAGGCAAGAAAGAACATACGGCATACGAGACCAGAAAAGAGGTGTTCCTGGATATTTTCCCCTACACCAGGCAGATCAATCTTGACCTCGACACCTGCTCTCTCCAGGACGTCCCGCTTCCCGATGCCAGACAATTCGAGGATCTGCGAGAGAACACTCGTCCGTTTAACACACAAAGCGAGTAAATGGGGCAAGTTGCCTACCTGGGGAGATATCACAGCCCTACGGGGACATCAATTGGAGCAAGGTGATTGCAGTGAGTAGAACGGACGCACCCAGCCGCAAGGAGCACCTCCTTTGACGTCTTCGCCTTGTGTACATTGCCTTCGTGCACAAAAGTGACACCGGTAGCTGTGATGGCTCCGTCATCACCGCGACGGCTCACAATGCCAGTGACGTGAGCGGTCACGAGAACAATCAAGTTCTGACGATGAGCGTTGGGTTGATAGTAAGACTGTTCCAAACATATTGAGCAGTGTCACAAAGAACGAGGAATATTCACGTGCGTTCGCCGAGTATGATCGATAGAAAGTCGTCGGACTGATACTTGAAGGGGTTATAGAGGTTCCGTTTGTCTTGATGAGGCTTAGTACCACGCCCTGTGCAGCGGCATTGATTGACGTACCATCCCAGATGACTGACAATCGACTGAGTTAGTAGCGCGCTCCAGGAATTGTGTTACCGGGCACTTACAGTGTCAGCGATACGAGGAATCCCGTGCTGCGTGATTGACTAGCAAAACATGGGTCATAATCTGAACGTTTGGTCATGTTTGTGACATACATCTATGAGCAGTTCCTCCAGGTAAGTCCTGGCTGGAGAAAACGACACGTCAACGGGGCCTGTCGTCCAGAACTGGGTCAGAAAATCTTCACAAATAAGCAAGTAGCACATGCCTGACGAGCCCATGGATACCGCGTTGTACGTCAGCAAGTCCGAGTCGTGGTTTGGCGGTGTGAACCTTTTAACAGTGAGCTGTGAACATGGCTGCACATGCAGCATAGGAGACGCACTTCTCAGCCTTCTTGACGTATTCGTGGAACAGATCCCAGTTCCATCCCTCGATCCCGAGTTCTTGGAACACTGCGATCAACGTAGGTATCGATTGAGTGTACATTAGAGGATCGTGCACGGACTATCGAGATATTCGCGCGCAGGCTTGTTCCAAAACATAAAGTTGACTGCTGAACTACCACCGAGTCCTTTTCCACTGAATTATTTCTTTAGTTGCGCAGTAATGAGAGTAAGGAAACCACAAACCGAGCCCAAACGTATTCACGGTTGTTCGAGTGAGATTGCTTGACCTGTTCAGTTTTAAGCTCATATACACGAGAAAGGAATGATCGTCCTTACAGTCTTATATGCCCAATCATACTTCGACTTGTTGAATTGCCTCACGGCTTGCATTGGGAGTACTGCACCAGGTCATCGCGGATTCCTGATGACGCAGATGCACTCACGATTCATCGGGTCATCGAGGTTAGCTTCGCCGGCCTCAAGCACCAGTACACGGACAGACGGATCTTCAGTAAGGCGAGCAGCGACAACAAGTCCGGCCGTCTATTACATACATCGCAAGGGCATGATGTCGGCGCTCTTGCAAACGTAGGCAGTAATAATAAGTCGTACTCACCCCACCGCCTGGGAAGAGTCAATCACTTTGTGGTCATACACACAAGAGATTTAGTACAGACCGACAATGATATAGTCGAACTCCTTTCCAGAAATATCGGCGATTTGAGCGAGCATATCTTTCGGCGCCGCAATGGTGAATTGACGTGCGGAGCAGTTAAGGTGTGATGAAAGACTTCGTCGGCCTTGGACGACTTGAGTATGCTTTTATAACAACCTGGTGGCACTGAAGTTAGGCTGCGGGAAAGATTCTAAATAGGTACATCGACTGACTCAGGCTGATCAGGGTTCCTTCCGGACATGGGTCCAGGTGCTTGAATGCTGTCCACCAGTTTGAAATCCTCGTGGTGATGAAACTTGAACAACAGCGCCGTTACGGAAGAGATAAGCCCCTGGCAGTCTCTCCCTTGCCGAGTAAGGTCAAGCACCTGTACCTCGTTGACAGAGCGGCCTTGTTGGGATCAGATGCTTCTTGAAGGTGCGCAGATGAGTAGATAGAAGATACCCACAGGGCTACACTTCTGTCCACCGAAGTGCACTGGTAATGATGACCCCAGTCCGAGTCGTGCGATCAAGCCTGCCATATCTAAAATGTACAACAAGACACTCGAGCGCGCACACGGCCTTCGAGTGATCACAGAACATAGACCAGAGACATCTCACATGCGAAATACGAAGGTCCGCCAACGCTATTGAGTTCCGTCAGGCTACGCAACGCGATGATCCCCTCAGAAGATACAAAACAATTGCGGTGCACCATACAACCGAGCCGCTGACTCGGCCCCTGCAGCTGCTAAGAGCATGACGCCCACGAATATTTGAAGGCCGAGATAATTTCCGCCATTATGCTGCAGTATGGCTGAAGATGATAAGCTCAATCAGCTTACGGTAGAACACGAACACTGGATACACTCACCGCCCGAGATCGACGGACCGGTCAAAATTCCCGGAGCCATTGCAGTCCTGACCATCACACTTGAGCCGCACACTTCATTCAGGATCCAACGAGAGACGTACATGAACATACCAATACGTGCACCAATCTGGGTCGGATCCGGTGTGATTTGAGCAGTGGCGGACGCCGAAATCGAAGAGTACGCAGCTTCCATACGCTATCAGACAACTTCGTAGTATGAAGAGATGTTAAACTTACCAGACGTGAATCCGAATCTGGGCGCTGTCAGCATTTCAAACAATACGCAAAATACGGTTAATTCGACTCACATCACAGAGAAAACGACAGTCTCAGCAGCACCCTTGGAAGTCGTCCAGATTGCCATAGATGAAATGGCACCCAACACGAGGATAGGAACAGTCACATTGAATCGTCCGTACTATGCAGATATGTTATTCGCCTCCCAATGGGCCTGGGCCAGGGACAACTCACCCGGTCGCCGAGGTAGCCAGTTAAAACTCGCCCAACTAGACCGGCCGCGTTCATGATGGCGATCATGTAGAAGGACAGGTTCGCGCTGAGTCCGGTCGACAAGCTGAACAGTTCGATGTACCAGTATGGCGTGTATAAACCTAGACGAATACCTGTCAGGAGACAAACAGCAGTCAAGACGCAATGAAAGAATATACCGAAGGGGGCCAAGAAGCCAGCAATGATATGCAACAGGAATGTCCCTTCCCGGAAAGCTCCGACATCGACGAGCGGGAGACCAAGGCGGTGCGGAAGACGCTCCTTGACGAGAGGAATGGCCACTGCCTGGATCCCAAAGTTCATGAAGGCCATGATGCGGACAGCCCATGGAAAGCCAACAGAGTCGAATAGTCTTGACAACATGATAGGATAGATGATGCCACTTAGACTAGCACCAGACACCACCTACGCAAGAGCGTAATGACGACTCATGCGGATGAGAAGATGTGAATTGATGCTCACTATGCCCATTGCCGCGGCTCGTTTGGCGCGGAACCAGTGAGTCGGTACGGTCATCTAGGTCTTGCTCAATCAGATGCATATGAGACAACACTGGGCGCATATGTACAATGGGGTAAAACCTGTCGAGCACATGAGTTGATACATATCGTTTTGGGTCTGGAGACGAATAACGTACTGCAGGGCAATCCCGATTCCCAGCCCAATACCTTGCGCGAGTACAATCTGATAGTACTTGCGGGATAGAGACGTCATCATCAAGGAGAACGTGGATAATATCCAGCCAATGACAAGTGAAGACTAGGAAATACAGGTCATGAGTGAATGAGAAATTCTAATGAAAAGCGATCACTGAACCCTTGCGCCATAGATGTCGAAGACGCGACCGAGGATAATTCCGCTGATATACGTGATGACTAGTTGGACGCTACCAATCCAACTGATGCTAGAGAGTGTGTAATCTTGAAGGAGGTTCTCGGCATAGTACGTTTGAAAGACACCAAATGCATTGAGTTGACCTGTGAACGGTATATTGAGACGCGGCAATGAGTGACGTGGTAACATAAGTGGTATGACTGACCAAAGGAAGTGAAAGCCAGCAGGAAGCATCCTATCACGTTGCTCCATGCACGAAGTCCACCTTCAGGAAACGTTAACGTTATGGCCGGTGGCGACTGCAAGGTGCATGGTGAAGTTGCAGAACATCCTGGGATGACTAAGGGCTGACCTGGGGGCCAAGTTGGATCTGCGCAGCATTCTTTCCCTCGACTAATGCTTCATCGAGGTCACCGTCTGGAGTCGGCGCGCGCTGTTCAGTAGGAAGAGGCATGAAGGAGAGAGAGGTAGATCAGTCAGGCGGGAGGGAGGCACGACCGCTATATGAACGTATGACAGAATCCGTCAAGCGACAGAAGTTGTCAACATAAACCTTGTCACAGGAAGTGTGTTCGAGCGCTGATGTTCCCGAGTGCGCCTCAACAACTGGCAATTCATTCCAAGCACAGGCTTCGCCGGAGAAGTCACTGACACCCATATGTATGGCAGCGAACGTCAAATAAAGGCATGTGTCGACCACACGCCCGCACTGCACACACGACGCACGAATGGAACGGCCAGGACGCACGGTACACATCATCGGGCGGTGGACGCCCAGTTATCACGATATCACCGCCCGCTATCATACCACAAATCATATGTACCAGCGGAAGGTCTGTTCTTATACCTATCCAGCTGGGCCGAATGGAACGGCATCATCACAACACAGGAAGCACGCGGCTTGTGACGTCCAAAAGACCGGTTACCTATGCATGGGATGACCACATATTGTTCGGCAAACTCAGCACCAGAGAAAACAGTGGAGACCAACCTAGAACACAGAGGGCGTACCTTGGTATCGAAGAACCGTACGACAAGCTTCGGGTTCGTACTGAAACGTCGCTGTTCGGCGCAAGCCTCGCCTCATGCTCAACTGGAATGTAATCAGCCTGAGAAACATCTGTGTTTGCTTGCCCTGTATGCCGCATCCGTCGTCTTCCCAGTCTCCCCGATGGACGCTGAGTCGCCGCTGACAATAAAGAAGAACCGCAGTGATACGGTGTCACTCTGGCCTGTCCTGATCTTGGCGCAGCGGGCATGTATGTAATCCATTGTGAACCGCCCTTCTGACGAGCTCGGTTCCCGCTCTGAGGAATTCGGAGTTTGGACACTAGTGATGAGTGTAGTCGATCAGTACAGACTCTCACAATTTCGGAGGAGCGTCGACTCATCTACAGCAGATGTAGAATGGAAGTGTACAGAAAACAGTTATACTTACCTTGCTATCCGACACCGCCGAGGGCCCATGATGAACATTCAGTTGAGGTTCGATCAACCACTGTACTTTCTGAGATCTGAGTATTAGTGATTTGGACAACCCGCTACGGATGCCATGGGCATGCAGGGCAAGACCTGGGCAAGACGTGGGGCGAGGCAAGGCGGTTGAACTTGAAGCAACTTGAAGGCGCCGGCGGAGACGCCCGGTCGCAGAGCACGTGAGGATAGTGGCGCGGGGCCACATCAGTAAAGTTACTAGTCAGAATCCTCCAAGTTACTTACCTGCGTATAACTACCATCACTCCATCCTGCATGCCGTCGAGAGAAGGAAAAAGAAAGTCTGAAGGGAGAGACAAAGGAAGAAGACGTTATCGCTCAGTAAGCCCCGCCATTATTTATAGCCAGTCACCTCGCGTTCATGCGAAACCGTGTATCCCGTAGGATGGCACCCCGATCTGGGGTCAACGTACCATAGACGGTCCAGGAGTCTGGGTAACCTGTGTGAAAGGAAAGGAAAAGCAGACGGTGGGCGAGTTGTATGATCTTTTCGAATCCGTAAGTTGTGGTCAGTAGTGCCATATGTGCCTCCGATTGAATTGGCGTAGCTGGCGTCCGAACTTTGGCCAGGGGAAGCTGCAGAAAACGCGAACGAGGCAAGGAACGGCGAAAGCGATGACGATGACGAGGATATCGAGAAGCAAATAGCGAGGGAGATCGCATCCATGAAGCGACCTAGGAAAGAGCAAAGGTTCGGTATGTCCCTAGCTATACACGTTCCGCCAGGCACTCAATTGTCGCAGCTAACTGTCAGACGAACACGCCGTGTGGTACGTCGCACTGATCATCTCCATCAAGTGCACTGTCTGACGGCGAGCAGTCGTCTTCATTTCGTGCAAACCTCCGATAGACCCCGTCCATATGGTCACCAAGCACGTACAGAACGTGATGGATGGAGGTGCTGCACAGACACGGTAGGTGTCGTGCCTCCCTTCAACGGCACAGCGCCAACAATGCTTGCTTTAGGTATACGCAGCGACTGACTCCGGTATCTGCTACCTGTGTTGCCAATCTACCCGAGGTACTATCTCTTTGCAAACGCATGGTCGTGCCATTCTTCGAAGACGATCCGGAGAAGATATATCGCGTGAGTTGAGCCGCAGAGTCACATTCATGGTCTGTATCCCTGATATTCCGGCGCCGCAGTATAAGATTGAACTCAGGATGCGCAATCACAATACGATATCGAGAAGCGCCTTGATTGAGGGGCTTGCGAAGTGCATCCCGGAGAGACACAAGGTTGACCTAGACAACGCAGAGGCGTTCATCCTAGTAGAAGTCTTCAAGGTCAGTCTGGCTGCGAATGTGATCCGTACATCACCTCATGCGAATTCCCAGAGTATTTGTGGTATGAGCGTAGTGAAGGACTACTACCGCCTGCACAAATTCAACGTGATGGAGATTGCCCATGTAAAGAACGGTGAGACGGCTGAGGAGGGAAGAGTGGCCGACTCCGGCAAGCCCTCCAAAAGTGCACCCGAGTGATCCATATTGTAGCTATACGCAGCAGCATATAATATAGGCCGCAACACTGTAGCTGTAGCGAAAGAAGAATGTATCACTGTTGCAAGATATGCGCGGGCATCGACGGGCATCATACCGTGACTGCGCGCGCGTTCGTACACACAGTAGAACGTGACCGCGATCCCATCGCGTTAACTTACACTGAGCGCGTACCGTTCGAGTCGACTACTCGCAGCATTCAACCCCGCCTCTCACATCGCCCTATCGTCTTCCCTCAAGCACTCACAACACGCACCATGGGAGACCTCGTAGACTCGATGCTCGACCTGATGCGACGGCTCCCGCCGACCCACGTCGAGGAGAACGTTGCCTCACTGGTTGCGATGTGCCCGGACTATGCGGACGACCTCCTGGGGAGCGTCGACCAGCCGCTGAAGGTGATGACGGACCGCGCAACGGGCAGGGACTACCTCGCGTGCGATTACAACAGAGACGGGGAAAGCTATCGGTATGTGTCGTCTCGGCCTCATAGAACAGGAAGGGATGTTGTGGCCGGCGTCCTGCGTAGACGGAAGGCAGCGCGATGTCTGACGTGCACCCTGCAGGAGTCCCTGGTCGAACGACTATGATCCCCCTCTAGAAGACGGGACAGTCCCGTCACCTAAATTGCGCAAGCTGGAGATCACAGCGAATGAGGCGTTCGATACCTATCGTGAGATGTGAGTGCCGGGGCGCGTTGTAGTCACATCTTCATCCTGATCACACCGGGATAAATACAGGTACTATGAAGGCGGCGTGTCCTCTGTCTTCCTCTGGGATCTCGATGACGGCGGGTTCGCAGGTGTTGTGTTGCTGAAGAAAGGTGCGTTATGTCAGTGTCCTGCAAATATGTGTGCGCTTCACAATCGCCTGTTCTGTAGTACTCAATGCGTCATCACCAAGCGAGCCATCGGGCTCATGGGACTCCATCCACGTCTTCGAGGCTGCCGAACGCGGTCGACAAGCGCATTACAAGCTCACATCCACCATAATGCTGCAGATGACGAACCGTGCAGCAACCTCTGCCTCTGAGAAAGATGACAAAACCAAGGGGAGTGGAAAAGAAGATGCCAACAGGCAAGGTGAGGTGGTGCTCAGTGGCAGCATGACGAGACAGGTGCGCCTTCATGTAGTCCTACGTCCTCATCTCTCCTAAGTAATGGTGTACACCAGAGCGAACAAGATCAGCCCTTGCAAGACCAAGCATCGCACATATCGAACACAGGGCGGATGATCGAAGAGATGGAGATCAAGATGCGCAACCTCCTCCAAGAGGTATGTACTAGTTCGCTCTCTCACACGTCTCTGCCAACTGATCTGTTCGGCGTGAAGGTGTACTTTGGCAAGACACGAGACATCGTGTTCGATCTGCGCAGCATCGACGATCTGGAGAAGGCACGACGGCAGCGTGAGCTGCAGAAGGAGCTTGTCGGCTTCATCAAGCGGTGATGATTTCCGTATCTTGAGTGGACCATTGGAATGTACAGGAAGAAGTGTCAAAGAATGTATATTCGACTAGCGGGTGACGTCGTGTGGAAGACCTATTGCTACAGTTGTTAGAAGCAGGTCCAATGGACTCAATATGCACGTCGCATGCTCTGAGGCCTTGGCCGTCGTCTCCTGTTCGTTCGCGTGGGCCTCCTGACAGCCGTCTTGCGCCTCCAGCTCATTGACCCGACGCTGCAGACCGTCTACCTTCTTCTCGAGCTCGTAGATGTCGACCTCCAGGCGCTGCACATTGCACTTCTCCACGCCAACGTCGGACATCGCCGCGTGGAACTTGAACTCGTACATCTGTGCGCGCGTCTGGTAAGCGGCAGACTCAACTTCGAGCACGTGGACGTGCGCATCCAGGTCCTCCGCGCGGGTTTCGAGCTCGGTTGCACGGGCTTTGCACTCGGCGGCAGCGGCCTCTTCCTCGTGGGCGCAGGACTCCCACTCACGAGCCCGTGCTTCGAGTTCTTGAACACGAGAGTCCCGGTCGTGGATGGTCGCCTCGAGTTCGCGCGTTTTAGCCTCCAAGATCTGCGTCTGCTCAGCCGCGCGAGTGTTGCGATCGTCGACCATTCTTTGGAGCTCCCGAGTGCGCACCTTGAAGTCGTGAACCGTGACTTCCAGCTCGATGATACGGGCGGACAAATTCTTGGACGTCGCCTCGCTCGTGTGGGCGCGTGACTCCCAGTCCGCAGCGGACGCCTCGAGCTCGAAATTGCGCGTCTTCAAGCCGTTGGTCTCGGCCTCCTTCTCGGCGATACAGGCGTTGCGGTCGTTGACTGTCGTCTGAAGCTCGAGGCTGCGTGTTTCGAAGTGGTTGGCCTTGGATTCCTCCTCAGCGACGCGGGTGCTCAACTCGTCCGCCTTTGCCTCCTGCTCAGTGATACGAGCCCTGAACTCGTTCGCAGCGGCTTCGTGTTCATGAGCCTGCGACTCCCAGCCAGCAGCCGTCGCCTCGAGGTCCAGAGCGCGTGTCTCCAAGCCGTGGATCTTCTCCTCCTGCTCGGCGGCACGAGTGTTCAACTCCAACACAGTAATCTGGCGCTCGCGGGCGCGCGACGCCCAGTCGTCAGCGGTCGCCTCGAGCTTCTTGATGCAGGTTCGCAGGGCGTCCGACCTCGACTCTTGCTCTGTCGCGAGATACTTCCACTTGTCCGCGAGCGCCTCGAGCGCGAGGGTGCGGGTCTCGAGCCCGTTTGCCCTCGTTTCCTCGACACGAGCGCGGGACTCCCAATGGCCGGCCTCGGCCTCGAGCTCCGAGGCACGGCTCTTCCACTCGGTGACCCTTCCCTCGAGTTTGTCGTTGCGGGTTTGCAGGTCGCGAGCGGTTATCTCGTGCTCGTCGGCCTTGGCCTCGAACTCGTTCGAGCGGGTGCGCCAGGCGCTGGCGGTCCCGTCCATTTCCTTGGCACGAGCCCGCCATGCCTTTGCCTTTGCCGTCAGCTCGGCGGTCTGTGCATTCCAATCCTTAGTCTGCGTCTCGAAGGCTGTCGCCTGTGCGTTGGCCTTCCCCTCGAACTCGATGGCCTTCGCCTCGGACTCGACGACCTGCGCCTCGAGCTCCTTGGCCCTGGCATCTCCGTCGAGTACACGGGTCTGCAAGTCGTTGGCCAGGAGCTCCTGTTGCAGTGCGCGAGTCTCAGAGCCCTCGAGCGCAGACCGCAGCTCGCGGGAGCTAGTCTCCAATTCGTGCACCTGCGCCTCGTACGCGCGCGCGTCAGTCTCCCAGGTGCTAGCGGTGTCCTTCGCCACCGCGTGTGCGCGCTGTTCCTTGCGCAGGCCCGCGAGCGTATTCTTGTGTTCGATGCGCGCGTCGACGAGCTTCGTGGTCTGCTTCCGCACGCGACGCGCACCTGCGACGCGCCAGGCCCGCGTCATGCGGAGGAGCACGACGCCTTTGGCTCTGAGGGCGGCGTTGTCGGCACAGGCGGCGTCGGTGCTGGCTTCGAGCGCCTCGTTCGCCTGCTGGAGGGCCGCGTTCGCGCGTGCGAGGCGGTGGAAGCGGAGTTCCCAGTCAAGCGAGGTCGAGGCAAGCTGCGACGGGCCGCGTCAGCCTTTGACACTCGAAATGTGATGGTCGTGAGACTCACCTGTTGTTGGCATTGCTGATGGACGTTGTCACCGCCGGCAGACTGCAGAGGACATGTGTAAAAGCTGTGATGAACGGCGGAAAAATGGACAGACCTTGAGGCACTGCCCACGCTGGTGGCAGAGTTCAATGTTAGCCAGACCCTTCAAGAACGGGGCAGCATAGAACATGGCAGGGAGGGAGGACCGGATGCACAAGTGAATGACAGCGAAGACCGAGCAGACATATAAGCTAAGGACCCAGAAATAGAGTACCGCATTGTTGAGCATAGCCAGTGAGCCTAGATATGCTTCCACAGGTGCAGGCGGCGAGCCGACGAAGTACACAGTGGCTAAGAGAGATACCAGTAGCCGATAGAGTAGAAGCCGTTGTCGGGTCGGCATGTTGATGCCGTTGGCGTACATGTGGGCTAATGGACGACGGTGATACTCGAGCGAGCCCAGACGAGCGGAGGCAAGAGACACGCCCGAAAGATGCTCGGGTCATATCGAGCTGCCTGAGGCTGACGGGGCTCAAGACAGCCTCGCCTCGCATCCGGTCAGCCTCCACCTGCACAGTGACTCTGAGTCAATAAGGCCACTTGAATTCGGGGAACCATCCGATGCACGAGAGGGTATCTTTGGAACACCAATATATGTCAGTCCATGAGCACGTCGGTCACATTCGGGCTACGGATAGACTGGACCTATAACTTGATCATGAATACTTGAACAGTAGTAGTACGCGTACGTACCGAAGAAACAACCAGAGTGCCGTGTCGCTTTTACACGCACACTCCGGAGAAGTCATATTGAGAGCGACTTCAAACCCCTCCTGTTGACGGTTGATACAGTCGTTTGCAAAATGATTGCGTCTTGCGTTTGCCAGCGACGGGTGGGGATTGTGTCTCCCCTTGGTCTCCCGGCAGGACGACCACAAACCTGCGCCCCTCGTCCGGAACATTCGGAATACCTGCCATTGCGCTAGATGACCTTCATGTTTCGTGACGACGACGAAGGCCAGGTATAAGGTGTCCTGATCAGCATACTAACCAAAGTACTTATAACCATGGGCACTGCGTAAGTAACTGCAGACAAGCCACCAGCGCGTCACACAACATGCCGATTGATTCCTCGGCGCGGCCGGGGCCCCAAGGGCCGAGGTACGAGATGCCGGCATGATGCCGCAGTGGCCCTCACCGATCGGATCTTTATTTATAGAGCACCCATGTGCTTGGCATTTGCACTTACTGCACAGAACGCCGGCCGTCGAGCTCCTGAGCCCTCCTGCCGTCCCAGTGCCGTCCCGTGGACTTATCTCTGCCGTGTCCTGCATATAATTGAGCTCATATATGACTGCACACTCGGTATTTGCCTAGTATCCTAAATGTGACTTTGGCCCAGGAAACAGGTCGGGGCGTCGAAGAAACCATGGCATGAACTCGGAAATGCGTCCAACCGCAACTTGTTATTGCGGAGTTGACAGGTAGATTTACACGCGGACAACCCCATGCTGACTCCGATGCTGGCCCAGGCTATCGGTTCCTACTCGCGCTCCAAATCGTAGATAGCTCGCCACCAGGCGCGGTGGTATATATGGCCCACCATGTCCGCAGCTCCCCTCTTGCCTCGCCTCGACTCTCGACCGCAACGCCGTCTCCTCGCAGCTGCAACTGGGCTTCGTCTTTCCCTGGCGCGCCATGGACCCAGAAAAGAAAGACCCATCCGACTCCGAGACGACCTCCGTGGACGAACTCGAGAAAGACGTCGAGCAGGAGGCGGGCGTGACAGAGAAGGACCGCCCCGAGCAGCCCACGCGCCGTTCGCGCAAGCTCGAGTTCGACCAGGGCGAGCAGCATGTGCGGTTCCGCAGGAAGTGGTGGCAGCTATGGTGAGTCGCCCGGTCTGCATGAATCGTACGACGTTCGACGACGCTGCGTACAGGCTACCGACGGACCCCCCGCCGCCTGCACCGAAGTCACTGGACGATGCGACGCTGCTCCCCATGGCCTGTGCATCGTTTATCTCCGTTCTGACGTACTCGTGGATTAACCCCCTCATGGTGAGTGATCATGGTGGGTCTCATGCCGAGTGGTCGTTATGTTGGGGACGGCCTGTATGCTATATGGACCTTGTACACAGGCATGTCAACGCTATGCAACAACCTCCTCGTGTAGGAAAGCCTATGAAAGATCGAAATGAACGACGAACGTGGAGCATACTGATCGATCAATGGAGAAGCGTGAGCTTCGGTTTCCGACCTTAACGGACTTTCCTGCACGAGGAAAATGTGGCAGTGAAGTAAGCCCCGGGGCATCGTTTCGTGCCGCCCGCCACAGATCTCATCGTCGCTCCGAACTGAATGTGAACTACGTGTGTCCGGCAACAGCCTGCATTCGCCTGTACACAACGTCCACCAATTTGAGACAGTCCACGGACGTCCCTAGAGTTATGCTGCTACCCGGCCAACAACCACCAAACATGATCTCTTATAGGACCTCGTCTCAACCGTCTAACACTCTTTGTACGCCTTAGATGCTCGGATACCAACGCACTCTGCAAGCAACCGACCTCTGGAAGCTCGACTCTTCGCGCGAAGCAGGCACCCTCGGCACGCGATTCGACCTCGCCTGGGCGGCGCGCGTGCAGGCCGCGGCAGAGTGGAACGCACGCCTCGCTGCGGGCGAGGTCACCCCGTCCCTATGGCTCCACATTAAATGGTTCTTCGTCGCGCTGCTGCATCTGGCGAGCTTCGGTGAGACTAGAAGGGAGCTGAAGAGGGAATGGAGGGAGGGCGCGGGACGGAGAGAACCGAACATTGCGTGGGCGCTGAACGATGTGTTCGGGTGGACGTTTTGGACGGGCGGGATATTCAAGGTGCGTGCCGGCGTGTAGTTGGGTGAGGCGACGAGGCGTGACGATTCATGTGCAGGTTTTTGGTGATACGGCCCAACTCATGGGTCCGCTCCTCGTCCGCGTAAGTGTTACCGCGGTGTCCGTGACCTGCAGACATTGATCCTCTGCGTAGGCGATCATCACCTTCAGTGAGGACCGCCTCGCGGCCAAAGCAGCGGGCGAGCCGACCGCTAGCCTGGGCCGTGGCGTGGGCATGGCAATTGGTTTGTTCTGCACGACGGTTACTGCGAGCGTGTGTACGCACCAGGTGTGTATTTTACTAGCGTGATCAGCAGCGCACATCTGATTGGGTCGCCCTTCAGTTCTTCTGGCGGTCGATGAACACGGGCATGCTCGCGCGTGCGGCGCTGATCAGCTCCATATACAAGCGAGGCCTGGCGTTGACGGGGAAGGCGCGAACGACGATGCCAAACGCGAAGCTCGTCACGCATATATCCACAGACGTGCGCATCGTCCGCTTCAGATGCAACCGACGGTTCATCCTAACGTGTGTTTAGGTCAGCCGAATTGATGCATGCGCGCAATGGTTCCATGCTGGTACGTCCCCCATCCTATACCTCTATCATTTGCTGACAGTGGGCAACATAGTTTGGACGGCCCCCATCCAGGTCACTATCTGCCTGATCATCCTGCTCGTCCAGCTCGGATACTCGGCATTGGCGGGTTTCTCGCTATTCCTGTTGATTATGCCGATCCAAGAGCGCATGATGTCGTTCCAGTTCACGGTCGCTAAGAAGGCGCTCAAGTGGACGGATAAGCGGTCGAAACTCATCCTGGAGGTGCTCGGTAAGCCCAAGACTCGAGGAATTGTTTGTGGAGGCTGTGCGGGCTGACCATGCTCGTGCAGGTGCTATGCGAGTGGTGAAGTACTTTTCCCATGAGGAGTCCTTCTTGAGGAGTGGGTTACTGTAACTCCGTAGTAGAGACCAATTTTTGACGATTACCAGGAATCTATGACATGCGCAAAAACGAACTCAAGGGCACTCGCAAAATCCAGATTGCTCGTTCGGCCAAGTGAGTGCGCGCACTGTCTCTCGACGCGCATTCGTTAACCCCTTGACAGTATTGCCTCAGCCTTCTCCGTACCCGTCCTCGCAGCTACCCTCTCATTCGTGACTTACACCTCCACCTCGCACGCCTTCAACGTCGCGACGATCTTCTCCTCACTCTCGCTCTTCAACCTTCTCCGTCAACCCCTCATGTTCCTGCCGCGTGCGCTCTCTGCGACCACAGACGCGCAGAACGCGATGGAGCGCCTTAAAACGCTCTTCCTCGCGGAACTCAACGAGGGTGAGGCGTTCGCCGTCGACAAGGAGCAGAAGATGGGCTTGGTAGTGGAAGATGCGACGTTTGAGTGGGAAGAGAGCTCGAGTGCACGGGAGAGTAAGGAGGACGCGAAGGAGGCCAAGAAGGAAGGAAAGGGGGTCGCGCAGGGGGTCGCTACACCTACCCCAGAGCAAAGCGCCCCGTTCCAGGTCAAGGACGTGACGATGTCAGTCCCCAGGGGTACACTTGCTGCGGTTGTCGGTACTGTGGGCAGCGGCAAGGTCAGTTGGAATGCGTTTACACGGTGCTTGCGATCTGATGTTCGGGTTTGTAGTCGAGTCTCCTCCAGGGCCTGATTGGCGAGATGCGCAAAGTTCGCGGCCATGTGTCCTTTGGTGGCAAGGTCGCGTACTGCTCACAGACGGCTTGGATCCAGAATGCCTCCCTGGTACGCATATAACCAGTTGTAACACTCATAACACAGGCTAAGGTGTCTACAGAGAGAAAATGTTCTGTTTGGCCAGCCGTACGAAGATGAACGGGTGTGTTCAGGCGCCCTGGTCCATAATCGCTTGATCTGACTTCCTCGTAGTATTGGAAAGCGATCGAGAATGCTTCGCTACTCCCCGATCTCGAAGTCCTCCCGGACGGTGATCTGACGGAGGTCAGTTCGTTGCTACGCCGACCTCTTTTGGGTTTTCATTGGTCGTACATCTAGATCGGAGAAAAGGGTATCAACCTAAGCGGTGGTCAGAAGCAGCGGGTAAGCAGTGGTGTTGCATCCTCCCTCCCGCTCGAATTCACGTGCTGTACCAGGTTAACATTGCTCGGGCACTCTACTACGACGCGGATATCGTCATCTTCGACGACCCGCTATCGGCCGGTATGTATTACGTGGTACAGCAGGATTTACTGAGTCTCATCATATTTTGGCAGTTGATGCTCACGTCGGGAAGGCCCTCTTCGCCGATGCGATTTTAGGAGCACTCCGTAACCGCGGCAAGACTGTCATCCTCGTCACCCACGCCTTGCACTTCCTCGACCAATGCGACTATATCTACACTATGAAGGTAAGCAATCTCAAGTAACCACCATGATCTCAGGCTCAGCCCATGCGCTCGCGACAGAATGGCCGTCTCGAGGAGCAGGGAACCTACGACGAACTCATGCAGAACGGAAAGGAGTTCTCGCGTCTCATCGAGGAGTTCGGCGGCACGGGCACTAAGGAGGAAGAAGAAGTCATTGAGGAGGAGGCAATCGAGGGCCCTCAGGGCAAACCTGTGAAGGTCATTGATGAAGCCAAAATCAAGGAGGAATCTGCCAAGCGCGCGGCCGCCGGTACAGGCAGGCTTGAGGGCAGACTCATCGTCCCAGAGAAACGAACTACGGGTTCGGTGAGCTGGAAGAGTACGTGGCATAGCAGATATGTATATGTCTTAGCTGACATCCAGTGTAGTCTACGGAGAGTACCTCAATGCGGGAAGAGGATGGGCCCTTGGACCCGCCGTCTTATTCTTCATCATCTTGATGCAAGGCTGCACTATCATGAACAGCTATACGTTGATCTGGTGGGAAGAGGAGTAAGTGTGTTTGTTCATATAAGTGGCCTTCGCTAGATGATACATGTCTTCAGCAACTGGGGAAAGAAAAACTCGTTCTACCAGATTCTGTACGCTTGTTTCGGTATCGGACAGGCTGTCTTCACGTTCGCCGTGTAAGCAAACAAGGGTTCATCTGTCGCTTGCTCAGCTAACGCGCGTTATATGCAGAGGCGGTACAATGGACGAGCTTAGCTTCTATGTCTCGTCCAACCTTCACCACGACGCTATCCGGAACATTTTCTATGCCCCAATGTCTTATTTCGACACTACGGTGAGCTGCTTGTCCGTATTGGAATCGATGATGAAGCTAACCCTTGAACAGCCTCTTGGTCGTATTTTGAGTATCTTCGGCAAGGATATCGAGAGTAAGTAAACCACATGATCCTTGATCGATTCCTTTTACTCACCGACCACACGTTCCAGACATCGATAATCAGCTTCCTGGTGAGTCTTCCAACCGTTCACATTCGGGTTTTCGTTGAGCGACGTTTCCCCGCGCCATCAGTCTCCATGCGGCTATGTGAGTGCATGATCTGCCCCGCCTGAACAGACCCTGACCTTGTCTAGTCATTCTGACGATATCAAATATGGTTGGGAGTGTGACCATCATCACAGTACTTGAGCATTACTTCAGTGCGTCCAGTATTCATCATGTCCGTGGACAATGGCTCACGAGACGCAGTCATCGCGGTCGTCGGTATTGCGTTCGGTTACAACTACTTCGCGGCTTTCTATAGGTCCAGTGCTCGTGAGCTCAAGCGAATTGGTGAGTTCCTGTAACGAACGAAGGCAGTCATGATTGTTGACCACTAATCAGATGCTATGTTGCGATCGCTCCTATACGCCCATTTTGCCGAGTCCCTCTCCGGCTTGCCCACTATCCGTAGTTACGGAGAGACAACCCGGTTTCTCAAGGACAACGAATACTACGTCGACCTGGAGGACAGGGCAGCGATCCTGACGATCACCAACCAGAGGTGAAGTCTACTCGCTGGGCTTGGAGTACTGGAGTACCTAGCTCACACGGGCACCAGATGGCTAGCAATTCGTCTCGACTTCCTTGGTGGACTGCTCATTTTCATTGTGAGTGGCATATAAGGATGGAAAAGGGGCACGTTCTCATTCGTTATGAATTTAGGTGGCCATGTTGACGGTGTCCAACGCCTCTGGGATCAACCCTGCGCAGATCGGTCTTGTTCTGACATACTCGAGTAAGTCTGAGCCGAGTTACCTGTTCGGCTTCGGGATGCTGACCTGAGTGTGCTCAGCCTCCCTTGTGCAAATGTGCGGCATGGTCACTCGCCAGGTGCGTACTACTATCTTAATGATGTCGTTCCAATATGTCGTTGAGATGCTGTCCAGTCTGCCGAAGTGGAAGTAAGTCGGTAATACTGTCGGGTTGAATCGTCGCTGACCCATTGCCAGACCTACATGAGCTCCGTTGAGCGCGGTCAGTGTGGCTCTAATGTCCTCATTCGATCACGACTGATTTTACTGCAGTTATCGAGTACAGTCGAGGAGACAGGATTGAGCACGAGGCCCCGCATGAGATCAAAGATCATAAACCGCCAAAGGAGTGGCCTGCTCGTGGAGCGATCGAATTCAAGGATGTTGTCATGCGATACAGAGCTGGCCTTCCCTTTGTACTCAAAGGCCTGTCATTGAGCATCAAGGGCGGGGAGAAAATCGGTGTCGTTGGAAGGTGAGGTATGATACCGTTACAGTCGCGTTTGGCTGACATTGGGACAGGACTGGAGCCGGGAAGTCGTCCCTCATGTTGGCTTTGTTCCGTATCGTGGAGTTGTCATCGGGTTCCATCAACATTGACGAGTAAGTATCGTCTGCTCCGCTCGGTCGACCATGCCTGACACTGTTGCGCAGTATCGACATCTCCACGATCGGGTTGAAAGATCTTCGATCGAAGCTGGCCATCATCCCGCAAGACGTAAGTGATCTCGCAGCTATGTACAGCATATGTAACTCACGAGTTCGATACAGCCGCTCTTATTCAGCGGTAAGATTGTCAGTGAGCATCAGCAACATAACATGGGCTGACAGCGCCGTAGGCACTATACGATCGAACCTCGATCCATTCAACCAATACGTAAGCCACATCATTGATCCTCGAACTCCAATCTTTAGCGTTGACTTTGGTGGTCTTCAGACCGATGCTCATTTGTGGGATGCACTACGCCGATCATATTTAGTCGAAAACGTTGTCGAGAAGGATAGCGAAGACGACGACGGCGTCCAGACGCCTACAAGCCGCTTCAGCCTAGACACGATGGTTGAGTCGGAAGGGGCAAACTTGAGCGTCGGCGAACGCAGTCTATTAAGTCTAGCTCGAGCCCTCGTGAAGGACAGCCAAGTAGTTGGTGAGTCATTTCCTGAGTCGGCCCCGTGTGTTACTGACTATGGCTGTTAGTCCTGGACGAGGCCACGTAGGTGTCTAAGTACTTTGGGGCTGTGCGATATTGACCGCTCGACAGTGCGTCCGTGGATCTGGAAACAGATTCCAAGATTCAACAGACTATCCAGACGCAATTTGGACACAAGACACTACTCTGCATCGCTCGTGAGTACCAGTCGCAGTTCTAGATTGATCGTCCTGTTCACTGTGGCGACGACGTAGACCGTCTGCGAACCATCATCTCCTACGATAGGATCGTGGTGATGGACTCTGGTCGGATAGCCGTACGTATAATATCTCTCGCAAGCTTCTATTACTCATTGTGATATAGGAATTCGACACACCTTTGAGCCTCTTCCAGGTGTCGGACGGAATTTTCCGCGGCATGTGCGAGAGGAGTGGTATCAGCACGGCGGAGATAGAAAAGGCCGCTCTCAAAGTCCACATGCAATGACGACCCCCTTGGTTCGGGCGTGCATGACTGAGCGTCACGCTTAAATATTCCTACACCCTCAGCGTTACCACATAGATGTCATTTTAGATGTATTCTTGACCCATGTTTTACGACTACTTCTACGTATACAGAGCTGTAGCGATGACAACGTAATCTTGCTATGCGATATAAAAATACAGCCAAAACATCGGATGAGGAGGCGCCCAAGAACTATGACTATACCCTATTAAGTATCCTAGTACCACAAGAAAAGAGAAATTCGAAAGCGTCCGCTGCGAGTTCGTCGTCGGATCAATAGGGGTGGGCAATGGCTGAGGCTTGATCAGATCCCATCCAGTTGAAGCCTACGCGGACAAGTTAGCTCTTAGATGTTTATGCTTCTTTTATTATCTTTGCGACTAACCAGGCAGAACGACATCGGGAAATACGTCGATAGACTGCATGGACTGTATAAGCTCCGAATCAAAGAAGAGAGGCGGCGACACAGGTGCAGCAAAACTGTACGCCGCAGACTGAGACGACGTGAACTGGTGTGACCCATGAGGCGCAGGTGAGTTGGAGGTGGACGGCGGTAATGTTGGAGGCGGCGTGTGTGGCTTCGGGCTAGACTGAGTGCTCGTGCTTCCCGGTGGCGGGGACATCGATTGTCGCGTAGACGTGCTGGGGTGAGAAGGCGACGATGCTGTCGACGAAGTGGTTTTGGAGCGTCGCGACGCCGCAGCATCGCGCCTGAGCGAAGATGGCGAATGATCGATACGAGCCATAGGCGTGGCAAGCAGTCCTTGCAAGAAACGCGCATAAAGCTTGGGCCCATGTCGGTCATCAATGGCCACTTCAGGGGAGCCCAGGAGATCGATCACACGTTGGACCAGGTCTTTGATCTCTACCCGCTCTTCCCTGGAAAGATACACGCTGTATTTCGGTTGCAAAAGCTGGATTTCGTCAATTTAGCCATAATCATGTTTCTGGAAGCAGGCTCCGTACCTTGATAAGGAACGCTGACGCAAATGTCACGAAGACGCTTTGAGCTTCTGGTCCATGTCGAATGTAGACCACTGTTATCCGCTACTCAGTCGTCGATCCAATTTATACGAATTATGAAACATACTTTGACTGGGGATGCCGAGGCGGTCTACGACGGACAACACCGTGTCCTTCGCTGCCCGCAAGCACTGCATGTTTACAAATCAGAAATTGCTCCGTTATGACATGTATGTTACGTACGCGCCGGAGGAATGGGACCTCGGTATCTGACGACGCCTTGCCGAATGTATGTTGGAAGCCGACCGACAATACTGAGAGCCGAGAGTAGCTGTAAGCCAGTCTCAACAACCCGATGCGAAAGGTGCATTGAGGGTCGTCAGTCTTGGCCTTGCATAGAATCGGCGTCCAGCTCGCCTCAAGGGCGGCCAGCTGGTCGTCAGTCTCGCTTGCTATCTGGGCCAAATCGATGTTCTGCACTGGAGCGTCAGAACGGCATGCGGGAGAAGTGGTGGAGAGGATGAACCTTGTTCAGCCCTGAAGGATGCTCCGGGTCGCTCCATATGCGCGTACGGAAATCCGCCAACAGGGCCAACTCCGGCTTGTAACAGCACAGGTGAATATCGAAGCCCGGCAGGTTGTACGGCGAGCTCTTCCACCAGTCATCGGTGTGATTCGCGACGTAATCCTTGTTATTGATCACAGCACTTTGTCCGTACTGCAAACCGATTGAGCGATCGAGGTTGAAGCAATTGAGCCACGTTCTTGTCCGGTTGAGTATCTCGCGCGTCCGTAGCTCGTTCTCGCCTTTGGCAGCAGTAACCGGGTAGTGCAACTTGAGATCTGTAGCCATCCTAAGGAGTAGACGGATGCGTCAGCACATCGGCAGGCAAGTATTCACAGGCTAATGACCAACCGTATGGCGAGACCCAGGTAGAGGTAGCTCCTGTCGTCCTCCCACCGCCGTGCCGGCACCGGGTACAAGCTGAGAAGAATATATGCCTGAACCGCCTCGATCGACTTCTGACCTCCAATCAATGCGGTGCCTGCACCCAAACGGGCATACTTCATGGCCTCCTGGTAAAGCTCCGGCCGTGCGCAGTAGTGTCTGGAAGCGATGGCACATACTAGAAGCAAAGTTTTCAATTGATGTTCCGCACTCGCATACACACGCTATACTCACTGGTCGTGAACAGAAATGGCGAGCGCCAGTAGGTCTTCTGCGCTGTATAGAGGACTGGATCGAGAAGTGAGACGGAGACATTCATGTAGTCGAAGTAGCTGTCCCCATCGATATCAGAAGACAGGGACATGGGGACATTCAACGGACTCACATGGAGAATAACTTCTCGGCCTCATCCGGACGGATAATCCCATTGCGCATGATAGGAGGCTGCAGCTGCTCGTCGACAAGGGGTGCCTGCGGCGAGGGACCTACACACGAGTGATGAGCGACGCCACGCCGACGACCGAACAAAACAACCGTACTCGGACGGAAATAATCATTGTTTGCCAACCCGACTTCCTCTTCCTTCTCGGCGCCCGGCGCAGCCTCTCGCCGCGACACTCTTCGCGACATGCTGAGCGCAAGGTTGGCCATGAGCCCGAAAGGCGCGTCCCCATCCGGCAAGATAGCCAGCTTGGCACCGCTGCCTAACCCCTTCCTCCCGGGCGCCACGTCCGTCGTACTCGCCGTGCTCGCAGGCGAGAACCCGCCGCCCTGTCCGGCCTCGTTACCAGCAGAGCCAGCGCGACTGTCGCTCTGTGCGAAACGCTCATCATCGTCCTCGCCATCGTCCTCGTACTCGTACTCGTCGTCGGTGCCATCTTCGTCGTTGCCCTCGTCGCCGAGCATGTCAACGGTCACGCTGGCGCCGCCCATGCTCACGTACTTGCCGAGCTCCACAATGGACCGACGCGCGTTCGTGATCCAGTTCGCGACATCCCCCTCGGTCGGTGGGCACGCCACGGGCACGTCGCCTGTGAGATCCTCAGCTGCGAGAATTGCCGCAGCGCCCTCGTCGCAGATATTTGGTATGGGCCGATCTGGCTTGGACACGGACATACGTCGAGACGCGATGCGGTTCGCTTCCTCGAGCTTGCTCATGAGGTCTGAGATCTGTGCGGCTTGTTCTCTTATTTGGTTGATGAGGTGTTCGCGTTTTCTGAGGGCGGACCAGAGCGGGCTCAACAATGCAGCCCTAGAACATGGGGAGGACAGGCAAACTCACGGGGGTGGTCTTCGTTTCTTGCGCCCCGGGATGATGCAGTCGTGGTTTCCCTTCGTGCAGCGTTCGCAGACGTCGTTGTCGCGCGAAAAGACACATCTGACCTGTTTCGAGGCGCATATAGTCGCAGCAAAGACGCATATAGCCACATGAGACGCGATTATTCACGAAATGACGTGCATACACGAACCTTGAGGCCTTTGCACCGCGCGCACGCACCCAGCCTGCGACCGTAGTTAGACTCCGAGAAGAACGGAGATCTACCCGACACTCACGGCTTGGGTTTCTGCTCTTGCTCAAGCGACATACCGTCGTCCCACAACCCATCGCCGTCATAGTCGTCGCCGTCAAGCCCGTCTCCCGTCGAGCGCATGCGCTTGGTCGCGCCCCGCCCGCCCTGCATGTCGTACGGCATCCCTCCGAAGGCGAGGTTGGCTTGAAAGTCGGGGCTCCCCTGCGGGCCTGGCATGGGCACAGATGGTGCATACAGCTGCTGCGTGCTGTCCATTTGTTGCTGAAAGCGTCCGTATGTCGGGGACGCACGGGAGTTCGGGCGCTGGCTGCCTGATGCGATGGGGTTGGGTGGGTTGCCGAAGGGGTAGAGGTCGACCTGAGCACTGCCGTGCCCGTGAAACGCCGAATGGCTGGAGGACTGGAGGGAGCTCGACGATCCTGCGCCGAACCCATGGCCTGCAAGAGGTATGTAAGTCAGGCGATCGTTGAATATATGGGAGCATACGCGCCCGTACTCGAGTAGGTGAAGTCGCCCGTGAACGCGTCCGGGATTGGCTGCTCTTGCGATGTATATGACATTTGACTACTGCCAAACGAATGACCGTAACCAGAGTATCCCGGGTGGCGGCTGCTCTGAGGGTCGCGTCCGCCTTGGAGCATCTGGAACTGAGCGGGGTCCACTTCGTATTCGTGTTCGAGCTGGAGCTGCTGAGGTTGCGCGCTCGAATGCATAGCAAGCGATGGTTCAATCCAGCCTTGCGGCTCCATGGTGAGCTGAGATGGCTGTGGGGGCTGCCAGTCGTGGTCAGTGTATAGAAGACAATAGAGCGCCGTAGGACGTAATGGTTGAGCAAGAAGGACAGCGCGCCGCGGTATGCAGAGTGGTCGGAGAGACGCCAAGAGATAGACTAGATCTCTATATACCCGGAAGGTTGGGCGCTCGGAGAAGCTGCTATAGGCCTTCCAGATTGAGCAGGAGCGCACCTCGTGGATCGCAGTAGACGCACCGATTCTGGTGCTGGTTCCGCGGCTGTGGATCAGTCGGAGGGCAATGCCGGTGGCAATGAGCCTTCCTGTCCCTTCCCAGAGGATCATAAGCTTTGAAGGTGCACAATTTCAGAATCAGTCAATGCACGACATGGGCGGTGCCGCCACCCAGTGCCAGCGTGGGCGCGTCTGCATGCCGTAGCCTCGTGCAATGTCCGCCGTGCCCTCGTGCAATGTCTGCCGTGCCGTCTTCCCCTATCCGAAGGTCTCGGAATGTGCGATCGACTAGGACTCGACAAACTCGAGCTGCACAGCCGCCGTGGTCCATTTCGTCGCAGGTCTGAGTCGGATTTGATATCGGACAATTGGACCTTCGATATCACCAGCGCTGGGGTGCGTAGCCAATCGATACGAAACGCTAAGAGGAACGGCATCTCAGCCAGCAAGCCGAGAGGAGTTGATGGTGCAAGGACAGCAGGGCGATCTGAGACTCGAGATATGATGGCTGGCGCGGGGACGCGGCAGGCGGCAATGCGCTAGTCTGCCCCCCGGTCGCGGAGTCTCAACTGCCTCCATGTTCGCGCACCTTACGCATCGCCTCTTTCATGTCGCCGTGATGCGCTCTCTAAAGCAGCCGCGAGCTATTCTCCTCGATACTCGATTTACGCTCGCCGTGCATCCCTCTTCTGCAGTGTACACAGCCAACGCCGCGAAATGCCAGTCACGTGTCGACGTATCTCGTCATATTCTCGGAAGCCCCAGCTTTCTGAGGCGCAAGCCCTCGGCGTGTCTACTGTTCAAGTTCTCGGTTCCGCTAGCGATTTCATGCTTTATTTGAGCTGCGTCTCAATGTCAATTCTGCCACAGGGCCTTCGCATCTACATCGCCTCGAATCCCGCGGCGCAGGACGACCGTTGTGGCAACTTTGGCGTCACTGCGCGCGCTTTGGACGCAGTGAGAATGCATGCGCATGTGTGCAGCAACCGACGGCAGCCTGGGGCACAGAGTTTCACTCTTGTAGCTGGGACCTTGGGTGGGACTTGGCAAGCTTGAAACGCGCAGGCGCGCCCTGCGAGCCGTCTCGATCATCATGCCAGGCCTGGGGGCTCGCCGGCGGACATGCTGGTCGCGGCCATTCAATCCCACATTCTCGTCCGAGATCGACTGTCATGTCCGCACAGTCATCAGCGCCTTAGATGCAGCGCGTGGCGATGTGCATGATCGCTGGGGGAAAACCATGAAGAGTTTGGGCATCATGCATCATGACCAAGGGTTTGACTAACGACAGTCGCCCTGTGATCGCTTCCTTTCTGCAGGTCGTATAAGCACATTCAGCGAACCGCGACGTGTCTGAAGGTCATTCCTCTTTTGCAGCAGAGCTTTGTTGGTACTGACAGAGCATATTGAATAGCCCTCAGTCATCCTTAATAACAGGAGGACTTCGCACTCCCTCGTGCACTGGGATGGGATGCAGATGTCCGCCGGCAGCTGGAGTGGTCGGACCTGGGGAACGGAGGCGCCGAGGCGTCAGGTACGTACTCGAGTCGGTAACCAACACCACTCCAACACCTCGCGGATCTTTTTAGTCCGATCTTCTCGTCCCGCGATGCGATCTCCCCGAGCTTCCCACGGTCCACGTTGGGACCATGTGTCCAATTAAAATGGCAGGCGCCGCGGCTCTGCGTCATCGTGATTACTGATGCTCGCGCTGTAGTACGTTCACAGCCACAGCCGTAGGCTGCATGTCTCACTTGGCCTCGCCCTGCGTTCCTGTGCATCTCTGTGCATGCAGCTTTCGTACGATCGTTGTGCGTCGCGCCTGTAGCATGCGAACAGACGGCCTGCCTTCATTTCATCAACTCATTGCGGAGTTGGTACATTCATCAGGAAAGTGCGCCACCTGCCTATGTTGCCTCATTGAGGCAATGAGGCAATTAGACAGTCTGAGACGGCTGCCTCATTCAAGTCTCATTTGAGTAGATTATCTCTCATCTGAGACGCGATGAGGCAATGAGGCTCATAGGGCACATAGACACATGAGGTACTTAGGCGTGCGGGAAAGCAGTGCGACAAAGCAGCAAATATATTTCAGCTAGCCAATATTGTTTTACAACAGTAGTCCTAATTCCTCACTGTACCCGTCCGAGATGTGTTCAGCGACCCTATTTGCGAGCACCATGACCACATCCCACTAGGTCACCCAATGCACACCCGCGCTCTGTCGTCTCCGCATGCTATCCACTGGCATTGCTGCTCAATCGGCATGAGTTCACCTGTGCAACATTGATCAGCGTCTCCGACATGTCTAGAATGCATAGGGGCCATGCACCGGTCACCGCGACAACCTCGTCCTTGTTGGCGAGCCAATTCTTGTACCAACGCTAGATCGTCGCGCCGCAGTGCACGACCAGCACGTCAATGTTCTCCAGTGAGCGCCCGTAGTCATAATGCTGACTCTGCGCGCGAGATATCTGGCCTTCGCCCGCTGGTTGATGCTGCTGAGTACCACCGGCTCTGCTCAATTGATGGTGAGCCATGTGCATCTCGGGCAAAGCTGAGTGACGCGGGGTTGCGCGGACGGACTCGGTTGGCAGCTGCAGAGCATGGCCTCCAACAAACGAAGATGGCGGGACCTGCACCTGCACCTGCAGTTGTGAGGGAGGGTCAGACGACACGGGGAGCGGGCTGTCCTTCCACCTCCGCTCCGCAGGACTGAAGAACATACATTGTTGAGAACCCCCGCAGACTGGGCGGAGAAACGGCTGGTGCCGCGGCGCATGGGCGACTCCGCACGGAAACACGGTGCTCACCGCACTGAATAGAACCAACCGTCCTGTAAGAGTCAGCGTCAGTAGGACTCGTCGTTTATGCTACCTTGCCTCGTCAACGTGAATTCACCTCGCGTAGCCATAGAACTCACCGTCCTTCCCGCAAAGGTTCACGCAATACATCTCCTCGCCAGACGGTCGTGATGACGATTCCCTCGCCTTCAACTCCTTCCAAGTTCCGATTGCGGATCCAGCGGACATGCGGACCCACGACGCGCTGCCCGCCCATGCCGACTTTCAGGACATCCTCGTGTCCACGTACGCGGCACACGAGTCGCGGACAGCAAGGGTCGCCCGCTGCCTGCTGCCCACTCGCCCGGGCCCTTACCCATCGCTGTGCGCGCCTCAGTGCCCACCATCAGTTTACTGCACGCGTGTGCACACAGAACTCACATTCTATGTACTTGGGGGATGTCTTGCACGGTGATGGTGGGTGCCCGCGACTGCGCGATGTGAGGGTAAGTGCTTGGTAAATGCCAGCAGAGCAGGCCGCGTGTGCGCGTCGACTCCAAGCGCCGGTCGGAGTCGTAATACAGTTCAGGGCAGGCATTCAACGGTCTTCACTCTTCAGCCTTCTTCAGCTTCGGGCAAGCCGCAACAGTCACTTACTGTTGTCGCCGCACAACATCACTTTCCGCCTCGTCAACCGCCCCGGGCGCGTGCGACCACCTGTGCGGCCAACGACGTGCATGGCCTGCACGACTGACAACATGCGCGTCCCACAATGACCTCCCGTAACGTCCCTGCGCCTCGCGACGTCGTCTGCGCCTGCCGCGCCCCGTCTGCATCCCCGCTTGCATGCTCTATGTACCCACTCTCTCTTACATCCCCGTCCTTTGTTGCACGCAATCGACCGACTGTGCCCATGCGACATGCGTCACGCGCATCCGCCACCCTGGCCGATGACGGGGCACAGCGTGATGCCCCCGCACGCACGGTCATGCACCCGCCAGACAAATGGACATGGAGTGCAAGGGCGCATCATGGTGAGCATGGCGTTATGGTGAAAAACGACAGACTTGCGAGAAGGCAGACACGGCGGGCGGAGGTGCAGCAACGAGCGAGCGAGCGGGCGGTGCGCACGGGCATGGGCACAGGCACGGTAAGCCCAAGCGCAGAACACCTGCGATGATTCAACCTACGGTTCACCGCTAACACGGGCGGTGAATACAAATTTGATCGAGCAGTGGCCGGAACGAGAGCATTGTAGCAATTCAGTAGCGATAGTGTCATACTTAGTACATATACTGATGTAATGCATTCACTGTATTGTCGATCAGTAAGTGCGAAAAATCATGGCCTGCCAAGTCGAAGATTCGTGAGGCAGTGAGACATGTGAGGTACAAATTAGACTGGTGAGGCCGTTTGAGGCCGTTGAGGCAAGGTGCCACTTTCCTGATGTTGGACTGAAACCCCTGCACAACTGATTCTTATCCCCTTTCAGGACTCTATGGAAGTCGAGAAATGCACAGACATCCAGATGAAGCCACGGGCTTCAGAAGCTAGACTCGTAGGGAGCATGTAATAGCGTGCTTTAGTGAGCTGAAACCTCGATAAGTCGGGACACATCTTCGCCCGGTGAGAAGTCGAAACGTCGCCCGAATCGAATCGACGATTGGCCTCACATCCTCCACTGGATCGGACTCGAGACGCGTATTTCGTTCGATTGACACGCCCGTGCACTGCTTGACGCGCCTCCTCCGGTTGTCGAGTTGCAGCTACAATTACAAGCGTGCCTTCACGGGTCCTTATTCGGTGTTCACAGACACCCATACAAACGCCATTCGGTAAACCCACACGTAAAACGCACCGATACAACTGCGACCGTCCAGGCATCAGCACCACTGTAGTCGAGACCATAGCACTGAGCAGCACCAGCCTATGAGGGTCGCCGCGTCGTCTCCCGCCGCATCGTCAGCGGTCAGCTCAAACCTCCCGCGCCACCTTGGCAAGGGCCCGCCCGTGCTCTACAATAGCATTGCGTTCAGTATACGTCGGAGCGCGTTTGGGGCAAGCCGTGCCTTGACGATGGCGTCTGCCTTCGTATCAGATACGCCTCGGGCGCTGCGCCGCCTTCGATCAGTAGTGTGGAAGAATGCGCTGGGTCCGCTCGCGCATCTCTGAGTTGCATTGTTGTTGGCATCCTGGCGGACTCGTCCTACACGGTCAAGTCTTTCCGAAGACGCTCCAGAGCTGAACCAGGAGCGTGGAGTGCTGAAGCGAAGGGTCCGTTAGATCTCACGGCGCGGGGCGATATTATAATGCTTTGAACGTCACTCACTACCATACATAGTGTGTGCGTGACTGGACCGAGGCTGAATGTGCATTGACAGTTCTATGCGACCCTTCTGACCGGCACCGCTTTGCTCCTGCTCATTTTGAATGCAAGTAACGGGACGCAATCCGAATTCACGGGTGAAAACTGTAGGACGGTCATTTGAAGGCTGACAGAATGATTGCATGCGCGATACGTACGATGACTGCATCTCCCGAAGCGCTATCCTCTAAGACAACATCCGGATCTGCGCGACCAGCCTTCCCGACAGGGTCCTTCGTGAGTATCGGCGGTGCAGCTGGCTCCCCCATTCAGCCGTCATTCGAAACAGCTTGATCACACGCCGCCAGTGCCAGTTCGTTGGCAAGTCAGATCTCTGGCTCCAGCGGTGTGTATAACCATTTGAGACACACGACGATGCGTACACCACACTGCCGCTGGCGATTAAATCAATATGGCTCCACCTAGGCGATACAACTGGGCCTCGGGTGACGCGCTGAATTGTTTTCCCCTGGTGATTAGTCTTTCTCGTTCCTCACAGACGGAATTGCCAGTGGGTAGTATGTCTTGGCTTCGACCCATGGGTGCCTGCAGGGTAAGCAAATCAGTCAGCGGACGATCCATTCACTGCGTCATCTGCACACGCACTAGCACTCGGGGGAGTTCACGACATACAGCTGAATTTGCAAGGTGTCGGAACTACAGTCGAGCATGGCGACTGCGTTTCATTTCGGCAGGAAAGGGACCGGGATCCGAAGGAAGCCTGGTTTTCCCCGCATGCGTAAGACTTCCTCATCAACTCATCGTGTTGATCCCGCTCTGTCTCCACTTGTATTGCTTAGTTTCGTAACCTGAGATTAACCGTCTCTATTGAGAACGCAGCACTCGCTACCTTTGTCAATAATCCCACACTTACAGAGAGGCTTACCGAGGCGAAGTCGGTTTGATCTTCTGCGAGGGGATTTTTTGCAGACTATGGTAGGACATGGTGAGATACCTCTGCAAGACTTGAATGCCTCTGCGATGTCATGACAGATACTCACCTTCTTTCTGGTCCTTGCTGACCATTTCCATCGGCCGACTGAAATTTTTCGCCGTCCGATTCAATACAGCCAGTGACGAATGGATTTCTGAGACTGCGGAACGTCAACGAACCACCTCCTACCACGGACCCGATGTACTTACATCCTGAGCTTCTTTTTCAGCGGCCCTCAATAGGGCTCCAGAGAGATTATGCACGCATGGGGCAGCTGTCCACAAACTTTCCCAACGTCACGAGGACGCGAGAGTGGGGACTTCTGCCGAGATTCGGAGTGTCCGTCGCCTGTGCACTCGCGAAGTAGGCGAAGACAGTCAGTCAGAGGCCCGGGACGGCGCGTAGCGCCTCGTGCTTCAGGCACAGGTAGAAGCATCGCTCACCCTGCACTGGCGCTCGAGCGTCGATTCACGTTGCTCCCTCTGGAGTCCCTCATGCTGCTTGGTCGGCACGTTCTGTTCATCGAGGCGGTGACCACCATTGACGATAATAGTCGGGCATGATATGAATTGAGAACATTGTGTTAGCAGGTTCGTGATTCATCGCTCTGAACACTCGCTGCAAGTCATGCGTTGAACAAGATAATGATTCTGCGCGAAGGATCGATTCTGTCAGTGTCGTCATTTGCGAGTGGTAGCGGCCAAGCTGGAATCTGATCGGCATGGTATGTAGAACACTCAGCGTTGCTTATGCGCTACCACATGTCCTGTCGTGGGACGAGCCCGTTGTCTCACTTCAGTTGGTGGATCCGACAGCAAGAACGGAGTCGGAGTCCTGCCTGTCGCGAAGCGACCGAGCTGGCGCTTCGCGATCACGTGTTGGCGCGCCTGTGGCGCCGCGTAATTGCCGCCAGGCGCGCGTCGCGGGTTGCTTCACTCCAGACGCGCGTCGCGGGTTTTGCTAGCGCTGTACGTGCCATAACAACCCGCTTTACGCCGTCCGGTTCGTACGCGGAGAAGTTGTGGAGGAGGCTCAGAAGCATCTCTGGCCATATGCGATTCGGTGCTACCGTTGCTCTCCAGTCTGAAGACACTATGTACTACTGGCTAGCGTCACTGCTCTGTGGATCAAACGCGATATTAGACCACCCGCCAGAGTGTGTCCTGAGCACGGAAGATACTAGTGAGTCCTACGCTGCCTCATAATCTATGTCAGCCTCATTGGTCCATAACGGCGCCGCAGTATGACTGGCTACAGTGAAGTCAGAGCCATGTCACTCACTTTCCGCCTCCATCTCGAGCGCAGACTCGACCGTTGGCGTCGCATCCCACTGGGATGACATCGGACGACCTACGGACAATGGGGTTCTACGTCTGCTCCTCGTATCTGCGCTTCGACCACAGGCCTGGGACTTCCTCGACTGGCCAATTCTGAATGACAAACTCATCACAGATGTCCCACAATGACGGTTACAATCCATTTTTGTATCTACACCAGTACGCTTTGGGTAAGCTCACTCTGGTAGGCATGCTGACTGTAATCGACGCACTGAGGGCGCGGATCGCTTCTGGTCTGGCTGCGGGCATGCGCGTGACTGTCGTAAGAGCAATGCTCATTGACATTCGTTAATCCATACACATCAAGGTATATCATCCGCGTATGGTCCGAAATCGACTGGATGCCTGCGAATTCGGTGCACATCTGGATGAAATGACCTGTCCCTCGGGAGAGCAGACGGGCCCTGGCAGGGCCGCTTCGGGTTTCGTTGTGGCTCAGCACAGGGTCAACATCGAATTTCACGCGGCGCACTCATCGAGTGGCCAAACACGACTCTCCCGAAGGCTCTGGTCTCGATAGACAATGATATGTAAGACTATGAGGGTAACTGTGAACAGCCTGAGAACCCATGGGGTGTGGTCGTGTAGTGGCAGAGCCTGTGAGACGGGCAGTCGAGGGTAGCTCACCTTCAAATAACTCACCGTAGTACGATGACTATGAGGGCTCAGTTCCCTTTACCTGTGGGCAATCCTGAGCCTCAGCGTCGAGCGTCGAGCCTACGAGCGAGAAGTTAGAACCGTTGAACGTTTCGCGATCACGTGTTTAGAACGCGTCCTACTTCGGACCACGTGGTAAATGTTCATTCAAGCCTCCAGCAGGCTTTGGTCCGACGCAGCACGACCGCCAGCTTCTCTTTCGCATTCACCTCCGTAGTACGGTCAACTGTGCGCATATACTCCATCGTCACGAGCTAAGAATCGGGAGTGCGATCCGGCAAAGATCAGCTTTGACTTCGGCTGTCCGACTGGAGTGGCGAGTGGCGATCGCGAGCTGTGATCAGAACGGTACGCCGCAAGCCTGCAGCAGCTGCCTGCTAGTGCTTTATTTTCGCTGAGAATCCTTTCAGCTGCCATTACAAGCTGGACACTTGCCGTTGAGCACTACCGTGGTGACTCGTGTCTTTGAAGGTGGGTCCGGTTACTGCGTGGGCGATCTATTGAGTTCTTTCTGACGGAACGACGATTGGCAGGCTACATAATACAGCGATGCCCCCGCCAGAGATTCCTATAGAACTTCAGGAACATGTTCTAGATCATCTTCACGATGATCAGGAGACCCTGAAGTCATGCAACCTGGTCTGTCGCGCCTGGACTTGGAAGTCAAGGCGGTACTTCTGGAGGGTCGTCAACCCGGAGAAGAGGCGTCACTGTATACGTCTCCTATCAATATTGGAGGAGACTGCGCAGCTTGGAGCTTGTGTCGGTGACTTTGTCGAAGAATTTCGGCTGCCCAAAATGGGGTTTCCTCGCCGCCACTCGCAGTCAGACTTGCGTTGCGAACTGTTGCGGAGCACGGCGCGCTATTTTCCCATGCTCAAGTTTCTCAACGTGAAGGAGTTCAGCATCACCTCGTTCTTGAACCACTTACGCTCCGAGGACGAGGCCTTCAACATGCAGGAAGCCGTATCCTCGATACTCGACTTTCGCCATCTAAAAGCCATCCAGTACGATTCGGTGACCGTCTCAGATCTCGATGACCTTTTGCAGTTTCATGGAGCATTCCCGACGGTATCTGCCTTGTACATGCATCGCGTCGACACCAAGAATAATGAGAACTGGATGGGTGATCCTCTCAACACCACATCCATCCAAGATTTCGTCGCAAGGCACCGAGATGGGCGTATCTGTATAGAAGACCTCACTGGCTGTATCTGCGATATTCCTGTGGGACGACTCTCTCAGTTCCTGAACACACTCACGGCCCCTCCATTCGAGCTACGTATCAAGAGGCTGTCTTGGGCCATGGCACCGCACCGGTGGGGTAGCTTCCTGCCTATCCTGCTACACATGTTTCGTCGCGCGGAATCAACATTGGAACACTTCGAGCTGCCTTTTAGCGCCGATGATAGTGAGCTTCACACTGCCTATCCCCTGTTTCCAATTCGCTGATTCCTTTGTGGCATACGTGCCTCAGGCTATGTGACGATGTTCTGGCCATCTCGTCACCATCGCCTCAAGACACTGGCGTTTTCGTTCTATTTCCCGACGTACGTTACGCCCGTCTGGGCGTACGTGTCGATGTGGTTGCAATGGGTCAATCCCACCTCACTGCCTCACTGGAAGCAATCGAATTCTGCCTATACCACAGGCACGACCCCTTCCTCCATGAATTCTTCCCCTGGCCGACTCTGAATTCCGCGTTGATCTCTCTACATCAGAAACGCCCCTCGTTGTCGGTTAAATTCTCCTTCTGGTACCACGGTGAAGAGGACAAGATCCCCGATGCCGTTGCGCCCACGCGGAGGCGGATTCGACCCATGGTCGCCGCAGGCATTCCTGTCTTTGTTCGTCAGCACAGAGTTCACCGCGAAGAGTCATCGGGTTGATGAAGGCAGGCCCTTCGTTTGGTCGATTTGAGGAGACCGACGAAGTGAAGTCACGCGTCGCGGATCTTCCGTACTGTACCACGGAATAGCGGCTTGGCAGATATAAAACGGACTATGAGAAGCCATCCTTTTGTACTGTGTAAAAATGACCCGACAGATATGCTACTGCTTCACACACATGACTGTGCTCATATGTTTCCATTGACACTTTGCCTTGAACCACGGTGCCCGCCCTCTTCGTGTGACCAAACAGGCTGATTGACCCGCCCTAATTGGTATGCATCCCGTCTTCCACGCGCAGCAACGCTTCCTGCCCCTCCATGAGAAGATCGTACATCCTGACTCATTTGGGACACTATCTGACTTGCTTGAGTCCGACAGGGCCTATGCGCGTGATCCATTGAGATCCTAATGTATGAGGCTCTGGCTATCAAAGGATCTCCGTGTCCTTTGTTAGATCCTTGAGCGCATTTTGCAGTATCGTCTCCTTCAGGGCTGAGAGTACCAGCTGGAAGTTATGTGTGTGTTCGTGCTCGTTGCCTATGTCAAGCTGGGACAAGTGCAGCGCCACTGTGAGTGAACGGGGTACAGAAGAAATCAAAAGTGAGGAAATAAGCTTGCGTTTGAGCGATTCCTTTGCATGAAAGTCCAGAGTATGAACTCTGCCGCTTTGTTGATATCTGGACCGCCAGTACTAGTATATGTGGGAAAGCACCGTTCGAGTGGAACTTTGTTGAGCTTACGCTCGAACACATCAAGCTTGTTGAACAGCAGGATGATAGATATCCGGCGGAACCATCTCGAGTTGAATACCGAATCAAGCAACGTCGCCGCCTCGGCGATGCGGTTCTGACATCGTATGCGTCAGTACACCAGGCCTACTACCATGACCGGTGAGCGAGAAGCACCCACCTTGCCTGATTCCCTGAGCAGTGGTTGATCATATTCACTGAGCGTGACGCAGAAGATAATGCTTGTCGCATCATCAAAGCGATGGTACCGCTGTCGGATTGTCCACCCACATCGCACATGCGTATCCTGTTGTCAATCGATTACTTCCCGTACACCCAAGGCGAGGCGTGAAGATTCAACAGCTTACGATAGTGGGCCGAGCGCGAACCGCATCTCTGTGATGCCCGTGCTCTCCTCTTGTGCACAAAATGCGTCCGTGTCCGTGGGGATGTAGCTGCGCTTGCCAATCCGCTGGGCCTTTGTGCCGAAGCTGTGGCACAAGGATACGTGGACTCAATTGGTAACAGCAGGCAATTGGGGAGCTCACTACTGTGCGTTGTCCATGAGACAGCACTCGCCGCTGTTGGCCATGAAGTCCGGAATCAACGGGTCTTGCCAGAGCTCGTATATCGCTCGAGCGATATCCTCGTCGAACAAGGCATCATTCGCACGGACCTCGTGGTCGAGAATGCGCTCAGTGCGTACACGATTGTCAGGCAGAACACAGTCGAGGCCCATCGCACGCATTTCGAGGATTGCGTTGTGCGCGGACTTGAGCAGACTTTGATAGACGGACGGGCGGGTGGCTACTAGCTCGTCCTCCGTGAAGCCGCCCTATTGGATCATCTTGATCTGTTTCATGATCGTTGACTTCCCTGACTCGGCTGGGCCTGGGGGCAGTCGTTGAGCACGGTAGAAGACACCTTTCAGCGAGTGGGGCACGAGCTCACATGCACTGAAAGCGGTGTGTCCGAATGTACAACGAATCGAAACAATGGACTCACCAAGTAAGAGGTCCTTGCATTCTGTCTTCGCCTCCTGCGAGTCCTCAATCTGCCTGTCAATCTCCCGCGATCGTTGTAGCGCCTCGCGGATCAGGACTCTTGTCGAGATTGAGCTACCCATGGCGTCGGACATCCTAGATTCCTTGGACGTGGGGATGGCGCGGGCTGAGCGTGCACTTCAGCTCAAGTACCAGGTATCTTGTTGTGTGTAAGGAGCGAAGAGCGCGATCGGTTCAAGAGACAGCGCCGCAGACGTCGACCTGACCTATATATGCAGCTCCAATACAAATGTCAGTGCAGGGCCATCCTATGCTATAACATACACGAAACATATCATGATGTACGCACCGCGAGTTACACACTTGTCTGTTCGCCCCGGCATACCTAGCCTGGCAGGTACAGTACGCCACATAGGGCACTAGAGGTGTCTGTCACACTGATGCTGCATCGAAAGCATTCCAATTCACTCTGCTATTTCTCCAGAGGAACGACGCCGCCCTGAGCAGGCGGATAAATAAATAAAGGGCGGCGACGCCAGAGGCATGACAGGGATTAGTACAGTACGGTCAGACGGCGGTAGTGGTCAAGGGTGGGGCGGGCGGCACGGGGAACAGTTAGAAGGAAGGCTCCTGTCTAATCCAAAAGTCCCGGGGAGCAGGGAGAGAGGACAAGAGGGTCATGAATAACAGCGATGCCAGATCAGGCGTGCCGCGCGATAGAAGTAGGCAGTCATATGACACGGGAAGACGAAGGTGGATGGCAAGTAGGCTATAATCACAGTTGCACGTCATGAAGGCAAGGTATAACAGGTTTCACAGCGGCAAATTGGGCAAAGCAACAAAGGTGCCGGGAGGTGGGGGCCGGAGCAAACGTCAGGGAAGGGCGTCACGGAGCTCTCATGAAAGCCGAGCGCGGAGCTGGACGGTGGCCTAAGGTTCGATGTAGGCGGCAGCAGGTGGCATAGGGAACGCGCGGACAGTAACAATGTCGGCGTCATCGTCCTGCCCGCTGATAGTCGACATGCGCGATGCAGTCGAGCCACTCATTGACATGATGCGCAGACGCTCCTCGACCTCGTCCGGTGCCAAGTCCAGCGCAGCGATCAGCGACTTCATCGCATGAGCGCCGAACAAGTTCATGCTGTTTCCGCTTGCTACTGAGTCGTTATGGCTGTGACCAAACGCATCAGGCGGAGCCACGCGGTAGACCGGGACCTCCTGGATATCGGAGAACGGATTGGAGACGCGCTCGGACTTGTGGGCGCTGGCTGGGCGGCTGACGGCCGTCGCCTCGCTGACGCTGCGCGTTCGACTCGTCCGGCTGCGGCTATTGCTGCGACTGCGCGTGGGGCGACGCGTGATCTCCTGAGCGTTAAAGAAGGGGTTTGCGACGCTTCTGCGCTGCTCCGAGACATCGTTGAAGGGGTTCTGCACCTCCCTCGGGCCGTCGACGTGCTCGTCAGCCATGGTCAACACCTCCGCAGACTCCCATTGATGAATCGGGGAGGACTCCGCGACAGGAGTCATCTTCGCGAAGCCGAAGGTCGGCGACACCGCGCCGGAGTCGACGCGTACGGAGCGCATCTCCAGGAAGGAATCCTCGTGAACCGTCGAGCCATCCCACGACACCCCGCTCTCGCCGCGCTGTGCAGCATAGGGACGGGTAGGCTGCTCGAGCGCGAGTTCCTTGGCCAGGCCGGGATGGTACTTCGCGAACTCGAGCGGGGGCAGGTTGAAGCCGCCATGATCCTCATCGAGGACCTTCGTGCGTGTGGTACGCATGCTGGGGGAGGACTTTTTGAACATCTGCGAGTTCTTCTCCTGCAGCTCCCGCTCGCCCGGGGATGTCGGCGATGACCCCGACCACTTATCCTCGCCCTCGCTCAGTTTGTTCCAGTGACCGGTCCGGTTCTTCGTCTCTTTCTTGATCGAGCGTTTCGAGTAGAGGTAGAAAGCGAATAGCAGCAGACCGAGGCCTGCGAAGGCACCTACGCATATGCCTACGACAGCACCAATAGATATGTCAGAATCACGCGAAGACGCGGAGGCAGCGGTGGCGGATGACGATGCTGTCGACGAAGTAGTTGGCGAGGTGGATGAACTCGACATCGTGGAGGTCAGAGTGATGCGTGCGCCGGCGATGGAGTACTGTACGGTTTGAGAGCCAACGGAACCCGCAGTGTCACTGTTGAGGAAGAGGGGGCCCGAAGCTGAGGCAGTCGCTGCTGAGGCGACTCCGGAGAAGCCTGAGATGGTGGGAAGAGCGGTCTCTTCAGCTTCCGCCTGCCTCTTGGCATGTTTCTTTATGTGCATTGCTGCGAAGGGAGCGAATGATGGTGAGGTGTAAAGAGCGTCGTCTCAGTGAGAGTACACCCTGCGAAGGCAGGGAACGGGCGAGGATGCCGAAGCCAAAGCTGAGGGCGCTGGCAGGGTGCGCGGAGCTTCAGGACTGAACAGCAGGTAGAGAAAGGAGGGTGCGTACCTGCGAAAGAGTCGCCCGGACTCGCTGGCGGCCTCGTCGTTGGGGACAGCGGGGACAGATGGACGACCGCGCGATAGCTGCTAGCGGTGCGTGACGAACACAGCTGCGGGATCCAGTGACAGCTCCGTGACAGCTTACCGCTGATGGTCACGCCCTGCCGCGTCACGATGGCAACAGACGTGCTTGCGCCCGTTATGGTAATAGTAGTACTTACTACGCCAGGCCAACGCCAGGCGCTCCCTTCTGAGTCCCCGCCTACGTTGTCTTGCACAATAGATTCTGAATTCCACGCATCCTCAATGGATTACTAGGCTATGTGCATCACATAAATCACGTTTGGTTCGAATGTCACTTACCACCACCTGTTTGATGGCCTTCGTTCATACTTCCTTTGCTCTCAAAATTTGAATGCTGACGCATTCTCCGCGCGAGACGCTTGTTCGCATCCCGATGGAGAGTGTCGATGAGTCGCGGTGTAGTATGTACATATCCGCTTCAATTGAGCACGATCTTGCCGAAGTTTTGCCAGTGTCGGAAGGTCTCTTGAACCAGCTAAGCTCGGAGCCGGCGCTGGTACCCAAACGCAGATTGGTCGAAACTTTAGGATACTTATATTGATCGTCACACGTCAAGGATTTGTTTCTCATGCAACTTTCAAGGTCAGGAATTGAGGAAACAATGCGAACGACAGCCCGGGCCGGCCGGCGCTCGCAGTGCTTAGGGGCTCGATCGGAGATTACGGTGGCGTACGTCGGCAAATCCCAGAGTCGACCAACTGTAACGACGCCCACTCGTGTTGTGTGCTACTGAACATGAACTCACCGGCTTCCTGCTGAGATTACGGGCGATGCTCACCTCGCTCGGTCATGGCAAATACCCCCACGTGCGCCCCATCTAGAACTCGATGGAATACGAAACTGTCTACTCTACATGGTCCCATTTCTGATTCATCCAAGATGACGACACCGCAAGTTGAAGTCAGGTCCAGCAGGGCAGCATGACACACCAGAAAATATCCTACATCCCGACATAGTCCTCATGAGTTGCTACCGCTTATGGAACCAGTACGCCTTTTAGCTCAGGTGTTCGTCCATGCAAACGACGGGCCGCCCGGTGCCTCCAGCGATATCCGCACATTCAAGCTCGACGTCCTGATCGGGCGGATCGGGCGCACACCCTCCTCCGGGCGGGTGAACACCCACGCAGGCACCGCGCCGAACTCGACGTCTCCCCGACGCCCACGGCTTTCGCGGCCGACGACGCACCAGTTGTCGTCGAAGCGCTGCAAGATCGCGAGGTGCTCCCCGAGCGTCACGGCCAGCTCGTCGGGAAGCGCGCGCGTGAAGACCTGGCGCACCTTGCGCATCTGGCCCTCCTCGAACATCGACGCTGACGCTGACTGCGAGGACGCGCGTGAGTTGACGCTATTCCGGAGCGGACTGCTACGCGAGACGAAGGAGACCGGACGCGAGCTGCTGCCTGGCCGACTTGGGATGGAACGCGGGACCGTTTGGATGGACGACGGTGATCGTTGCATTTGCGCTAGGTGAGGAGCCTCTTCGACTGTGGGGGAGGGTGGCTGGATCATGATGGGGAGGGGGAGTGGTAGGGGTTGCGCAGGTTGTGCGGCTTCAACGACGAAATCACTTGTCTGCCGTTGGTGGCCCACTCTCGGTGTCAGCGCCTTCTCGGGCATGACCACGCTCGCGGTGACCAGGGCTCTGTTGACTGCCTTCGACTTGGTGGTCTCCCTCGGCCTTGGCGAAGGGCTCGCTGTCATGCTAGTCGGACATCGTGACGCTGATCAGCGTGCGACAGGCAGAAGAAACGAACAGACGCACTCTGCCTTTTCCTCAACCTGGGTGAGCAATGACTTCCTCGCTATGCGCTTTCTCTCGTCCGCCCTCTCTTCCCTCTCTCGCCTCCTCTTCCGCCGCCGTTTCAAGAAGTAGATCGCTAGCCATATCCCGCACCCGATTACCAGGGCGCCTGCGAACGCGATCCCAATGAACGGTGCTTTCTCGGTGCGAAAGGATACGGGCGGGGGCGGCCCGCCTCCGAGGGGGTCGTTCGTTGCACGGACGAGGAGAACGGGGGAAGGAGGGACCATCGTTGCAGCACTGGCCGCACGTACGTCCTATGTACGTTGGCGGGAGTGCTGGATACAGGCACGGTTGGGAGGAGACAGGAAAGCGAGGTGATCCCGAGCGGAAGCCTGGCGCCTGGGAACTGACGCCGCGCGAATATAGCGTGTACCCCGGGGGGCGTCTCACGCGCGATGGTGATGCATACACTGGTCTTAATAAAGCACGGCGCGGCGCGGACGCAAGGCGGATGAATCTCGACGATACGTGGTTTACACCGTGTGATGATACGTAAACTACGGGCACTGAAGTACTGATCTTCGGCGAGACACTCGAGTCCAAGTCGCGGATGGCCCAGCGTACTTAGACGCGATGAACGTGTCGCCGAGCTTGTCGTCATATTAATCATGCAGGAAGATTCGTCGACTCTGCCCTGCCCAGAGTGTCCGATCGTGTGCCTGGCGTCCGGCACGCCCTGGCCGTACATTATGCAGACCAAGCCGAGGGTGACATGTAATCATCTGTCATGTTTTCGGTCATGTCCAACAATCATCATCCGTTTTGAACATGCTCGTTTCATGGTCCCACGTATGGATCCTGCCTCCAGCGGGGGATGGCTCGTGCTCGGGCTAAGTCAAGCAATGTGTACGTTCTATGTATTGCTGCAGCGGCTCAGCGAACAACAAAACTGACTCGCGGATGGGCGTACGTAGGGCACGATGATCACATCGATGATATGTACCACCTATCAAGCGCACGTGCGTACAATTTCTGAGATACACTGGCTGATCTGACTTGCGATGCGATGTAGACTATTCGATTGCCTTTGGGTAGTCGATGGAGATCACGGACTCCCACGAGTCACCAGAACCGACTCGGAGTACTTACTATTACAAGCGTGCACATACCGAAGCGTCGGATGTTGAAGCGCTGAAGTTGCGCTGAAGTCTACGTGTCATCCCCACTCGTCTTTTACTCACTTTTCCTGTGAGACAGGCATCGGCGAGTCCGGCAAGATAACAGTCGTCAAGCAGACGAAGAGTATTCCGGATTGTGCGCCGTGACGGAGCTTTTGGGCTAATTCTACAACTAAGCTAAGTCATTTCGATCTACTACGGTCACTCTTCGCGACTAGTGCTCTCTTTTACCGACGCAGCAATGACTGACGTAGCGATTTTCAGATTAGAGTGCCTTTGCCTGAACGAGCCTAGAGGATCTCCGGAGGGGTCGAAGACGACAAGCTCGAACACCATCGACGGGTGGGCTGTTTTTGGTCGGATGAATGGTACCCTAGCCCGGTGCGTGCCGCAGCGCTGGCTCACAAAGGTCCTCTGAGGATCGGCTCACGCTCGACGCGATGAGGACGATTTGGATGATGTTGACAACGAACGTATCCGGCGCTCTCAGCCAGCGCGCCGGGAAGAACCTATGCGAGCAGTCCATGGAGAGTAAGTTCACGCACCAGTCTAGTGCCGGCTTTGTCTGACGTGGCCCTGTAAGTTTGCAGGCCACACGACAGTCTTGTTTAGCCATAGGAGCACCCGCCTAGATATGCACCTTCGCTTCGTGTAAGTGGTGCCTGTACATTGCGTCAGAGGCGATGGCCACAGTGGACCGACACAAAGCGTGAACTTCCCGGGCCATTTCCCTGTAAGTCCAGTACATTCGTCTCAGGGTACCGATCACTGCTTTGACCCCCGTTGTTCGCTTAGGAACGTAGCGTGACCACGGGCCCTTGAAACCATGCCCGCGAAATACAGGGGTTTGTCCTTGTGCTTTTGGCGACGCATTCACTGGGTGGCCGCACCTCTTTTGGGATAGCAAGGCTGGTGGCCCAGTATCCAAGCACCTCGGGTGCTCAGGTATAGGTAGCCTCATTTCCTTTAAATTGAGCGCGACACTACTCCGATGTCCTCAGAAACCCACTTCAGCTACAATCCCTCCAACAGTAAGTCACATCTCGTCTCTCTTTGCTTGCGCTGAGGCGTTTTTTCCAGAGAAAAACCATCATCCATGTCTCAGGCTCGCTCCCTCTACGTCGCTCACTACGGCCACCCGCTGCTGAAGGGTGCGAAGCACTGGTCTTTCCTCCTCTACAAACCAGGCGACCAGCACGCCAAGGCGTATCAGCTCACAGGCTCAACGACAACGTACGAGGTCAAGCAACCAGAGGAAGTGACCCCCGCGAAGTCGTCCTCTTTCATGGGCCAAGTCCCTGTTGGCCACATCGCCGAGTCTCACGTCGCTGCGTTCGAGCAGATGGTCCTGGGCCTGCCCATTACACGGGGCAACACGGCTTGGAATTGCCAGAACTGGATCATCGGCGCTCTGGCTGCGCTCAAGGCGAACGGATTCAATGTGACGGCGTACGGATTGGAGGATTTGCGCAAGTTGCTGGCGGAGGCAACACCGGCGTGATGGAAGGCTCGTGTGTATTTGGTGTTCGTTGTGTCGAAGCTCGGAGGCTGGGGCGTGTATAATACTTTACATTACGCGACGACTGGAGACTTAATGAGGAAAGCGATCCTATGTGAACGGACAGATACTCAGGTCTGTGACTGGCTATCGAAGTATTGAGCACTGTATGCCGATGGTCTCCCGACGGTGTGCAATACTTCACTTGGTCTGGTTGCTTCTTGTACTTCTAGCAAGATGTGAAACCGAAAATTGCCTGGTGGCTGGCGCAGATGACCCAACGGCGCAGCAACGCAGAGCAGATGAATGTTGTTGCACTGATATCGGAGCAGGTCTTCCCATAGGTCACCAAAGCTATACTAACACCGTAGCCTCCTTCACTGATTGCATTCCCCCCAAGTACTGTAAGCACTGTGTAAGTTACACGAAGTTGATCCTTTCCATTGTTACTCTCTATCGCCAGCGGCTTCAACATCCAAGCGCCTTAATGCGTCACCTCGACACCGATGCCTCCGCTAGCAACTTCTGGAGCTCTGCAAGCTGGTACGCTTTCACGTTGAATCCCCTCTGCTTCAGCGCACCCAGAGCCTCGATGATCCAGTTCTGGCAGTTCCACGCAAGGTTACCCCTCGTGACCGGAACAGCCAACACAACGCTCTCGAACTCGCCGCGCCGCTTGTCTTCGATGTTGCCCACTTCGACGCGACCCATGCACGTCTTTGATTGCTCCGAGTCTGACCGCAGCTCTTCTGGATCCTTCACCTCGTAGGTTTCAGTGGATCCGGTGACCTGGTAGGCAGTGGCGACGTCTGAGTCTGTGTTCGAGTTCGGCTTGGGGAGCAGAAACGACCAATGTTTGGCGCCTTTCAATAGCGGATGGCCATAGTGCGCGACATAGAGGATAGTCATGTCGCGCAGATCGTTCTATATATAGAGACCAGTTACGTCTGAACTTTCTGTTGATTTGGCGAAGCCACATACCGTTCAACGTTATTAATCTTGCGACGCTGCCTATGGCTCGTGGGGCGACAGCGAGTATCACTGAATATAGGGATCACTCTTGATGTGCACTGAGACCGTATTCATTCTCTTTCTCATCCATCTGCATGTAGAGCATAGACTTGCCTGTGTGCGCCACGTTCCGTTGAATAAATTAGAGGACGTTCGAACTTCGCCGGTTTCAATGCGAGGTGCAGCCACCGTGACTTGCGTGACGTTATGATTCTACGCAACGCGTTACGCAGCGGCTCTTCCCTGTCAATATCGCTACCGTACCAAGACTTCGTTGGGACTACTTATTGAACAGCGCGACATGCCTCTCTCAGAGCTTCCCATCGAGCTACATGAACATGTCCTCGACCACCTCCACGACGACCCTCTCTCCCTCAGAGCGTGCAGCCTGACGCACACCGCTTGGCTCCCGATAGCACGCTCACATCTCTTCCGGACAGTCAGGCTCGACACCGCGCGGGATTGCCTGAGGTTCCTCACCACCCTCGACACGACCTCGGAGTCGGATGGCGTCGGCGTCGGCTCCCTCGTCCGGGTGCTAACCCTCCCAGCAAAGATGGGTTTCACGGAACTTTTACATACTAGGACTGTAACGCGGACCAGGCAGGCGAGACTACGTCTTGACCTGCTATGCCAGATCCTGCGCCGTGTCCCCAACCTCGAGACCCTGGACATGACCGACTTTGAATGGAACTGTTTCGCAGACCTCATCTGTCCGCAAGGCGCTGGCGTTGATCTGCACGACGCCGTTACCGTTTTTGCCTTCCCACTGCTGAAGGTGCTAGTGCTGAGGTGCTTCGCCGTACGTTCCATCCAGGAAATCATCCAGTTCATCGCTGCATTCCCGTCCGTAACGACCCTGGAGCTCTCTGGAGTCTGGTTATATTTCCACGGTTTCCACTACGAACCATCAGACTCTATCGCCTACGATCAAACCATCAGTATACGCATCCGGGAACTCATCGTGGGCCCACTAGAATGCACCGAGCCTTTGTTGATTGGTGTATCGCACGCATTGCTCAATCTCACTCAAGGATCACAGCTCCGACAGCTGAGATGGCTCTTCAGTCCTCGAGTTCATGACCAAGAGGTGTTCGACAAAATGTTCCATGGATCCGCGAGTACTCTGGAGGTGCTTGAAGTTGATTCTCTTCTTGTCGGTGAGTATGATCGTCAATTATGTATATCCCTCAACTGACCGATGGAGCCGGGATCGCCACTGGTCCGCGCAGAATGGTTATCAGCACAGGACCTCTCCCGCTGCCGGGCACTGACTACAATCGTCCTGTCAGAGCAAACCGTCCATACACCAGCATTGTGGGCTTCTGCCCTGGAGGTCATCTCGAGCCTTGCACAGAAGCGTCTGCGGCATGTGGAGTTTACCCGTCACCCTCGTCGGGATGCCCTGTCCAGTCGGGATCTGCGGAGCCTCTCGCATCGCCTGATGGACTTACACACACGGTGCCCGACTGTCTCGGTCACATTATGTCACTGTCAGTGCACTGCGGCTGGGCCGAACAGCCGTCAGGCCTTGGAGGCCAACCACAAAGATGTATTGCGCGACGTGCTCGAAGCAGGGATGCGCATCGCTGTGGCCTACACAGAACTCGATAACGGAGGGCCATCGACCCACCGTCGTGATCTTCATGATCCCTTGCGAGTAGTCCGCACTGAATACTTCAAGTTATCAGCATAACTTAGCGCCCCATGACGTCGATCGTACACCAGTCTATGTCCTTCCGCTCGTACGCGTCGTCTCTACAGTGGTCCCCCTCCCTGCGCCTCACTTCGGCACCGCGTCTCCATACCACTTCCGCCATCGCTCCAGATCCTCCTCCTCGTCATTCGGCAGGTTCAGCACCGCCTTCGTCAGCTCGCTCTGCTTCGTGCGCAGCCACTCCGCCAGGCCGGACCCGCCATCCGGGATCCCCGCGCTCGGGCGGTCCCGCCAGTGCGTGATCTTGCCCGCGGCGTCGACGGTGATCGTCATGACAGTGTCGAACGAGACCGTCTTCGGGACGAGCTTGGGCGTGAACTCGTGCAGGACGCGGAAGGACGTCGTGTGCGCGTCGGAGGCGGTGATCTGCGCGGACTTGGTCACAGACGAGCGAAAGAGCTCGGGGAGGCCGTAGAACTGCCCTGCTATCGACGTCCTGCCGACGCTCTTCGCTACGCTGTGCGATGCCGCGAGGGAGTGGACGCGTTAGTGTGTGGCGGGACGAGGGGGGAGGGCGACTCACGGGTCCTCGTAGACGGCGTCCTCGGCGAAGAAGTCCATCTTGTAGAGACTGGGTTTGCCCTGGAAGAGGTCGAGGACGACGCCGACGAGCGTTCGCCGATGATCGTCTATGGTGACGCCGGGCGCGACGTCGACGGACGCGTTCGTGATGATGTGATTGGGCGGGGTTGCCTTGGACATGGCTGGGTGTAAGGTTGTGCTAGTAATTCCCGTCGTGAGGATGGGGCGAATAGGAAGGAGGTCTCTGTGCAAACAGCACCTATATACAGTGTGGGGACGGGAGTACCCATGCTGACGCGCTGACGTGTCGACGTCGATGGCTCGACGCTCGATGGCTGCCAACCTCTGAAGGAAGTTCAGGATACGTCTGGATACGTACGTCATAAGCGCCGTGGCGGGATGTCCGTTTAGGGTCACTTACAGTAACCGAGTCCTCCATTGCAGCATGACGCCAATTGACTTGACACGGTTCGCAGACACTGCTTGTGCGCTGGCTCGCCGGTACGCGTGCACAGATGGTCATGAGGGAACATTAAACATCAGAACCTACTGGATCTTGTTCAGTATATATGTACTAAACTATTGACCATCTTGTTGCTCGAGATGGCGGCAAGGTGACAGAATCAGCCAAGATTTGCGAGGATCGTTCGGACCAATTGCGACAAAGACTCAGAGCAGACCCGGAATGCGATCGCAACGCGGCCTGCATCACGGCGCATGCAACAGTACTGGTACCTCACCAAACAGCCCCCGGGGCTGTACAGATGCGGCTGGCGGTCGCACCTGACTGGGCGAGCTACACCCTCGGCTTGCGTGTGCAGTGATATAGGGACGCCTGGATGGACGACCGCTGTCGTCTTGAGTCCGCGCACGAGTTTGCGAGTGTCATGGTCAACTGACATCGCCCGTACGCGTAATGTACTCACCGTAGTCGACCCATCCGCACCGGTGTATGATCGACTTTGAGAAAACTATCGTCGCACGCACGCATTGCCTCGCTGAGTTGCTCGAGCTCCCACGAGTGGTCCACTACGTACGCGGCGTTCACAAGGAGCGGAAAACAGGTTGCACGAGCATGCATTTAACGTCTAGCGGAGAGGGATCAACTGGAAGACCAACAACATGGCAAATATTGCTAGGCATGACGGCGGCGAGTCGGTGTCGGCGAGGAGGGTCCCGGACTCGACGACAGCGGCCGGAAATAGCAAATGCCGTCATGCGAAAAACGGGGCGACTCCACAGGCTCCTATCGCACCCGAGCACGTGTCCTCAGCTATGGCGGGGACGCGCAGGTCGATGTGCGCCAGCTGTGTCCGCCGCCGCCACGGCCGCGCATGTGGTCGCGTCGTCGTGCAACCAACGGGCGGGTGCGAGCAGCGTGGACGGAGCAAAGGAAGAGAGGCCGAACGGACATGACGCGGGAGCTAATAGCTTATCGGCACAGATCCGTGTCCCGATACGGCTGCGAGCATACAGGCCCATCAACAAGCGGCTCCATCCCGGCCTCCGTTGCGAAGGCCCAAGCGCACCTCTCCTTCCTCCCTCCTCCCGCACCCCCGCTGCCCCCGTCGTCGGCCAGCCCGCCCCCCTCTGACGACGACGACATCCCTCCGGATCCCCCGTCTATCTGGACAGCGCGTCCGTCGACACTCCTTTGCCTCACGTTCTCTCGAAAAGCCGCCTTCCCTTTTTCGAACATTTTAAACCGTCCTGCCTAGCCCAGCGGTCACAGGAAGGACCAGCCCGCACACGACCTCTTTTCGAGACGAGCCATTAACGCAGCCTCCGGCCTTCACAGTCACATTGCCTATAACCTGCACGTACGTGCGCCGGCATCTGCACTCCTCCCCACCACCATGCCCGCTTGCAACGTCCTCAGTCGCCGCAGCGATGGCAGCGACGGCCTCAGCTCGAACACCATCCAAATCGCCGGAATCGCTGTCGCAGCCGGCATCGCTGCTATTGCTGCGATTTCCTTTGCCATCTACTTCTGGAGGAAACGACGCGCCGTGAGGAGGGACCGCGATGCATGGGAGAGCCGTATCTCTATCTTCCCGGCCATTCGCGTTGAGACTTCGCAAATGGCAGGTGAAGAGGGAAGGTGAGCACTTGATCTACGAGTCTCTCCTCCAGTTTCCAGGCTAGTTGTCGGTCGAACGCAGTCCATTCCCTCTGCCATACCACGCTTGCTTGGGCCCCTCGTGGCTTCACAGTCGCGCGACGCGTATGCAGCGCGAGCCTGTTGATCTCCGGACGGTTCGCGTATCCCGGGCGCGTCGTCCCTTCACTCATGAACCCCGCGACCCCCGGAGCGCGCTGCGCTCGATCCGTCTTGACGCGAGCGCTCTTCTCGCTTGTGTTCGCTCCAGACGAGCTCGCTCCAGACGACCACTTGCTCGTGCTGCCTCTCAAGCATACTTTTCGCGGCCTTCTGCCCCGGGTGCGTGCGGTATTAGACGCACCGGCCCCGCTGTGGACAGAAACCTGTTCGCTCATCGACGTGATAATGATGACACTGGTGAGCTGTGATGCCGCCCACGAGCGTACCTGAGCGGATGTGCAGGAGTTGTGCAGGCGTCATGATGCTTGTTGCGAACAACGATACGCATCCGCCGTGTTACTGCCTTCAGACGCGGGTCATTTGAGCTTCAGTCTGGTCCCGCCGCTTCTTTCCACACTGAGCAAAGCCTCAAGCCGTTGACTGACTCCCTCTCAGTGGTCCACAGATGATGCAAGCCAAGGGCAACGGCTTCTCGCGCGCACAACTCACGAAGAGCATCATCTTGCCCGAAAAGGCCGTGATGAAGAACAACGCCTCCAAGGAGGACATCATCGACTACTACGCCGCAGAGGGCAAGCTCCCGCGGCCGTTCGCGCCGTTCACGCGGGACTCGGGCGGCATGCCGGGCGGCGGGCCGCCGTCGCCGAAGGAGTCGCAGCGGAGCTCGCGCAGCTCGCTGCTGCGGCCGGTGTCGACGGCGTCGTTCCTGAGCGTCGCCTCCGCGTACTCGAGCCGCTCGTCGAAGCGGCAGAGCACCGCGTCCGCGATGTCGGGCTTCGACGAGGGCAACAAGCGCAAGGTGCGCCAGCTGTTCCACCCGACGCTCCCCGACGAGCTCGTGCTCAACCTCGGCGAGCGCGTCATGATCGTGAACACGTTCGACGACGGGTGGTGCATCGTCGGCCGCGACAGCGTGTTCGCGCCTGGCGACGTCGACCTCGGCGCGGTGCCCGCGTGGGTCTTCGTCAAGCCGATCAAGGGCCTCAGGGCGGAGAGGCCGATACGGACGTCGAGTCTCGGCGTCACCGTTACGCTCGATATGCCCGGCGCGGCGAGGCAGGACGTCATCTCGTGGTCCAACTTCTCGTGAACGACCCGCCGACGCCTGTATGCGCGTTGCCTGCGTGTATAGCCGCCCTGAAATGTTGTTGCCGCACCATATACGTTGTAAACACACCAAGTTACTACTCACCACCGGCGGTTCGCCGAGCCGAACCGTCCACTACCTTCCACCCCCTACTACTCTCCTCCTGGTGCTGATCACCCAATACCCCTTCTTCGATAACCCCTCCGCCCGCATCCACCCTTCACGGAACCCGCCAAACCCTTACGCTCCTCGCCACGTTCGCCGTAATTATCGCGGGCGGCGCATTGCATGCGCCGCGCACGTCCCCCGCTTCGAACCACTTCCCGCACAGCGCCGCGGCGCGTCTCCTGTGCGCACGCTCTAGCTCTCTAGCTTGGACGGCTGCTTGTTTTTGCGTGCCTTGCAGGTCCAGAGGCCCTCTCTTCCGCACGCCGTCCGAACCTTCAGTCTCTGCCCCTCCCCTCCCCGACGTCCCCCAGTGGGTCCCCAGCCGGATCGCTCGCTGCTGCCCGGTATCAGTCACTGCGTTCAAGAGCCGTATCTTTCGAGCTTGGGGTAGATAGGTGTAGCAGTGGTACGGTTGAGTAGACGTATGTAGACAGACGTGAATGCTACAGTGAGTAGGTTGCATGTGTGTGCGTGTTCATTGTCTGAAGAAAAAAATATACACTGACGGCGGACATATCATGTAATCCCACATTGTATTAGGTCCCAGTGCGTGCATCTAACCGCATGTAGCCGCAGCGTAGCTAGGCGATGTACTTGGTGCTGTGTAGAGCCCTGCCGTCGCAATGTACACTCATGTATGCCATATTTTCGATCGTACTGCTGTACTTATGTATGTCATGTTAGGCTACCTCAGCTTACGGTGGTCTACGCTTGCAAAACACAGCTGAGATAATCGTGTCATTTAAATTACACCGAAACGGGTACACAGTTACGATCACGTGGGACGACGCGCGCGGCGTGCGGTTCCGCCCTGCATACACTCTCCTCCTGGTCCGGCCGTCCATTTCTTGCCACCTTCGCCATGTTGTCTTGGGATCCCTCCTCCTCCGGTTGGTCAAGCTGCACAGCGAGGTCGAGAAGCTCAAGGCCGACTTAGCTGAGCTCCGAGTCAAACATGCTCGGGAGGAAGAGAAGGACTGTGGCGATGGTGAAGCAGGGATGAAGGCGGGGATGATGGGAACGACGAAGGAGACGTCAGAGCACCCGCTTGGAAGCGACACAAGGCTAACAACCAGAGTCAGATGCTGAGTGTCGTAAGATATATGAAGGCACTCACTCTAGACCAACTAACTGTCACTGGGACCGAGCTCTGGGCATGCTCCCATCAATGTATGCGGATGATATCTGGCGCTGAGGGTGTCATCAGAAATCCGTGGTGACCGCAATGCAGAATCTTACTGGCTTAGGGCCAAATCCATCCCCCATTGGTGGTCCACCTGCAGCCGAGAATGATGATGACCTCGCAAATGAAGAAACGGCGGGGCGGCCATGGCACCAGTCAACTCGTCAATGACCGCTTGCGGCGTCGAAAGTAGCCTGTATGGGTATCTTGAATCATCTAGAGACGTGCTCTTACCTGTGTGTTCTTGTTCTTGGGCGGCATTTTGCCGAGGTTGACGACGTGATGGACGTTCAGGACAACGTACAGAAGGCAAGAAAATGAAGATTTTATGGTCCCATGCAACAGTGTTAGTCTACGTACGACTACTTAGCATAAGAGGGATGCGTATAGCCAAGTATACCAGAAGGCGATGAAGGTAGACCATGCGGTGACGGGGCGATGTTCGCCCACGTAGGGCTAGACGCCTAGGCTTATGTAACCTCATGTAACCAAAGTCGGATTACGTACTGTCTACGGATGCGTGCCTACATGCGTTTCCTCGGTCTACACAGGCATAATCTACGCTACATCCACCCTGTGTGGCACTGCGCTTGGTCGACGTTGGGCTACACGACCGAGCACATCCTTGGAGGATACGCGCCTTGAACGCAGTGAGTGTCTCGCCCGCACCCGCATCTGCATCTGCATCTGCATCTGCGCAAGCTAGTATCGACGTCACTGTCCTGTAATCGTGGCTCGTCCCGTCTCGTCGCAGTCGCTCTCGTCGCGCAGTAGTAACCGTCGACCTATCACCCAGTACCAGATCGCCCAGTTAGTCAGAGTAGATAGATGTACATTGTATCTTTCTCTCTCTCTCTTTTCTCGCAAGATTTTTCAGTCTCAGTCTGCAAGCCTCCTTTGAGTGTGAGGGTCTCCAGCTGGGTCGGCTCGACGGCGGCTCCAGCGTTTGATTCGTGCCTGGTTCGTGAAGCGAACCAGCCGCGAACAGCAGGCGAACAGAGGCGAACAGCGACGGCGTCGAATCTGTCGATCGTGATCTTGCGATGGTGGCTTCGCTGAGATCTCGAGACTCGATGGTGATGTAACGTGGATACCAATGGTTGCTACGACGCTAGTGCGTGGCTCCCATCTCCACTGCGACTGACCGGTGGTTGGAGTTTTTGGAACTTGTTTTATTTCGATTGTTCAACATTTTGCGCCTCCTCTGGGTCTCCTGTGTGCTCGTTCCGCCTCACCGTACACTGAGGGCTGGCGCTGGGCCCGAACGATAGGTCAACAAAGACGCCGGCGGGCCCGACTACTTATGGCGGTCAACGCGACGGTATCCAGGGATCCGAGTCGAGAAGGGGCCCGCGTTAGTGTGCAGATGCATACAACCTGTCTCAGACAGGCGCATGCGTATGCTCCCGAGCCGCGGAGGCTATGCACTTAGGCTTCACCCACTTACGCGATGCATCGAGTCATAGCTATATATGTGTGCATCCTCCAGGGTGCGATCGAACCATCGCGCCCGCGTCGCCTTTGTACATAGTCACCCCAGCAGCGGCCATCCCGTCGACCCGCTACGTCCCCCCACTGCTTTCAGAACCTGTAGCCCGTTGACCTCGGGGCCTTGCGTACACGTATGTATGTCATGCCCAATTCACATTCCCTGACGAGCGCTCCGGACGCCGGAGTCTCTAATTGGTGACATAGGTCGACGATGATTGTAGGCGTTTGGCTGTATTCCGAGCAGCAAGCTCGACAAGTGCTACCTGTGTTCAAGGTGCCCTGGACCATGTACGTTGTTCTATCATCATCCGCCATCGCTGGAATTCACCCAATGTACAGCAGTGCGGCCAGTGACTATTCGGGACGTCGAGGTGGCCGCAGTCGCGGCATGCCCCTCCCAGAGCTGCCGATCGAGATCCAGGAGCAGGTCCTCGATCACCTCCACGACGACCGGCGCGCCCTCAGAGCGTGCAGCCTGGTGTGCTCGGCATGGATCTCGACTGCGCGGCTGCATCTGTTCAGGGTGGTCGACTTGCATCGCGCGAGAGACTGCCTGCGCTTCCTCGCCGTCCTCGAGTCGACCTCGAACGGGTATGGCATCCGCGCGGGTGTGGGCCGTCTCGTCCGCGAGCTGCGCCTGCCCACCATGACATTCGACCAGAGGGGAAGGAAGGAGGGGCAGCGCTTCGACTTGCTCTGCCAGATCCTCCGGCGTCTCCCCAACGTCGAGCTTCTGAACATGGAGCGCTTCGACTGGTTCACGTTCGCAGAACTGCTCGCCGGCCCCGGCGAGGATCGCGCCAACGCCGATCTGCGGGACGCGTTCGCCTCCGTCTTTCCCTTCCCCCGCTTGACCACGCTCCTTCTGCGCAGCATGCGCCCGCGCAATCACCCGGAGGCGCTGCAGCTCATCTCCGCGTTCCCCTCCCTGACCTCCGTGGAACTCGTGCAGATCACAGGTTCTCAGTTCTCAGAAGACGATGAGCCTGTAGCCGTATCTTATCACGGAGGCCCTCGCGTCTGTATCCGGGAGCTCGTTGTGGATAGATGGTCCAGCTCTCCTCCGGCGCTGCGCAAGATCCTCGAGGGCCTGCTGAGGCCGCCGTTCGATCTGCGACTCAGGAAGCTGCAGTGGAAGACCTCTGCCGCCGACGAGACCTCGAATCACTCGGACGGTCCGGTGCTGACTGAGATGTTCAGAGGGGCCGCAGACACCCTTGAGAAGTTTGAACTAGACATCCTGCGCGATGGTGAGTGCACGCCCACCACCAGGCTCGGCCCATGTACATATGATGACGTCCTCTGCAGATTGGCTGGAGAAGAACGACGTCTCGCGACACCGCGCGCTGACAGACGTCGTCCTCACCTTTGGCTTCACCCGGTACTACTCGTGCCACTGGCCGGCGGTCCCACGCTTCATCGCACAACTCAACTCGGGTGCCCTCCGCGAAGTGCAGCTGCGGTTTGAAGACCTGCACGCCCGCTTCCACTGGGAGTTCCTCCCTTGGCAAGAGATGACGGACGCCCTCCGCACGCTGCACCAGAGGCACCCGTCGGTCGTGGTCACGTTCACCTTCCTCTTCCGCGTCCGCCTCGGGCAGCTGGAGCCCGCGCCTTTCGTCGTCGAGCCGCTCAGAGCCCTCATTCGCCCCGTCCTCAAAGCGGGGATGCGCGTCGCGGTGGTCCGCACAGGGCTCATGGACTCGTACAAGTATAATAGTTCCTCGCCGGGCGCCCCAGACGTGACGTGGTCGCCAGTGTGGTCTGCACGCACTTGGTTGTCTGCGTGACGTCCGTCCAACTGGCTAATTGCTCACTCACCGAGCGTTCGATCTTTTTACTAGGGTTTAATGAACTCACCCACCACCTACTAATAGTATATGCAGTATGTCATGTAGACCCTGTACGTTATCAACCTGGATAATACCACTGGATCATGCGCTTTTTTAGAATGAGTGGCTCGGTCTCAGCAGGCCCCGGCTGTACATACCATCGCGACTCTCATCGGCAAACCAGTCTGGAAAGGGAGTTCGCGACGCACGCAACAAGGAATAGTAGAATCTGCGACGAACGTCGCGAGTTCTCCGGCGCATTTGGCATATAGTACTTATAACAACGAGACTATGCGACGCTAGCTAGGTGTCCCGCCATGGCGATCTCCGGCCTTCCTTCAGCCCGTGGTGTAAAGTACGATCGAGCGTAGAGCCGTTGACGTCTGCACGAGGATTTCCGTCCCCACCATATACAGATACCGCTCGCGAAGAGACCTTCATCACATACACTAAACCTCTTCAAGAGAGGAAATACTAGTACAACCTTATTGACCTCACCCAGCCATGTCCAAGTCAATCCAGTCCAATCACATCATCATCAACGCGTCCGTCGACGTCGCGCCCGGCGTCGCCGTAGATGATCATCGGCGCACGCTCGTCGGCGTCGTCCTCAACCTCTTCCAGGGCAAACCTAGTCTCCACAAGATGGACTTCTTCGCCGAGGACGCCGTCTACGAGAACCCGTGAGTCGCCCCCTCCTCTCGTCCCGCCACACACTGACGCGTCCACTCCCTCGCATCGCACAGCGTAGCGAAGAGCGTCGGCAGGACGTCGATAGCAGGGCAGTTCTACGGCCTCCCCGAGCTCTTCCGCTCGTCCGTGACCAAGTCCGCGCAGATCACCGCCTCCGACGCGCACACGACGTCCTTCCGCGTCCTGCACGAGTTCACGCCCAAGCTCGTCCCGAAGACGGTCTCGTTCGACACCGTCATGACGATCACCGTCGACGCCGCGGGCAAGATCACGCACTGGCGGGACCGCCCGAGCGCGGGGATCCCGGATGGCGGGTCCGGCCTGGTGGAGTGGCTGCGGACGAAGCAGAGCGAGCTGACGAAGGCAGTGTTGAGCCTGCCGAACGACGACGAGGAGGATCTGGAGCGATAGAGAAAGTGGACGAGGTGCCGGCGGAGTGAGGCGCAGGGAGGGGGATCACTGCAGAGACGAAGCGTACGAGCGGGAGGACATGACTGGTGTACGATCGACACCATGGAGCGCTATGCTGATAACGTGAAATATCCAGAGCGGACTACTCGGAAAGGATCATGAAAACCACGACGGAAGATCCATGGCAGTTGGTTACCACCTACTGCGAGTTCTGTGTAGACCACAGCGATGCGCATCCCTGCTTCGAGCACGTTGCGCAATATTTCTGTATGGCTGGCCTTCAAGGTCTGCCGCCAGTTCAGCCCAGCCTGAACGTATCGACCTAACGTGACTGATACAGTCGGGCACCGTTCGTGTAAGTCTATCAGGCGAGGTGTGAGGCTCCGCAGATCCCGATCGGACAGGACACGGCTACGATGTTGACGGGTAGACTCGAGCTCCACATGCCGCAGACGTTTCTGTGCAAGGCTTGAGATGACCTCCAGGGCAGAAGCCCACCTTGCTGGTATATGAACGGTGTGCTCTGACAGGATGATTGCAGTCAGTGCTCGGTAACGGGAGAGATCCTCTGCCGATAACCATTCTGCGCAGACCAGTGGCGATATCAATCAGTTGGAGGATATACAAAATTGACGATGATACTCACCGACATAAAGAGAATCAACTTCAAGCACCTCCAGAGTGCGCGCGGATCCATGGAACATCTTGTCCAACAATTCTTGGTCATCGACTAGGCGACTGAGGCGCCATCTCAGCTGCCGCAGCTGCAGTCCGTGAGGCAGATTGAACAATGCGTGCAATACACGCATCATCGAATGCTCGCCGCAGTCTGGTGGGCCCACGATGAGTTCCCGGATGCGTATACGCATGGCCTGATCGTAGGCGATGTCTAAGGGTTCGTGGTGGGGACGGCGGTCACATTCAATACAGGAAATTCCGGAGAGCTCCAGGGTCGTTACGGACGGGAACGCAGCGATGGTCTGGATGATTTCCTTGATGGAACGTCCGATGATGCATCTCAGCAACAGCACCTTCAGCTGTGGGAAGGCAAAGACAGTATTGACGGCGTCGTGCAGATCAACGCCAGCGCCCTGCGGACAAATGAGGTCTGCGAAGCAGTCCCATTCAAAGTTGGTCATGTTCAGGATCTCGAGGTTAGGGACACGGCGCAGGAGCTGGCATAGCAGGTCAAGACGTAGTCTCGCCCGCCTGGCCTGCGTCCTACGCCAAAGTTGCGTGAAACCCATCTTTGCTGGGAGGGTTAGCACCCGGACGAGGGAGCCAACGCCGACGCCATCCGACTCCGAGGTCGTGTCGAGGGTGATGAGGAACCGCAAGCAATCCCGCGCGGTGTCGAGCCTGACTGTCCAGAAGAGGTGTAAGCGTGCTATCGGGAGCCAAGCGGTGTGCGTCAGGCTGCACGCTCTGAGGGAGAGAGGGTCGTCGTGGAGGTGGTCCAGGACATGTTCATGTAGCTCGATGGGAAGCTCTGAGAGAGGCATGTCGATGTTCTAGTCAAACTAGCGTACGCGGGCACAGTGCGGCGTGAGCAGGTAGTCAGTCTATATATTCAATTACGAACGATAAAGAATTCAATATTAATACCTATGCGGCAGTCTCCAATCGTCCTTCACCAGGCCACTCCTTACATGTTCACAGATACAAATGATCAAGCAGTAGGTCTGCGTAATAGGTTACCCTGCTCGCTCCGCTCGTTCTTCACGTTCCAGTTTGCACAGTTTCCGCATGCACAGTCGGATTGAATTCGTTGCCCAAGATTGTACACCCAAACTGAAGCTCGAAGGTGGTCACGCCTGGACTCATAACGCAAGCGGTCACTGCGACAGAGGAGCTTGAAGGTAGACTAGACACAACGCGACGTGCTGGCATGTGCGAGACGATGGATGGCAGTAGGTCAGAATGGGGCGGGGTCTATGAAGGTGGAGCCGGACTCACGAAGGTGTAGTGAAGGCTGTCGGAGGACTAGGGGAAAGATGAAGCAGAGCAGATGGCATGGGACGAGATACGACAAGGGTGCGACCGAACAGAAATAGGCCAGCAAAGCAGATGAGGATCTCACGGCGAAAGCAAGAGAGGCGAGTGTGTTGGGAGTACCAAAGAAATAAGAATGGTATGGAGGATCCCGAACGCAGATGAAGCCCTGTCAAAATATGTTGATTACATGTGTGCAGCGGTGTGGAAGCGGATGAGTATAGGATGCTACGCAGATAATGTAAAGCATCCCGAGCGAACCGGCCAACGAAGATTATCCTGGTCCCGATTGCGAGCCGCCCATGTTCGTCGCCATTGTCCGAGTGCCATCGTGCGCCCCACGATCTTGGGAAAAGGCTCCACATGTGGCACCACAACCTCCATATATGCGACTGTGATAGGCAACCCAGCTTCGAGGACGTCGCGCAGTATCTCCCGGTGGCTGGCCTTCAAAGTCGAGAGGCAGTCCGATCCAGTCGGGACGCATCGACGTAGCGTGAGCGATACCGTCGGGCAAAGTTCATGCAGCTCTATGAGGCGCTTGGGCAAGTTCTGCAGGTCCCTGCCAGACAAGGAGCGGCGCCGAGGGTAGGGACCATATTCGAGTTCCACATCACGCAAGCTTTGCCGTGTAAGGTCCGCGATGATTTGCAGGATAGAGGCCCAGACTGTTGGGAAGTAGACGACGTGCTCCGGCAGAATGAGCGTGCGCAGCGAGCAGAGGCCAGAGAGATCCTGATTCAAGAACCAGCCTGTGCGTACCAGCGGTGACCAAACAGTTAGTCAGTTTAAGGCAGGCACGTAGCATAGTACGCTGCTTACCGATGTGATTGAAGTCAAACTCGAACGCCTCCAGAGTGGGTGCAGATTGGCGGAACAGGTCGCCCAGCACTTCCTGATCACCGACTCCGTATGCCCGATTGAACGCGAGACCCGTTCGCCACTTCAGCCGCCGAAGCTCCAGCTCGTAGGGTGGTCTCAATAACGCCCGCGTTGTGGTGATCAATGCGTTCCGGGGGCCTAACCATCCGTCTATCGTCAGCTCCCGAATTGTTACATGAGTTTGTCGGTCAAATGCGACGTCTATCGGGGCATGATCGAAATCACGGTGTGGTGCTCCCGGTGACCATCCAAGCTGGAGGGCAGTCAAGAAGGGGAATGTAGAAACGAGCTGGGGGATCCCACTCATGGAATGAGGAACAATCTCGCGTAGTAACAACGCCTTCAGCCGGGGAAAGGCGAAAATGGTCTTGACGGCGTCACGCGGATCAACGTCGATGCCATTCGGACAGGCAAGTCCGCTGAGTTTATACCATTCGAACCGGCACATGTCCAGGGTCTCGACATTGGGGACGCGCCGCAAGATTTGCTTCACCAGGTCCATGCGTAGCGCCGCTCGCCTGTTCCTCCGCTCAAGACCCATCTTGGCCGGTAGGATCAGCACCCGGACAAAGGCACCGTTGCTCATGCCACCATTGATCTCCGAACTTGTCTCGAGTGAGCTGAGGAAGCGTAAGCACTGTCGCGTGGTCCCGAGCTTGACTGTCCGAAAGAGACGTAGACGTGCCACCAGGAGCAACGCCCAACAGGTCAGACTGCATGCACTGAGGGAGGGAGGGTCATCGTAGAGGATGTCCAAGACCCGTTCCAGGAGCTCGGGTGGCAGACCCAGCAGTGGCATGCTGCGCGCGGTGGATGTGGTCGTCGGAGTTGTGACAGGAGCTCGCACGGTTCAGAGACGCGAACTGGGGCAGCGTGTGTAACCTATGATGAAGTAATGAGAACAGCAGCAAAGTCGACGTCGAGTCGTCGACTTGCCAGTGGCACTGAGGTTCCTGGCGCGCGACGCTAGCCTGAGTGACTTGCCAGTGGGACCCAGGCTGGCCGGCCGTGCGCGTGAGACACTGTGAGACTCAAAGCCGGAAGTCTGAGAACTCACCAGTGCTAGGCTCGTTGCGCAAGACTACGCGACTAAGACGTGGAAATGACTACGATCTACTGCGTTTGACGAGCGGGCGGCGATGGTCTCTGAAAAGTCGATGACCGGATGGAGGTAGGCACCAGCCTGGTCCAGGCCCGCACACGGCGACGAGGCACAACACAACCGTCAACGCGTCTGGTGGAGGAGGACTGAGGAGGAGGAGCAGGAGGAAGGGGGGTCAATTCAGCCACCGGCCCGGGCCGATCCCGTACGCGCGTCTCGGCCCACCTTGCAGTGATGGCGACGGTACAACATGGCTACCCATAGGACTACTGTACCGTAACTAGACTACCTGGCGCCCCTTCCATCCCTACCATAGATTCAACTTCCCGAGAGGCTCCACGTTTCGGCGGGGCGGGACACTCTGCTAAAACCTGTTGGGAAGGACGACAAATCCCGACAATGTGGAGTGGTCACTTCAGACCTTGAGATAGTATTTCAATCACTTATGTAGTACTGGTCGTAGTAGTACGAAGTACGACGTACTATCGTACAGTCATCGTGGACAATACTCTGCCAGTGAGTGCGAGCTCTCCATCGTCATCCTTCCGTCGAGTGTTCTGTCATTGGGCCGCGGTGACGCTCGTGGACAAAGCACGATTGGACATACAGTACGTTTGCGTCATGTAGAGTCCCGACCTTCTCGCGGTTCTGGATCCCGCATCAACATCAAGACGGCCTCGTAAGTCGCCCATGCGATCGCCGAGTTGAGTGGCTTGCGCGAGAGCCGGAGGAGCGCGCCGTCGAAGAACCCAAGTAGCCCGCGTTCCTACGGCGGAGGACGTCAGATCAGCGATCACAGTAAGCGAAGAAGTCCGAGAATGGCGCTCGGTGGACGTACTCGTTGGATTGTAAGGATGCTCCGAAGCAAACCTTGATATTTTGCCTCTGTACGGACCTGCATCTTCGTCTGGATAATCACCGGTCAGAGAACTTGCGCACCAGTGGCCAAGGCTAGATGGCAGGCACCTTCACGACGTCTAACGGGTGGGTGGCCAGCGTGGCCAGGGCGCCTGAGGTTGCGGCTGATATACCATGTACAAGCCCGGACTGCGCCGACGAGCTAGGTAATGCAAGGCTTGCTGTTGTCGAAGAGAGAAGTGCATACGGTCAGTCGGGTTATACGAGCAACGATTGCGAATGATATACTCACATATCTCATGTTTTAGCTGTTCATAGCAGAGCACGAATATGCCGGCGTACGGCGCGTCGCGGAGTGATGTGGCGACTACACCGCGGAAGAGCTCAGACGGCCCTGCGCGTACCAAGGAGCGAACTGCACTGGAGATACTGCTATACTGGTAAAAGTTGCTCTTGATGTTGTTCCATGCTATTAGAGTGCCGTGGTAAACAAACCATCAAATGTGATGTCGTACCTCATATCGAGCCTTGAGCACGGTGAATGGATTTAGGAGTGCGCCGACTGTTACGCGGGTGAATGCGCCGGCGAGGAGGTTGCCTTGCTTGTTCAGTTTTGGCAGTACTGAGCCCGAGCGCGTACGTTCCGATTCAGCAGCGAAGTAGGTCGTCCCGGCGAGCATCGTGCGCACTTGGTTCATGCCGGCGAAGTAAAAGGCGACGCCAGGGACGTTGCTGCACGAGGAGTGGGCAAAACGGAGGCAGTGAAGCATCGGATTTTCGCGACATACCGGAGTAGAGTAGCCGTTGTTCCTCGCCAGAGGCCAAGAACACCGTCGCGACGAACGATGTCGCGGGCGAGCGAGACGACTGTACCTGCATGGCTAGAGGAGATGACCCCAGAGCTCAGAGCGCACGCGTAGATGACATACCGTGATCCAGATACTCGTCCGTCTCCCTGCTGCAAGCGTGTTTTCAACAAGTCAACTTTCGTAAGTAGTCAGAATGCCGCCGTTGACTGATGCTACCCTGGCTGCCTAGCACGACTCACGAGGTTGTAGGGTTATGGTAGATGCCAGGCCGGAGAGGGCTCCTATGCTCGGAGGTGTCATCTTGCTTTCAAGAAAGGTTGCATATACGCCGACATACCGGAGAGAAGGTGCTGCCCCGCATTGTTCATTAAACCGTGAAGACTATTAGATGCGTCCGGCAAGACAGTGTGCCGCCACGACTTGAGGAGGTAGGGATCCTGTGGTCGGCTGGGCTTGGATGAGAAGGGAGAAAGACAATTTATAAGAAGGGAGTTGACTAGGCGGCATCCGCTCGGGGGCGAAACTGACAGTGAATGGCAGTATGAGTCTGCCGCGCGCCGGCGGAGGAGACCGTCGCGTCGCGTCATCCCCCGAATCGCGGTCACGTGTCCTACCACAGACGCGTCTCTCATTCGACGTATGTCGTATCATCATGCCTTCAGCGTCACACACTTGATAGTGAGAGTAGGTTTGTTTTCCATATCAGACCGAGATATAAAGTTTGAAAAATAGAAACACGAAACGAAGACAGAAAGAAAACCACAGAAGCATGCGACCGCCGATGAAGGAGGTTGCAGAGACAATACAGAGGATCGAGGAAAGGGTTGGGATACAGGCAAAACTTGGCAGTGACCGTTGTCAGACACATGGTAGAAATCCCAATTTCAAGGCAGAATTGGGACCGATCAAGGTTTGATTCTTCTGTATATCTGTCGCGAACTTCAGACTCAGTTAATCTGAATGGACGGTATCAAGACGTACCTCAAGTGAGCGGTTCAGTAAGGGTTTTCTTGCATCTTCATCGTAGCGTCTCCGCATCGTTCTTGTTGCTTCGCCTAGCTCCGCATAGTTGTGTCCGCTCTAAGCGAGATGTTCAGTCAAGCCCTACAGACGGAACTGGGCACGCACCGAGAAGTTGTTCAACAAAAACGTATGTTCCGACGCCACGGAATCGTCGAGAGTGCGTTGCTCGGGTGACCATCGATTGCCAATAGCGTACGCGTTGTCCAAGGTACGTTGAGCAGTCGAGATCGCCCCTTGCGTCGTTCCGTTGCAAAGCGCGATCTCGACACATCGACTGCAGGAGAGATGGTCAGTAAATCCTTCCAGGTAGTCGACGTCACGTAATGCAATGGTGAAGCTACAAACCTATCGTCCCATTGCATTCTCTCGGTTTGATGCTACCAAGTCCAGCGCCGTTGGGCACCGGAGTACTGACGAGACCCGCGAATTTCGACTGGTGACTCGCTTGCATCTGCTTGAGATATTGTATCAGAATTGACCGCCTATGAGGGAGATCAGCTCGTGCGAGACGAAAGTACAGACGATGAAAACGCCTCTTACCTTGATTTGTTCCATGATCATGTATTCGCATGCCAACTCTTCCCTGCTTCCAACCCCATCTCCCATCCTTCGCAAGTCCCTGCTACCTCCTGCACCCACGTCCGCTAAACCTTCCCCCCTCTCCCCCGCACCCTCCCCCCGCGCCGCTCACCACTGAAGCCCATTGGCCTTCAGGACGGTGACCATCTTCTCCTGCTCCTCGCGCCATAACTTCGAGACTTGCCGGGACGTGTTGAGCCTGTCTTGCAGCCCTGCGATTCTCGCTTCCTTGTCACGGCACTCCGCATTCAGCCCTGCGATCCTCCTGCTCTTCTTCAGGACCTCGGCGTTCGCAGAGTCGATAGAACCGTGAGACGCGTTGACGGAGGCCTTCAGAGTGGTGATCTCGTTCTTGAGTACGATGATGGCCTCGCTCTTTGCGCTGCCCTCGAGGCTGGCGAACTCCATGGAATCCTGGAAAGCGTCGATTGAGGTCTGCAGAGTTGTGATCTCGTTCTTGAGCGTGTAAATCGTCTTGTCCTTCTCGGCTGCGTTGCTCTGCAGTCCGCCGATCTTGGCGTGGAGCATGACGTTCACCGCGTCCTTTGCGCGCACCTCGAGGTCGGCGAACTCAATGTCGCCAGGGAGGGAGTCGATGAAAGCCTGCAGAGCTGCGTTGTCGTTCCGGAGCGTGACGATGTCCTCGTCCTTCTCGAGTACGCCCTTGTTCCGACCGTGAACTCGGTCTTCGAGAGCGGCAATTGTCTTGTCCTTCGCCAGGCATTCGAGGTTCAGAGAGTCAAGAGAGGCCTGTAGAGCAGTGATCGAGTTCTCAAGCGTGTTGACCGAAGTCTGAAGCGCAGTGACAGAGGTCTGAAGAGTGGCGTTCGCGTCCTGGAGCTTAGCGTTCGAGTCCTGGAGCTTAGCGTTCGAGTCCTGGAGCTTAGCGTTCGAGTCCTGAAGGTCAGTGACGTCGTGCTTGAGCGTAACGATAGTCTCGTCCTTCTCGGTAACGGTACTCTTCAGTTCGCGGACCTGCTCTTTGAGCGCGTCGATCGTCTTGTCCTTGGCATGGTTGTTGAGCTTCTCGTCGGTAAGCTCGGCAGAGAACTTGTCCCTCGACTCGTGCAGGCACTGGTTGCTGTCCTTGAGCGCGGTGATCAACTGGTCCTTGTCCTCCCCAGAGCAACGCAACCCGTCGTTCTGGCCACCGAGCTTCGCAATCACCACATCCTTGTTCTGCACCTCGGCGAGCAACTGAGCCTTCTGCTCGCCGAGCTGCATGATGGTCACGTCCAAGCCAATCCGTTCCTGGACCAGCTGGTCCTCCTTCGCCTTGAACTCCTTGATCGCCTTGGCCTTGTGGAGCTTGTCGCGGAGAAGACGTTCCTTATCCACGCTAAGCGTCGCGATTACGGCGTCCTTCTTCTTCCCGGCCTCGAATAACACATCGGTCTCGCTCTCGAGCTCGGCGATGCTGGCGTCTCTCACTTCAACTTCGAAGCGGACAGACTCGAGCGCATCCTGGAGCGCGTCCGCCTCGGTCTTCTGTTTCTGGAACTGCTGCAGAACCTTGGCGAGCTTCTCGGCAGAGGACATCGAGTCGGTGTCGAGGCGGAGACCCATAGTACGAGCGACCTCCATGTATGCATTGTTGACCAGTGCCTCGAGCTCGGAGCGTTCGTGCGTCTCAGTGTGAAGACGACCCTCCACCTCCGAGCGTTCTCGCGTCTCAGTCTCTAGACGGCCCTCTAGTTCCAGACGGCCGCTCGTCTCAGCCTGAAGCAGTCCGTCCAGTTCCTTGCACTCGAGCCTCTCGATCCGGAGAAGACGTTCCGTAGCAGCTAGATCATCCATGAGGGCGAACGTGCGCGATTCCAAGGCCGTGTTCTCCCCCAGCGCCTGGTTCAAGCTCGCGAGAATTTGATTGTGTTTGACCTGTTCGACCTCGAGGTCGCTCTGCGCGTTCTTGTAGCCAGTGACGAACTTCGCATGTCGGCGTTGGAGCTGGGAGTGGGCCTGCCTGTGGCGTCTGGCGAAGTGACGATGCTCTGTGAGCGTATCGCTCAGGAATAGGATGTCGGATAAGAGCTAGGTGGATGTCAGAGACAGTCGCTGAGGATCGGTATGGAAGGACGTACCTGAGAGCGAGACTTCCTCTCTCTGTATGCGCGGATTGCCCTCTTAACAAGCGCGAGGACAGTGCCGGGGAGTTCCTGGATCTGCCAGAACGTGAGGACGTATATTCAGCCATGCCGTGTTGTTGTTCGACATACCTTTGGCCTTGTACCAGAGCCCCCAGTACCAGGGCGCCCTCCACCGACATAGCCCAACAGACGCGGGATGACACCGAAGTAGACCACAGAGTAGACCGAGACACCATAGACCAAGAGGAAGCCAATAGCCACAGAAGACCCATACTTGCGTCCCAGGAACTCGAACGCAGCCTTGAGAGGACCATCCAGGAAGACCGACTGTAGCAGAACCGTGGCGGCGAGGGAGGACAGCCCTCGACCGAACCTGGACGACCATAGGATGGAAGACTCCTTGCGCATAGCTGGAGAGTAGTAGTGAGTGTGGGGGTGCTTGTGTATGATGGGGCTAAGTGGCGGAGAGGAAGACGGAATGGACGAGACAACCGTACCTACAGTCCTAGTTTAAATACCCTTCTTCTCGAGGCTGACGTTGGGCCTGCACAAGATGCCAGCCTCAGAGGCTGGCTCAGGCTCAACTCGTACGGCATTGCGGCAGTGGGTTACGGTCTTGCCTCCCTCATTGGCATTTGAGATATCGTAGATCAGGTCGAAGGTCATGTTTCTGAGCGCTTGGGTACCGTAAGTAGTAGCGGCAAGTACCGGCAAGTAGAAGTTGATCCACATCACCTTCCTTTTCTGGCACGCATCGTCACCTCAATGCATACGGCGACGCGACACCGAAGGTACCGGTAAGCTACTACGACTGCACATCTACACCGGTCATGCTGAACGCACACAGTGAACTGCGCAATAACTTAAGGAATACTTATCGGAAAGCCAACGTTGTACACTACTTCGCTCGATACTAACACATACACGTAAACTTTTACACCCCACCACTCCGACCGTTCCGACTCTACAACGACGGCCCCCACCAGCGTGATTACGAAGCACAACAAATCAGCGAACAAATAAAGAAAGCGAAAAATGCTGTCCGAGAGCTTGTATGGGAGAGAAAAGAGTATAAGAACAATTATAACAAGAGTTTAACAGTCGTGGGGCGACGGGGCGGGGAGCAGGACCGTGACGAAAGTGTACCAAAACAACACTCGATGAAGTTGAAAGCGATAAAATAAGGGGAAGCGTACGGTTCGCGGATGTACCGTGGGGAGGGTAAGCGGCAACGCGCACAGAGAAGAAGGGTGATATGTCTGGTGATCGATACAGGTCTTGATGCAGAAAGAGGCGACGAAGTCGGCATTACACGAGCGCAGCGGACTTGAGATAATCACGGAATATTGAATCCCGCACGTTGGAGATGATGCTCTGCATCGCCTTCGTGTCCTGGAAGTCTAACCGTCAGCGTCTACGTCATGGAGAACGTGAGCATAGAACATACGACGACGCTCGTGAGGTGGGTATAGAGCACGCGCTTGCCCTCGTTGTTACGTGTATGCACTTGCGTAAAATGTGCCTTGAAGTAGGATACAACTGCGTCCACGTCGTTTGGCCGGTCGCCGTAGGACGTGATACTGTCGCCGAACTGTCAGGACATAGCCATCTTGATTAAGTGGAAAGCATACTATTTCTTAACCCTGATCCCGCGGGTAAGTTTATCCGCAAGTACATCCGCCTTATCTGAGAATTCACAGAATGAATTTGGGGCAACCGCAAGAAAGAGCGAACGACGTACTAAGGAACAGGACTAGATGTGCCTGCTTGAGCAGCGGATTCGAGCATATCTGCTTGAACAGCTGCAGCGAGTCGTCAATGCGGTTGGTCCTGGGGTCCTCGCTCAAGTACTGCCAAAAATGTTATTTACAGTGTCCACACTGAAATGATGTGTGAAATTTTACCTGATCAAATGCGCTGACTGGTGCGAGGAAAATGATCGCAGTCGCATCGTCGAAGTACGGAACCCACGTGTGCCTCTGTCCCCTAGCACCGCCAACGTCGTATAAATGCCAAGTGACATTGCGGCCGTGTAGTGGAACGTCGAATATGTGCTCGGCGACTCCCATGGTTTGTATTCGCGCGTGAAGAATGTCGTCTGCGAGCATGTCAGGCTTGGCATCCTGTCTATTTCGAACGTCTACACGCACCGATGGTGGGAACGTACCCAGGTGAAGATACGCGGCCGATGTTATCCATGAAGCTTGTCCTGCAGTTAGCGGCACCATCAACTGTGACGACAAAGAATACTCACTATTCAGCCCACTCTTCCAGCCGCAACTTCCGGTTCTCACGTAGCCGCTTCACTGCAGGATGCCGCCACAACTCCTGGACATCGCCCTTACACGAGTTGAGCACCAGCGCGACCTCCTCCACGAGCCTGTCCTTCTCCAGTTCAGAGTGATCCGAGGCTTCCGTATCTATGCTCTTCCGCTCCGTCGCCGCGTTCTCCAGCGCGCTGCGTTGACCAGTGAAGCTAAAGCGGCCCCTCGAGCTGGTCCGTTCCCTCGACTTGCCAAACGGAATCCCGAAACTGCGGGCTTGCCAGCCGGTACGAACCATCACGCTGCCTTTGCCGGAGCCACATACCGATACACCGCCTAACCGGTTTGCGAGCTGCGATTCGAGTTGGACGAGGGGTGACAAGCGGAGTCGGAGAGCAGTTAGTTGCTGATCCATAGACGGCGACGGCGACGGTTGCAGGGTCTCCCGGCTGGCACTCGCATCCGCGGTTCTCCCGAGTTTCTCGCTCCTGTCGGAAGCTGCCATCCGGCTCTCCAACGTGCCGTACGCGAAGTTCATCTTCTCGGCGACGTCGTCATCCGAGTCACCCTCGGCGTACAGATCGAGCGCTTCGAGGATGCGAAGCACTGGCCGGACAATATTGTACTGGATAACGACTCGCCATGAAAGTCGCTCCTCGTGGAGGGACGTTGGGTTGTATATGAGCTGGAACTGCTTCTGCAGCGTAGACTTGCCTGATTCGGCCTGGCCAAGGAGTAGGAGCTGCGATGTTTCGTGTGAGCAAAAAGTCGCTCGGGGCCGCAGAAGATGATGCGCATCGTGCGATTTCAAGTGATTGAGACGATGGCAGAGGCAGCGCCATTCATCTGAAATTGAGAAACACACGGATCGCGCGGCGGTCACCAGCGACCAGAGGCAGACGCGGGCCCACATCGCGCGCAGCACTAGACGGCGATGAGAGCGGGCACTCACCTTGACATCCTCCTTGCGCTTCTTGAGCCGCTCCCTATCCTGCCTGATGGCCTCGTCGATGCTGTCGCTGATCTTCTTCGCGTTCGCCTCGCGCTGGAGACGCACCGAACGATCCTCGGAAGACTCCGCGGGCGGGGGACGGAGGATGGCGGAGAGGGGATCCTCGGTGGCTACGCTGCGCAGGGAGGGTGGCCGCGATGTGGAGATCATGGCCGGTGGCGACGACGACGGCGAGGGTGGTGGTGGTGGCAGCGAGAGAGCAGGCAGTGGGAGGGGGCAGGTGATGCCCGCCCTCTTTTAGGTTGGCTGGCCTGACGGCCGCCCATCGACGTGATGTATGTTAGAAGCAGGCCGTAGATGGAACCAACGCACCTGCCGCAGCCCACCGATCGCCCGCGTCCCGATCTCCGGGCTCCGGCACTGCTCCGGCCTCTCCGCCGAGCGCACAGCCAATCACGCCCGCGATCGCGGTGGCTGGCCGATTGCCTCCGCGCCGTCGGCCGGGCTCCGGGCCTTTGTGGCGTTTGTGTGTGCGCCTGCCGCCCGGCGGGGAGCGCGCCCACCGCCTCGAGCGTCTGGCAGTGGCAGCGCACCGCCGCCCGACTGCCACACTGCACGTCGCCCCGCCACACCGCCTGCACCGTCTCCAAGACTAGCGTGGTCGTGATAGCAAGAAACATGGTACGCGCGATGCTCCGTCCGCATCTGATGTCTTCGTGATGGGCTGATCCACTCCAGTCAGTCACTCTCCATACCTCGCTCGGCGACATCAAGGTCTGCTCGCACACCCATATGCTCCCTCCCGTGCGCTCACTCTCCCGCTGCCGTCCAGATCGAGGTCTTCTGCGAGGCGGTGCCCAAGACAGCTGAGGTGAGTCTCCCGCCCTTCCTCCATTGCAATGCATAACCTCCATTCGACAGAACTTCTTAGCATTGTGCGCCTGGGACTACTATGACGGCTGCATCTGGCACCGCAACATCAAGGGCTTCATGATCCAGACGGGCGATCCCTCTGGCTCGGGCAAGGGGGGCCAGAGCATCTACGGTGCCCCCTTTGCGGATGAGATTCGTTCCACGCTCAAGGTCGGCCCGCTCGACATTCCGTGCGAGCCCCTGCTGACAGCTCCCGGACGCCGTCCAGTTCAACAACCGTGGAATCGTCGCTATGGCGAATGCAGGCCCGGACTCGAACAAGTCCCAGTTCTTCATAACCTACGCAAAGCAGCCCCACCTGGATGGGAAGTACACTATTTTTGGCAAGGTACGGCCCCCGCTGCAACCCATTGAGGCTACGTCTGCTCACAGGCATCTATGCAGGTTATTGACGGAGCGGACACTACGCTCGATGCCATGGAGCGCGCCCCGGTCAATGCGAAGAATCGTCCTCTGACAGAGATCAAATTGCACAACGTGAGTGATTTTTACGGTTTTGCCTTCGGCGCGGGCGGCGCAGCATTGTTCGGTTCTTCAGCGGGGGACGAACGCCTGTGACGTTCTGCAGCTACAACCCCCCTGGGGAACCGAACAGGTACTCCGCCCGCAGTGTTTGCGACAGCAGAACCCCGTATACTGCCAGTCGCGGACGAGCTCAAGGGGTCCACGTAAACATTCTGACAAAGTTGCCCCAATTCTGTCATGCAGGTGACGATTCACGCAAATCCCATCGCTGATGCAAAGCTGGCTGGCCGGTAGCTGTACGCTGGCTGTACGCCCTGCCTTCCCCCCCCCTTTTACAACCCCTGTTCTCGATTTAAAGCCTTCTCTTCCTGGAGCAGTACAGCCTTTCGCTGACTGTTCGTATAACTTACCTGGGTACAGTACAGTACCACTGCCAGCCCCGAGTGTGAGCGTGCCTGATCGAAGTGCGACCTCCGACTCCGAGTTCCCAATCGGCACTGATAGCCATCCCACTTAGCCGTCATTGATCTTCCGTGCCTTATAGCCGAGAGAACACCCGCTACTTAGTATGATCAGGATCTCGACGACCTTCGACGACGCGCACGTCATCCTACGTTACATATAAGTGTGATTTTTCACTCGCCTGACCAGCTCTAGCTACTCTAGGCTACTCTGCGCCACAACGTGCACTGATCGCCGACAAGCGCACTACTTACTTAGTCCCATGTCGTGATGACCACAGTACGGTCAGTACTCTCGGTTCTCGAGGCATTTGATCAAGACATGACCAGGATGCTCCATCCCATGAACGTTTCTTGCGCTCGATCGTCTGAATCCCAGTCGTCGTCGAGTTGTCAAGGGGGATGTTTTGGGGGAATTAATATTGATGTGATGGGATGTGATAGTATTGGTAAATACCTCTACTAGCCTCTATTGAACCTCCACAGCTCGCCACGCCGCTATCAGGCCATGTCGCTCCGTAGGCCCGTAGCTCGCGCACCGTGACCCCACAGCCGACGCCCGGAGGCAGCCCGGCGGGAGGTCCTCTGAGCGCCTCCGCCGCCTGGAAGCCTTCCGACGTTCGTGAAGTACCACTAGTACGTGTCAAACACACGCGCCTTGATGGTACTAGATGGTATTGAACTAGCATTCCGCCGGACTGTCCTGGGAGCGTCATGCCGCGGAAGTGCTAGGTGATCTCAGTCCGTTTCGCCGTGCGGGGGTATAAGATGATAGGTGTCGAGGATGGTGTAGTGAGCGTTCCCTGCGTCGGTGCTCATGCCCGTAGGAACTACGGAGACGGAGGCGGGCGGTCTGCATACCGCAGTGAAGGGGATGTCTGACGAGGTTAAGGGTGAGTTCTCTTCCTACTGATCGTTTATACGGTATACCCACGACACACAAATCCGCAGGGATGAGTCTGCCGTCCTCGCCAGGATCCTCCAAAGACGCAGTCGCAGTCGCAGTCGATGCTACAGTCAACATCGAACAGTTGGTCCGACGGGGGGAGCAGTACAAGTTGCGGTTCCCCGAGGTGAACGAGGCCAAGTTGATGCGCAAGATCGATCTGAAGGTCATACCGGTGCTGTGTGTCATGTACTTGTTGGCCTATCTTGATCGGTGAGTGCAATGCACCTCTTCATATAGGTTCGCGTGAGTATTGATGCGACATGGTAGAGTGAATATCGGCAACGCTGTCCTATTCGGTCTCAAGGAAGATCTCAGGCTCGAGGGGACCCAATACAATAGCGCCCTCGTCGTCTTGTGCGCCCGTGTTCATGACATATCATGTGCAGAACTTTCAAATACTGATACCAACCCTCCAGCTTCATTCCTTATATGCTCTTCGACATTCCCTTCAACGCCCTTGTCAAGCGACTAAGGCCTCACGTGTGGCGTGCGTACACATTTGCAGCTCGCCTTAGTCGAGTCCTGACGACTTCCAGTGTCGATGTCTATGTTCCTCTTCGGCCTTCTGTCTGTCTGTCAAGGCTTGACGCAGAACCTCTCTGGCCTCGTCGCCACACGATTTTTTCTTGGTAAGGGCGACTGTTGTCACTGGAGTGCTTATTTCTGATGACTTCCGTAGGTCTGGTTGAGAGCGGCGTATTCCCAGCTTGCCTCTACCTCATCTCAATGTGCGTTCTCAGGCTAGTCCAACATGCGAGTGCCAATAGTCTGACGCGCAGGCGCATATAGGTGGTACAGACGAGCAGAAGCGCAGAAGAGGTACTCTTTCTTCTTCTCCTCGACAACTCTGGGCGGAGCATTTGGCGGCCTCCTCGCCTCGGCAATAGGCAAGATGGACGGCCTGGGCGGGTACCGCGGCTGGAGGTGGATCTTCATCGTAGGTCGTGGCATCCCACTCTCGCATGTATGAACCTATCTCAAGGACCTGCAGAAGGCGCACTGACGTGTGCAGTCTCTATCGCCTTGTACTTCTTCATCTCCGACTTCCCAGAGGAAGCGAGCTGGCTCACGCCGGAGGAGCGAGAGTTCGTCCAGGCGAGGCTTCGTGAGGATGTGGGGGAGTCATGCAGGGATGATCCGTTGACCGTGCGGTCGGTTTTGGCTGTATTCAAGGACGGTGAGTCAGGCGTAATGTGTGTGCGGATGCAAATTGAGCTCACGCTGCGTAGTCAAGATCATCATAGGCGGGTTCATGTATCTCGGCCTCGTGTGCGCTGGATATAGCTATGGTTCGCCCCATCTGTCGCCCCTCATTCCGGCATACAATACTGACTGAACGCCTCCACTCAGCATACTTCTCCCCCGCAATCATTCAAAGCCTCGGACACAGCAGCATCCGCACACAGCTCATATCAGTCCCGCCCTGGGCGTGTGCCTGCGTCGTCGCAATGGTCGTCGCAACCATCTCTGACCACATCCGGCACCGTTTCCTCTTTGTGGTGTCCTTCACTATGCTTGCTCTCGCGGGCTACGTCATGCTCCTTGTCGTGCACGACAGGCCAAACGTACAGTATGCGGCGCTATTCTTGCCCGCGATGGGCACGTACACCGCCATGCCTATTGCGATATGCTGGTTTGGCATCAACTGTGAGTAGACAGACTCGTCAATGCGACTCGCACATGGATTCAATCTTCACGGTTATTACTAGTGGGCGGACATCGTCGAAGAGCAGTGGGGACAGCATGGCAAATCGGGTTCGGTAGCAGTGCGTGACCTGAAGTTCTCATTCCGCGCATCCGTGCTGATATTATGCATAGTCGGAGGTATCATTGCCGTATACTCCTTCCTTGCTAAAGACTCCCCGCGCTACATAGCAGGTTACAGTGTCTGCATCGCCGCCACATGCACGTCTATCATTGCGGACTGCGCGTACTTCTATGCTATCTCGCGGGAGAACCGGAGAAGGAGAAAAGAGGAGTCCGAGTCGTCCGCTAGTGCGGGCTCGGAAGATGAGAAAGGGGACCTCCGTAGAGACTATCGCTATTTGTTGTAAGCTGGGTTGGTCAATGTCGTTGAAATACAGGATTGCATCGCCAACATCAAACCGACGCCTAGGATTTTCTTAATGTGATATTCTCTAGGAGGTAAGGGTAGTTAGCATTGAGCGAAGCTAGTGACCTCGCCAGATGTCAGTGTATACTCCAGTACAAGAAGAAGACGATGTAACCGTCGTAATTACGCGAGACTCTGCGCCAGAGAGGCCGACCAGTGTCGTGTTGATCGGACCAAACAAACGGACGGCGTTCAGCTTGACGCGCATTTGGAGCAGATTTGAAGACCAAACCGGATCACATCGATGATGTTCCAAGATGGAATGCAGCATCAGGATAAAGGTACCACATGTATTGTCTGCGGAGTCCGCATACATCTATTCTAGAAGGATATGCTCACAGCACCCCCGTAAATGGTGTAGCAGTGCTGGTGACCTTCTGTAAATGAAGCCGGCAAGTGATGAGTCCGTCTGAGCGTCAGCTATGGTTGTTACAGTAACAAAACATGGGATATCGAACCTTACTAGTGATCAACTTCATGCTTAGGATACAGTTGAACCACACGAGTGCGTTTGACTTCCTCCCCTAGGTCACCAAAGTAGCGCGTCGTCTCAAACGACCACACGATATTCCCAACTACCCAAGTCTCCAGGGCTTTCACGAACTCCGCGACGATCGCATCCATTTCCGGGCCCCAAGATGGCAACAACGCCTTGTCGGCCTGGAATTGATCTACGATCTGTTTGAAACGCGCGCCGCCCGCGAGGTCTGCAGCAGTCTGGAGGTCACAGTGCTCGGATTCCATCAGGACCGTCAGGATATTATTACCCGGGTGGCCCATCGCCTGCTCCCTGTTGTACGAGTAGGGGTCCTGTCCAATTTTCAGTGTTCAAATTAAATGAGTATGAGAGGTCACTGGCGTACGTTTGCCAGCCACACCATGTCGACCGCAGCGATATGCAGGCGCGTCATGATAGGGTGTTCGAACATCTCGTCCGGGAGGTCGAGACCTAAGGCGAACCCAAGGTACCCGAAGCAAATTCGAACGGCGCCGTTTTCTGACGTTGGCGTACGCCTCTGGGTCGAGGACTTTGTTGCGCTCGCGAAGCTCTGCCTCTACGGTGACCGCGTTGATGTAGTCTTCACAGTGCTTGAGCAGTCGGTTGTAACACGCGGGCACGTTGAACTGGAGCAGCCTCTCGCGGAGCCTACAGCACGTCCGTTAGTGAGTGCGTAAGCACAGAGTAGGATGGCATGTCCCTACTCCTTTGTCATCTGGGCGAGCGGTGACCCATCGTGCCAGTCGGGGTCACGCAGGGCACTGAGAAAGACCTGTCCAGTCTCAGATGCACCCTTCCCGTCCTGGTCATCGCTAACATCGTCGATGACAAACAGGAGGTCCACGAGGTTCATCGCGGTGCGCAGCTCGTCGAAGTTAGCGTAAGGGTAGACATGAGCGCAGACAAGCTCCGTGTCACCGTGTTCGAAATAGGCGCGCTTGTGCTCTGGGACGATGTCGTAGCTGTTGACCCAGGCCGAGGATTCCTTCATTGCTGGCTCGTAGTGGGTCGAATTGAAGGAGTGTTTGAAGGGCAGCATGGACAACAGGTCGGGGAGGACGAACGAGTCTAAAGTAGAAGACATGTTGGAGTGAGACTTACGAGTGAGCCAAAGACCGTAGGAGGTGAGGTAGCTGGACATGAGGTACTGCTTAAGTATCGTGTCGTGCGCGTTCAGTTCCTAGACTCGTAGCGCAACCATAGTATCGACCTCCGAAAAAAACATAATCATCATCTTCAGGCTAACCGCAGCCATGACTCACCTCGTCGGGAAATTCGTCGGGCATGAGATCATTACTCAGGAACCCGACGTCGAAGGTGTCCTCGAGCAGCCCTGGTGGGACACATTCCATAACCACCGAGGCGCATAGTCACGGCTTGAACCTTCAACATCCAAAACCTTCTGTGGGTTGCTCCGGACACCAGGGACTTATCAATCCGGCGAGGCGGTTATCGCTGTAGCCCGAAGCACGGCGGAAGAAGTTTTCTAGGGGAGTGGACGCTGGAGCGGGTCATTTTGTGCCATACACCTAGTAGACGAATCGTGGAGCATACCTGTAGTTACACTGTGTCTTGCCGTGACAAGCATCCAAAGAAACGTGCCTCGGGTTTGAGGTTCAGATTTGTGAGCAGCAGTCGGCCATACCGTGTAGTTCGATCGTAGGCGCAACCTGAATGTGAATTAGTTACCTTCGAAAGGTTGACGACAACAATGTGAACACAGACAGCTGAGTTCCCCGCCAACATGTAGCAATTGACACACAGGGTCTCACGGAGCTAACCCAGGCCCGGGGGAGCTACGCTGTCTCATGCTGCTCATACAGTGTATTCAGCCGCTCCGATGGGTTTCTGCAGTCCGGCAGCCAGAAAAGCAGTCATGTTGGCGCTCCATGCCACTCGGGCGGTCCGTTGTAATTCACACTCAAGGCAAGGGATGACGCACATTGGCATGTCTGGTAGTCACCCTCGAGAGATTAAGCTCTACCTAACGCACACGCACGGCTCAACTCGCTCAGAGACCGACATGATCTGCAAGTCACTGGCACGACATATGACTCCAGCCTAGTTTGACTACAATTTCATGAGCATACGACCAAAGGATAGGTTTGCCACTTACACTTTGTACAGCGGCCATGGTGCGCGGATACTTGAGCAGGCGCGCGCTGTGTGGAAGCGCAGCCTAGGACATGATACGATCGGACTACATTGGAGACCACGCGGATGAATGAGTTTCCTGCGCAATTTTCGTAACCTTCACGAGAACGGTATTCTGCCGAGTCTGTGGGGATCATGAGCATTCGGTACTAGCTGAGGCACAAGACAGTGGTAATTGGATTTGTCATACCAGATAGGCTGTGGCCGAGCAACTTGGTCTTACTCGGCCGGGCGACCGCGGCTGTATAATGTCTTCGTACCTGTAGAACGTATGAACGCCGGAATGTCCCAAGTATCACATTCAATAAGTAGTGTCCCTGGTCATAAATTGTATGGCCCATGCAGAACATTGAGGACTTCAAGTTGCAGATACGTTACAGCTGTGGCCCGGCTTGCCACACTAGTCGCATTCCGCAGGTTCTCGCCTAGTCGATGCGGCATCGGAGTCACAGGCAGTCATGGCAAGGCACATGGCAAAGACGAAATGCCCACACTTGAGGCTTGAAGCTTGAGCTTGAGCTTGAGGCTCGGCGCTGGGTGGCAGCCTGCCAGACACTACTGTACGACAGCGGCGGCGCCGGCGCCCACGCACCGTAACACATTCATATACGCAGTTTCACGCCAGATTCGCGGCCCCCACTACCAGTACTACCAGTCTCCGAGGATCACTCCCGTTATGCAACAACGTTGAGGAGCACGGCCCGAGAGCGATCGCCAGGCTCTACAGCGAGCGATGTGGCCTGAAATCTACCGTATCTTCCGAGTAAATGGGGAATCGCGACCTTCATCCGAGTATGATACGAACGAGACATCACGCCCTATCGCGAGGTCCGATGAGGTCAGACTCTAGAGGTTGGACGACGATCGAGGCGGAGGCGACTACCGTTACCCGCTAGTCCGAGGATGAAGGTCTCGCGCCACGCGCCTCAGCCACATCGCGTCTCCAGATATTCCACGGCGCTGTCTAGCTCAATTCTTGCGCAATTGGTTCATAAGGCCCCTTTATTCGTTCCAGGCATCAACACCAGCATAGTGAAGATGTCACCGAGGCGATACACACACAAGAACGCGCGCGAGGCCAATTCCAGAGTCGGAGGCCGTAAGCGCTCGTGCCAGCTGGCGGCGCGGCACATGGCGTCCGATGCTTCCAACAGAGTACATTTCATGGACACGGTTTGGCAATGTGCTCTCAAATTTTGGGGACTCTTGTCGTGGGTACAGTACTCAGTACAGTAGGCAGCCCGTGCTTCTATAACATTTTATTAGTAGGATATGGAATATATTTTGTTCGGTGACAACACCCGCAGCCAAAGTGGTATTAGTACTAGTAGTGGACAGAAGAGGAGGCATGCATCGAGCTAAATTGAGGCCACACATTTCATTGTGTACATACCCTACTACGGATGCCCTACTGGTAAGTACCACCTCTTCCAACTTCCCTAGGTCCGGTAGCTTCTGTGATGATCTACAAAGGCACATGCAGTACAGTCTCGTAGGCCAAGCCCAATCTTGATATCACCCCGCTCACCTCTACCACCACCGCAGCAGACCACAGCTCGTAACATCCGAATGTTCCACCAGGATCGCCTCAAACTCCCAATACACGTCTCGTTCGGACGCCGTGTGCTGCGCCGCCAGCTGGCACGAGCGCTTACGGCCTCCGACTCTGGAATTGGCCTCGCGCGCGTTCTTGTGTGTGTATCGCCTCGGTGACATCTTCACTATGCTGGTGTTGATGCCTGGAACGAATAAAGGGGCCTTATGAATCAATTGCGCAAGAATTGAGCTAGACAGCGCCGTGGAATATCCGGAGACGCGATGTGGCTGAGGCGCGTGGCGCGAGACCTTCATCCTCGGACTAGCGGGTAACGGTAGGCGACGGAGATGGGAGGCGGAAGGTTAGGCAGGAGGAGGGGCAGGGGCGGGGAACGTGACCCGGACGCGACGCGCGCGGGCACGCGTCGCGCGTCTGGCGTCCAGAGACCGCCCTCCTCATCGTCCAAGAGGTCTTCTTAAGTTTAAGGTCTGCCTAGGGGAGACTAGGCGTCCAGTGTTCACCGTCCCGCCCAGTGTCTCGCAGCCATCTCATCCTCGCGTCTGGAGGTGCTCGAGGAACGACTACGAGACGACGTAATATCTGAGCTGCATGCCTTCGGAGGTCGACTGCTCCTGCACACCGAGACGCCCGACGGTTCCGTCATCCCCGTATGGGAAGGGGTAGAACTACAGAACGTGTCGGTGTTCAAGGACATAATGACTGCGCGGAGGTACAACGACGACAGCACGGACTCGGAGCTTGCCTACACACGTATGCAAATCACTGCTAAGCGGCCACCGGACTTCAGCGACCTCAGCGAATTGATCGACGTGACGGTGCGCAACAGCGTGTCGAGGGCGCCCATTGTCATCAACTGTCAGCTGGGACGCGGGCGGGGCACTAGTACATGTCGGGGGTACGGTGATTACTGTCGAGTCGGCAACGAATTTCATCATTATTCTCTTGAATCAACAGTAGCTGAACAAAACGGCGGAACAATACTCCCCACAAGCCGAGTCGCGCACTGCCATTAGCGGTATTCATCCTGCCAGTGGACGGTACTGTGGATTAACGTCGACCGCCTGCGCCAGTCCTACGACTGAGTAATCAATAGTACGTTCAAGTCAACTACCTTAGCTCAGCGCATTTACCTCTGTATAGATCTTCTCCGTGTCGTGCGTAGGGGTCCCGCTGTTAAGAGCACAGTGGACGACGCGATCGACCAATGTACCGAAGTGATTAATTTGCGAGATACCCTCGAGGATGCGAGGGCACGGACGGAACAGGCGACAGATGAGCAGCAGTGGAGACAGTTCGCTCACAAATGTCTGTACACTTACCCCGGTCGCGACAGACTCTCTGTGGATGATATTGATAAGTTAGCATACTCCACATTATACGACTGCAGAACCTACGGCGGTACTTCGAGCTAATGGTCCTCCAGTCATATATACCTACAGTCCATCGAGCCCGACACCATGCAGAACTTCGAGAGCTTCGAAACTCTCCTTGAAAATCGGCCCGGTACGCAGAACCTCATATTGAAGCAATCCACTGACTGACGTTCTGCCTAGTCATGGTACAAGACGGCACTTGCAACCGGAAAACTCGATAACAGACGCATTATTGCTACATGTAGACAGTATTAGTCCCAAACCTAATTTATGCGGTCCCTAAAAGGTAGGAAAACGAGCAGGCACCAAGCATCACACACCGCGGTCATGTTCGTTACAGGCGTACTTACAATATAACACTCAGAGAGGCCATGTCAGTGAGGGCAAGCTATTCATGTCCATGCGACGCAAAAGCCTCAACACGTCGTACATCATGAGCTCGCGACCTCCTCCGTTGACATGTCCTCCTCCACGATCGTATACGACCCGAATTTGCGCGGTGGGATTCTGCGCTCGAACATCGTGTCCAACCTGCGCGGCACACCTTCAGTCAGCCACACGACAAAGTACAGATCAGGCACTCACTCGTCGACGGTCCGGTTCTTCGTCTCGGGGATGTACAAGTAGCCCCACAGCGTCCCGATTGCGCAAAGCCCACCGAAGATGAAGCCGACCTTCCCCCCGAGGTTCGCTTCGTTCGGGGTCACTCTGCAGCGCAGTGTGAGTGCTCCAGCGGACGTGGTAGAGAAGTATGAACGTACAGGTAGGGGATGACGATATTCATGACCATGCCGCACAGCGAGTTGACAAGGATGCCGATGCCGACTGTCTTGGAACGCAGCTTTGCGGAGGAGACTTCGGCGAAGATCACGTATCCGAGCGGGCCCCTGCAAAGCTCCCGTCAGCGTAACTCGTCGTACACATCCATTGAGCCTACTGACAATCCGAGCTGGTAGATGAAGTTGTAGATGATCGTCTGCAGGTCATGTACGTTAGTGTGTTAGAGGCAGAAAGAGACGCAGAGGAGGACGCACGAAGGACGCCATCGCCCACTTCGCGCTCTGGTTGTTCGAGGGGATGGCGAGGAAGCCAATCAGGAAGAGCACAATCGTGCTCGCGAACATCGTCCAGTTGAACATCGACCGCCGGCCGACCTTGTTGACTGTATAGAAGTTGATCAGGTTGCCTGCCACCTAGACCGACTTGTCAGGAGCGAGCAGGGATAAGTTGTGTGCGACTGACACCAATGCCTGTCACGCCGACGCCGAGCCGGAAGGCGTTGTTGTCCGCAAAACCGGCGAGCTCAAAGAAGTAGGTGCTGTAGCCGAGCACGAAGACAACGCCTGATGCCCGCTTAGCACACCACGCACACCGAGACCGTCCATCTGCTCACCTGCCGCTTGCTGCAACACAAACACCATACACGCAATCATCGTGCGCCTACCGTTCACCCCTGCGCCGCCATCAGCTCAAGTCCATCTCCATCGTCAAACACCCGCGACTCACCTCGGAAGCAGTCCGCATACGTCGAGTTCGCCGCAAAGCTGTCCTCAAGCGCAATCGTGTCCTGGATCTGCTGGAGCTGCAGGTCGACGTTGGAGGTGCCGTTAGAGAGGCGAACGAGGATGTTGCGCGCGTCGTCCTTGCGGCCCTTGCGCACGAGCCACCAGGGCGACTCGGGCGCGAAGGGGAGACCGATCAGGAGGAGGACGGGGAAGATCCATTGCAGCGCGCTACAATGGCAAGCGTCAGGTTTTGTGTAGCCGCGCGTATGGAGGATGCGGACGCACAAGGGCAAACGGTATGCGTACGCCGACGTCCAGTTGCCTGTGCCTTCGATGACACCGTTCGACATCCTTCATTAGTGTCGTCAGTGCGCCCTGGCGCCATATGTCACGCACAACTCACAATTGACCGACTGGGATTGGCCAGGTGAGCCGAGTTCCGGGCCAGCAATGTAGTGCGGTACTCACGAACGATCCACAAGTTTACAGATGACGTCGTGATGCCACGCAGCGCCAGGGGCGACACTTCAGCGCAGTATGAGCTTGCTCCCGAGACGTACATTCCTACGCAGGAAGCGCTGAGCTGGGGATTGTGTGCGCCCGTAAACACGGGTGCGCTTACCCAAAGAAAATCCATTGATGAGTTTGCCGATGACGAGCTGCGCATTCCTGTGCGGGTAGGTGAAGAACTGGATGAAGATGCCGGTGATGGAAACGATGCAGCAGACAGCCACTGCGCCTCGCCGTCTGTTCAGTGTTCAGCACGCGTGCAGTCTGGAGCATGGAATTGCACTCACCCGAGCTTATCAGAGACGTAGCCTAGTGACAGGCCACCGAACATTCCGCCAACGGAACTGACACTGTTGAAGGCACTTTGCCATTGCGCCGTTAGGATGTAATCTCCTTGACCCCCACTTTGAAACCCGAAGTCGCGACGAAAAGAGGGTACGCTGAGCAGACCGCCTCCGACCTGTGTGCATCGTGTGAGATGGTGTGCAGGATACCTTACCGCGCACACTCACTTGAGAGTCATAACCCCACAGCAGCGCGCCCATGCACATGAACAGACACCAAAGCGTCGCCTGCCAGTACACCTGGACCGCCTGGAACGGCGTATACGCCTTCTCCGTCGCTGCCGCGTGCGCGAGCGCTGTCAAGTTGCTGTACGCGGGCGGCGCGCCCTTCTCGATGCTCTTCGCGTCCTCGACATGCTCGGGCCCATGGCCGACTTTCTCGGGCTGTGCCATCTCACCTTGGCGGTGCGAGTGCGAGTGCGGGGGCGGGGACAGTAGGCACCTGCGAAGGCGGGGAAGGTGTGGGGAAACGCGGGGGTGAGAGCCGTCGCCGGAGGCTCTTATGCGCGGTGTGGGAGGCGAGACGCGAGTGGGCGCGTTTGCAAGTGAAGGATGGTTCCTGCAGCCTGAGAGACCCCGCTAGTCCTTGGGTAGATCGGGGGACGGCGAGATGCCTGTAGGACGTTCCCGTCGTCACAAGGCCCGGATGCACATGCACCGTCTCCATTCCGGACGGGTCGCGTCGCGGCGAGAGGGCGACCAAAGGGCCACCTGACAGGCTCACCTCCGTTCATGATGCAGATTGCGGACTCGCGCCTGTCTAAAACCCACGGGGACGGCCTGTGGAAGCGCACAGTTCTGTCTCTGATTCGCCCGTGCGCATCAGCCTCCCTGTCAATCTGTGTTAGAGTTCTGTTCACTGGATGTTTGAGAAGAGTCATTACCGTAAGGCTCTCAATAGCCTTGTACAAGAAGAGTTTCCTCTCGAAGACGCGTCCCGGGCATCCGAACGCTGCACAGCCTCGCACGACAGGGATTCACACACCTTCCGACACCTCAGCGGCATCGTTTACGTGCGTTCATCTATCCATTTCTGACAGTGACGGTCTGGTCGGCGCATGAACGAACCAATATATTGCTTCAGCAACAAGGAGATGCAGTCCATTCTCCCTGCTAATCAGTATTATGCAACCCGCGGCCGCATCAAACTGTACCTCAATGAATAGCGCCTGTCTCACGCATGAGTATCCAGATACGATGCTCATGCGCGATACAGCCGCAACTCTGGGGACTGTGAACGCAGAATGAGGAATTCCGCGATATGGAGGGAGCGAACAAAGGTAGTCGACCATTGCAATCAGATCGAGCCTCGATCGAGCCCTTTATAACCGTCGCCCAGAAAGGAAGGCGTCTAAGTATGATCACGATCTCCTCACGATACCGCGTCCTCCCCAACTTAGGTCGCTCAGGCTCTCGGTCCGGCCCACTGACACTTACAGCCTCGGTACATTTCGCCATCTCAAGACCCGCCCGCATCTCTCGACCTCTCCCACGTACCAGCCCAAGCATTCCCCTGCTGCAACGCAACATGAGCCAGAATCTCGAGGGGTCGCGACGCGCACCGAACACATACCCGCCCATCGAGCCGTACGAGACGGGGACGCTGAAGGTCTCGGATCTACATACGCTCTAGTACGTTCTGTGATAGCTCTGTGTGCCTGGCGGGGCCTTGACCCAGGAGGTCCCAGCTATGAAGTTAGCGGCAACCCGAAGGGCAACCCCGGTACGCGTCTACCAACCGGAACGCGAGTGTGGCCCCCACTGACCGAGTGCCATTACAGTCGTGTTCTTGCACGGTATAACATACCTTCAGATGGTTGCCCAGAATCATGTCTCAACGGCTGTCCAGGTGGCCCAGGAAGTGGTGCAGATGCGAAGGATCGCACCTACTTCAACCCCGAGAAGTACAAGGTAGAACCGTACCCCTCAATCTCGCGCACCGTGCCCCGCTAAACCGAATTGCAGATTATTCTCTTTGACCAGAGAGGCGCTGGCAAGTCGACACCGTATGTGCCTTCCGATCATCTTGAGCTATCGTCCCAATTTCCGACAGCACGGCGTGTCTCGAGGAGAACACCACGTGGGACCTGGTGAAGGACATCGAGAAGCTCCGCGAGCACCTCAAGATCGATAAATGGCATGTCTTTGGCGGGTCTTGGGTGAGTGGTGCGAGAGAACCAGTGTGGTCTATGTCTGATGCCTTGCGTAGGGATCGACTCTGTCTCTGGCTTACTCGCAGAGCCATCCCGATCGCGTGAAGTCGCTAGTGCTACGGTACGCGCATGGCATCTAGTAGACCTATATGTACTGAGATTTCTTTGCTCGCAGTGGTATCTTCACCTTGCGTAAGAGGCAAGCATAAGCCTGTTCAAGGTGCAAGATGAGATCCCTGACCACCTCTTACAGCGAGCTTCGCTTCTTCTACCAAGAAGGCACCTCTCATCTCTTCCCCGACGCATGGTGAGGACACTACCATGCTCCCTTTCCATCTGCCCTCATACCACACGACAGGGAGGAATACATCGAGCCCATCCCCGAGCCCGAACGGCACGACATGGTCACCGCGTACCACGCGCAACTCAACTCCGCAGACGAGGAGACGGCCCTGCGTGCCGCGAAGGCGTGGTCGAAGTGGGAGTGCGTCTGTTCTATACGTTTGCTCGGGATCCTGGGTCTGATCGAAGAACAGGATGGCGACGTCAAAGTTGTACGTCGACCCGGCGCAATTGGCGCAGGTCGAGGACGACAAATGGGCAAAGTGAGTGGTGCTCGCTCTGTGATGAGATATGGATCTGAGGTTGATTGCTTGCGTTTGCGTAGCGCGTTCGCGAAGATCGAGAACCACTACTTCGTCAACGACGTGAGCGTCTCCGTCATCCCCGTATATCCGCCATCACTCACCGACTTTGATCTCCATACAGGGATTTATGCGCGACGGCCAACTGCTCGGGCAGCAAGAGATCGACAAGATGTCCGTACCCGCATCACCTTCTCAGATTTCAAATACGTATGACAGTATCTGACATTCCATCGCAGCCGCCACATCCCGTGCATCGTCGTACAAGGCCGGTACGACGTCGTGTGTCCTGTACGTCTACTTGATCGCATCACACAACTGCACATCTCTGACATCCCGGCCTGCAGGCCACCACGGCGTATGATCTAAAGAAGGTCGGTTCTACCAACGCCGGCTGTGTCCATCGCTCAAGCTGTTCATTTGGTTGACTGATCCTCTGGTAGGTATGGCCGGAGATCACGCTGCACATCGTCCCCGACGCGGGGCACTCTGCGCGAGAGCCGGGGACGGCGAAGCTGCTCGTCGAGGCGGCGGACAAGTTTGCTGACCTCTGAGTGATAGCGGGTCCGCGATGGGGAACTGCGTGTCTAGGAAAGCAGCTTGGATCTAGGTAGCTTTGGATGGGGTGTACGTTATGAACTGAAGGACGGTGCTTTTGCTTCTGCAGGTCATGTTTCGCTTTTTCTGGGCAGAGCTCGGACGTGCGTCGTTGTGAATGCTCGTACACCGTGCAGGTGGGATGCTGCCTTCCTCTCGACCCTCGACAGTATCCCGCTGCCACTGCGAATCAGGCTGATGGATCGCTGCTGTCCCCCACTTCGCCATAGTCAGGGTTCAATGTTCAACGCATGGACTTGCACCTCGACAACATCGCCTCTCAGCAGTGTGGTGCACTGGCAACCCAGACAAGCGTAATGCATGTCGACAGAAGTTGTCGCTACTGTAGTGAGGGTTTGTCGAGGATGCTGCGGCGGAGACAAGGCGCATATATGCTCCTCACCACGCTGCGCGAGCGTAGGAGATGTGTATGATCATCGCCACACGTCCTACTATTTTCTGCCAGCAATGTTACAGCATAAGCTCGATGGGCAGGCCCGAGCGATCTACATTGATGCCCAAATGCGGAAGACTCTTGTAGTCGGGAGACAAACAAGGCCAAACACGAAGAGCGGTCACCGTCGCGATCGCTACACGCCGCGGCCACGAACGAACCAGCTCCCTGCACGCGCCGTCCGCGAGGCTTGTCCCCTGCTATCCTGTGCATGCATACCCGCAAATATCCACACAGCTCTGCAATCAAATCCTCACCGTGTCCGCATCTCATTCCGCGTGTTCTAGTGACTGAACACGATACACGCAGTACATGTCCTTCTCGAGCACGCCGCTAGGTCAAGGAAGACGTCTGGATCACTCAGCCTTCCTCAACAAGCCCCGCTCGAAGGCACACTCTCCGCCTCGCCGCACCATCCCCACAACCTACGCGTACGGGTACGTCTGCGCGTCGCGTGCTTATAATCTCCAGTGTGCTGCGTGCTGACCCATATCATGGCCAGAGGACCCACCCTCGGAACGCGCCCCCCTCCCAAATCACAGAACCCACCCGCGCCCGCCGCCCCGCCGGACGACGCAGAAGAACCCGCCCTTGTTCGCTTCGCACGCCTCAAACAGCGCGAGCAAGCAGGCACCAGCGCCGCTTCGGGCCCCCAGTCCCAAACGTCCCCACACCCCGAGAAGTGGTCCGTCAAGGATACCTCAGTGAACATCGCAAGTGCGTTTCACACCGCAGCCAACACCGACGACAACATGAATCCAAACGACTCTTGGGCATCCGGCACCCGCAGGCAGGGCCTGCCCCGGAGCACGTCCGTGGAGTACGAGAAGGAGACGCAGTCGACAGTCAACCGGCGCCTTGCGCCTCCCCCAAGCCGAACGGGCGGCGCCCGCAAACCCCTTTCCAAAGCCGCATCCATCCGACACGTACCTGATTCGGAAGGCGAGCAAACCGAGCCCTCCCAGTCCCAAGAACACAGCCGTGGAAAGAGCCCTCTAGAGCATTTCCTCGATGCTGCACAACGATTCGCTCCGACTTCAATCCTCATGAAGGCTCGATCGCGAGAGCCCGAGGCGGACCAGTCCCGTTCGCGGTCGAACGGAAATGGGGCTCCGAACGAGAGCTCGAGCTACGACTACTCCGCGGAGGAGCGTGACTACCAAGCACAGTTGGCCGTAGAGAGATCTGCGCCGACAGGCCCAAGGCGGAACACGGTCGCGCATAAGCGCAACCGGATGTCCACAGATAACAAGGCGTACAAGCCGACCCAGTCTGATCTCGAGCTGTCTGACGAAGACTTCGATGACGAGGGCGGAAAGAGGACACGTCGAAAGAAGAAGAAGGGCGGTGTGGGAGGGCCACCGCTGACGTCCCTACCTGTTGCTGCATATGACAAGAGGAAGAAGAAGAGACGAGCGAATGGAAAGACCAATGGGGATGATGAGGATGAGGAAAGCAGCGAAGAGCAGGAAGCGGTCGCAGAGCAGGTAATGTATGGCCGTGCCTTGCGAATAGCATATGCTCAACGTGCATTGGTAGCGTTCCGTGCGCGGCCAAACACCACTCCTCCGTCTCCCGTCTGTGCAGCGAGGTTCTCATCCACCAGCGTCACGAACATCAATGCCTCCCACATCACCAGACGACTTCATTCGCTCCGACCAGTCTGATCCGGAAACCATGCTGCCACCGATCCGCGAAATCGACGAGGACTTGCTTGTGAATGAGTTTGACAAGCCTCCACGATCGGGATTCTCCATAGGCGCAACTCTCGGTCGTGTCGTAAATGCTGTAATCCGTCTAGGCTGGATGATCATACAGCTGTTCTTCGGCTTCCTCGGACTCGTCGCTCGATTCATCGGGAAGGTACTCGGCCTGACGCTGGACGTGACCGTCCACAAACCATTCCGGTGGCTATCACACGCGGACTTCACACCGTTCCTCAAAGCTGTGTTCGTTGGGGCAATCATCTACTTTGCATGGTCTGCCCTTCACAACGGATGGGTGGACCTCTCGAAGTTCATGCCCTCCTCGCGCACGCCGTACCACGCGCCCGATGCTCCCGTCACGGACATAGGCGAGTACGCGGACCGGCTCATGCGCCTCGAGGCCGCCTTCTCGAAGTTCTCGCAGGACAGCGAGAAGTCCCAATCGTGGATCGAGGGCAGCCGCTCCGAGCTGGTCAGCCGGGTCGGCGCGATCGAGTCGCAGGTGCAGAAGGAGACCGTGCGCACACACGACGCAGAGACGAAGTTCAGGACGTCGACAAGTGACGCGATCCAGGTCATCAAGCAGGAGATGGATGCCCTTCAGGCACAGCTCGCCGCACACAAGGACAGTGCCGCGCGCAGCACGCCCGCACCAGGCAACGACGACGAGGCGAGAGCCAAGCTGCGTGCATTGGAGGAACGTCTGGGAAGTACGGAGAGTGGTGTAAAGGAGGCCCTCGAGCTCGGCAAGACCGCGGCCAAGGTCGGCGCGTCGACGGGTACTGCTGCTGCTTGGTGGAGCAAACTTGCGTCCGGGAACGCGGGCTCGTCGCTGACGATCAAGTCAACCGACGGCCAGGATGTAACGTCGTTGGTCAGGCACTTGGTCGACACGTCCGTCTACCGTATGGCAAAGGACGTCGTCGCCCGGCCGGACTACGCGCTCTACTCCGCAGGCGCACAGGTCATCCCCGCACTCACGACCCAGACGTACGAGATCCCACCCGGTGGGCTCATCAGCCAGGTCACAGGGTTCTTCACTGGCGGCGGGACCGGCGCCATTGGCCGTCCGCCCGTCACCGCGCTGCACCACGAAATCAACCCTGGGCACTGCTGGCCTTTCCCCGACACGCATGGACAGCTTGGCATCAAGCTCGCGGGCCCGACCTTCATCAGCGACGTCACGATCGACCACGTCGCAAAGGAGCTCGCGCCGGACCGCCGCTCTGCCCCGCGGTACATGGAGCTCTGGGGCCTCGTCGAGGGCTCGGACAACCTCGAGAAGGTGCGGGAATGGCGCGCGAGGCGCGAGGAAGCGCGCATGGAGGCGGCGCTGGACGGCGAGCCCGTCGTCGAGGACGCCTTCGTCGATCCGCCCGCCCCGCCGTCGCTAAAGAAATGGGGCGAGGTCGTGCGCGTCGCGAACTTCACGTACAACATTTACGCGCCGGACCATATCCAGACCTTTGCCGTCCCGCAGGAGGTGCAGGAGCTGGGTGTCGACTTTGGCGTCGTGGCGCTGATGATCGAGAATAACTGGGGACGCGACGACTTCACTTGCTTGTACAGAGTGCGGGTGCATGGTCAACCGCTCCTCGACGCCCCTGCGCCTTTGCCTGAAGATCACGCTGGCACGACTGCTTAACGCGCCCCGTTGCGCTCATTCCATGGCAACCTCCTTAACGACTTGTGACGACAATCCATCTCTCCTCGCGCCCTCTCTTTCCTAGACTTGCTCCTGCCTTTAATCTCACTTATCGTCTTCCGTTGGCTGGCAGTATACTGGCTCTATTATCTCGTGCTTAGTATTAGTACCCTCCTTCTCGTATCGCTGTGTTCGTATGACACTTTCCCCGGTTGCCTGCGTTTACCGTCGTAGTCGCGCTCTCAAGACAGTGGTGCATCTGATATCTGCTGTGGAAAGCTATGCCCAATGTACTAGTACAACCAACACATCGCGCCGTTTGACTGGGATTGTGAAACTATTTGTTTGTGGTAAACGTGGGCGCGGGCCCGCGGCTGAGTGATGTTGAGGCTTTCTCTGATGCGCCTTAGCATCGACTGGGGTCAACCACCGGCATGCCAGTCTTCGAGGCACTGCCGTATGCAGTGCAATGACTATGATGCATGAGCAAGCTGTGACCCACCTCTCCCGCTGCGGAAGACGACGATGATGGCGGTGTTGGAGAGCACTCCTCTTATACCGCTCGGACCTGGCCTTGGCTGCTACCACTGGCGTATACCTTGATCTCTATCGATACCACCGCACGACACGGCTTATTTATCTACTACTCTATTTTCTGCATCAAATACTACTCTGTCTACCGCACACACGATGCAAGAAATCGGCACACTGGTCGTGGTCGTGCTGAAGGCTCGGAATCTATCCGATAGGCACTCCTTCTACAAGCAAGACGTCTTCTCGCAAGTAGCGATAGGGGGCAGCACGAAAGCCACCAAGATCGATGTCAAAGGCGGGCAGCACCCTGTCTGGGACGAAGAGCTTCGTTTGCCGATATACCAGAAGACGAAGCAGGAGGACAGGATCATGGAGGTGAGCTGCTGGAGGAAGGAGCCCCGCAGTGCGGAGTGCATCGGGAAAGGCACTGTGAACATCGAGGAGACCTTGAGGACAGGAGAGTTTGACGGTGCGTGTCTGCGACATTCGTCCGAGATTGCATGCGGGCTCATATAGGACTCGCGCAGACTGGGTGAAACTCGAGGAGAACGGCACCTACCGCGGGGAGCTCTACCTCGAGATGACCTACTTCGCCACGGGCCCTGCGCCGCTGCAGCGGCGGAAGACGAAGATGCCCGCCTCTGAACGACTCGTACGGTCCTCTCAGGCCTATGCCTACCCAGCTCTACAGCAGAACCAGTCCCCGCCCGCAGCGCGCGCATCGCGTCCGTCGACTTCGCCTTCGCGCGTCCCACCTGCAGGACCGACTCCAGCATACAACGCGGGTGCGTCTGGCCACCTTTCGCCGCCTACGTCCACACATACGTCGCCTCGCACATCGCCGCGGTCGAAGTACGATGCGCTCCCGCCGATCCCGCAGGATCACCTCTCCCCTCAGAGCATCCCCGACATCCTTCGTCCGGGCAACCCGAAGGGCGACGTCCACTATAGCGAGAAGCCCCATCCGCGGGACTCACCGTACTCGCACACTAGCCCCAGCCATACACCCACGCCTCCTGCTTACGGCGCATACACCACTATCAGCGCGTCGCAGCCGCATTCCCCACCTCAAGCTCCAGTTGCGATCCCTCCTTATTCATCGCCGCAAGGTGCTTTTGCTGTCCCTGCCTCTCTGAGACCTGGTCCAGTGCCAGGCAGAGAGTCGCGCTCGACCAGCAGCAGCCCACCCGGACCCGCAAGGAACATGCTCCCTCCTCAGAGTCCTGTTCACGCCCAGTACCCCGCGTCCCCTCCGCAGTCGCCGAGTCCGCCTCTACCCCCGCTTCCTGGCCCTCAAATGACTCAGAACGCCGCGCCGGCCGCACCATACCACTACGTCCCAGCACCTGTATCGCATCAGTATGCTCCGGCACCTGCACCGCATCACGGCGCGCAACCGGCCGCGACCTATGGCCATGTTCCTCCTACATTCCAGAGCCAGGCGCCGCACTCCCGACCTCAATCATATGCGCAATATTACCCTTCAGAAAGCTCACAAGCCCCGCCGCAGTTCCCCGTTGCATCTTTCCCCGTCCCACAGACAGGTCCATCACGCCCACATCCAGGACCAGTGAATCCAGAGCGGTACACTACGCCGCTTCCTCTCCCAGACGAGCCGGAGGGCGTACACACGCCCACTCCGGCACATCCTCAGCCTCATCTCAACCCGCCGGTACCCGCACCTGCGCCCGCTCAGGACCCGCGAAAGGCTGCGCTCACGCGCAGCCTGGAGCAAGAGGAGCGCGACAAGCTTCTCGCGCTAGAGCTCGAGCGTGAGGAAGAGGCGACGCGGCGTGAAGCCGAGGAACGCGAACGAGTCGATGCAGAGCTGGCCAAGAAACTCGACATGGAGCTAAACCTTGTCGATGAGGGGGATGGGAGCGGACAGGCCGAGGCTGCACAGAGCGCACCTACTCCGAGTCGGGAACGCAGAGCGGATTCAGGCTCTACCGTCCATATCCCCGGTGCCTGGTAAACGTTGAAGGTGATCGTCGAGGAACCGAGGATTCCTCTGGTACGGCTCGTCATTGTCGACCTCTTGGTCTGTGCTGCATTTCAGACTAGTGGCACAACTTCGACTTCGATAGGGGCTCATCTAGCGACCTGCATGTAGAAGTCTGCGAATACCCCGTCGCGCCACGTATCCTTTGCACGTCGCCCGTATCTGAACTGAACATCAGCTCACCGCGCGACGTCTTTCATGTGATGTTCTATTGAATACAAGTACGGGCGAATTGGAGATTAATTCCGGAGCTATACGGTATACGGAGTCGTGATGAATACAGTTGGAGAGTCCGTTCTCTACTTATGAAGTACTTCCTGGCCCATTCCGAAGATTGAAGATGTGCTACTGGGGCAGCTCACCGACGTGCGTGCTATACAACAAATTCAAGAAAAGATGGACTACCTTCGCAACAATCCATGCACCAGGTGTAGAATTGTCGTCGTAGTTCCTCCACAGCCGTTTGGCGACCTTGCCCGCCCGATCACGTTCGTGGAGAGTGTCCGAGAGAAAGTCGGTTGAGCGCGAAAGGTCCATATGGCCTCCCCACGCGCCTTGGAGGTCATCGGCGATGACAGCAAGGTCTATCCAGGCTGTACGGGTGTGTGCATGACTCTTCGAACAGAACACACTCGTGTACAGAGCATGCACTAGCTGTACATGCTCTATGATTTGCTGTCGTAGACCGATGAATGCCGACGAGCCTTGAGGCGACTCGTCCTTGACTTGTTCGACTTGGTGCATGGCCGTCACAAGCGTCGCCGTACGCTCTGTGAAGTACGCGCAAAGCAGGGCAAAACTGCCTGCATCTCCTGGTAGGGTCTGAAGAAAGTCAATCATGACGCCATGGCCAACCTACAGACAAGGAGACACACCACTTCGGCACAGTCATCAAAATTAAGCCTCCCACATACGACTGCCAAGTGTTGCGCAACAACCAGTTCAGCCTGAACAGGTGCTAGTTCATTGAATCGCCCTCCCATCTGCACTAGCTTCTGCAGATGCATGGAGAGTTCGTTGATGCGGTCCATGACAGCGCACAAGAATTCATTCGATGGATAGCATCCGGCGCCCTGAGCTTCTGTGTTGAAGAGTGGCTGAGGGGAAGGGTGCTGAGGGACAAGCGAATGGAGCTGGACAAGTTCTTGCGTGCCGAGGAGAAGCGTCTGGAGAGGGATGTCTGCGTCTGTTGACCAGATGCTGCGGAAGCTTCCCGAGCTTCTCCTGTCTGTGACAGGTCCCAGCTGTCCATGACAAGTCTGTCCCCGCAGGTGGATGATTGATTGGATGAGATGAGCCATGTCTGCCTCGGGAAGTGGGTCTGATGTTGAACTCAATGGATTATAATGGACCTCGGTGACTTGCTGCATGAGCTCGGTGTGAGCGCGGCGAGCCCCAGAGGCACCAGAGGCACCGGGGTCCGTTAAGTTGTCGTCGAGCGGATAGTAGTGAGGTCGACTGCGCACAGACGTCTGAACCAGAGCTCGCAGACTTGTGAGGAGCTCAGGGAGCTGATCGGACATGTTGTATGATTCAGACGACGCCTCCGCGGTGTGGGGTTGTCCACTAGCAAGGGTGACAGTCTCAGAACTATTGTGCCGTGGCACCACTGTCAGTCAATCATTACATGTGGGACACGGTGAGTATAGGACTCACTGCTGTAGGATAGCTTCCTCACTTTCGTTCCCATCGTAGGTTTGAGTATAGGACGGCTCAACGACAGCGAAGTATTCGTTGTATTGCTCTGCGACTACGCCATCGTTGCCACACACAGGAGGCGACGTCCAAGTAACGTGAAGGGTCGAGGTGGATTCCTGTGACTCCTCCACGTGTGCGAGTAGTTGTCGAGTGCGGCTCAACTCACTCATGACATTGGCAATCGAGGCGGGGACGACCTCGTCAGCGAGGGTTCGTGCAAGAGAAGTTACCTCAGCAAGAGACTGAGATAAGCCGTCCAGCTTGCTCCAGACATCAGAGACCGAGTCAGCGATGGCCTTGTCTACAAGGGACTGGACAGTCTGTGGAAGAGAGGCCGCCCCAGTGAGGGATTGAGAGAGGTTGTCTAGTTTTCGATCCATCTCGCCGACCGTCTCGACGACGACAGTCTTGACGGTCTGCGGAAGAGCTGTGGTCGCCTCAGCAAGGGATTGGGAAAGGTTGTCCAGTTTTTGATCCATCTCGCCAACCGTCTCGACGACGACAGTCTTGACGGTCTGCGGAAGAGCTGTGGTCGCCTCAGTAAAGGATTGGGAGAGGTTGTCCAGCCTTCGATCCATATCGCCAACCAGGTCGCCAAGAGCCTCATCGACAGCAGATCGGACGGTCAGCGGAAGAGCCGCGGTCGCCTCAGTGTGAGACTGATAGAGGTTGTCCAGTTTCTGGTCCATCTCACCGACCGTCTCGACGACGGCGGTCTTGACGGTCTGCGGAAGAGTTGCAGTCGCCTCAGCAAGGGATTGGGAAAGGTTGTCCAGTTTTTGATCCATCTCGCCGACCGTCTCGACGACGACAGTCTTGACGGTCTGCGGAAGAGATGTGGTCGCCTCAGTAAAGGATTGGGAGAGGTTGTCCAGCCTTCGATCCATATCGCCAACCAGGTCGCCAAGAGCCCCATCGACAACAGATCGGACGGTCAGCGGAAGAGCCGCGGTTGCCTCAGTGTGAGACTGATAGAGATTGTCCAGTTTCTGGTCCATCTCACCGACCGTCTCGACGACGGCGGTCCTGACGGTCTGCGGAAGAGATGCAGTCGCCTCAGCAAGGGATTGGGAGAGGTTGTCCAGTTTTTGATTGGTTGTGAGTTCGTTGTTCGACTGATGATGTTCTCTAGCCAGCCGCGCCAATTCCTTGTTCAGCGTATCAATGGCCGTCTCGAGAGCGTGTACTTGAGATCCTGTTTCTACGCCAAACTTGACAAAGGTTCCCAGGAGTGTGCCGAGCAGAAGTACACACAAAGTCTGGGCCAGTATTTTCCTATTTGGGATGAGATTTTGGGTTGACAAATACCAGAACGTAGCGAGCCCGATGATGAACACTAGAACACGAATTGCACGGGGTCGTGCTTGAAGCCAAGCTACCAGTCTTGTGGGTATAAGGTTCATCTCGGTGGGGGTTGTTCTTACTGAAGCAACAACATAGCTTCGAGTTAGAGGGGACGACTCGGACTGTAGTCTGTATCTGTAGTCAGACTACTCACCAGCGCCAGTATCAAGCCACTCTAGACCTAGACGAAGTGTGGACAACCTTCAGAGAGTTTGAGAATTATGAGACCTCTGGTTCAAAGAGCACAGGAGGCAGAGTGGTCGAGTAGGCCTAAGGTGCGGGGAGGAGAGCGTGGCGGAGGGGCGTTCAATGTTCATCGACATCGAGGGCGAGGCGCACATGCCATCATCGGCGGGGCGAACCACGTGATGATCAATCGCGCAGGGAGGACTCAGAGGACGTAGATAAATTGATCATGTCCCAGCCCGTGTCGCCAGTGGACGAGACTATGTACAAGTGCTACGTAACTTTGATGACTCGGAACCCTGGATGACTAGAAGCATCATCCACAGCACAGACTCGGAGATCATTGACAGTACACCGGTGGTTTACAATTCCGCATATATTGCATCCTTCGTGCTCTTCAACAGCTCCGCATATCCAACCCTAAATAGCGCACTTGCTCCGCATAACTTCCCCTTGAGAGGTCCAGGTTACAGCCGCTTTGCGCTCTCTAGACTTGATCTTGCCGACATAGCCGCACTGTGCGTCACATAATGTAGTTACGCAGGAAAGGACAACTGAAGGGGAAACTGACCGTTGAAGCGTCGTGCACGGAATGATTGAAGGTGGGACGTTAGCAAGGAGCCGATAGGCCGCTTTGCCATCCTCCACCTCTAGCGGTGAGGAGCATCAGTGTCACAGCACCGGTTCGACAATGCAGCATTCACTTACTGAGTGGCGCTAGCGAAACGAATAGTATATCCATCATCGCGTGGCAAAAAGGACCGTGCCGATGGCACACGGACTCGTCCATGTCGTGTGTGAAATTGACGAGCTAGGTCCAGTAGTGATGGCAATATTCTGTGAAAGGGCCCATTAGCACGGACGCAGCACTTATACCACATGAAGGTCTCACACGAAACAACGATCCCGGTTTTGATCCATAAGCCCCTTGTCACTCCAGTTATCGGCCTCATCCCGAGCATGGTCACCGTCGCCCTCCCCGTAGATGTGCCCGCCTGACTCTCGTGCGCAGCAGAGTCCACCGGGCACATCATTACCACAATTTAGAAGCCGGAGAGAAGCGCACCACTGCGCATCGCCCCGCTGTCGAGCCTCGTTCCACTTGCCGGAGTTACGCTGGTGAGGTGGTCACCAGTTCGCTCGGAGTTCTGCAACAGTCTGAGTTGTCGTTCCATTTCGTCCAGCCGAGAAGCCTGAAGCCGAGTGATTTCCAGGAGCTCCTTGATGTACGCGTCCTCAGTAGCGCTGTACCAGCGTTGCACGAAGTCGAGAGACTCGCATATGTCCACAAGCGCACGGATCAGCGCTTTCAATAGTCGGAAGGGTGCTGCAAAGAGTATGTGCAAGACTGCCATGGCGAGACCGAACGACGGATTGATGCGGTCGCTGACGAAAACCGTGAATAGCTTGCGACAGAACCCGAGTACTGCCCAGAACATGCGTGTCCACGAAAGGTCGAAGGCTATGTTGGTATCAACAGTGTCGTCGACTTGAACCCCACCTCTGGCGAGCGACGCAACGGCCAAGAGGTACTCGGCATCGCAAAGGAAGTTGTGGCGACACATGGGGCACGTAGAGCGCTAAATTTCAGTCATGTCAGTCTCCGTGAGGTCGATAGGACATGACCGTACTCACACCATGATGCAGCCATCCGCTGATGCTACTCGACAATTTAGTCAGTGCTCTGGCGACCGCATTGATGCAACAGTCTGCACACTCACCATGTCTGGCAGAATACGTGCTCGCATCCGGGAATCTTAATGATGATGCCGTTATCGTTGCAAACGTCTTGAAAGGTCTCGCAGCAGATTGCGCATTGGTCCTCAAGCGGGACATCGTGTCGTCGCAGAATTGGTAAGGCTTCAAGGAGATCATCGCACGTTCCCTTGTTGTGTCAGGATCAGCAAAAGCGTACCATACAAGCGAACCCGAAACTCACTCTCATTCTCCGAGAAGTTCTGACTGGTATTGGGGCAGATATTGGCTCTGGTTCTGGCGGTCGTGGAATGCCTCGGCCGGTCTTGATCCACGTCACAAGGGGCCAAACGAGTACGTTGGTCAAGTAGACGGTGGCGATGCACGCCAATACGATGAGTCCGACGTTGATGTTGCCGACGATGTACGCGCTATGAAGGATTACAGCCATGATACTCCCAGTAATGGCATAGCGATAGATAAGGCCCAACACTCGTTGCCAGTTCTCCTCAAGGTTATCGAGCGTAAGGTCTTCGTCGCCATCTTGCTGCCGGTACTCCCAGGAGTAGAAGATGAGGATGATAGGAACTTGCCAAGCAAGAAGCATCCACATGAGACCACGGCCTCCGTGCAGTTCGGGGGCGAACATATTGCTGATCGGGAACTTGTACTGCGGGTCTGAACGGACGCGACGAGCATCAAAGAGTCCTAGGCCCAGGGCGACGCTCGTGGCGTAGATGCGTGAGAGCAGGCAGACGAAGAGGATCTCGTAGAATAATCTACGAGACATGCAGCGCCAGAGCGCTGCTAAGACGTCAAGCGTAGGCATTTGGGATATTGAGGGGGGTGGCTAGGACTCGTGGTGATGAAGCAGCGCAGGTTGACCGGCGAAGTGGAAGCGGAACTCACCCCTTATATCCTCGACCATGGGAGGCTGGCATCGTGTCGGTGAGTCTTCCGCTGGCTGTGTCAACCGGTGTCAGCCTCAGTTTGAATTCGAGCTACGAGATCTACATCCCCGGACGCGCGGTGAGACTACCTCTGGATACATATTGATCCCCGCAATTTGCAGTCCATTGGGACAGGGACTCGAGAATCGCCGAGGTTGTGTCGTGCACGGAGGTGACAGCGTTCGTGTAGCACCAGTGAATGCAGACCGCAGTGAAGTCGAACTGGTTTGAAACGAAATGCCACCGGTACCAAGTCATCCGTGCTACGTAAATCGTCCGTCCCTCTCTTGAGTTCGAATGATCACTGCGTAGGCTAGGAAAATGTACCGTATCAACACAACCATTGAGTGCGATCGGAGCTCCGAGACGAGCAATTGACTTAGTCACTTACCATGGACAGTCTCCAATACTAATAGCACGAGTTGACGGAACATCACGAGGAAGCACTCGTCTTCCAAAGTGGCAAGTACTTCGAGCTATGTAATGAATTGCGGCGGGTGTAGAACTGCGCGATTACAAAGTGCGTTCAAATTTCAAACGTTCAACGTTGGTTCAACCCAGTGCGCCTTATAGAAATGGGGCACTCTGCATAAGACCCCGAATTCGAACGTCGAACATTCGTGACTCATGTATGCGTCTCAGCACAATACAAATCCAAGGTTTGTGATACATATCTATCGCCCGACAATGTCCGAGTCATTACTAGCCTAAGGATATTCAATGAATCCGAGTCGGGTACTCGCGCATAGGTGCCAGTGTAGTCGGGTCTGTTTGATAAGTAGTATGATGTAGGTGAGTTGCTTGAAGACTGTCAGCTATTGAGCAATCTACAGACAAGGGCATTTGACTTACGGGGAATTTAGCCTCGGCTGCGATGCCCTTTGCCGCAAGCCCGAACCGTTGCCTCCGTTGATGTCGCCGCGTCTCCCTTCGACTAGGATGGCAGGGACCGCGCGGGCTCACCGACCAGCGACTGTGCGCCCGCTAAGCTCGGTTGAGGGCGAGCTACCTGCGGCTCTTGCTCCTCCTCCTCCTCCCGGGCATATGCGAGCGCTCTGCGATACTGAACCTCTCGCCATAACGCCCGCACCCGTGCATGTCGTTGGGCGCCGCGGATCAGGATGCAGATGAGTTCCATGCAGAGCACAGCGAAGAGAATTAGGCAAATGACGTCCATCTGGTATGTATAAAAGAGGTGGGATAGCTGCTCGTGCAAGGACGACCACTCGAAGGATGCGGGACCCGCTGCTCGTGCGTCGGTTTCGGGAGGCGTCGAGTAGTACGGAACTACGTCGAGTACTAGATCCGGCGTAAGGAGCTGGGTGATGTTGATGACGGGAGGCGGGTCGAGCAGTTGTATAGGTGTGCTGCGAAGAACACCCGGTCAGTGTCTTGGGGCGATCCAATGATTAAGAACTCACAGCCGGTCAAGGAGATGCTGGTGTTCATTACCGATGAGGCGCACAAGCTGCGGGTGAATTAGGAATCTGTAAGAGACCAGCATGACGAAAGTATCGACAATGGGGATTAGGATGAGCGCCAGTATCTGCATCGTGAATGAAGGAACGTGGGGTCTGCCTACGGTTGTGGGCGTTGGGGATGGGCGTGTTCGGGTCTGAGCGCGAGCCTTCAGCAGGTATAGTGCCGGTCGAGAGTCACGTCGTTGGAAATTTCCGGTCCATCAGCACTTGTGATGACATGCTGTCAACGCACAGTTGCTGCATGTCGCCCTTGAACCGATCACCTGGGGTGGTACCTTCGAAGGTCAGAAAGTCAACGAGCTCAGCGGTACCGTTCACCGTACGACACAGCATCCCGAGTCATGAAACTCAGAGCCTGATGCTGCTCAGGCCCTCATGCGGAGAGTCGTACTTACAGCAAGCACAGAACAGGCGAGGGTAAAACAAACCGTGATGAGATCGAATGGAGCGAGTTCGGCACGTCGAGGGTAGGCAGAGCCTTCCGACCTTCTGATTAACCTCGTACCTGCCAAAGCTATCCCCGACCGCACGTTCATCGAGCTCCGCGGCCTGCCACCAACCGGGAGGTGCAGCTCGACGGACGCGTTTGCATGGCCGGGGTACTGCAAGCGAAAAAGACATGATATACCTAGAGCTACAGTCATAGATGAGAGATCATAGGCGGTAAAAGCATACTTGCACAAATCAACGACGGCCACCCAAACTACCGAAACTGCCAAACGCAGAACTGCCCCTGCCACCATACACCGATCTTGGGGGAACGGTGTTTGTCTCTTTGACGGGTGATAACCGTGACGGGATGTCAAGCGCGCCGCCAGTCTTCATTCATGTCAAGATCAGCTGGGATCCCGACCTTCGTTCTCAGTAGTCAAGCTCACCTGCGAAAGTTCGACCCAGTCGAACGAGACCGGCTGCGAAGCCGGGAAGAGCTTGATTCTCCGTTTCTTGCCCTTGGTCGGCGTCGGTGCAGCTTCTTCGTCGTCCTCGTCTACCGTTGTGGCTGGAGCTGCATTTGACACGCTTCCCTTTCGTCCGGGTTTGGCTTTCTGGGGAGCAGTTGGTTTGCCGTTAGTAGAGGCAGAGGGCTTTTTCGTCTTCGTCTTCGCCTTGGGGGGCTCTTCGTCCTCGTCGGCATCGCCTTTGTCCTTGGCCTTCCCCTTGCTCTTCTTCGGGGGCGGCTCGTCGTCTGAATCGTTGACGTCGGTAGCCTTCCGCTTCCCCTTGCGACCTGCAGTTGGTTTCGCGACCACCTCATCGTTACCGTCTTCTTCGGGCTGTCTCTTCCTCGGGCGTCCCCTCTTCTTCTTAGCTTCCTGGGCCTTTGGCGGGCTGTCAGCCTCGACCATGACAACGTCGTCGTCGTCAGAATCATTGACTTGCTGGGACGACGCCGCGCCTCGCTGCTGACTCTTGCTTTTCCGTGGCGGCGTAGGTGGAGCAGAAGAGGAGGGAGCTTCTTCGTCTGCAATGTCATCGCCTTCGTGATCAGAAATGGAAGGCGGGACGCGGACAGGGTCTGCGGGAGACGGCTGTGATGTGGCCGAAGCTGTGTGAGAAGGTCGTAGATCTGATAAACATCAATAATTACTTTGTTTGGCGGTCTGGCATTGGAGGTAGTACGCAGGGCGTGAAGCTCTGCCTCTACCCTCAGCAAGCGCTCCTTCACCTCTTCAGCCTCCATCTCAGCCTTGTCAGCATCGGCGCGAGCCTCATCCAAAGCGTTCTGTCGTAAGATGGACGTGTTAGCAAATGAGCTGATTTTGCAGTGAATCCAGCACGCGTACCTGGTGCTCTTGCATAGAGGTCTTGTACTGCTCGATGTGCGTCTTGTACCTAGCTACCTTCGCTTTCGCTTTCTCATTGAACTCGTTTCTCTCTGTCACTTCGCCTTCCAACTCCTCAACACGACTCTCCAGCTCCTTCACGCGCACCTCGAGCTCGATCCTGCTACGCCGCAGAGTGTCCATCTCAGCGCCCTCACGACTTTCAAGGGTGCGCCACTTCTCCAGCTGCCGTCGGAGGTCGGCGTTGGTCCGCTCTGCCTCACCATGCTTGGTCTCTAGCTCGGCGTAGGAAGATTTGAGTCCCTCCAAGTGCAGAGTCGTACGTTCAAGATTAGTCGTTGAACTACTCGTCGAGGCGACAAGCGCGTTGTGTTCGATTCGTAGTTTGGACAGCGCATCCTAGACATGGGGGACACACAGGGATATGGCAAAGCAAAAGTACTGATATTCACGACTGTGTAGACAAAGACAGTGCTTGCGGAGGTGACGTACCTCAGCAGTATCCTTGGACTTGCTTGCAGTAACGAGCTCCTTCGCCGTATCTTCGAGCTGAGCGGTGAGAGTAGCGCACCGTTCTTCGAGCTCCCCGCTCAAGTCCCGCGTCTCCTCCTCATGCGTCCTCTGCTGGTCCTCAAGCTCCCGCTCCAAGTCCGACACGCGCTTCTCCAGATCAAACTCTCGACGTTGAAAGCTGACGAGCCGATAGTCGCGCTGCAGCCGAGCAAGCCTTTCCAGGCGGGTTCCTTCTCGCTCCTTCAGAACTGCCATACGCTCGCGATCCAGCTCGATCACCGTACGCGCGTGTGCCAGACGGTGGATCGCCTGTATCGCATCACACCCGCTGATCCACTCTGCCCGCTCCTGCTGGAACCTTTTCTGCAGGCCGGCCACGGCGTCTGATCCACGCCTTTGTTCCTCGGAGAGGGCCTGGCGGAGCCTGTCTATCGTGTGCTCGAGGGTCCGCGACTTCGCGACGAGTTCTTCAATTTGCTCCTGCTTCTTCGCGGCCATCGCCTCCATTGGTCCTGAGGACGGGGCAGAGCGTAGGGGAGTCGGGGCTCGACGAAACATTGATCCAATAGACGACATTAAGTTAGGACGTTCCAAGAAAGGAGTGTACAATGGGGGGAGGACAGAGAAAAAGATATGAATCCAAGCAAAGCGAAGGTTGGACGAGGACCGTGGGCGGCGCCGTCGACGGCGGGGCTGGCGATGATGGTCAACGCGAAGCGGAACGTCGCGACTCGCGGCGACCGGTCGACGCGACCACGTGAGCGTCCGAAGTCCCACGGTGACTGAGGGAGTCTGAGGCACATATTAGTAACTTACTCTGGGTTCAACGGTATGGTATTCACGACTCGCGGACACTCGCGGATAACAACGTGTTTAGAAAGCGGAATCTCGTAAGATACGAGAAAATACAGCTGTGTAATACATGCGGAGGACAAGGTACATGTGGCTAAGTCTGCTAAGTTAGGAGTCTGAGATCTGAGCAGTCACTGGCGCGATCCTCCTTAGACTCCAGTACGTCCTAAGGCCTAAGTCCTTGTCCCGCGTACGCGATAAATCCTCGACTCTAATTGGTTCGTTCAAGCATGAAAATAGGACGTTAAATAGCGCAGGAGATGAAGTTGATCAATTGCGTACCTTACCTATGGTGTACTAACCCAGGTCCTTCGGCCTCAGTCATGGTCTACGTCGGCGGGACCTGTAGTTCCATAATCCATGTCGAATGACATAAGTTAGGATGTTATAGTGATACAAGATGTGTGTGCTACAGATCGAATACGCATGAGTACATACCGAGGCTACGCCACAAGCCAAAGGCGTCGAGCGTTTTACGATGGTCACTGACCCCGGTCTATTGCCTCCAGGGCCGAATTAAGTACGACCTTGGGAGTCAGTAGTATGCGGTCCTCGAAGGGCTCCTCCACGTTGTCCTCGGAGGCCGTCGATGCCCTCCTAGACTTCCGCGTCACACAACGCAGGCCCAGCTCTGTCGTGCAGAGTACTCTCCCGTTGTTCGCCCCGCCCGCTCGCGCCCCACTCGATCTACCACTAGAGTAGCTCTGGACGCTGGTAGCATCGTCGATGATACATTCCTCATAGTCCCTCATCTTGTTCGACATGGAGCCCTCCTCGAACGGTTCTCCACTGTCCACAAGGACGACTTCGAAGCTGGTAGAGAGGATCTCTTCCCGCGTCACCCGTGCTAAACGATAAACAGCCTCGGCGATACGTCGCAACTGAGTGCTTGGCACGAGAGCGGGTGACGGCTCCGTCGTCGGTGATGAGCCTGCTAGCGCGAAGACGGTCGAAGACCACCGCAGCATCGTCGCCACAAGTTCCGTGATTGCGTATTCTTCCAGCCCAGGGTACAGCATCCTGATCGATCGATGCGTCAAGGCGCGCCATCGTGCGGACGTTGCCTGCGGTTCTGGAGAGTAAAGCACAGCGTTCGCTGAGGTCACGGAGCAAACACGAAGAGGCCGCACGTACCGGAAGACTGCATGTGCGTAAGTACGCGCGAGAGAAGCGCGTCGAGCTTCGACGGAAAGCCCACGCAGAACAGCGAGAGCGAGCGTGCACAGCACGTCACGATGCTCGCCTGCAGCGCGAGCTGAACGAGGATCGGATCCTGCGTGTGGTCGCGAGTCGACAGTGCCTGCACGAACGCCGCACCCAGCCAGGGTGCGCTCTCCTCGTCTTGCAAGGGCCCCGTGTCCGACGTCGGGGGCGGCGCCCGGGCCTTCATCCTCTTTGTGAACGCACACGTCTCGGTCGCGCTCGCAGCGAATTGGTTGATCTCGGCATTCAGGTCCTCCACAGCCTGGATGACCTGAGCGCCCGACCAGTTGTCTGTCTTGGTCATGAAAACGTCCATGCTCCGTGTCCGCGCTATCTGCTCGGCGTCCATGACAGCCTGCGGCTTCTGTGGGACGGGAGGCGCGTTCTCGATCCTGCGCGGTGCTCGACTCCGACTCGGTGTCCGACTCCGGCGACGATTAGGGTGCTGTACTCCGTTCTGCTCCCTGTTCTCGACTACTCCACTCTCCGGGGACACCCTTTGATTCTTCATTCGTTCCTCATCGCGCTCTGTCCTCGCCTGGTCTCTCTCCACCCTCACCTGGTCGCGCTCAGCGACCAACCTGTCCCTCTCCTGCCTCAACGTTTCGATCTCCCTGTCCTTCGTGCGCAGGTTCTCCTGCATCTCCCGCAGGGTCTCCTGCAGCGCCTTGTATCGTTCGGCGAGCTTCATGATCTCGATATGTATGTGTGAGCGTGCGGCGTCGCGGCGCGCGTAGGCGGTTTCCAACGCAAGCTCGAATCGCGCCGATGGCGGCGTGCGAGGCTGGACGGGAGCTGTCAATGGGCCGAACGGTGCTGATCTCTCGCGCCGCTCGGCGGTGGCTAGTCGCAGCCGGAGCGCGCTGCACTCGCGCGTGAGCCGTGCGACGGGGTCCGCGAGGGGCGTAAACTCGCCGGACTCGAATCGGGGCCTGGTAGAATAGACGACCGCACCTCCGCGCGGTGTGTAGATTTCGAGAGCGGGATCGCTGTGGTGTCTAACGTGCATCATGTAGTAGTGAGCCCGTGGGATGACGGAACAGGGAGAGATACAAGAACGGGAGTCTTACCTTGCGTGCTATATGAAAGGCCTAGAGAGGATCTGCCCACCGAGCAGCGCTGTCGACTGGTGGTGTGCAAGAGAATCTTGCAGTGAGTCGCTGCGGCGTGAGTGCGTGAGGAGCGTGTGTAGCCATGCACATCGGAGATCGCAAACGCGTGTTGATGGGGCGCTCAGGACGTAAAATCTCCAGTTTCCCCAGCCATCGCGGGGTTGAGTAAGTACAGCGACTGGACGGTTGTGCAGATCGCCGCGGTGCTCGATTCCTGCGTCCTGCACTTGCTGAGACGATGAAGTTCAAGAAACGACTGGCGAATGGACATTGCAATTAGCGCCTGCGGCTGCAATCGGCGCCTATGCGATCTCGTGGCTGCATTTGGAAGGCTCTGAGGAAAGCAGGAGGGCGTGGAAGGATGCACTCGCAATCCTCCTTGTTGCGGCCGTATTCATTTGTAAGTGACTCGTCGAGAAGTGCATGACGGGGTAAGTAAGCACGGCCGTTTAGCAGCGCGAGGCGTACACACGCAGCACGGTGAAGGGTTCCGGCTGCTTGGAGTCATCATGTGCGAGCAGCAGTAGGACTGACCTAGGCTTATCAGGCTATTTGGCCTCCTCATCCGGGGCTTGTGCATGAAAGCACCGATTACGTTGCAACCGAGGGATCTGCATCCGGAACCAGACCACAGCACTCCCGGGTGTTAGCCAGCCCCAGCGGATTCAGACAAGTCATGAGTGCATGAGCACTGCACGGTAACCGACGCGTCCGACTGTCCAACCGCGTATCTGCGATGTGGCGGAAATGAACGTCTCTGCGAGAAGATGTGTGAGGGAACCATCCTGCGTCATCTGTGGCACAAATGCCCACGGCTGTGCAGCAAGGCGTGTAGACCGCCGGTGGCGGGAACGTGTAACTTGAGTTGTACGTCAGTATGAGAGGTACGAGGCTAGGCGTCTTCGGAGTCGTGCAGACCTGAAACGTATGACAGCGTTAACCACAGCCACCGAGTGGTAGTCCAATAAGTGACCAGGTGTTTCCCCTCAATGAAAGGAAGAGTCGGAAACTCGGAGGGCAGGGCTATCAAGGTGATTTCGAGAAGGACTCTGGGCCCAGGCGGGTGCTACGCTGGAGATCCGGTTTTAGCGTCACCAAACCCAGGCCCAGGACGTGCAGTCTGTTCAGGAGCTGGTAGAGAGCGCACCTGCGGACCCGGGTCGAGCTGGCAATCGAAGGAGACACCTAGTACGCCACCAGCTGCGCAGTAGTACGACCTGCGCTGCTGCGCCATGATACTAAATGGGACGCGGATTACCGTTGTTCGCGGAGAGATCATCTTCGCCGCGATGGTGTCCTCGGGATGACATGGTGGACGCGCTGCGAACGCGTCTCGCGTGGGCGGTGGGCCGCCTCGCCACAACCGCGTTGCGGACGCGTGTAGCTTACATAAGCTGCTTTAGCCCCGCGATGGCCGCTTTCGTCCAGAAGAGCGAACCCATATTATCATGCCTCGTGGTTGTCCTCGCCATTTTTTCTTCTCTCAGCCCTCGAGCTCCGAGCTCTCCTTATATCTCGGACGGCGCGAACCTGACGCGTCGTACCCGCCATTATCTCCCATCTACTCTTCACCGTGAAAGTAACGACCTTCCGTACATTATCCTTTACACTATCCTGTCATGAAGCCCACCTCGGGCACCCGCAAGCCCTACACTGGGCAATCGCGGAGTCTTGTCTTGGCGCTCGATGTTGGGACAACGTTCAGCGGCGTTTCCTACGCAATCCTTGAACCGGGCGAGGTGCCCAAGATCCATGGAGTTACGCGGTATGTGCTCCGCAGAGCCCGATAGAGCATTATTTACGCTCTCGCAGATTTCCGGGGCAGGAACATGTCGCAGGGAACTCCAAAGTACCCACAATCATGTACTACGATAGCCATGGACGAATGATGGCTACAGGCGCAGAAGCAGAGAGTGCGTCGACTATTGCACAAGCAGAAGATGAAGGATGGATCAAGGCCGAGCTGTGAGTCCTCTACCGTGGCTGCTACAGTACGTCATTGAACTTTGCACAAGCTTCAAGCTACGGCTGCGACCCAAGAACATGAAACTCAAAATGAACGGCATGCGGTTCGCGCCGCTTCCTCCGGGAAAGACAGCAGTCGACGTCTTTGCGGACTTCCTGGCTTATCTCTTCCGCTGCACGCGGTCATTCATCGTCGACACGCACGCGAATGGCCCTGCACTATGGCAGGCAGTCGAGCAGAACATCGAATTCGTACTCAGTCACCCGAATGGCTGGGAGGGCGCGCAACAGACGAAGATGCGTCGTGCTGCCGTGTATGGTGGCTTGATACCCGATACAGATGAGGCAAAGGCGCGGATACGCTTTGTGACGGAGGGAGAGGCCAGTCTGCACGCGTGCGTGCTGAATGGTCTCGCTGCGGACGTCCTGCAGGTAGGGGTGCCACTTTCCTTGTCATATGTCATCCTGAGTTACGTTGTTACAGAACCCTTCAGGGCATGGTTTCATCGTTGCAGATGCCGGTGGTGGCACCCTAGATATCAGCTCGTATGCTATTCGGGGGGCATCACCTCTCGTCATTGAGGAAATCGCCCCTCCAGATTGTATGCGCGTCATTACTTGTTGTACGTATAGCTGTTGACCAAACTTCTCTCTCTAGGTGTCTTCGCCGGCTCTGTCTTCGTGAGCAGGCGGGCACGAGCCTTCTTCGAGGGTATGTGCGTCTGTCGCGCGCGCGGATCAAGGCTCACCTTTCTCATCCCCACAGAGAAGCTCAAGAATTCGAAGTACGGTACACCGGACTCCCTCGATCACATCACCAAGCGCTTCGACGAAACTACCAAACGGCTGTTTCGAGATCGCAAGGAACTGCAGTTCGTACCATTTGGCTCCCCGCTCGACAAGGATCAGACCGTTGGCATTCGAGGCGGGCAGTTGAAGCTGACTGGGTGAGCATCTACTCGACGTATTGAGGAGGGAGCCAACTCATGTTGCTGAACGTCCACTAGCGATGAGGTAGCCGCGCTGTTCGAGCCGTCAATAGAGGCTGCTATCCAGTCAATCAAGGCGCAGATCGACGCGTCAGGTGGAGCTGTCAAGGTAGTGCATTCGCAGCCTGTCATGTATACCGTTCACTGATCACTTCTTGCTCAGTCTGTATGGCTCGTTGGGGGCTTTGCTGCAAGTCCTTGGCTCTTCAGTCAGTTGCAAGAACGCCTGGCTCCTTATCATATCACTGTCAGCCGGCCAGACAGTCAGACGTAAGTCGAGCCTCTGGCCTGAAGTCACTAGGTGCTAACGATGGTATAGGTCAAAGGCGGTAGCTGACGGTGCTATAGGCTTCTACTGCGACCACCACGTTTCGGCGCGCATGTCAAAGTTTATGTATGGTGTCGAGTATCTGCGAGAGTTCGACCCGAAAGACGGGGAGCATGTGGCGAGGAAGCACCGTTTGTTCGAGCTACCCTCAGGCCCCAAGCTATTGCCGGACGCATTCGACTGCATCCTAAACAGAGTGCGTGCAGCGGTCATTACATGTGCTTCAATTATGCTGATGCATCGTGACAGGGAGTGCGCGTCAAGGAGTCAACCGTTTTCAGCCGGAAGTACTGCACAGAGGTCACAAACCTGTCGACGCTATCCGTGTTCGAAGTCGAGATTTGGTGTTACAGAGGTGGAGGCTCTATCCCAAAGTGGATTCTCCGGGACGCTGGTGCGTACTCATACTCATTGTCTATGTCATGAATCGCATTCTCATTGAGCACACAGAGAACTTCTCGACCCTTTGCTACGTCCGCGCAGACCTGTCTCCACTGGCGGGAAGTGCACAATCGAAGCAGGGCAAGAACGGCAAGACCTACTGGACGATCGTGTTCAACATAGAGATCCACTTCGGTTTGACCGAGTTTAGGGCGCGCATCAAGTGGCTGGACAACGTAAGTGGGCGGGTCTCGTCGGTATTGACTCAGCTGACCATTATGTGTATTTATAGGGGAGGACCAGATAGTACGTATAAAAACTTCGCTAGCGGAGATATTGCCTGACAATCATTTGTTTAGCGGCCCTGCTTCTATTGTGTACAGCGAGAGCGGTCACCGTGCAGAAGAGGATGAGCCTGACGAATCCCCTGAGGACAATGTTACGATCCTCTCCACTCAGTCAGACAGGTCGCGTCAACCGTCCCGGGTGCCATCGAGGGAACCGTCACAAGCTGCTCCCTCATCGCGAGTCAGCTACGCGCCTCGCTCGCCCAGCGTGGAGACACCCCGACCAGAGCTCTCTCGTTCATCCACTACGCGCAGCGCGCTCCGATCAGAGACGCGCACCTCTTTCGACAAGGGCAAGCAGCGGGAGATCATCCCAGAGACGCCGCGCCCGGAGGCTCTCGACCGATCTGTGAACGTGTCCGGACGTTCGGCGGACTCTGGCAGGAGTGGCAAGCTGGCGGACACGCTTTCCGCGGTCTGGGGCAGCGCTTCGAAGTATCAATCTCCGGCGGTATCGAGAGTGGAGTCGTCGAGGTCTACCTTGGCTGCGACACCGATGAGGGAGGAGCTCAGCCCGATCACACCTCGAGACGCCTCGAAGGCTGCTACGCCTTGGGAAGTCGTGTCGAAGCCGACGACCCCGAAGGAGCTTTCGAAGGCTGCTACGCCGCGGGAAGCTACGGTACCCCCGACGCCCAAGGAGGTCTCCCGGATTCCCAGCCTCAGGGAGGCTGCAGCGTCTTCTGTCCCCAAGGAGCCCACCGCACCACCGACGCCCAAGGAACCCTCGAGAGCTGCGACGCCCAGGGAGTCCAAGCTGCCAACGCCCAAGGAGGTATCGAAGGCACCGACCCCGAAGGAGGTATCAAAGGCTCCCACGCCGAAGGAGACGTCGAAGGCTCCGACACCCAAGGAGGTCTCAAAGGCCCCGACGCCCAAAGAGCTGTCTGCCGCGCCGACACCGAAAGCAGCCTCGAAAGCACCCACGCCGAAAGAGGTCTCCAAAGCACCTACGCCCAAGGAAGCCTCGAAGGCACCCACGCCAAAGGCCACCACTCCGAAAGCGTCGAAGGCCCCGACGCCTCGGTCAACGTCGAAGGTGCCGACACCGAAGGCAGACCCAGAGCCCTTGCCCGAAGAGCCCGTCCCCGTCAATACCCTTGTCGACGCCGTCTCCTCTCTCTGCCCCCCTGCGCACGACGACACCGTCGTCCCGCCACCACCCACATGGGATATGCCGCCGACCATGCCCGACGGCACAGCGTCGGTGGCTGCAACCGAGAAGAGCGCCTCGAAGACCGGGGCATCGTCGCCGTTCCCTGGCTGGTTCCCTGAGAACGAGACGAACGCTGCGAAGGAGCCCGAGTCCGCGGGATTCTCTGATCTCATGGGCTCTCCTGGCCATCCGAAAACAGGTGGCTTCTCTAGCTTCCTCAGTGGCAACAGTTGGGGTGCTGCGAAGCCGACGAAGCCGTCGTCTAGCTTCGGAAGCCTCGGTGGTGGAACCTCTGGCATGTTCGGCAGCTTTGGCACGGGTCTCTGGGGCAATGGCGGTTCTGACCCCGCGCAGGAGCAAGCAGAGCGAGAGCAGGAAGAGAAGAGGCAGCAGGAGGAGGCCGCCAGACTGGCTACTGAGGCTGCCGCTGTTGCACAGAGGGCTGAGGAGGAGGCTAAGAAGAAGGCGGAAGAGGAGGAAGCCGTTCGGAAGGCAGAGGGAGAAGCTGCGAGGCTCAAGGCAGAAGAGGAAGAGGCTGTACGCAGGCAGGCCGCGGAAGAGGAGGCTGCGCGGAAGAAGGTGGAGGAAGAGGAGACAGCGAAGAAGCAGGCAGAGGAGGCGGAGGCGGAGGTTGCACTGAATAAAGCTGAGGAAGAAGAGGCAGCTAAGAAAGCCGACGAGGAGAAAGCGGCAGCGGACGCCGAAGCCGCGAAGAAAGCCGACGAGGAGGCTGAGGCCGCGAAGAAGGCTGAGGAGGAAGCGAAGAAAGCTGAAGAGGACAACCCCAAACCGGAGGAGCCGGTGGAGGAAGACGAGTGGGCCCCCACCATCAAGACGAAAGGCAAGAAGAAGAAAGGAAAGAAAGGCAACGCGAAAGATGAGGAAGAGCCTGCGACCACTGCTGCGTCGACTGCTGCCCCGACCGCTGCACCCACTCCCGACGCTGTCTCCCGGACTGCATCGGCAGCTGCACCTCCCGAGCCAGAACCCGCTGCGCCGCTCGGCAAGAATGCTAAAAAGGCTGCGAAAAAGAAGAAGGGCAAGAAGGGCAAGGGTGGTGGCGGCGACGACGACGAGGAGAAGGATGAGACGGCACCGGCTACTCCTGCGGGCGACGGTGGTTGGGGCGAGTCGAACAACTGGGGCGACGAGGGCGGAGGCTGGACGCAGTCATAGAGCACCGACGACGGCTCACGAATCTCACGAAGAACACTGTTGCAGGATATAGGCATCGCGGCGGGCCCGCTGACGACCCACGGATCTCACTTCTTGTAGCGCAAGCTTGTTTTGTAGCCTCACCGGATCTTACGCTATCATGTACCACTGTATACCATCTCTCATCTGCTTGTTCTACTACGTGCACTTAATCTACATGGAGGTTATACAATCACAACTCAATACAGCTTTGCCTAATTGTTGTCGAACTCCTCACAGGATGCCCTCCGTCTGACGCCGAGCTATGCGCGAAGCAATCACTGCCGTTCGCATCGAGAGGCATGCACGGGCCCATTCCTGGGCAACCGTTGCGAAACGGACATCATACATATCACGGAGAATCGTCTGCGCACGGCCTGCCCTACGTATATCAGGATTGCGCACTCGACATATATAAATAGTGCGAGCCTCACCGTACGGGTCATAGCCTAGTAGCAAGACATGATGGGACTTCAACGTCCACCGCAATCACCCCTAGCCGTGCATGCCACCAAATCCGTCTTCCCCACTCATAGTCCGCGTCATCCGTCGGCGTGGGTCAGGAGAGTTCATCCCCATACCCATACCCATGTCTGGCCCACCGTGCATACCCATGCTCATGTTCATGCCCTGCATGTTCATCCCCATACCGCCCATCGCCTGGGCCATCCCGGCGTTATTCATGCGCATAGGCGAGTCCGTGTTGTTGCCGTAGAACTGCCCCGGAGGCACGGCTCCCATCCCCATCCCTCCCATGTTGCCCATCCCCATACCAGGCGCGCCCATGCCCTGACCACCCATGCCCTGCGCTGACGGGGAGAACGGATGCCGAGGCGAGGCCATGCCGGGCGTGCCTTGGTTCGCGAAGAACTGCTGGGGTATATGCTGGGGGGTGATGGAGGAGTTCTGCGCGCGCGACGATTGCACCTTTGGCGTGCCAGGCATGTCTAAGATCTGCCGGTCATTCGATGCGCCCCGGCTAGTTGAGGCAATGGCGCCATCGCCGTCCCCGGACGGTTTGCCTTCTCTCTGGTACTCGAGCAAAGGACTGGGGTCGTAGTAGAGTTCGGAGTATTCCTCAACGAGAAATCTTCACAGGCTATCATCACGGACTGGCCCTCGGTACATAGAAATGTTGCGACGTACTGCTGTGTGCCTATGTCCCATTGTGGCCCTCGCTCCGCACGAGCGGTGAGGAGTAGCGAGTTCCATTCGGACGCGCTTTCCTGCGACACAGACTCGCTCAATACACCTCGCTACTTGGACAATCTCACTGCCATACTCACGATGGCCTGCGCCAGCGCGCTGCTTGGCTCATACGCGGTTTGTCGGACGTCGACGCGTGTTTTGGTTTCACGGGCAAAGACCTCGACTTGTGCCGTCACTGCTGGGCCAATACGCTGGGAGTTATGTCGAGGAACCTTGACCTTTACATTCCGGACTGGCTGTGTAGAAGGCGACATGATAGTCTGTGCAGTGCAGAATAACGCTATGGTACAGTAGGGGTTTGGAGGGTTGAGTGTGGTCCGCTTCGTCTACGGTCTACTGACTGCTAGTGCGGATTATGTAATCACGTAGCCATGGGCCAATCACAGGCAGTGCCTCCATTGAGTCGTTGGTAGTAAGTTAGAGCCTAGCTATGACCGGTGACCTCTTGTTCCTCCTCGGTGGCATACGTCCTCATACGTCTCGTAGTCAAAATATCTGCATAGGGGGTGAAAGCGTCCCCTGCGGGTCTCCGTATCATTACACGACAGTGAAAGTTGCGCTTCCGCGCCGGCCCCCTCGTGAATTATTACAAAACCTGGTTTGAACCTGGTCTCGGCGCCCTAAGGTCGGTGCTCTTAGGCTCTGAGTTCTCTCTTCACTTGTCACGCTGGTGAGGTGGTCGCCAGTCCGCTCGGAGTTCTGCAACAGTCTGAGTTGCCGTTCCATTTCGTCCAGCCGACAAGCCTGAAACCGAGTGACCTCCAGGAGCTCCTTGACGTACGCGTCCGCGAGCAAGCACTGGATCAGTGTTGCACGAACTTGAGAGACTCGCATAGCTCCAAAAGCGCACGGATGAGCGCTATCAATAGGCGGAAGGGTGCTGCAAGGAGTATGTGGAAGACTGCCATGGCGAGACCGAAGGTCGTATTGATGCGGTCGTTGACGAAAACCATGAGCAGCTTGCGACAGAGCCCTAGTACTGCCCAGAACATGCGTGTCAACGAAAGGTTGAAGGTGACGTCGGTGTTAACAGTGCCGATGCGCGACGGGTAATCCAAGAGGCCCTCGGCATCGCGAACGAAGTCGTAGCGACACAAGGGGCAAGTATGACCCTGATACCGTCATGTCAGTCTCCGCGAGTTCGATAGGACATGACCGTACTCACACCTTGATGCAGCCATCCGCTGATGCTACTCGACAATGTAGTCAGTGCTCTGGCGCCGACCGCATGGCACTGATGCAACAGTCTGCACACTCACCATGTCTGGCAGAATACGTGCTCGCATCCGGGAATCTTAATGATGATGCCGCGATCGTCGCAAACGTCTTGGAAGGTCTCGCAGCAAATTGCGCATTGGTCCTCAAGCGGGACATCGTGTTGTCTCAGAATTGGGAAGGCCTCAAGGAGATCATCGTACGTTCCCTTGTTGTGTCAAGATCAGCAAAAGCGTACGTTACAAGCGACCCCGAAGCTCACTATTATTCTCCAAGGAATTATTGGGACAGGTGCTGGCTCTGGCTCTGGCGGTCGTGGAATGCCTCGGCCAGTCTTGATCCACGTCACGAGGGGCCAAACGAATGCGTCGGTGAAGATGACGGTGAGGATTGGCGCATATACGATGTATGTGTTGTTGATGTCGCCGAGGATGTACACGCCATGAAGGAGAACAGCCACGACACTCCCAGTGATGGCATAGCGATAGATAAGGCCTAACACTCGTTTCCAGTTTTCCTCAAGGTTATCGAGCGTGAGGTCTTCGTCGCCGTCTTGTTGCCGGTATTCCCAGGAGTAGAATATGAGGATGATGGGGACTTGCCAAGCAAGAAGCATCCACATGAGACCACGGCCTCCGTGCAGTTCGGGGGCGAACATATTGCTGATCGGGGGCTTGTACTGCGGGTCTGAACAGACGCGACGAGCATCAAAGAGTCCTAGGCCCATGGCGACACTCATGGCGTAGATGCGTGAGAGCAGGCAGACGAAGAGGATCTCGTAGAATACTCTGCGAGACATGCAGCGCCAGAGCGCTGCTAAGACGCCAAGCAGGAGCATGTTGGATATTGAGGGGTGGCTAGTACTCGTAGTGATGAAGCAGCGCAGGTTGACCGGCGAATTGGAAGCGGAACTCACCCTTTATATCCTCGACCATGGGAGGCTGGCATCGTGTCGGTGAGTCTTCCGCTGGCTGTGTCACCCGATGTCAGCCTCAGTTGTAATTCGAGCTACGAGATCCACAACCCCGGACTCGCGGTGAGACTGCCTCTGGATACATATTGATCCCCGCAATTTGCAGTCCATTGGGACAGGGACTCGAGAGTCGCTGAGGCTGTGTCGTGCACGGTGGTGACAGCGTTCGTGTAGCACCAGTGAATGCAGCCCGCAGTGAAATCAAAAGTAGTTTGAAACGAAATGCCACCGGTCCCAAGTCATCCGTGCTACGTAAATCGCCTGTCCTCTCTTGAAGTCGAACTTGGATTACTGCGCGGGAAGATGTACTTATACGGTATCAGCACAGCCATTAAGTGCGATCGGAGCCCCTAGACGACTCGGAGCAACTTGGTCAGTAACCATAGACAGTCTCCAATAGCACGAGTTGACGGAACATTACGAGGAACTTCGAGCTAATGATTTGTGGCGGGTGTGGGATGTGGAGTCGCACCTACACGGACGGCCCGTGTCTACACTCCTGAGTGCCGCGCACTGCTCATACGCGGCCACGTGATGTCGCGCTTGTGGCTGGCCTGCGGTGGCGTGGGCGCCTCCGTCTACTTAGTACATCTTCCTACGCTCTTCGTCGCTCCGGACATCCTACTCCTCGAATACTGTACTTGAGCACTGAGCAAGTGCACGCGGCACGTACAATGTCATACAAATGAAAACGCACAGTCAGAATTTGACTGGTATCATTTATTGGATGTGCTACCAAAAATCTCCTCGCCCGTCCTACGCGAGCTCTTCTCACCACTGCGGAGGGTGATGAATCAACCAAAATCCTGCAGGTGGTGCGGGGCAGTGGTACAAGTTCATCACCATGACAGGCATGTGCACCATCGCAGGCGGCGCGCCGCATAAACCGGAGTGCGAGATCGCGTACGCAATATAAGCCCTGACCTGATCAGGGTGCTTCATGTGCACGCAAGGAGACAACCCTTCAGAGAAACGCCATACTCCGATACGATTAGGTACTCACCACGGATGGCGGCTTCGACGCACATCCCCAATCTATGAGGTACGCTTGGGAGACATGGTCATCGAACAATACGTTCGCCACCGTCGGGTCCTGGTGAAGCCAGTGAGTCCGCGTATACGTATCCAGGATCTTTCTCGCAGCGATGTCGATGGCGTGATTCAGCAATGCCCAGCATTGCTGCGGGTCGTGCCGCACACGCCGGAAGGCCGACGTCTGGTCGAGCTGCATGCCTGGCGACGCCTTCACGACGATCCACTTCTGGCCATATCTGTCCGTTCCGCTCTTCAGAAGCTCCCCCGCCTGCAAAAAATGGTGGATGGTGAGTGAGGCCTTGAGAGAGGATGGAGGATTCGTACAGCACCCGTGGCCTCGGCCTCTTGGTCGGTAATCCATGTCTTCGCATAGGCACCCTTATAGTCGCCACCGACAACCTTGTATACGGAGCCGTGCACGCCTTGTCGGTCGTTCAGCCGTACTTTCAACTTCTCCCCTTCCAGTGTCAGTACGTGTTCGCCTGCAGATACATTGGTCGTGCTGAGCTTGTGACTAACTGGCCAGAGTGGGAACGGACTGAACGTACCTGATGCACGTCTCCGAAGGCTGCGAACGAAGACTTCAGAAGGCTACACATAGAAGCATCAATGAGCCCTGAACCCGTATTTGTTCACGCAATGGACGCATGGCACGCTTACAGAGCTTTGCATGTCTGGTGCGGCCCAAACTGCGAGGCATGAAGCGAGGAATGAGAAAAGGAGGATGCGCATCGCAACGTCGTGAACGGTAAGTGGAGCAGGCGACCAAGGGAAATTAGAGAGAAAGCTACGAGAAAGATAGACAACACAGGATAATAGGAGAAGGACCAGCCCAGCTCAACCTTCAGTGTGCACAAGCCCACCTCTTGTACTGCTGGAGCACGGGCTGGCATCACTGGTGCGAGCGGTTTACAGTCGACGCCGACCGGCAATAATGTGTTTCCTTCGCCGCGGAGTCACATCTGCGGTATCCGGAATCGCCCGTCTTCTTGCCAATACATGAAACGCAACGCACGGGTGATGGGCTGAGAATTCGTGCTCGCATGCCGACAACTTCGACTTGCGTACTATAGCCGTGGTCACTGCGATACCCTGAGTAGCAAGGGTTCAAACGTTCAACGTTCAGCGACAGACGGAGGCAATCGCGTAGGACACTCCAGGCCATGTCAACGGCCTGGATCGAAGCGTAGGTGCACACTTCCATAGACAGTTTCGTGTCATCGGTCATGCCCTACAGCCGATAAGCCCGGGCGCGCGGGAACTGGAAAAGCAGCGAGATCCGACCTACCACGCCCTGTGGGCGTGCTCAATTCTCGCCGCCCGTTCGTTCGCTCGTCGGCTGTTTCAAGTTCCGATCAGATCCATCAAACAGGTTCTCGCGGCCCGCCGGACTCCTGCGTTGCTCCTGCGTGAGCAGCGTCCAGGCAGCGTCCCTCCTCCAACGTAACGACGTACTTGTCTGCAACAAGTTACAACTCGGAATTATTATATTGTTATCGTTCAGACTGGTCACGGTTTTGTCATCCCGAACCCGAACAGTGAGCTGGCACCATCCAGCAGATGGTGCACTGCGGCTGTCCAGTGCTTATACACTAACCCTTGAGTACTAATGTACATGCTCAAAAAGGGCTTGGAGCACCAAGAAATTGCCGGATCGTGGTAGGTTCGACGCAAACCCGCCGTGTGGAGGGTCTTGGTTTGAGACTAGGATCGTGGCTAGTTAACACATAGGAAATTGAAGAACACGTAGGGACCTGCCACACTCATGCACGTGACCATGATGGCCATTGGGCTTCGTCGTGCACCCTGTCTACGGCGGTGACTGATTATTTATCTATCGCCTGAGGCCTCTAAAGGAGCTCGGTGTCGTAGTCGACGTACATCTATTGCAGCTGGTATGCCGTCTACGTTCGAACTTCAAACTGTAGGGCGACCCGCTCTAGCCGAATGTCGGCTGGGTTCGGCTGGATCGGACGCGCTTGATCCGGATCTATGACAGTTGCTAAATGGAGCAGGTGGCCGACGAGCGAACGAACGGGCGGCGAGAATTGAGCACGCCCACAGGGCGTGGTAGGTCGGGTCAAATGTAGCATGCGCGCCGCCACATAACACGACGACACCCGAGACAACCCAACCACTGCGCTATGTCATTACTGTGGGAATGCAGCTTAGCCTGCACTCGGGACTCGGAGTACTCGGCCGACAAGAGGCTTCTCAGAGACTCGAGTTGCAGGAGACAAAGGCTTGAAGCGTACCGTGGACATACCAGCAAATTTGTAGTCACACCTATGTACTGCACCATGGTTCGCGATGTGGTCGGACATCCCGCCACATGCACTCTGGCCACCTTTGCGAGACAGAAATATTCATCTGACAGAGCGTAAAGGATGATCAATGACTCAAACACACAGCCATAGCACTAGCATCAACGATACCTTCATCAGTCGTAGAGTACATACACCGGTACCCAAAACTACACAGGTGGACAATGATGTCGCCGGATTATGAAACTCCGTATGGCATGGGAGAGTACCATCAGAGCGATTAGACAGGCATTTTCAATCGGAACCACCACAACATAGAGAGCAATGAACCCGCGCTCTGTAGTCAGCAGAATACCGACGGAAAGCGAGGGCCTGCAGTGGTGGTCGTAAACGGTGAAGGCTCCGAGCGCGCTGCAGGTTTATTTTATGCACGGATCGTGGGAATGATGGTCATGTGACAAGACGCGTCGCGTCGCCGACGGCTCCACGGTCACCGTGCCCGAAACGCGTCTTCCGTGCTGTCCGCGCCTACAGCTGCGCCAGTCAGCGCACAGCTTGGATCTTACACCTACCATCCGCTCCTTTTTAGCCAGCCTATATCACTAGAATACCACTCAAGATGGGCCAGCGGGGATGGCTTATAGACTGGGTGCTCACGCGTCTCCGAGGGTACCCTCGTCCCGCGCTAGAGGGGATGCGTTTAAGCCCAGGAGCTGGCGCAGACAATGGCTTGATGGTACGGGTCGTATGTACTCACTGATTGAGTTATAATTTGACGGCGTTGGTCCAGATTCAATTCTTTACATGGGACAGCAAGCACCCCAGCATGAGCTGGTGGCAGCACTTCGAGTCGGAAGTGCCGCGGCTCGCTGAGCTGGGCGTCACGCAAGTCTGGCTTCCGCCGCCGAACAAAGCAATGAAAGAGGTGACTTAGCAAGGCCTCTCGCGTGCTTACTCATGTAACTCAATACGATCTCGGGTAGACTGGGCAAGGCTACGATGCCTATGATCTGGTATGCGGTCACGTTGTCGCATACCGAACAGATACTAAGTGTTCCAGTGGGACTTAGGTGAATTCGACCAGAAGGGCACCGTCGCCACTAGATGGGGAACGGCAGAAGAGCTTGTGCATGCCATCGAGGTGGCGAAAGCTCACGGCATTGACGTCCTCATAGATGCTGTCATGAATGTACGTGAATCTGGTGAAGACATCTACGCAAGTGCTTATACTGTTTTCCCTGATAGCACAAGATTGGCGCAGACAGGACCGAGACCTTCCAAGCGGTCCCTGTAGATCCTCAGAATCGTCTTAGAGACTTGACGCCCCCGAGAGAGATCGAGGTGTGTAGCTGCCGGCACGCACCGCCCTATCGGCAGTAGCTTCGGACTGAATCAGGTATCAGGGTTGGACACTGTTCGACTTTCCGGGGAGGAACGGTCAAGTAATACCGTTCATTTGCTTACTAACTATGCGCTGAACGGTCTCGTAGTACAGCACGTTTCGATGGACGCAAGAGCACTTCACTGGTATGTCATAGACATACATCGTGACCTGACTGTCGCATTGATGTCAGTGTATCGAATAAACTACAGGCCTGGACTGGGATCACAAGAAACAGATGAAGGGTATCTATCGTATCGTCGGGGGCTCGCACAAGGGCTGGTCGAAGTTCGTCGATAGCGAACTCGGGAACTACGACTACCTGCTTGGAGCCGACGTTCGTATGCCAGTCTCTCGTGACAAAGCAATACTTATCTGATAGCTGAGCAGATTGACCATCGACACCCCGATGTCCGCCAGGATCTCTTCGCCTGGGGGGAATGGGTACTCAAGGTAACGGAACACTGCTCGCAATGTGCTCTCTCGCTCACGAGATGTAGACAACAGGCGGAGCCGGCTTCCGTTTAGACGCTATCAAGCATATGGATCGTTACTTCCTGCTTGACTTCGTACGTCGCTTGTGTCACATCCCGCTCTTGTTAGCTATAATGGATGTCTTGAATGCAGCTCAAGCACATGCGGCAAGTGACAGGCAGGGGCGACCTGTTCGCGGTGGCGGAGTACTGGTCGACGAAGTAAGGGTGTGTTTCTATCACTCGAAGTAATGCTCATACCAGTCGAAGCGTGAAGCTCATCAAACCCTACATCTATGCGTTCCAAGGCCTGGTAGGTTATATCTCGTGGTTCATCACTCAACTCACGACATCGTCTCAGGTGACATTCTTCGATGTTCCGCTGCATGACAGTTTCTACCGGGCCTCGAAGGCTGGTCCCCGTTTTGACCTGAGGACCATATTCAGCAACACAGTTGTGAATTTTAGACCCGGAGACGCTATCACGTTTGTGGACAACCACGAGTACGTGATTTTTCACTACGTATGCGACTCAAGTGGTTGATTGAGGTATTGTTCAGCACCGTAAGTGTAGAACGTTCCATTAGCGCGTCTTCTGAGCTGCTCCTTCTAGCAAATCGGACAAAGCCTCGAGAGTTGGGTATGTCTGCTCAAGTACTTCGTGGCGAAGGGCTCACCGAAGCCTTCTAGGTCGGTCCCAACTTCAAGCTCCAGGCCTACGCTCTCATCCTCCTCCGCGGTGAGGGCCATCCGTGAGTAGATATCACCTCGTTCACAGAACGATTTCTGATACAGTCCAATAGATGCGTATTCTACGGAGACCTCTATCCCAACGAGGAATGCTATGACCCCCGCGTGGCCAGTGGCCTGCAGCTTCTGATGGAGGCGCGGAAGAAGTATGCCTACGGCGACCGCACGGACTATTTCGATTCGCGGAACTGCATCGGTCTCGTGCGTACGGGCGACGGTCAGCATGGCGGATGCGCAGTGCTCGTCAGCAATGCTAATCCCGGTCATGGGTACGGTTGTGTCTTTCCTGCCTTACCAATATGATACTTATGGGTTCATGCAGTGCTCAAGACGCTATGCACAGCGTACGTATGAACGTTGGAGCGGTATGTGCTATTCTCGTGTTGTGAAGCGTATCCCGGTGATGATGACTTGCGCAGAACGTTGGACCGAGTACGTTCGGCCCGCTGTTCGGCACTGGTAGCGTCGATGTCTCTGGAGATGGATGGGGCACGTTCACCTGCTCGCCCGGACAAGTGCAGGTATGGGTCAAGCGCGACCCTACATCCTAGGGAAGCCTGGTGTAGCATCGGTCCCTACAAGATCTCAGCCTAAGCCTCCTCTTTTCTTTTACTCACATCTCATCACTCCGAATGGATGGTATCTCAGGACTCTATCAATAACTCATCTAGTGACCATCACTGATTCAGGACCGACGTGCATTGATGGATGTATATGGCAATGAAGATGATTGGAAGTGCGTGCTTTGCAGACATGCACATAACGACTTGAAGATGTACGGCGGCGAGCACTACTGTTCAAACGTCACGTCGGAAGCAAGATAAGGACGCCCTATTTTCTTGCTGCAGACTGTAGAAGCTCAGAGAGGGTTGCAGGACGAGGACCCTTGTGCTGTCGCATCTCTGGATCGCCCAGCGAATCCCCTGCGCAGTGGATACTGACGCTCTCGGCGCAGTGCGCACACGGAAGCACAGACTTGGAGACACACAAAGTATGCGCGGAGACGCGTCGAGTTCCTGGAGCCTGTGACCACCACTCCATGACGAGGAGATGAGGCTAGCCCTTCGTGCCGCGGTCGACTTTTAGAGGCAAGTGCAAACTGTGACTGAACAGCCTACTAGTGGCGATGCCCAACATGGGTCAGCAACGGAGACTAGTAGACCACTAGTACAGAAAACTCGGGTGACGTGGGGAACGGGCCCTTCACTGCCTAAAGTAGATGCAGGTGTCTCGCCATGATGCATGTCACAGCTGTGGTACTCGCCCGCTGGGGATGACAGGTTTTTGCCTCGATCGCATCTCCGGCCTGTCGTCATGAAGTTCAACTTCGCTCGGCGGGCATTCTTCTCCAGAGGAGTCTCCCGCTGGTCCTTCCCGCCAGCGACACCTCGGTCTGTAACGCCCTGAGAAGTACGCTCTGCCCGTCGAGTCCCGCTGGTTCGGTCGACACCGACACCTCATATTCAGGTAAAATAAGCCTCGACAGTGCGTGCCGACCGATTCTTACTTGACTAACAGATCAACAATCCAGAACCGTTCGAAGACGTCCCGCACAGTCTACATCGACGGAGATGCTCCTCACGCCCCTTGTTCTCCTCGTCATCCTGTGTTTCGGGGCGGTCATCGATCCCCCGCGAATCATAATCTTCAAGACCAGTCGCCACATCCCAGCCCTTCAACGCGACGTACGCAGGCTATTCGAGATAGCCGAGAGGTGTGTGGTATTTTTGTACCGCGCTCTCTCGGGCGAAGGTTTGAATTCAGAGTCTCGCAGCCGTGCTCTCCATACGACCGCCCTCCTCCCCTCCAAAGAGGTCGTATCTGTGGTCTGCCTAAGGGAGACTAGTGCTCTCCCAACTCTTCCCGAGCCAACGGAAACGGCCTTGGTCGCAGACGATCTCGAATGTCACTGTCAGATGACGGACCCCGAGCCTCCCGCTGGCGTTCAATATGTACTGGGGTTCCTGGACAGAATTGTACATGATAGGACGCTCATGTTTATCATGACCGTACTCTTTGTGTCGTATTTATGGCGATGGTCGACTGGGAGCCTCAAATCGCGTCTACGCAGGCTTGTGCTGCGTCAACAGCGATAGGCTGTTGAAACTTGTAGGGACATTGTTATCATTGTCGTGACGGACAGCCATCTTGTATATTCCCGTTGATTTGTACAACACCATGAAGCCTTGGAGAATGCCTAGCGATGGATCCAAACGACGTTGTTGGCATGAGATGTATGCATTGATGGAGACGGGGTTACGACATGCAAAACGAACCACAAACCCAAGCCAAGTAGTCTGGGAGACATACAAGATGCAACGCCAGTGAAAGTCCCCCGGCATGTGCCCGGTTGGATTCTTTCCAGGTGGTGAACAGAGAATCGCGGATGGAGCATGCGACAGGACGGAATACTGTCGACTGGGAGAACGATGCCCATCCAGCGACGTGTCCACAGGCAGGCGAGAGTTTGGCGATTCCGAGGGCTCCGGCATCTTTGCTTTATCTTGATGCAATGCAATCGCCCTGTAGACAACGAGTTGGAGATCATGCTTCGACTTCACTGGAGCATAGGTACTCACGATCGAAGGGAGCTCGTACGACGACTCCGCGCATCGTTGATGTTCATGCGACCACTCTGCGGGATGCGAGATACTGTCAACGAGAGCATTCCAGACTGTCGTGGCGATCGGATATGTGAGCACAGTGGTGCAGGAATGCAGCAGGAATAGCGTCCGCCTTGATTGTATCGCGCTCCGCCGTCACCCAAACGCCCCCGACCTGCGTCAACTCCGAACAATCACCAACTAGACGGTGCTGCGGACCTCCTCAGAACACAAGGAAACCCCTGAGTGCGGCGAGGGGCAACCAGAATCGGTCCAGAGTGAAGATGTCGTAGAGAACGAAGACGAGTGACAGGCAGAACACCATCGCCTTGATACGACGATCGAACTCAACCATGATTCCCGCCATTTCTTGATTCCGTTCGTCTTGCAGGTATTCTCGATGGAGACGCTGGGCTTCGACTCGTCCTTCAGGTTCATCAGGGCTGAGACGAATACGGGGCATCTTGGCTGCTCGAGTGAAGCGTTGGCAGCAAAGTGGGCACGTTCTATGCTACAGCAGTGGCATTAAGTCACTCGCCGCTTGAGCATCACAATGCGATCCGACGTACCCCAGAGAGGACCCAATTAATGACACTGTTAGCAGCAAGGACACAGAGAAATGTCAAACACGCCTGAGTGCATACGTGGAACTTGGACTCACTCAGGCTTGCAGTAAACATGACGACATCCGGGGAGTCGTACAATAGGGTGACGCTCTTCTCCGTCGGTTCCGTTGTGTATGTGCAGAAGTCTGCCATGACAGATTGCGCAGTCGTCCTCGGGAGGGACTTCTCGCTGTTTCAGGACGACCAGGATACCCTAACGGCGCCCCGCACCTAGTGAGCTACACGCCTGAAGTCTGTCCATTAGGTTGTACTCACGTCAAGCAGACGACGAGCTCTTTGCTCTTGATCGAGTTTTAAAAGTACCTTCCGCCAGTCAAGCTTAGGTTCTTCTACTTCGGCTTTTGGCAAGTCTCCTCTGATGAATGCGTACCAGTGCGAAAGCACCAACCACCCGCCTCGTAGTATCAGAGCGCTGTAGACCATGGTAACGGCGTCATTCAGCTCCTGGACCCTTGTTAGCTCGGCGGGGTTGAATCTGAAGACCAGGAAGATGCAGAAGTGGATGGCGAAGCTGAGACAGAGGGTTCCGAGGACGTTTGCAGCGACCTTCAAGGTCTGGCTCCGTATGCCAGGCCTGTCGGTGGTGTTTAGCGGCGACTGCATAATGATGTGTGCGATGAGGAACATGACGAGCGACAACCACCGTAGAGCGGAGTCAACAGCGTCGGAAGAGTGCATGGTGCGGGCCGTGGCGATGTTTTGACGCAGGACATCCTCCGTCACGCACGAGATGTAGAGACCGGCAACCGTCCCTATGAGAAGAATGTAAGACAGAGGTCGAAGAACCTGGAGACATTTGTTCGACGATAGTATGGCTGGGCAGGGAAAGGGTCGGAGATGGCAGCGCGAGACTAGCGGACGGATAGTCGCACGGAGGCCGTCCATGGTTGAGGTAGTAGGTGAGATGCGTACAGAGACCATCTGCCGTAGTCATAGTTTTGCGGCTGGGTGCATGTCCAGTGACAGCTATTTTCAGAACGTTGGACAGTCGCAAACGCGCGCGACATACGATGACCAAGCACCCCGCTCTTCGCGAAGTTGGAGAAAGCGGTGCTCACCCCATCGCGTCGCTCCTCCACACCTCTCAGTATGCTCACTTGCCCCAGTAACTCTGCGCTGTACAATGAGGTGCGTCGCGATCACGGTTCTCGCGGGAGTAGATAGCCTACCAGAGCCCTATGTATAGCCCATACAGTGTTCTCACAATTGAGCTTGCATCACGGCTCGCTGCCTCGGAAACCGCAGACACGTCCCGACACCCGCCGCAAGCAAGGTCATAAGATTAAGGAGCCATAGACGCGTTTGGGAATTATATTGACTTGCGTCTAGAGCGCACGGGATCGCGTCGCGCAGGTCGAACCATACATAGTTTATGCCATTTTGTAAGGGCCACGTCGTCGTGCGCAGGTTGTGCAGTGGGGAGGAAGAGCGGTGCGATGGCGTGAGTGCCACTTTCTCCAACATCTCGAAGGGCGGGGTGCTTAGTCATCGTATGTCGCTCGCGTTTGCTACTGTCCAACGTTCTGAAAATAGCTGGAATGTCAGCCTCCCCTCGCGCATGGCCACTCTCGACTAAGCAACCTCGGAGTACTTGCAGTCCATCGCGTATGATTGTCGAATGTCAAGGCGCCATGAGTTTGCACAGACCATCCTGTTGTATCGTTTGTGCGAGATGAAAGTTTGGAACGCTGAGACTCGGAGGACTTGCAAAGCTAAGTATGTAGTAGTACCGTGACAGCTCACGTGGGACGCGTACGCGCCCGGTGTTTCGCGTAGATCTCTCGCCACAGACGCGTGTCCGAGTCCTTGCCTTCGACCGCCACTGACTTCGGGTCCAGACGACAGCCCATAGAACGCGTACCCCATAGCTCAGTAACACCACAATCGCGAGGCAAGCTCTGCATGACACGATCGTAGCGATCACAGACAACCTGTTGTGATGGCTCCTCCCGTCCAGGTAACTCAGTGGCTGCAACGTGCTTATCCCCGTCCTAGGGTAGACCAGGTAGGCATTCTTGGAATCGCTCGTACATTTGACTCACGGTGAACCGATAGGACTGGCTAAATGAGTGTTATGCTTGGGTCAGAGATGAATACAACTTCGACCCAGCGACACAAATGGACCAAATCATCCACAACGTCGAAACACAATTGCTAGAGTCCGATCTCAGGGATTCCGTGGTCGCAGGAACAGGCCTGTCTCACCTCTCATCCGAGGTCAAAGAAACAATCATCCGCGGCCCGGTCCTCGTGCAGGTTCTCAGCATAATGGAAATCGGGCAGAGCGCGTTTTCGTTGATGAACGTTCGACAAGCAAGGCTCGAGCGCGCTGATATGGCCGGTCTTGCGAGGGCGGAGGACGATGAAGATGACGGGCCCATCCCATCCTATCCACGCTCAATGCTCCGCTTCGAGCTCACGGACGGCTCGGTCACCTTGCCGGCTGTGGAATACCGTCGCTTGCCAGAGTTCAACCTCGGGGAGAGCAGGCTCGGGTTCAAGGTGAGCAATAGCCTCCTTCGTCGGTTCCGCGTTGGGTACCTGCGCGATACATGCTCCTATGCTTGTTACCATACATCGCTTCTCACATCGATGTGCCAGTCTGCGCTGTTCCCTTTCTTGGTTGTTGCTTTGTCCACAATGTGACCCGTGCTCAGTAGATGATCCTCAAAAACGTGCCCGTCCGAAGAGGCATCGCCTTTCTCGAGCCCAAGTGCGTGGTCATGAAGGGCCACCATGTCGCCGACCTCGAGGCCTTCCAAGACCGGAACTTCGCCCGTGCTTTGCGAGAGAGGATGCGGTACGTCCCTCACGATACATCCTCATCGACTGATTTGACGGTACGCATATACTGTAGCCTGCCTCACGATCCAGCACTCGACAACCCAGAGCCTCAGCCTCAGCCTCAGCCTGAAGCTGTAGCGCCGCAGGCACCCGCACAAGCTCCGCCGCGCAACCCAGAACGCCAGGCAGCACCCGACACACGTTCGACTCAGATGCGTTCCCCACTCCGCGACCTCTCAGAGCCACCCGCCTCTCCGGCCGCAGGACCGTCCGGCTCGAACCACGACGACGATGCAGGGCAGCCGCGGCGGCGCAAGGTCCCTAGCCGTGCAAACCGCACTCCATCACCAGAACCACCCGCCCGTGCGGCGGCGGCGGCCAACGTCCGCTCACACTACTTCCATAATGCCGGACCCGGCGCGTCCAACCCCTCCGCGGCGCTCGCACGCGAACGCCTCCTCTCGCCGAACGGCCGACCCCCGATCTTCGTGCCGGACAGCGACGAGGATGAGAGCATGGAGTGGCAGGTGGCTGGGGCCCGTGCGCGCGAGCCTCCCGCGCCCGCGGTGAACGGGTCGAGCTCGGACTTTGACATGGGCGACGAGGACTACTTCAACGACGAGGCGATCCTGGAGCTGGCGGATCGCGTGGAAAGGGAGGAACTGGCGCTGCAGTCGCAGTCGCAGGGCGCCGGTGGTCGTGCGACCGCCTCGACCTCAGGTTCACTGGCTCAGACAGGCTCAAGCGGGAGGACGGTGGTAGCGACCGCTTCTACGCTGAGAACGGCTGTCGCGTCGACATCGGGCGTTGCTGGGCCGTCTGCCAATCCTCGGTCTGGCTCTGAGAGCACGACCATTAGGGGGTCGAGCTTGGCGCGAGGGAGAGCGGAGAGCAGTCGCCCGGGGACTCAGAGGAGCGCAGGTCTGGGAATAATAGCGTCGGATGTGATCACGATCGATGACTCGGACACTGACGACAAGGAAAACGTACCGGTACCGACGAGACATGTCAGGAGGCGCGTGAGGCCCCCTCGTAGCCAGGATCCGGGAGACATCATCGAGCTGTCCGACTAGAGCGTCGTATATGTTGACAAAGTGGGAACGTCAGGTTGCCACGAATGCGCGAGTGTGCTACGAGACGTACTGATAGATACCCTTCTTTCTGCTTGCATAGTCGGTAGTTGTGTATGAATCGGCAGGTGTATAACCGAGCGTTCTATTTAACAGATTATAATAATACAGTATGTGCAGATACTACATGCGGAGAACGATGGAATGAGATACAACTCGGTCGAGATAGGTAGAGTCCCTTGTACAGCGTTCCGGGATCCGGTGGCACGCAAGCAGACGTATCTAAGTCATGCGAGAAGCTCACCCGAGGATGGCGACCTTCTGCTTCTTTTTCTTCGACTTGCCCTGCGCGAATGACCGCCAGCTACCTACACGTTGCTCGCGTGTTTCTGTCGGAGGCAGACGGTGAGGGGGTGAATGGATGCAACCAGAATGGCGGAACGCACCTTCCCACTGTGCGTCCTCCTCTGCCTTGCGCTTTCTGGCGGTGACCTCGTCTTCCTTTTTCTTCGCCTCGAGACCCTCATTCGCCAGGTTCATCTTTATCGCCCTGACGGTTACAAGCGTGTTAGTGGACGTCCGCGGGGGAAACATGAGCGAGACGCACTTCCTCCGCCGGACCTCTTCCTCAATCAATAGCTCCTTGGCTTTCGCCAAAAATTGTTCTTGCCAGGGAGGATTCAACCCCTTCAGCTTAGGGTCGTTATCCGGTGTTGTGGTGGGGAGCTGCATGCCTTTGAGCAGAACGATGCGAGCCTGGTTAATGACCGCATCTATCTCTTCACGCTTTGGTTTTTCGGAGAGCTGAGACTCGGCCTGTACGACATGACAAGGTCGAGACGTAGACGTTACATCAGCCATGATGGGCATGTTTGGGTAAAGTCAAGGTGAGTACGCTGCATCGACATACAAGAACAGTAGAGACGGACCTGTTTGAGCAGTTCGAAGGCATCTGGTGCACGAGCGTGGGGATTCTTGTCAGGATGGATAACTATGTATCAAACAACGTACGCAATGTCGATCAATGGACATTCAAGACGACGAAGACGGCTGGGCCGGGAGGGGGAGGCTCACAGAGCGAGAGCTGCCGGTACTTCTTCTTGATGTCGTCTGCTGAGGCATCCTGCTGCAAGTCTAATATCTCGTACGGGCTATTCGGGGATAGTGTCAGAAGACAAGTGTCTGCTGGAGGAAGTAGTGGACAAAGACGCACTTCAGCTTGAATGCTTTGAGTATGCGCTCGACTTCTATCTCGCGCTGGAAGGCGGTTGCCTCTCTGCTGAGGAGCTTCTCGACGTCATCTATGCCCGCTGGGGGCGCTGAAGCGGGATGCTTCGCGCGCGCACTCCTGGAGGAGGAGGCTTCTGCAGACATGTTCTGTTGTCCCGTTCTCGAGCCCCGGTGAATCGAGATTGATGTACCAGGCTATTCTCGCCGAGGACAGGCCTGTGGGAGTGAATTCGGAGTGAATGCGACGGAGAAGATGGGCCGGGCTGTCCCGCGCTGACCGTCGGGAGAGAGTCGGCAGCGTGCAGAGAGCGCCGGAGGGGAAGCGCGACGGGCACACGAGCGCGAGCGCCGAGCGGTCCTTGTTGCCACCGCCGATGAACTCTCTCCGGTCCGCGTTCTTGCGACCGTCATTCGCCAGCACTTTACGGCTATGCACCTCAACGGTGAGCACAGTGTCTCCCTCAAAGCCTCGCTCTGTACGCTGACGGTGAACAGAGTAGACCCTGCAGAATCCAGGCATTCTCGTCATGGAGGACAGCCACCCACATTCCTCGAGAGCGGATAGCATGGTCTCGCGCACCAAAGTATTCATGGCGCACAATGGCGACGGAGACTCCTCCACCAAGGGCCTCATCACCACCTCAACCGCCTCACCGTGCATCTCGGCAGCAGATGTATGCTGCGCGCAACCGTAGTCTGCTCATGTATACTGCCGCCGTGGTATGTCCTTCACCGTGTCCTTAGTTTCGTATTGCTCCAACTCTCGCTCATGCCTGGTAGATTGTCCTGGGCGTTGGCGTTACCTATGCTGCTGTACCACTCTACCGGATGTTCTGTGCTGCCACAGGGTTCGCGGGAACACCTAAGGTCGGGATGGGCAAGTTCGAGGCCGAGCGATTGGTACCTGTTGAGAACGCAAGGCGCATCAAGGTTCACTTCAATGCGGACACGGCGGACGCGCTGCCTTGGACGTTCACGCCGTCTCAGAGGTTCGTGAGCGTCCTCCCGGGTGAGACCAGTCTTGCCTTCTACAAGGCCAAGAACAAGTCAAGTAAGGACATCATTGGAATCGCTACCTATAATGTGACTCCGGACAGGGTGTGTAATACGTTGCTGTGTGTCGTCATTCGTGACTGAGGACGCTGGTTAGATTGCGCCGTACTTCGGCAAGGTAGAATGCTTCTGCTTTGACGAGCAAAAATTGTTGGCTGGAGAGGAGGTGGACATGCCTCTGCTCTTCTTCATTGACAAAGACGTCCTCGAGGATCCAGCTTGCAGAAATCTTGACGACGTAGTGTTGTCCTACACATTCTTCCGGTACTACTTCCGTGTTCGTACGTTTGATATATTGCTGACCCTCCCTTAGTGCGAGAAGAAATGCTCAAGGACACCTCGAGCCCGACGCCCCTGACGATGTTGTCCAGGCATCCCAAGGCTTTGCTGACTACGAAATGGCGCCGAGAGCGGAGGACAGGAAGCCTACATCAGAGGACAGCCCGAAGCCCTCATAGTCTTGCCATGTATACTCATACACATCTCCCTGCATGTTACGTGTCGCTTCTGGATATACATCCCTCCTCTGACCAAATATCACGGCCTGAATCTGCTTGAATACACCGATGACGGCACTTACCTTATACGGATTTGACGCTTCACCGAGTTCGTTGGAAGAGGCGCCCTTGCTTTTTACTCACATCCATCTTGCATCCATCATCCTCATCGACGAGCAACATCTCCGCACCATTTCACTCGCTGGAGCCCACGTCGCAAGCCGTTCAAGCTGCTTGAATCTCTGCGTGAGGTCGGTGTAACGTTGATCTCGACTTCGCCACATAGTGACACTTTTTCGCAGTCATCGCACCCACCATTCTCAACGTCACTACACGCACACGACTCGGCGTTCATTACCCCGGCACTCTGGAAGAGGTAGTTATCCACAGAGGCTTCCGAAACCCCTCGCTGACCAGTACATCCGCGAAAAGTGCCATGCAAAGCGACCCAGCGTCGCGCCCAGACCAGAACGTCGACCACGATGCGGACTCGGACTCGCTCTTCGGCTCGCCCCCGCCCTCGCCGCGCGGGAGAGGTAGGTCACCATCTCCGCTAGCCCTGCCGGGCGCGGCTGGCTCTGCACAAAACGTGGGGACCCTTGCACTTCCTGGTTCCCATCTTGTCGCTGAAGCATCAGTCCATCCGTCAGCGTCATCGCCGTTGAGTGTTAATGACCGCGCAACGAACGTCGCGCCCCCGCCGCGTGCGCAGAGGGCATGGCAGGCGGGCGCTCACCCGGTATGTACACGGCCTGCTGCTGGACACGTTGCGCACGGAGGTGCGGTAGCCGACGCTTCCCGCGCTTCATCCGGGCAGCGTAAGTCGAAGAAAGGGAAGGAGAAGGCGGTGGGAGGCTTTACTTCTCGCTCGTCCACTCCGCGGCCTGCCGCGCCGCCCATACCTATCCCCTCGCCTGACGAGCCGGTCCCGCCGAACTTCCTACGCAACCAGCAAGCCCTCCTGGGAGTAGCAGGCCTCGTCGGTGGCGTCAACCCATCTCAGCTCGCCCCGCAGCCTGGAACCACTGCAGGCAACCCCATCGTGCTCGATGAAGACGACGACGATCAGCCACGTACTATCGGTCGCCGGCCTCTCGCAGACAGCACGGTCCCCCCACTTCCTACCGCTCGCGGTCCAGAAATACTCCAAACTCTAGCTCGGCAAGGGAACGTCCTTCCTCTGGTCGAGTCACTCGTCCGCCTCCTCGCGGGCACCGCTACCACTGCCGCCCCGCTGCCCAAGCGCCTCGAACGCACCGGATGGGAGCGTCACAGACCTACAGAGGCTCCGCCTCTCAAGCGTCGCAAGCTCAATACTGTACCGGCGGGCGCGAGCGACTGGGACGTGCCGTACCCGTTCCAGGACGGTCAGGGCCCGGCGGACTATCACACGACGTGGGCGAAGGAGCGCGCGCGCCGGCTGGTGAGGGAGCTGGTCGGCCTGGTGCGCGACGCCGCGAAAAAAGCGGCTGTCAAGGGATACCTGCAGGAGCAGGAGCGCGCAAGGAAACGGAAGTGGATGGACGAGCGGGGCTGGCAGGGAAGGGTTGGCGGCGATCAACACGGCGGCAGGACGCAGCTCTATTGCATGGAAGATGGCCTGTTTCAGGCGAGGGCGAGGAGTGTCGCTCCGGGTGTTGGACCTCCGGCTTTTGGTGTTGGGCTGAGTGCTCCGACGCAGTCTGCTATGATGGCGTCGAGGCAGACGATGAGCGAGCCCCCACTGCGACAGGTATCTCCGGCCCCTTCGCTGTCGGCGTCGTCGGCGTCGATCAACCAATGGTTGGCGTCAATGCTGGCGAGCACGCCGCCTACCGTGGAAGAGCAAGGTCAAGTAGAGCCCGGTGCACCGCAAGCTCCTCAAGATGTAGCATCTCTGGCTGGGTCGTCTGCTCAAGGTATGCTGCCTCTCCCCGCGATCACTATCACCCAAGCTGATTCCGGCGTGTCCCTGGAATCGTCAGAACATGCTGAAGGTACCAATAATAACCAGTACTTCGACGACTGGCTGGCGCTACTCGAGTCTATCCCGCCTGGGGATCCGAATGACCCCTCTGCTCTCCCGGATTTGCGGAACGTCCTGGATGACTTCGCTGCTGGTGTGCCGGCCGACGGCTCTGCCAACGCGTATGGGGCCTCGGGCTCAGGCCAGGGCATGGACACCTTCCCTGACTTCTTCCTCGACCCGGCTCTATTCGACGCGCCTGTCTTCCCTGATACACCCCCTGCACAACCCCACCCCCCATCTGCACCACCAAATTCCTTTCCTGACTTTGCCCAATCTGCACTCCCCGCACGGAACCATCCGACCGCCGACCCGAAGTACCTCTCGCCGATCGTCCCCGGGCCGAGCGCCACGCCGAGCCTGACGGGCTCGCCGCTCGCGTCGACCGCGTCGCTCGCGGACGCGGAGCAGAGCCCGGCGACGCCGGAGTGGGCGTGGTCGTTCGGCGAGCTGGGCGGCGGTGGGGGCGCGGCGGCTGGGCTGGGCGGCGTGGAGCTGGGGTTGACGGGTGCGGATGGGGAGGGCATCGTTGTGGGTGCGGAGGAGATGAGGGAGTTTGAGAAGGTGCTGGAGGCGTGTGGGCCGGGGGCTGTGAGCGTGCCCGCTGGGGCAGGAATCAGGGACGTGGACGAGTCGGGGCGCGGGCGAGATGCGATGGACGTGGATGGTGTTGGGACGGGTAGGGGGTTGCCTGGCGTCGCGGAAGAACAGATGCAAGACGGGCAGGTCACCGGTACAGGACAGACGGCCTCCGGGCAAATGCCAAATGGTGGTCAAACATCGCAGGCGGAGGTGGACGAGTCGGACCAGCCGTCAATCCAGTGGTTATCGACAGCAGAGCAAGCGCAATTGCAACTGCCTGACGGTCCATCTCTTCGAAACATCTCTCCTGCCTTCCTGCCCGCCCATTCCACTCAACCCATCGCAGGACCGTCATCCGCGTCGCCGGGCGCGGGAGCCCAACCTTCCGCCGGCTCATGCACACCACAGCTAGCTACCCTCGCCACCGCCGCGCTCGCCCCGCACACTGCGCCGTCCCCGCTCAACGCGCTCAGCTCGCTGCTCGCGCTGACGAGCGCGTCGAAGCCCGCGGGCACGGGCACGAGCCGGCTGACACGCGCGGGGGTGCTGCAGCGCGCGAAGGCGATGCGGCGGGACCTGGAGCGGGCGCGAGAGAAGGCGCGGGTCGAGCTTTGGGAGACGACGGTGGAGGGGGCGTGTTTGGTGGGCTTGGGGAGGGAGGTGGCGAAGATGGGGACGGGTGAGGGGATCCGGAATGGGGTGGGTAGGCAGATGGGATTGGGGACTGACTCGTGAGTAGCTGTGGGTGGGGAAGTATTCTATGTCGTCGATGTGTGCGGCTTAATGTCTTGATGTGGTACTTTATGAGGAGCACTCAATGCCATGATGAGTTCAAAGATTTTTGACCGAGTGACTGTAACATGATCGTGAGACTGAGCCGTTGTGAGATGGCTGCACGACGGTTTCTTGGCCTTCGCTCACAAGCTAAACGGGAAGGACGAATATCCATGATGACAAGGTGAACACGACTGTGATTGCTACATTTTCCTCAGCAGTTGCAGTACATACACCAGCTGTTGGCTCGTACATGTCAGGGTACGCGCTGGGTATGAGACGGCGGCGGGGGTGGCTGGTTGCGGAAGCAAAGCGAGTGATTGGAGGGCGCTGATGGCCGGGTTGCTTTTCGCGGAGGAAGACGAGCAAGAGCACAACATGTCCAGAACTTTGACACGCCCCCGCCAGGGCCCCGGCCACCCCGGGCACGGGCCATGTCTGGGTGCGGGTGCGGTGCTCTGGGCGGGCTCTGCTGCCGCGGAATAGGCAGCCAGCGTGCTGCAGACCGCGGAGACGAATGAGAATAAGCAATTGGTGGATGGGGAGCGGAGGAGGGAGAGGCGGGCGGCAGACAGAGTGTGCCGGGGTCCTCGGAGGGAGTGGCCATGGCGGTGGCGGATGCTGGGACGGTCTTCCTCGACCTCGACGCACGCCCGTCCCTGCGACTGCCCTCGCTCGCCTATCCCGCTCAGCAGCTCCGGCTGGTCTTATCCGTTCTCTCACCCGGGCTGCACATCTCCCATTTTCCTTCTGCTTTCCCTTCCTTTCCCCTCTCTTCTTTCCCTTCCAGGCCGTCTCTATCCTCCATCCCATCCACCCGACTCGTCTCCCCCTCCCCACCACCGAGTCTTCAATGGCCACCACAGCGAGGCAACCCAAGCCCCAGCGCAAGGGAGGCGTACCAGAGCCCGCCGCCAGGTGAGTAACCACACTCAGCTACTCCGCCACCGCGACTCGTCTCGCTCCCGCCACCGATGCACACCTGCCGCGAGCGAATATACGCTAACCTACTGGCAGGCGAGCTCCGGCATGGTCGAATGCACGCGCCTCCCCGACCTATTCTCCGAGCAACGCCAACGCCCGTCTTCCCAATGGGGCTCCCGCCGCGAGCCCAGGCGCCTTCCCGCCCTTGGGCCAACCGAACGGCGCGAGCAACACTCCGCCCCCAAGGCCGCAGGACGGTGCCCCGCAAGACCGTGTCCTTTCTCAGCTTTCTGGCCTTATTGTACGTACCAACAGTCGTCCGTTAAACCCACCACTCACTCACGCTCTCTCCCGCTTCCTCTCACTCGTCATATCTGGATTATCCGTCGATGTCCATGACGCAGGGAACCACTATCACCCTGACCACGAAGACCCACGTGCGCTACGAGGGCTCCGTCGCCTCAACAAGCGGCGAGGGCGACACTACCGGCGTCACCCTGCGCGACGTGAAGGAAATTTCGAACCCCGGCGCGCCCCTGCGCGAAACACTTTTTATTGCGAGCACCAACATTGACCAATGGAGCAGCGGGCCTGCGGATGCTAAGCCGCCGACCACTAACGGTGACAGTGAGTCTATCTTCTATGTTTGTTGATATTGGGAGGTCCGGACCCACCAACGCGACGACGTATCTGACTTCCGCGAGTATTCGTTCGTCGCGAGAAGCTGTGTGGTGTTGCGCGACGTCGCGGCTCCGTGCACTGACCAGCGACTGCTGATGTGGACAGCTTTGCAGGCTTGCAATAAGCCGCTTTCCGTGCCGCGATAAGTTCCATTGCGACGATCGAAGTAGTATGTATGCATACATGCGGGCAATTCCGCCATTCGGCGCTTGTCCGCTCATGCTGTTGTCTTCTGGCCTATCTCGCTTAGACAAATCAGCGTGCGGTTCACTAGCGTTGATTTGCACGCATATGTGCCCATTACCTCTTTCCTACTTTGCAATATCCCGAGATCGATATGCTCAACCCAACGCTGCGCAGGTTTCAAGAGCGACACCGACATCAGCAAAACCGCCGGGCATCGAGAACGCGAGCTCCAAGCCTGGCAGCCGACGGACGACACGTCCGCATCCACCGCGCCGGCGGGCGCATCAGGTGCCGCGCCGAACGGTGGGACGCGAGACGACATGACGTTCGGGCCGGGGGCAGCGAACGGAGGCGCGTGGAATCAGTTCGAGGCGAACGAGCGGCTGTTCGGCGTGAAGGCGAACTTTGACGAGGACCTGTACACGACGAAGCTGGACAGGAATGCGCCGGACTTCAAGGAGCGCGAGCGCCGGGCGGCGGTCATCGCGAACGAGATCCTGCAGAGCCAGACGAGCAACGTGCACATCGCGGAGGAGCGCACGAAGGACTTCGTCGGGGAGGGCAAGGACGAGGAGGAGAAGTGCGTGGCTGCTGTTCGTCTCGGGGGTCCTGACGTTTGACGTGGTGTTGTCCTGTGTGATAGGTATGGTGCTGTGGTGCGCGGCGCGAACGCGTATGTGCCCCCCGGCGCGCGCAAGGTCGGGCAAGGCGGTCCCACCCCTCCTGCGGGCGCGAAGCAGGACATCCCGCGCGTGGCTGTCAACTCGCCGGACGGAACGGCGGTGCCTGGCGACAAGGAGAAGGAGAAGGAGAAGGCCGCTGACGCTGCGAAGACAGGATCGCCTGCCCCTGGCGCGAACAAGGTACGTCGGCCGTTCTATTTGTGTCTGGGAAGCGTGCTGATGATTGTGTTTGCCCGTGGTGCAGCCAACGGCGGACGCGGTGCCTGCGTTCCGGGACTTCGTGTCGAACGAGAAGGACCGGTTGATGAAGAAGAAGCAGGCGCTGATGAAGAACGAGATGGAGAGGCGGATGGCGGAACTCGTGAAGTTCAGCCAGAGCTTCAAGGCACGTATCCCGTGTGCGCGCTGCATCGGGAGTCGAGCACTGACGCGGCCGTTTATAGCTGAACAAGCCCATCCCGGAAGACCTTGTGCCGATTCTGGCCAAGGACGAGGAGAAGCAGCGCCAGATCAAGGAGAAGTCGACCAAGGACGCCGAGTCTACGCAAGCCCGCGCAATCAGCACCTCCGCTACGCTCACCGTGTCGCCCTCCGCGAGCCGCGCGCTCGGATCACCCGCCGTCCCCGCAAATCCGCCGTCGTCGGCGAAGCCGCCCGCCGCTGCCCTAGGGAAGAACGCCTCTGCGGCTTCGAAGCCCGCGGCAGGCAAGGAGCAGGGGAAGGGGAGGATTCCGATGGTCATCCAGTCGATCCCGCCCTTTAAGGGGAAGCGAGCCCCTGCGCCTGCGCCTGCGCATGCGCAGAGTGCGGCGGTGCAGAGCCAGAGACAGGGTATAGCAAGTCCGCTGAGCCCGACGGCTGTGAACAGGTTGAACGTGAACGCGTCCTCGTTCAGGCCGACCGTCAAGTCGGTGTCTCCGCCCGTGAGTGTTTGTATATATGCGCGCAGAGCTCTGTCTGCGGATGGCTGATATGCGCTGTAGGGCGGCTCGCCGAACCCGAACGGCACGTCGTCGTCGACTGCGTCGCCGAAGGTGAAGGCTGCGGAGGGCTCTGCGTCTCCGACGCAGGGCCCGCCGAACCCGTTCTTTGGCACGAGGCTTCCGAAGAAGGGCATGGTGGTGCATATGAAGGAGGACTTCAACCCGTTCAAGCACCACAAGGTCACCGACGCCAACCAAGTCGGTGCGTACGCTTTCTCGTGTTGACAATGAATGCGCGGGTGTTGACGGTGTGTACGCAGGCGCGACCTGGCCGTACTCGGGCAAGCGTTACATGCATATGTTCCCGCCACTACCCCAGCCTCAGCAGCAGTCCCCGCCTATGGCACACCCGCCCCCTCCCTCGATGCAGCCCCCGCCGCCGTACGAGCCGCCAGAAGACGCGGCCGCGCAGGCTGCGACGCGCGGATACGTCTACGCGTACCCTCAGTACTACCATGGTCAGGTAAGCACTTGAGAGCCAGTGTTTGTGCCGTGTTTAGGTTTACTGATGATTTGTGGTAGTATGGCCAGCCGATGATGCCCGGCATGGCGCCCCCTCCGCCTGGCGCATATATTCCTGCTGGACCACAGTTCATGCAGCCTATGCCTTATCCACATATGCCTCCAAATGGTGAGTCTTTGCTACGCACACATGTTGTGTTACTGACCCTGACTATCGTTGATAGGGATGTACCCTGGTGCGCCTATGGGACAGATGCCCCGTACGTTATACCATGTCGATGTCAGAACTTGGACGTTCATGCCGTCTTTTACAGCCCCACAAGCCTACATGCAGCAGGCTCCACCTGGTTACCCTGTGCCGCCGAACGGCGCCGGCCACCGCCCATCTATGCCCCCTACACCTATTCCCTCTCACGCTCACCCATACTACCAGCAAAGTCCACAGCGTGCGTGTTTTCTTTGCTGTGTTTTCCACTCTTACTCAACCGTGTGTTCAGTACAACATGCTGTGCCCTACCAGATGATGATGCCTCCCCCCGGACCGCATCACTCGTACGACCCCTCGCAGGCTCCGCCTGTGTCCATGGGCGGCGTTGGCCACGCCTAAGCTCATGTGTGAGGCCAGTCGGTTTGCTTCGTCTGTCCATACTGCCTGCTTCAGTGCGCACTGCTGAGGTTGTGGCGGAGCCTCAGGTGCTCTGCGACGCGAGCGAGGTACGGTCCTGTATGTACGATCGCTGCGATCCGGTGTTGTCTTTCGGCTGTCATGTCGTGTTGTTCGCTGCAATTTGTTGTGATGCAATGCAAAACAATAAAAAAGCATGGGACCTCCCCATGGGTATGCGGATCGGAATACCGAGGATGAAAGAATGTAAGGCTACATCGGCATAAACAAGAGTGTAGAATAGGTACATGTCCGTTGTCGGTCTCATCTGGCCCCGCCCATCGCCACCTTGTTCAACTTCTTCAGCAGACCCTTCAGCGTATTGGAGGCTCGATTGCAGTTAGTCTGCAGCCAACCCTCCAGCTCCACTCTCAGTTCAGCGAGTTCGTCGCAAACTGGCAGTTGCCCGTTATCCCGCACGAGGCAAGGATTGAGTAGGAGGTCGAAGACCCGCGTCCACAGCTCGCCCTGCCAGTATCGTTTCAACGGCGTTGCGAGCTTGTACCGATTCTCCGTCCCCGGCACGAGGGTCACCGACGATGCCTCGATGTACTTGCCGTACAACATGCAGTAGATGATGCCCGCGAGACCGAAGTAGTCGGTCTGGAACGTCCACGGCCGACCCTCCCTCATCTCCAGGCAGTCCCTCGCATCTGTCGGCCACTCCGCCATGTACTGTTGACCGGCGGGGAAGAGACGTGTGTCGATCGTCCGTCCGAAGTCGATCATCTTGATGCCCTTGAGGCACCAATCGCCTTCGCCCGAAGGTTGGTAGATGCTCGACCATGTGGTGAGCCCGTCAGGCCCATCTTCCAGCCGCAGAAGGCAATTGTCGATCTTGACGTCGCCGTGTATGAATCCCGCGCGGTGCAAGCCTTCCAGCAGGCGCATGAGCTCGACGGTGAAGAAGACGACAAGCAGTTCGTCGAGACAGCCGCCTTGCTGGGTCATGCCATTCTGCGCCGCACGATTGACAACGTCCAGAAGGGTCCCCTGCTTGCGTAGCTCGAGCACGAGGAAGCTCTCGTCTCGGAAGGCGTACAAAGCCTGCGGTGTGATGATCGACTCTCGAAGTTTAGAGGGCAGTGTTCGGTGAATACGTCGCAAGACGTGGAACTCCCATAGATTGCGCGGCTTGACGACTTTCAGGGCGACATGAGCTTTCGCTTCTGCGTCCAGATCAACGTCATCAGCTTCGTCCAGCTCCTCTTGTTTGTCGAGATCGACGGCTTCGAAGACTGTTCCGAATCCACCTTCGCCGAGTTTGCCCAGGATCCCGAAGCGTTGATCTAAGAGATTAACTTCCAGAGTCTCCAAGTCTTCGGTCAATCTACCAGTAGTGTTCCCACTGTTCCGACGTGATTTTTTCTTCGCGAACTTCTGCATGGCTTCTAACCGACCCGAGTCCTGCTGCCTAAGATCGTGGAAGTCGTGGTCAGGAGGGATCAACGACAGCAGCGTCTTCACGATAGGCGGGTCAAACGGATTGCAGGGATTCGCGGGTTGGAATGACGACGCGACAGCCAAGGCGTCCGTCAGGCTGAGTGTACCCGTCCTCTCCTCGATATCGGTGAGTCCGTTGGCCTTCTCGCGTTCCTCTGCTTCCTCTTCCTCGCGCAGCTCTGCCGCAAGCTGCTCCGCAACCTCGACGGGATCCTGATGCATGGGCCTCCCGTCCCTCGTATCGTTCGGGGTTGAGCGCGAACTCGTGGCATACTCGAGTGTCCGTTCAGCGATAGGTGTCAAGACATCGAATTTGCCAAACCTCCCGCCAAGCGGAGTCGGTCGAGATGCAAGGTCCTCCCCATCGTCGAACATGCTATCATCTTCGCCCTCCTCACTGGAAAGAGGTGCAGGCACCAGCGCGGCATCCTCTGGCACGCCTTCATCGTACTCCTCGTCATCCTCCTCGTATGAGTCTTCGAGCGTCTGCTGCGTGGCATCGTCCCCAGGCTCGTCGACTGCAGGCGCAGCGAACGCAGCTCTCAAAGGTGTCCGTTCACCCAATACCTGAAGGGGCACAGGAGCTGCATCGTCGTCGTCGCCGTCAACAAGAACTTCGAATGTGCTCGATTGCAAAGGCGGGGTAGGCTCGGATGGGTTTTCATTGCGTGTGGGTGGTCGGCTGAAGACCTTCATCGGCGGCTCTGGATCGCGGAATGGCGTAAAGACAGTCCCGCATTCTGCGGGAGATGTGCTGGTCGTCCTCGACGGAGGTTGCTGTTCTGGCTCCGTGTCCCGACGCGCCGCAGGACGTTCTCTTGGAACCTCGGCAACAGGAGTGAAAACAGCAGAGAATACTGGGGCGGGCTTGAACGCTCCCGGAGTCTTCGTGCTCTGCGAAAGCTCATCCTTGGCGGGTTGCGCTGGCGTGGAGGCGTCTTTGAGAGAGAGGGCTTTGCGTCCGGGGTTGGGGGTGAATGTAGGCAGCTTGCTAGGCCGCTGCTCGTCGACGAAGGGTTTGTACTGAACGAGCTTTATAAACGGGACGCGTAAGATACAGAACATACGTTGACTGACCTTGGGTGGGGGTGCAGGCGTTGTACTCTCCGCATTCTCATCCACGAATGGTCGCCATACTATGAAATCTATGAGCCAGTGGCAGTAATGTCGTGCGCAATATTTTTACCTGGTGTCTTCACCGGCACGCTTGCGTTCTCATTTGCCTTTGGCGTCTTGACAGGCATCATTGCGTTTTCGTTGTTCTTTGGCGTCTTGGCAGCCGCTAGGGCATTCTCGCTACTGGCCGCACGGAACTGGCTCTCGAGCGACATCGGCGTAACAGGCGCAACCTTGTGCACAGGAGCGTATTTGCTTCCCGCGACCGCACCGAATCGCATTGATTTCTCCGGTGAGTTGTACATCCCAAACACGTCTGCGAGTGCCTCTTTCGTGGCTAGCGTGACCGTCGGCTCGAAGCCCTTGCGCATGGTCCGTGTCGTTCCCGTACGGTTGCTACTCGTACTCGGTCCATCCTTGAAGTTCACGCGCACAGCTGCTGCTTCGGCAGGGGGACCCCATTTCTTGCCTAGGAGTCCCATTGAACGGGCGCGCGCCTCCTGCATACTGTACTCCGTTCCGTCCTCCGTGAAGAGCAACGATAAGTTGAAGCGTAGCTTCTCCGGACGCTTTCCGGGGACGGGCGGTGCGAGCATCAAAGCATACCGTTCACGTTTCTGGTCAGCAGATGAGGGTTGGCTTGTAGGAGGGACTGGAGATGCGGATTGAGGAGCAGCAGTGGCGGAAGCGGGGGCAGAAGGAGAGTCGGATGCATGGTATCTGAGGGGATTTCGTCGCAATGCTCTTGTTGACGACGGGGCTCCCTTCCATAGGGCAGCATTGGTACTGGCAATGCTCGTCGGCGGCGAGCCTCTATGCTTGAACTCTTCGTAGCGTCGTTTCAGAGGATCTACCGGGCGTGCCCGCCGCTGGATGCCTTGCTTGTATACTGTCTCGGCCTCCGGTCGCCTGCTTCCCATCTGAGCTTTACAAGCAATGTTGATATAGCTCTACTCACCTTCCAGCACATTCAAGTGCTAGAGCATACTCCCAATACGTTTGCGCATACACCATACCGATGCTGTTCGCCAGCAGATGGGCATATATCACGGTAGGATCCTCGACATGGGCAGCGTATAGTGACCAGAGCTTGAGATATCTCAGGTCTCCCTTGTACGCCGGGTCATCCTTAAATTGCCGCGTTGCCTCCTCCAGAAGCTCGAGTAGTCCGGATTGCGCAAGGTGTTGTTTGGGGTAATGTTCCAGCGTCCATTTGACGAAGTTGTCGTAGGCGGACAACGGATCCGGATCTTCTTCTAGGGCGGTGCGGATTTGTTCACGATATTGTTCTCGTTTCTTGAGCAGATCGTTTGAGGCGTCCATGCTCAATGGGGTGAGGAACAAATAATAACAAGCCCGGTATGCTGCATCACGAGGGAGGCCGTTAACAAGGTCCATTCCAATGATAACGCGAATGAAAGCAATAAAATACAGTCGGCATTGAAACGTGTCGTCTGGAGCGTATCTTCCCTAAAAGACATGCATCCCGACGTATAGCAACATGTGCAATAAGGCAGCCTCATTTGAGATCAACGGTTCCTCCGTACAATCATCGCAGCAGCATGCGCTCAAGTATACACTAGCTCCGGCGCGATGGAGTCGCGCATCGAACTGGCTGCTTTGATCGAAATACAGCGTTCCTCGATGGCGTCACCCTCATATAGCGCGCAGTGTACCAAGTCACTATTGCAGCATCTGACGGGACCGCTCTTTCCTGCCCTACCCTAGGCAGTTGGACACAACCGTCTAGACGGCATTCGGAGCGACCTTCACGGAGACTCTCGAGTGAGCTTGAAGACCCTGAGCATGGAGAAGCAGCGCAGACGCACAATCTGGTGCAAAAGTGGCCTGGGCAGGCGCAGGTGGAAACCTTACAGGTGTGTGTGCAGGTATCCGAGGACGATCGCCCAGCTTTCCCGATAATCATACTGAATCACGCGCGCACAGAGGCCAGTCCGCCAGAAAGACGATGTCTAGGAGAGCACTCACGTTGAGGGATCCGCGTAGTTTGACCACAAGTGGTAGCGGTGGGCCCAGGAGGAGGGCCGGAGTCGAGAAGGTCGCGGAGGAGGTCAAAGTTCGGTTGCGTCGCGCCGCGTGCGTCAGACGCGTCGATCACGTGGCACGCGTTTGCGCGCTCACTCAGGCTGTCTCTAAACTCCTGTGGGCTTCACGCAAGATGAATGGACTTGTCTACATAGATGGTACCGTACTGATATCAGTATCACCATACTGTAGCACAGAGAATACAGTGCATATGCTAATCAGCTACATGGGTCACTACCTTGGTCTTGTACATTACATAGGTATAACGTAGACTGCAGATACAATAAAACCTTCCTGCGGTGTACATCCAATAAACTTCTGTCATCCAGAGCAAGTGCCTCGTAGATCCCCTGACCAACTCTACATGTCCCACTCATCCCATAACCCTGGTATGCTAACGGCCGATGCGCGAGGTGTGGTGATTTCCGACGTCTCTACTAGCTCGACGATCTTGTCTATGACGACGCCGCGCTCCGACCGCCCCCTGCACGCGACGAGCACCGTCCGGTCCGTCGGTAAGAGTCCTTGGTATGCGAGGCGAACGTCCGGGAAGTCTACGACTTGTACGAGCTTCCCCGTTTGCACCGTGCGCACTTCGATGAACTCCGGCGAGAACAGCAGGATATGATCACCCCTGTGTGCGAACGCGCTCGCTTTCGCCTCCCAGCGGAGATATCCCGCTGAGCGACTCGGCACCCCGTGCTTGTCGATGTAGCATCCAACCTCTGCAAACACGCATGAGAACGAGGGACAAGCTCAATAAGCCAAATCATACCGTCGTAGACGACTAGGATCTCTTCATTCAGACAGCGCACGAGACCCAATGGCTTTGCGTCTTGACAGCGACTCTTCAACGCATACAGCGGTGGACTACTGTCTGCCCCTCCGAACTTCGGGATGACCGCAGGATTTGTGCCCGACGCACTTGGGCTGCATGGAGATGATAGGTCAAGTAGAGCCACAGTGAAACAAGGCGAAGGCATACTTCGTAGGGTCGACAATCGTGATGCCACGGTCATGGCATACCCCAATCCGCGTGTGCAGTGCCGTGAAGTCGTGCGAGTCCTTGGGTATTGGAATAGGCTGCACGAGAAAAGGCAAAGCACGGTGAGCTCCTCTCGACAACATCAACAACGCAGAGCTACCTACTTCACCAAACGGCCGATAGTTGGAGGGCGCACCAGAGTGTGAGTTGGATATGCTCCGTCTGGGCGAGATCGGACCATCGCCCGTGGATACGATCTCAATAGCGTAGAAAAAGACCTGCAAGATCCGCTTCGACGCATACATGACTATTTGCTATTCATCAGCAACAGTGTCGCCGTCCATTATGAAGTCACGCACTCATGTTCCTGTTCCCAATCTTCCCTGCACGGAAGAACAGTACGCTCCCGTCATGGCCAGCGATGACCTGCCGCGTCGTCTCCAGAGCTTCTGTCGTCGACTGGCCTGCGGTAGCACGCGCGACGAGATCGAGGGAGTAAGCATACAGGTAGTGATCTGACAGGATAAGCAGCTTGTTGAGCTCGGGCAGGGCAACCATGCTCGTCGGGTTTGACAAGTGGAGGACCTTCGTGTAGTCTGCAAGAACCAAAGTACCGACAATAAGCGGGGGATAGACTGTGTTGCAAAGATGGCGTACCAAACTCGCTGCGTAATCCAGCATACACACCGGAGGCACAGCCAACCACGAGGAAGCTCTTCCCGCCACTAGCTGCCCAGGTCTAAGGTAAGCCCGCACGCAAATTTACAACCTTGGCAAAGTACACACTCATTGGAGCCACAGCGGTGATCTTCCCTGTCAAGTTCCCTGCCGGAGGCACGAACGACTCAGAATATCTGAAGAACCGTTCGTGGACTGTATGCGGCGCAAACCACTGTACCATACCCAAGGGTCAGCACATCGTCGCATCGTTGCACCAAAGCAATGGTGCTCGAATAACACGTACCATATTCGATTCCTGCTGCGCATTCCGCACCGCAAGCGCATCCGTCAGCGCACATCGCCATCTCTCCCGGACAGTCTCGCTGTTCGCGAACAGCGTGTACCGTCTTCGAGACTTCTCGTAAGCATGATAGATCGTAAACGGCCACACGTCGCGGTAGTTGCTCCGGAAGTGGAACAGCGCGCCGTCGTCTACCTGCTCCTTCCGCTTCTCCGGTGGGTCCGAGAACGAGCCGAGTCGCAAGTACTCTAGGGGTATTGGCTGGGGCGAGAACGTCAGTGCCGCGGAGACGCAGGGAGGAACGTCGGAGGCCTTACGCGGGAGACTACAGATCGCTTCGTGACTCCCCCGGGACGATTCTCCGGTTTCAACAGGAGCACTGCGATGTCAGAGAATGTGAGCGCGATGCGACACCACGATGTCACGCTGCTTACGGTAGTTGTCCAGGAGCGCAACGTGCAGATCGATCCATCTGTACGTCGGCACCTCGAGCTGGCTCATTTTCTCGTTCCACCTTCTTCCGAGCGGGCCGGAGTACACCAAAGTCCGCTTCTCATCGTACAAATCGAGGTCCTGCCGCACACCATCAGGACCTCCAAGCGCACACTGAGCGCGTAAAGGGCACCACCACGCACCAAGATCTCGCCCTTCTGGTACGACAGACTCTCGCAGAGCTCCCAGAACTTGACCTTGTCCTCCGCCGCGGCGATCCCGGGCTGGGTGCTCTTCACGAACGTCTTGAGGATCTCCAGGATGATCGGCAGCGTCTCCTGGTCGGGGTGGTCCGGCGCCGTGTGCTCCTTCGCGTTGTCGAGCAGGAGGCACAGCCGCGGGAGGCGCGTCACAGGCCGCGAGAGGAAGGTGATGAGGTCGCGTTTTCGGACACGTGGGTCATGCATGCACTGCTGCGTGAAATACTGGTACCGCGAGTTTCGCTTCATCTCCGCGCGGTGGCGTGCCCCGGCTATTGGATAGTGTTTGATATAATCCTCGTACGGAGACATGAACTGCAGGACATCTAGAAGTGCTAATGAGTCGGGTGAGACAGCAAGCAAGGGGACGACATACGCTTCATGACAATCTCCGCAACACTGTCTATCAATGGGTGGAACTCGCGCTGTTTCTGAAAGAGGGCCCCGAGCATTCGCTCGTGCTGCTCGCGGATCTCGTCGAGGTTGTAGAACACTTCCTTCACGAAGCCTTGCAAGCGATGGTGTGGTACTGGCGACGTATTCAGAAGTGGCTCTATAAACACCTGCAGCACATTCTGTCAGGTCCCGAGAGGACAATTAACAAGGGAAAGAGGGACCTCCTTCACTAACGTGAGATCGTTCACGTAGTCTCTTTCCGACTTGATGATCTCGAACAGAATCGACTGTCGTGTCACTTCTCCCTTGTCGAGTACCTCACGCGCGGACGGCGGGACGAGCTTGTACCATTCCTGGTCATTCTCGGGCAATTCTCCCGCCTGAAAGCGCCGGAGGTCTTCCTCTGATTCGAGACTAGCGCGATCGGCACATTAAAAAGCGATCTATCCAGGGAGTGCGGGAAACACATACGTCAGGCCAGATAGCTCCTCAGAAAGTTCGGTGGGCGCGAACTAGCGCAACATGTGAAGCTGAAGTAGCTGCAACGAAAGACGACGTACCTCCGGACTGCTTGTCGAAGACGTGGACACGAACGAGGGCGGTCTTGACGAGCGTTGGGTGGGACTCACCGTCAGCTCACTCCGCGTCGCCCGGTGCGCGAGCGACGGGCCGGGGCGAAGCGAGGCGCGCTGGGACGAAGACCGGTAGAGCTGGGGCTCGGGGAACCTGATGCGGCCCGCCTCCTGCTCGGTGTAGCTCGATGCACGGCTGGCGGGGCGTGAGGGGGCATCCAGGCTAATCCTAGGGGCGAGCGGGGAGATTTGAGAGGGGGTATAGCCGCTGTAGCCACTGTAGCCGGAATCGGTGTATATACTGGAGGTGGAGGGGTCATGGGTCGACGATTGCAGAAGATAGGACGACCAGGGGGAGGTGGGGGACGGGTTGGTCGGCGGGGCAGCTCCCGGGGGAATAGCGACGTGGGGGTGTGGTCTGCGTGCCATGGATCATCGCAGGCACGTCTGGGCGCAGTTGTTCAAGGTCGCAATAGTAGTTCCGGTGCACAGCATAGACTGCGATGGGCGGTGCGATTGCAGGCTCGTATACGCGTGCTGTTGTCGTCACGAGACTTGGCAGAGCAGAACTATCCGGGCAGGCTACGGTACAGCTCGCGAGAGAATTGCTCCAAGGCGACGTACCAGTCTCCCCCAGGCTCCTCGGTGTGTATCCGCAAAGTCACAGGCAGAGATGCCTCTCTTTAGCAAGTGACACGGTGCACGTGCACTCCATTCAGACGCGTCGCGTCGCGTCATGGCTCGAGTCGAGTCGTCACCGACAGAACCGCAGCCTCCAAAGCGTTCTTACTGTACTTACAAAAATGCATATCCACCGTGAGATCTAACTATTATCCCCTAGGCAGGCTCTAAACACGTCCTTTTTAAAGCTTGAGGGGAGGAAAGCGGTCGTATATAAAGGTCTCACAGCATCCAAAAACAATTAATAGTGGCAGCGTACCAACGGATCCCAGTGTGAGTACTGGTGATTTCGACTTTGTCTTCATAGCCTCCTCGTGTCATCTAAGTCTGTCTGAGTACATGCACCTTCGCGGCATCATACACATGGCGATGCAATGCAAAGAGTTCCATCGAAATGGTTAGTCGTCAGCTCCATGATCCTCGCGGCTTTTGCGAGTGCGACCGTTTGGCGGCTGCCATTATGCTGACTTCGACGATGGGCCTGCAGAGTGCAGCCACCTCCTCACTCATCATTGCAGATGTTGATTTCGTAACTTAGATGGTTGACTTGAATCTAGATAACGCGTGCGTTTCCTTCGCGAACATGTCGTATGATATGACGTCAAGAACAGTCGAGAACGGCGATACAGGACGACACCTGCGCAAGACCTCGGGTCGTTTCACCTCGAGCCCGAAACAAGCACACAACCTCGCAAGCACAAATAGTTCATACGCGAAAGTCATTGAGCGATGTCATTCGGATCGTAAAACGGTTCTGGTTTGTACTGTACAAACGAAACCTCTCGAACCCGAAAGCTATGCTCAGAGGCCTATCGCAAGTGAGCCAGGAAAAGGGCGGATATGGAGAGAAGACGGCAGGGATCAGACCATTGTATGTATGAGGGGCAAGGTCAGACAACTACAAAGGCAAGAGTTCCAGTCCTCGGCGAGTATTACAGACAGTGTGTGTAAAAGGGGCGAATACTGTATAAAGCTGGCAGCGAGAGGTATCACGAAGATAGGCAGACGCAACACAAGACAAAAGAAATTTGCGAGGAAACCAGAGTTCGGGTCAGAGCGAGCCCCTTTTGCCGCACCTCCTTCGCTTACGCGAGGAAGGCGACGGCACCAGCGCCGAAGACACCAGCGAGGACGACGTTGACAGCGTTTGAGAGAGCGCCAGAGGCCGCCGAGGTCGCGGAGGCCGCACCCGAGGAAGTGCTGCAAATTTACATGAGTAAGCTGAAGGCTGGCCACGCAAACAGCTCGACGTACCCGGACGCGTGAGTCGCAGAGGAAGCACCAGAGCTCGCGGCAGCAGTGGAGCTGGCACCGGAGGAGGCTGACGAACCGGCTGACGAAGAAGCAGCTGAGGCAGACGAACTAGCGGCGGTAGCGGAAGATGAGGCACCTGCAGAGCTAGAAGAGCCACCGGCGGCGGAGCTGGAGCCGGAGGAGGTCAGGCAGCTGGTGGCTACGCGATTTCTGTCAAGTCAAAGTCACCCATAACAGTCTCATAGTACTTACAACCTGACCCGATGGTGAAGCCGCCAGACTGGCCGGTTGCACCTGTGCTGTCCTTGAGAGTGAGAACAAGGGTTGTGCCCTCGGTGATGTTTGTCGACCAGGTGAAAGGAGAACTCTGCAGGTTAGCGTAGGTCTGCTGCGCGTCGCCGTTGGGGTTCGTCTGGAGGTTGAAGCTGAAACACGATCACCATACTGTTCATTGATAGGGGGTCCTCGCGACATACCTCAGGAAGAAGGGAGCTGCACAGAGAATTAGCCAGTTCGCAGAATGCAAAGAGAGGCGAAGCTTACCAGTTCCACCCGTCCAGGTGATGGCCGTCGGCTCACACTCAATGACGTTCCCCCTGCACGCAACCATGATGAGGAAATGTCTATTAGACGCTCGTTTAGAGCAACTTACGGGGTGTTGACGGTGATGCCAGAGGCACTGGCAACGAGGGCAGCGGCGGTGAAGAGGGCAGCGAACTTCATCTTTGCTGGTGGGATCGCGGAGAACGCAGGCGGGGAGGCGGGGAGTGCTTGTGGGAAGGGGAAGAACGAACCGACGGTGATGGGACGCAAGGCGGCGTCTTATATGTCCGGAGAAAACCGGCGTCATCTGTTTGGCCCGCGAGGCACGCCCGCGCTCGGCGGCAACATTCGCTCCTCCCATCTTTCTCGGGCCTTCGAATCCTGTTCGAGTCGGCGCATCCCCTTCCTCCGGGCTCCCCGTCGAGCCCTCTCCTCCTGCCGTGTCCTGCCGACTGTACTCCTGTTTTCTTTCCGCCTTTTTTCTTCTTGACTTTTTTCTTTGGACAGTCATCCACGGCGTTCGGTATCATAAACCCCATGATTCAAATCAGTACAGTAATTACGGCCCGGCCGTGTCTTGTCTCGGCCAGCGCAGCAACCGGCGAGCCTCTTTGCGAAGAGTCCCAGCCAAGAGTGATCCGTGTCTCGCCACCCCTCCTCCGTCACATGAAATCCGCACCGTACGACGCATACGTCAGTGTAGATAGTCGACTCGTCAGTCATGTAATGGCCAGTAGGGCAAACTATCATAACGTTCTGGCCACTGCACGGAACGCGTTCATCTCGGGCACTGTAAATACTGTCAAAAACGAGAACTCAGACCAAACTTAAACGGGGATCTGTCTTCCAAATGTTTCCGGCCAAGACACCAAGGCGTTAGTCCTGACCTGCCTAGACTCTTGGACGCTTGGAACACATCTACTCTATCACATCAGTCCTCCGTCGTCCGTGGCACTGGCACCGCCTGGAAGGGAAACTGGGAGCAGCTGAATAGTGTAGTATGCGCCTATCTCCTGGTTGCTGGAGACAAGACTGCAAGTTCACATCCGACGCCCGTAGACTCGACCACGCTGTACTCGTGTGCGCTACAGGCTCACATGCGCGTGCCCGATGCTCAAAATAACTCGACCGACTAGTGGCTGCGTATGACATCTCAATGCATACACGCCGATTCCTCGCGCGGAGGGCGATTTGGCGTGCGAGCGATGAGGAGAGTGCAATAATGCGGACGAATAGAGATGGCTTGCTTCGAGCGCTCGGAGGCCGTCTTGCCTAGCGCTGCGTGCCGTACAGGCGTCGCCATGTCTGCCGACAGTCGGGCCGCGTACAGACTGCGAACTCAAGCTTGAGCTCGGGTGGGAACCAACAACGGAAAGTCTCAGTAGAAAGCGATATTGTAGGGCTACATCAATAACAATATTCGTACCTGTCCAGAAATACAGCTTTGGGACTTGTCATTTTCTGGTTGACTCGCGCCTACCCTCACTCCGTCGCGAATACCAAACAGACACCGTCGTCCCCCGCGCTGACCACGACGCCGCCTTCGAGTCCGAGGGCAGCACCAAGAATAGGACCGTGGTGGCCCTTATGCTCACGGACAAGTGTGCCGGCCCGCGCGTCCCACGTCCGCAGACTCTTGTCAGCAGAGCTAGACACGACCAGATGTCCCTTCGGCGCAGGCAGCGACAAAAGGCTGGTCACCGCATCCTGCAAAGCACAAACGCACGTCAGAACCATACACACGGGTTAGGACCACGCGCGCGGCGAGTACACGCCGCGCGCGAACCCACAAGCACCCACAACTCACCTCGTGCTCGAGCGTCGCGCGCAGGCGGTTCGTGCTCAGATCCCAGATGCACGCCTTGCCGTCCGTCGCGCCCGTCACGACGATGCCGCCCGCGGTCTGCGCGGCCGCGCCGGGCGTGAGCTCGACGAACGTGACGGCCTCGACGCTCTCGCCCTCGTTGTGCCCGCCGAGCGCGCCGACGACCTCGCCCTTGCTCAGGCTCACGACGCGCACGCTGCCCGTCGTCCCACCGACGACCGCGAGCGTCGACGCGGGGTTCACGGCGAGCGAAGTGATCCCTTCCATGTCGAACCGCGCGTCCGCCGCGGTGAGCTTGAAGATGGGCGTGGGCGAGCGCGGGTCCCAGAAGATGAGCGTGCCTTCTGCGTCTGCGGTCACTATGCGTTTCCCGTCGGGTGTGAACTCTCCGCATTGTACGGGTGCGGTGTGTCCCGCGAGGACTTGCATGGTGTTGCCGGAGGGGAGTTGCCAGAGCCACACCGTTGAGTCGTTCGAGCCGGCGAGGAGGACGTTTCCTTTCGGATGCCAGCGTAGCCACTACCGTGTAGTGTAAGGACCGGCGGACATTGCAGTGAATGAGACGAAGCGTACCATGACTTCGTCCGGACCCTGGAGTTCTGTGAGGAACTCCCACAACTTCCAGTTCTCCTTGCCCACTCTCCGCCATATGCGAACCTTGCCGTCCATCCCGCCGGTCGAGATCATCTCGCCATCGAAGCTGAACGCCGTACTCGTCACGCTATCCGTGTGCCCCGTGAGCTTCACGATCTCGTCCCCGGTCGTGTAGTCCCAGATGTATCCGAGGTCGTCCTCCCCGCCCGACGCCGCGATGGGCGCAACAGGATGTGTGGAGACGGCGAAGACAGACTTGCGGTGGTATGGGAAGTGCTGTATTGAGTTGTCCTCGTAGACGATCTCGTCGTCCGGGTGGGGTCCGCCCTCGCCATCCATCACCATCATCCCCTCCCCCTCAGCGTCGTCCTCGTCCATGGGGTGGTCGCCGTCATCGGCGACCTCGATGTAGACATCGTTCGGGTCGATGAAGTCGTCCTCCTCACCCTCCTCGATCCGCTCATCCTGTGCGTGGTCTGGCTCCATCGGTGCTTAGTGTGGTGAGTGAAAAGTGGTGTAGTTGGCTGCAGACGTCCGGGGCAGTCGCCTTTTGACGGGGCGGAGGCGAGGGACGCTAGCGATGAGTAATAGGTTGTCGTCGGTTCCGGCGGTGGGCAGACTGAATCAGCAAGGGTACGCTGACTGTACAGAGGCGAACGCGCTATGGACGTTGCATGAGATCTGTCACAGATTTTGCGATCGCAAGATGATCGCGCGCGCGGAACACGCCCACGTGAGCTCCGCCGCGTCTGTGGCAAATGTATCTTGGCAGCTATCCTGGTCCATGTTTGCGAAGCAGAGCGTGCAGATAGAGCTGATAATTCAGACGAGTCGGAATATGATGCTCACATCAGCGACGCAGCTAACTAGAGACTCGGCCTTCACCAAGCAGGCGGCCGCTTATAGGCTGGCGGTATGGCGGACATTGGCCGACAGCAAATAGATACTCCTCAGTGAGCTGACATGGGTCTCGTAGCTTGCTACTAGGTACCTATTGTCCAAAATAGTCAGTCCGAGAAGTGTGCTGAGAATGTGTTCGCGGCTCTCTGCAGCCTCAGGTACGCTCCCTTGAGGCTTGGAACGCTCACGACGGTCACGTGCGTTCATGAAGCTCGTCGGAGGCGACTCTGTCAGTGTCAGCGACCGTCGAGCATCCGAGCATCCGACGTGCTGCCCATCGCATCCCTTGCGCTACGATCCACATCCACCCGGGAGTTCTGATAGATATGCAGAGCTCATCATGAATCATGTCTCCGCCTTTAAAGTCGCGAAATCTCTGCCTCGCAAGACACCCTCCAAGCACCCTGCGAGTCGGCGGTCCATGACGTCTGCGCTCACACTCCCCCGTCTCCCGGTCCCCGACCTTCACCAGACGCTACAAAAGTATCTGCAGTCCCTGGACCCTCTTCTGCTAGAGAATGAGGCTCGGGGTGGTCCCAGCTTCTCTGAAGCCCGCCGCCTACGTGAAACGTGGGCGGATGATTTCGAGCGCGGGATCGGGAAGGTATGCCAGGAACGCCTATTAGGTCAGTATCATATACATGCGTATCGAAAGCAGTCCGGCCTGAGCTACGTGGGTGCACGGACTAAGCACTTGACAGGGCGTCACCCACAAACTGGCTCGACGACAACTTCTGGATCAAGAAGGCGTACCACGAATGGCGGGCACCGCTCATCGTCAACTCGAATTGGTGGCTGGCATTTCATAACGACCCGGCCGTTCCACGGGAGGTTGTGCTGGGACACCGTCCCGCTCTTGGCGCGGTCGGCATCACGGACTGGCAGGTACGCAGGGCAGCGTGGCTAGTCCGTCGTACGTTGGAGTGGAAAGCCCGGTTAGAGAGGTCTGTTTCATACCAATCTCTCCTCGATGATGTACTCACGCGCTGCGTCATGACAGACAGGATGACCAGGCTGGAATCACTAGAGCGGGTGAGTATGGCCAGCGCGCATTCATTGAACGTCCACCTGATAGTCTCTAGGTGTATGGCTCCGAGATACCGCAGCGAAGATGTTCAACGTCTCTCGCCTACCCCAAGCGGACTGCGATACCTTGTCGACCACTCCTTCATACACCGACCCGGACGCCCACAAGATCATTGTCATGCTCCACGACTGGTTCTACGCTGTCGACGTTCTAGAGGAGGACAAGCGGGTCCTCCAGCCGGCAGAAATCGAGCGACGCCTGTTGGCCGTCGTTGCTGATGCCGACGGGCGGCTGAAGCGAGGCGAAATCGCTCCTGCGGTCGGTGTGCTCACCGCTGACGACCGAGATCGCTGGACGGAGGTGAGCAGTATGCCCTCGTTAGTTTCTGTTGTCTGAAAATTTCGTGATCAGAATCTCGGCCATCTCCTCTCACTATCGCCTGTGAATCACGACGTTCTGCGCACCGTCAATCACTCCCTCTTCGCGCTCAGTCTCGATCCCTACACCTACGTCCCTCCGTCTTCAACGCCTGCCCAAGCAGGCTCCCCTGTCCCAGAACCGAACACCGTCTCCGAGCTCACTGCGCACCTACACAATATCCGCTCCGGGCCGACGCCGCGCCCAGGACATAACCGGTGGTACGATAAGGCGTACACGCTCGTCGTCGAGTCGAACACCCGCGCGGGCGCCATTGGCGAGCACTCGCCCTGCGACGCGCTCGTCCCGAGTATCGGCGCGGAGTTCGCTGTGGTGGAGAGCGTTGATGAGGATGCGTTTCCGCCGCTGTTGCCTGAGGGGCGTATGCCGAACGTCGAGGCGGTCGGAGGCTGGGAACGTCTGGAGTGGGTGGTAGATGAGAGAATCCGGAAGGAGTGTGACGAGGCGGAGAAGCGGGTGAAGATCATCGTAGAGGACTCGGACCAGGGCCTTCTGTGGTTCACGGACTACGGTGCTGAGCGGATCAAGAATGAAGGTACGTCGCGTTCGCTGTCCTGTAGCGCACCTCCGCGATGCCTCTCGTCGCTTCTTGTGCCGTCCTCGTCGCGACTGAGGCTCATCTGCCCACTTCGCCCCATGTAGCTCGGCTGTCCACCGACGCATACATACAGATGGCGATGCAGCTCGCGTGGTACCGGACGCGCGGATGCTTCACCGCGACGTATGAGACCGCGCTAACGCGCCTCTTCAAGAACGGCCGAACGGAGACGATCCGCACGCTTAGTGCCGACAGCCGCGCCTTCGTCCTCGCCATGGTCGACCCAAAAAGCACTGTATGTACCATTTCTCGCTACCAGACCCCCAATCTAACTCGCGACATGACAGCCGCAGGCGCGACAATCGCTTCTGCGCCGCGCGGTACAGACGCATACGAGCTCGACGCGCCATGCTGCGACCGGTCGCGGCATCGACCGCCATCTGCTCGGTCTGCGACTGATGCTCGATGCTTCTGCGCGCGAGCGGCATGACTTGTTTGACGATGAGCTCTTCACGCTCAGTCAGACGTGGAAGCTGAGTACGAGTGGGTTGAGTGAGGGACATCAGTTCCGTGGCACTGGGTATGACCTCCAGTATGACCTTGTGTTGTTGATGCTCACAATGTCTCACAGCTTTGGTGCTGCATATCCTGATGGCTATGGGATCAACTGTGAGTCTGTGCTGCATGTCATCAAGTTTGTATGTCTAACATCCAGGTAGACCTTGCAGCTCCCAGCACAATCACATTTGGCATAGAATGCAAGTTCTCCTCACCACTGACCTCAACAGAGGTGTTCAAGGCAGCCATTATTGAAGCATTGGCAGACATGAAGTCTACATGCCTTACTGCTAATGCACATTTATAGCCTTACTGTCATACATGCATATAATCACATTGCTCTGAAGCAGTACATTGCATTGGGTCACACAACTGGTTGGTGAAGCCTCTACATGGGCTTATGCTACATCCTGCTGAGCCTGCTCTGGCTCATCCCACTCCCATGAGCCTTTCCAGGCCTCTGCACCCCATGCCTGAGCCATTTGCCCCACCAAGGTGTTAGCAGCAGTGCCTGTGACAAAGTCCCACTTGGTACAGATGAACATGCCCTTCTTGCAGCGAGTGAGCATGACATTGGTTCTCCTGAGATCCTCCAGGAAGCCAAGGCCCCTAGTCCTGACAAGAGAGATGATGATGTAGTCCTCCTCATTGCCTGTACAGAGTGTCAACCATGGAAAATGTGTAATCAAGTCAGATATTCACCTTGGAAGGAGTCCACATTGAAGCATTTGTCCTGCCATGCAAGACCCATCTCCTTCATTTCTCCTTCAAGGAGATTCCTCTGTGCATCATAAGGGGTGATGATCCTGTAGTCCTTGCCCTCCTCCTGGAGCTTGGCAGCAATCTTTAGGGCTGCTTGCCTCTCAGGAGCATTCTGTGTACCATTGATAAGCATACACTCCAACAAAAACACAGAGACAGAGCTTACCTTCCAACTTGTGCCATCTCTCTTCTCCTCACCACCCTCCACATCAACAAAGTAACTCTCAGGAATTTGGATGGGGTGGAGGGGGTTTGATGCCAGCTGAGCATCATACACAGCTGTAGAGATGAAGTCCCCAATATGGGGTGGCATTCTGTCTGAACCAGGAATCAGTCACATTTCACACTTGTGCAGAAGAAAGCTCACATTGTGTATCAAGCATCTGTGCACTTGAGCGCAGGTGAGGAACCTCAAATATGCTCTTCAGCTCCTCATTTTCATCCTGCCCAAATGGTGGCACTAGAGACATTGACAATTCAATATGACAGACAATTACTACTGCAAACTCACATTGTTTGTCATCACCAATGAAACACATTTTACGAAGGGATGGGAATTGTTGCAGAGCAGGGATGTAATCATTGATGGATATTTGACTGGCTTCATCCACAACCAGAGTGGCCATAGGGACAAAGGCAGTGAAGTTCTTGATGCGAGGGTTGGAGAGCATGGAGAGTGTAGAAAGGATGACAGAGCAGCCTTTGAGGAGTTTGTGGGCATGCTTGAAGCTGTCAGAGCGAATCATATTGTTGTTGATGACAGTGTAGAGATGTTCATGCCTATGTTCAATGAGTCAGCATGCAAGGACCCAATAATCAATAGGTGTAAAGCACCATCCCATGTGGAAGTCTTTAGAGACAAGGAGTTTCCAATCCAGAAAGCCAACCTTGGCCAGCTTTTCAGCAATGTTCTTGACAGCCACATTGGTCTGTGCAACCAGCCAGATACCCCTCCTCCCACCAGCAATTGCAGAGCAGACATAGGCTGCTATGACAGATGTCTTCCCAGTCCCAGGAGGACCCTGTATGACAGTCACACGATTAGGATTGGTGTTGGAGAGCATATGGTGAACAGCTCTGTGCTGTGAAGTGTTCAGTGGCTGAGCATCAGAGATCTTAGGAACCTTGTCAGAAGATTCAAAGTTCTCAGGCCAGCTGAAGTCCTCTTCAGGGCACCAGATGTACCGCTGGAAGGGGCTCTCAAAGAGGTTGACCTGACCTTGCAAAGCCCCAAGGACATAGAGTGCCTTCTGGGTCTCTGCATTAGTGGCCCTGTCTCCCCCCGTGGAGGTGATGCCTATGACCGTCTTGCCCTCGAGGCTTATCTCAGCCTTCAGTTCAGCGGCACGACCCGCGGTGTCAGCAGTCCGCCCATGGACCAGATACGTAGCTCCGTGTTCGTCGACAACGGTGAACTGAGCCTCCTGTGCAACATCGACGATGTTTGTGTCATGTCAATGAGAAGAACTGGGTACTCACGGTCTCTCGTTGGATCCTCGTTTGGTATCTGTCTGACCGGACGTTGAGTTTCTTCCGATTCACGGACGGTCCGCTGAACTCGTTCGCGGACGTGGTCGGCCGCTGCGAGGCGAGGCGCTGATCAGCCCGCGCGATCGACGCGATCTGCGCGAGCTCCTAGAGATGCGACCGCCACGATCGCTGGTAAGTACACGATCACCATCAGGGCTCGATAACTCACGGAGTCGCTCTTATCTTTGGTGTTGACCCGCTTGACAGTGTTGAACTGCTCCTCCATGTTTGGGATGGCCGGCAGGAAGCAGGCCAGCCAGGCCTTGAGTGCAAGAGACGTCTGTCGAGCCGGCTTAGGGTCCCAGAGCTTTTCCCGGAAGGCAGCCTTGATGTTCTCCTCGTAGATCGGCCACTGATCGCCGACCGCAAACTTGACAGCGGCGAAGGGCGACACGATCTTTTCCTGGCTCTCCGGGCAGATGCCCTGGACGCTGATCCCATTCACGATGCGCAAGCCGTGGTCGAGGAAGAGGGAAATGGCGAGCTGGCCGATGTTGAAGGCGTAGAGTAGGCAGTCGGGGTTGGAAAGGACTTTGGTGAGCAGTACCCCGCGACCTCTATACAGCGTGTCTCCTTTGCTCTTCTGGAGCTGGATGACTAGGACGCGCGACTCTGTCGCAAGAGCAATCGCAAGAAGCTGGTCGGAAGGGCCATACGCGGGCGCAATGCCGACACGGATGGGATTCGGGAATGTGGGTGCGCTCTTCAGGAACTCGTCAAGGAACTCGTCCGTTAGGCTAGCCTCGAGCAGCGTCTCCTGTCGAATAGGTGGCTGATGTTTATCAATGAAATTCTGGGTGATGATGCGCTGCAGCGGGGGAGGAGCCATGGTGGATGAGAGTCAACCTGGGATGGTGGCTCGAAGAAACGCGTGTGGCGTCTCAACGGTCCAGCACGGGATAATGGATGCGGCGATGGTCAAAGCTCGGACAACAATCACACAATGGGATTTATAGATGCTATCATTCAATGAAAAGAAGCAAGATAACGCGCGACTAAAGCAACGAGGCAGAACGCCCTAGAACTCCCCCTGCAACACGTCCCGCCAGGAGACCCATCCATCCGCCCATTCCTTCGCGAGCTTGCCCACGAGAGAGGACTTGGCTTTCCCTTCCATGAACGCGCGGCTCGTGCAGATGATCATGCCTTGTTTGCAGCGCGAGAGCATGACATTCGTTCGCCGCAGGTTGGACAGGAAACCGATCTTCTCCGAACGAACGACGGAGATGATGATGTAGTCTGCCTCGTTGCCTGATAGAAGACATGCGTGTGAGCATGAATTTCGCTCAGCTGAACAGCTTCTGTCTTACCTTGGAAGGAGTCGACGTTGAAGCATTTGTTCTCCCAAGGGAGGTTCGCATTTTCCAGCACACGTTCAAGGAAGTTGCGCTGTGCGTCGTACGGCGTGATTACGCGGTATGACTTCCCTTCGCTGTGGAACTTCCTCGCGATCGCGACAACAGCATGGGCCTCTGCTTCATTCTGCGGCGTCATCGTGTTAATACACGTTGTTATCAAGTGAGGAAAATGCTCACCGTCCAACTATTATTTGACTTCGCCTCCTCGCCGTGGTTGACGTCTACCATTATACATGATTTGCGAGTGGTAACGGGATGGATCGTCTTGAGACGGCCGCCGTATACACGCTGCGAGATGAACCTGCCGATCGGCGTCGGCATACGGTCTGCGCGGTAGACAAATCGCTTATGAGCCTGGGTACGCAGTTAAGCAAATAGAGATGCATACATTGTGTGTTGAGGAATAAGGCGTCTTCTCGCAGATGCTGCATCTCGAAGATGCTGGATATCTCGCCCAAGTCATCCTGTCCGAACGGGGCGACTGTATGTTCCGCTTAGTATGCCATTCGTGACCCTGGCGCTGAACGATTCACTCACGCTGCTTGTCGTCTCCGATGAAGACTAGCTTCTTGATGGTGCCACCGTAGCGGCCCAACAATGGCACGTAGTCGCTGAGCTCTATCTGACTGGCTTCATCCACGATTACAGTCTTGAGGGGAACCATGCGAGTGAAACCTGCACTAGCCAGGCGTGGATGCGAGAGCATGCTGAGAGTGCATAACATGACTTTGGACCCTAATAGCAGCCTCTCGTTGCCGACGATGTCGCTGTCGAAGTCATCCGAGCGTATGACGTTGCGCTCGATCATCTCGTACAGGTGCTCGTGCCTATGGAAGCGGTCATTGAGCGTGTCACGGCGACAATCGGTACTACACGACTCACCATTCAAGATGAAAGTCTTTGGAAACCAGGACCTTGAAGTCGATGAAACCGACGTCCGCAAGCTTCTCCGCAATGTTCTTTACGGCGACGTTTGACTGCGCGATCAACCAGATGCCGCGGTCCTTGTTGGGGAGGTTCATCAACTCGAGGACCGAGGCAGCTATGACCGTGGTCTTGCCTGTGCCGGGAGGTCCATGCACGAGGCAAACCTGGTCAATTGGGTTCTCAGAGATGATGCGGTTGACTGCCGCGGCTTGCGAGTCGTTGAGACGACGACCATTGAGGTCAACGGGACGGCTAGACGCTCTGGCCCTTCGCACGGATCCACGAGCGGGACGTTCAAAGATCTTACGGACGAGATCTTGCTCAAAGAAACGAAGCGTCCGCCGTAACACCTCCAGCATGATGCTTTCGCGCTCCTTTTCGGCAGGTGTCAGGTCGTCTCTGCCGATCGTCACGATGCTGACGATCCGTGCAGTTGGCGCGATATACCTGTTTGCCTTGATCTTTGCAGTTTTACCGTTGACATCGAATGTGCGTCCCATTACGGTCTTTACAGGACTGTTCTTTGCGCCGTACTCTATCTGCACAATCTGCAAGCCGCTCATAAGCACAAGCACGACTTCATGTTCGGATGAAGTTGGAATACCTGGTTACGAGAGTGATCAACCCGCATGCGTGTCTTGAAACGCGCCTGCCCAACATGTAACTGGCCTTCCTTCTGTTCGAAATCACCAACGACGTCGTTCTTCACCCTGGTTGGCTTGAGCATATACAAGCGCCATGCCACTCGAGCAAACTTCGCAAGCCATTGCAAGTGCTGATGCGAGGTATTCAAGGTCAGGGCTGCGGGGACCATGTCGAACGCGACTTACTGGGACCGGAACCAACGTCGTATTGATCAACGCGGCACTTTTGAGTTTCGCGATCAAGTGAGGCATTGACCCGGCCTGGCAGGCAGCCCACGCACGCATAGCGAGGTTGTCAGTGCCACCGGCCGCGAAGGCCCTCCCCTTGAAATGGTCGGCGACGGATGACTTGTACACCTTCGGCTCACCGCCCAACAAATTCATGAGTGTGTCGAGGGCCCGTCGATCACCACCCTGCACGGACTTCAGGTCCACGGCCTCGACGAGCGTAAGCTGGTAATCATAGTATAGTGCAAGCGCCAGCGTATGCATGTCGAGTGCGAATTTACGGTGCTCCGTGCTGTGTAGGAGCATCCTCCGGAGAACGTCGCGGCCTATCGGACGCTGTTGGGTGTTTGTCTGCTTGCCTTTCTTTGGCTTGGACGTCGCTGCAGGGCCAGGCATACGGATACATAGGACGTGTGTCGGTGTTGCGAAAGCGAGGTGAGTAAGGCGACCTTTGACGCCTTGGGTACATGCTACGCCCACGACGTCGTCGGACAAGGCAGATAGAGCGTCAAGAGGGAAGTCGACGAGGTCGGCTTCGTCTATTTCCATGACGAGTAGCTCAGGATGAGAGGTCCTGAGGAGCGTCTGCTTAATGTTCCAACTGCGACGCACCATGATAGGTAGTGAGCTGTAGGCGAGGGAAGGTAACACGCCGCCTAGCTCAGCAACGGGGCCTTATACAAGTCGCCAATGGTACAGCGTGTGCCGCAGTAGTTGTTATAGCTCTCGCGTGGATATGAGTGTCCCTGGGGGGATACGCGCCTTGAGGTGCCGAACCTTAGATATCGTGTCAAATAGGCAAGTAATCTTGACAGCAGTCTGTGATGGATAGGAACGAGGGAACGGACGAGTCAGGGATGTTTGTGCGAATACCCTGCGAATACCGCGCATCCGTCGATGTGGACCGCCGAAGCTTCGAAATAGGCAGAGGTGCTGCTGCCTATGGAGACATTGTTCGGCATCATGCATAGAGTCGCACCCTGAAAAATATAGAATCGTAAGATGGACTCGTGGACTGGAGATGGAAGTGCTGACCCTTGCGCAAAGCTGCCAGTGGCTGCACCATAATGAGCGTTCTGCGAGAGAGCCGCACGGGCGCTCCGTCACGCCAACTGTCACGACCGCACAGTGGCACACGCTGTCCGCTCCTTCCGCACCCTTCACCAGGACCTTGTACCCGTTCAACCCTCTCCTGATCATGGCAACACCATTTCTCGTCGGTGTCGGCGCAATCGCAGCCGCTGTTGTGGGCAGACAGATGATACGCAGGGCGGGCCAAGGAGCCGCTGAGCAGTGGGTCAAGGGCGGCTTCAAGGCGAAGATGGACCGCAAGGAAGCTATTGCTATCCTTGGTCTAAAGTACGAGCCCTCTGACTGACCAATGGATGTCGTTCGTGACTGATTGGGACACGCGCGCAGAGATAGCCCACAACTACGGAGCAGGCTCAAGGACGCGCACCGCCAGATCATGCTCGCCAACCACCCCGACCGCGGCGGTTCACCATACCTTGCCAGCAAAATCAACGAAGCAAAAGACTTGCTTGAAAAGACCGAGAAGAGGTAGCAGGGCGGTCTATCTAGTACGTACACTCGGAGTTCCCGTGTGTTTGCCGTCGTACTCATTTCGATCGCCCAGTCACGATGCATTCATGTCACTACTGTACCGTATCCTTATAATACCAGCACCATTCAGCCGAGCAATACCTCGTCTTCCATCTACGACCACCACGCATGAGGCATCCGACTAGCATCGCCACGGAGCTGTGTTTCCCACTCCGTGTCCACCCTGCCGAGTTCGTCAGCAAACGAGTGCACAGGGCATTTGCGGTCCACTTGTGGTGAGACGACAATTCAGTAGGAATCGAGCCTTGCATGCGCATCGTGCCCCGGGCCCTCTCGCCCTCACTCGACACTCACCGAGTATTCAGTTCTCAGTGAGCTGACTAAGCAACCGCTCTCTTTCATTAAGCCTCCATGTCTTCGATCGACCTGCCTCCATCTAAGCTCGGGACGAAGGAACAGTACGTGAGCCAACGATAGCCAGCTGATAGCAGCAGCAGACCACCATTTCGCAGCTGGGATGGCGTATACTCCTCAGAGTTCACGAACTTCAAGGAGATCGGGGACGAGGGCGAAGTATGGTGCGTACTCCATCACCCTTTTCGCTGTCACATATCCTACAGACCAACCACGCTGCGCTGCCTGCAGGTTCGGCGAAGACAGCGTGGAAAAGATGGTCGACTGGGCCCTCGATCACGTCCCGGCCGATCCGGCCCCATCCATCCTCGAGGTCGGCGCGGGCAACGGCAACCTCCTCTTCGCGCTGTGCGAAGCGGGGTTCGCGCCCGGGCGGATGTGCGGGCTGGACTACAGCGCGGACGCGGTGAAGCTCGCGCGGGCGATCGCCTCAGCCAAACAGCGGGAACAGGATGCGGAGGAACACGAGGAGGACGCGAGTGTGAAGGGGCCCGGGGCGATCACGTTCGCTGTGTGCGACTTCCTCGCAGAAGATGTGCCTGCGCTGGACGGCGTGGAGGGGACGGCGACTTGGGATCTCGTCCTGGATAAAGGTACATTCGACGCGATGGCTTTGGTGGGACAGAATGATCAGGGCGTGAACATCGCGGATGGGTACCCATCTAGAGTGGGCAGGGTGGTCAAGCCCGGCGGTTATTTCCTCATAACGTGTATGTACTCCTGCCTCCGGCCCCACCTGCCCTCACACCATATCGCCGCAGCTTGTAATTTCACGGAAGAAGAGCTCAAGGCGAAGTTCGCCACGGCGGAGACTGGCCTGGTGTACCAGTATGTACTCAAAGACCGCCCTCTACTCGGATTACTCTGGCTCACAGCTGCACGCGCAGCTCACGCATACCGTTCCCGAGCTTTTCCTTCGGCGGCAAAAGCGGCAACGTCTACTCCAGCGTCGCATTTCATAAGCAACCCTAACCAAACACCACTCAAGCCCTACAGCCCCGCGACGACATCCATCCCCGTGCGCAACGTATCCCTCGCCACCTGACTCGCCCACCTGACAAAGCCCTTCTCGTCGCCCAAGGCCTCCCCGCGGAACGCCTCGCCAATAAAGAAGATGAGGCCTACCGCGAGGTTCTGCACCCGGGTCGCCTTGATGAACACCTCTTCGAGCGGCCCGCGGTTCCTCGTCGGGAGCGCGTTCGGGTCGGCGCTGAGCAGCGGGGTGGAGACTTGTGTGCTGACGAAGACCTGTGTGAGGAGCTCCTTGAGGAAGGTGTGCGACTGGGGCTTGAGCACGGTGAAGTCAACGGGCTGTATCACGCATGTCGATCAATACACTAGTTCAAAAACACTACATGAAACAACGGACCTTGAGGATCGCAAACGTGCAGCAGTCTTTCGCGATCCACCAACCATACGCCCTCGCGACGTTCCGGAGCCTCGTCGACGAGATGCTCTTGACGTCGAACCCCGCGTCCTCGCCGAGGTTCTTGATGACCTCCGCGCCGCCCACGGCCGTCTCGCCGAGGTCGCGGAGGAAGTCCCACAGGCAGAACTGCAGCGTGATCCGGTGCGCGTGCGATGTCCTGCACAGCTGCTGCCCGACGAGAGTGTAGAATGGGTTGTACATCTTCTCCTGTGAGCGTATGGTAAGTGTCTAGTCTGCGTGAGGGGGGGGGGGACGACGTACGTTGCCGCAGCAGTGCAGGATGACGCGGATGATCTCGCGCTGCTGGACCTCGGTCAGCTTGAGCTGCGAAAGTCGTTCACATGCATCCACGTAGTCCTGTGTCAACATTGAGCACCACCCCAACCACCGTGCGGCCCAGGCCCAGGCGTACCTCACTGCTCATCAGCACGACGAAGCCCCCTCTCCGAATCTCAGTGTTCATGCCCTGCTTCCGCGCCAGCTTCAGCAAGACGTTCTCATTGATCGCCTCCGCGTCAACGCTCGCCTTGCTGGAGGCCTCACGCCGGGCCTCCTGGTGCTCCACGAGAGGATCACCTCCCCAGGCGGCCCCGACGAGCCACCACTTTCCTTTGCTCCCCGCATTGTGCAGGTCCTCAAGGCTCACGCGGAGGGGTTCGTGCGACAACACTACACCGTGGACTCGTTAGCTCTACTAACACAATGCTATGAGAGCCGGGCCATACCATGGCGTTTCTTGCTCAAGCCTGAGAGGAACTTCTTCAGGCGCTCCACCGTCTCTTCGCCCGCGGTGCTCGCTGCGTTCTTCTTGACTTTATTGTTCTTGAGGTTGGTCAGGGTCTCAATCATGAAGCGTGCTCGGGAGCTAGCAGATTTCTTAGCAGAGCGTATACGGGCGCACAGCCTCGAACGGACCTCATTGCGTTCGCTTGGCTTGGTAGCTTGGAGTGCACACTTTGAATGATGCTCTTGAGCGCCGTCGGATCGTCCTGTCGCAGCTGATGTCCAGAATCTGGTCACCGTAAGACGTCATGAGGGTCGCCACATCGTGAGGAGCACTCACTTCGCGTAATCTTCAAGAGCAGCTCTATTGCAAACTCCGTAAGGTCGCCATCCAACAAACCCCGGATAAGATCGTACACCAGGACGCAAGAGACGACCTGGAAGTTGTACAGCTCCGAGAGCAGGACGATGAGGTTCGAGGCCTCCTTGCCGAAGTTGTCCACATCCTCTTCCGGCTTTGCCTCCGAAGCTGCTTGGGGTGCAGGCCGGCCGCTTTGAGCCTCTGCGAAGTGGCGCTCGTACTCGGCGACGGAATTCTGGAGGAAGTATGCAGCTGGAACCGAGGTCAGTGGGGGGACGCTGAGCTGCGTCGGTGAATCACGGACCGAATTCGATGCCGATGAGTTTGTGGAGGGCAGATACGAATGCCGCGTGAAGGACAACATAGGAGTCGAGGAGCATTGAGTGGGAGGAGATGCCGTCCACAATGAGAGTAGTAAGCGTAGACGTTACGTCTGCATTCCAGAGCTCAGCATATAGAAACGCATGAGAAAGTAGATGGGTGCTGACCATGTCGTCGATGGTTACGATATATCTCTTCGACACCGTCCACCATAGATGCGATGTTCTGTTCGGTCAGCCTTCACAAGATACATAAGCCCAGACTTGAGGTGTCATGCGACCAAAACATACCTGTTAAGCAGTCCCTTTAACTGTCTCATGAGCTTAAGCTGCGCTTCTGACTGAACAGCCACTTCGCCGCCCTGTGTGCGATTCCTCAGATGTGGGGGAATATATCGCCCGGCCGGAGTTGTCGCTATTTGACTCTTCGTCAGGAAACGGATCGTGACACCAGGATAAGCGGGTACGTACCAGATTTTGGTGCAGGGTCCGGACTAGGACCCTCAAGGGAAGCGTTTGTAAATTCCTCGTCATCGCTCTCACTGTCGTCCTCCTCCTCGCCTTCTATACCACTCCATTCCTGGTCTTCGCCCGCCTCTGACATCCCACTCATATCTGCGTCTTCGTCTTCGTCTGCATCAGAGCTCTCTTCTGCATCTGAGTCGTCCTCGGCATTAAATGCATCTGCGTCAGACAGGTCTCCATCAAGTGCACGGGCACTGGACTGAGAAATAGTCAAGGATTGCAACCGGCACAGTTCTAACATTTTCACGCACCTTAGAGCCAGGAAGTATCGAGGCTTCTATGGAGTCGAGATCCTGTAATAGGTCTGTACATTGTGAGCCGAGCTAAGAACCCTTTAGGCACCTAGCAAGGAATATCGCACCGTCAAGCCCATCCTCCTCTCCCTTCCCGTACTTCTGAGTCCGTTTCCCTCCTTTGCTATACCCAAGCTTCGACTCTAGATAGGCAATGTATGCATCCTCTTCCTCGTCTTTTCGGGATCGTGGCGGAGCCGCAGAACTCGAGGGCACAGACTTCAGCTTGGCCTTCTTCGGGGCCGCTTCCGAGCGGCGCGCTAGCTTCTCCAGAGGTGTCTGCGATTGAGATCGCGACTGGCCCGCATCTGAGGCACTTTTGGCAGGTTTTGGTGCTTTGGGAACCTTGGCAGGTTTACTATCATTCAAGGCAGAGTTGGCGGCTGGTGCGACCGGTGCAGGCTGGGTGAGCCTCGCCTTCTTGCGCTTCGGTGATTCGGGGTGCTCGTGTTCCGCGAGCCGCTTGGTATGTGTATATTGTGGCTGGGCATGTTGCAGCGAGAAGAACTGAGTCTTGCGCTGTTTCCGACCCTCGCGCGCCTGCTTTCGGGCCTCCTTCCTCGAGCCCCGCCGGTTTCCTGTCTTTGGTCTTCGGTGGTGACTATCGTCTGCATGTTGCTCAGTCAGTGCAACCTAATGAAGTATTTGAGACACCTACCAGTCTGGCCGCTGAGCTCTTCGAGCAGGGACTGGGGGAGTGAAGGCCCCGATTGTGCGCGCATAATTTGGAGAGGAACACATCTGATTGGCTGTCGCTGCAGCAGCGGGAAGCGGTTGTTTGCGCCTGTTGTCGACCGCCTCCGATCGCCTGCCTTTCTCGGATCGCATAAATACACGCCACTGACGCGTCGAGCAAACAGACACCAACAACGCGCTCACTGCGACGCGCTCCACCGCGATGGCTGCCTCACCTACCAAGCGCAAGCGCACAGGGCCATTGAGCAAGTACTTCGGAGGCATGGCAGGCGACGAAGAACCCGAGTCGAACAGTGTGCCCTCCATTGTGGACCCCTCCGTACCACTGACAGCTTCGTACACATACCATTCGCCCTGTCCTACTACTCCTGGACCCTATATTCTGGGAGTCGACGAAGCCGGAAGAGGACCCGTGCTGGGGCCGCTTGTCTATGGAGTCGCTTACTGCCCTGCCTCGTACCAGGATGATCTGGACAAGCTAGGCTTCGCAGGTACGCGTCCACTTTCCTCAGAGTGCCCTGAATATCAATGAATCCTGATCGTGAAAGCCAGATTCAAAGACATTGACTGCCGCCACACGCTCAACTCTGCTGGACACGCTATGTTCTGATCCTTCAAACTTGGCTTGGTCTGTTCGAGTGCTATGGTGCGTCCGCTTTCGAGGTCATTCACTGTGTGTTCCATTCTCAGCTAAGTTACGTTCATACAATCAGTCCTCAAGCAATATCCTCAGGGATGCTTCGGAGACCTCCCACAAACCTCAATCGACAATCCGAACAAGCTACCGTTCTGCTCATACGCGAAGTCCTTGACCGTGGCATGGAACTATCCGAGGTCAGCCTCAGTCGCTCCAAACTCTTGGACCGCACATTAATGAGAAACCCGTGTAGGTCTATGTGGACGCGCTGGGCCCAACGAAGCCGTACGAAGCCTATCTGTCCTCTCAATTCCCTGGCATCAACTTCACCGTCACCGCCAAAGCCGACTCGAAGTTCAAGATCGTCGGCGCAGCAAGTGTGGCCGCGAAGGTGACACGAGACGCCTGGGTCGAGGGCTGGATGTTCGAGGAGCACCAGCCCGGCGGTAAGCTATCCGACGACACTGAAAATCAGCAAGAGAAGCCAAGATGGGGGACGCAACTAGGCAGCGGCTACCCTTCAGGTTCAATCTGCTCCTTCGGCTTTCCCGAGCTCGGCAACTGAAATGGCGTTTGCAGATCCGAAGACGCAGGCATGGGTCAAAAGCTCCCTCGAGCCAACATTTGGCTTTCCTGCACTGGTCCGTTTCTCCTGGACGACTATAAAGATGGTGCTGGAGAAGAGCGCACATCCTGTGGAATGGTAGGCAGCATCTCGGTTGATTAGCTCGAATACCCATCTCACCAACACTATGCTTGTAGGATCGACGATGGTCAAGCATCCTTGACACAAGCTTTCGGGAGTGGCACCGGCTTGGATAAGAACCGCTGCGCAGTAGCAAAGGACCTCTGCATACGCAGCGTCTCCGCGCTATAGTGCCGTCACCATACAGGATACCTTTCACGAAACCCATGACAACTTCCGCAATTGCATTATACATACTGCACATACAGGCCTGAGTCTCATAACGATGTATAACTAGTGTACGACATACAGTGACCAATAAGAACCGGAACAAACACCACGAACGACTCGCGAACTACCGCCTCTTGGGTGGCGGCGAGTCCAAAGGCTCTCCACTCGCCTTGCGCTTAGCCCCCAAGCCGATGACGAACTTCGTACGATCCAGAGGTGTACCCTCCTTCGGCGAGGGTTCCACCGCGCGTGAGATGCGGGAGAAGCCTGGCCGGGGAGCGGGCGAGCCATTGCTCGTCGACGAAGCGCCCGCTACGCCTGATGGCGCGGGGCTGCCGTTATGCGTCGTCGGTGCGGGGAGAGTCATGAAGCCGCTCGAGTCGAGCTGAGGTGTCGACACCTTTGTGGCGTTCTTCTTCTTCTTGGTCTTCTCTGTCTTGCCCTTCGAGAGCGGCTGGGCATCGAGGAACTCCGCGGCTTGAGGCACGGCACTGAAACAGCATTGTGAGTATTACTGTAACAAACGTAGAGGCGTACGACTTACCCTCTGTTGCCAACGGAGAGAACAAAGTGAGCCTGTCCCGCCTTCTCCTGGCGGATCTGGAACGCCTGATTCATGCTCAACGGCGTATCCCCGCTCGCCATCGCCTCCTGCTTCTTCTCCTCGGCGATCTTCTTCAGCCTCTTCTCCGTCTTCAACCTGCCCGAGCCCTTGCCGTGGAATTTGTGCGAGAGCGCCTTCCACGCCTCCTTCGGCGTGAGCTCGCGGCCGAACTCGTCGTAGTACACGATGTTCACGTCGGGCTTGTAGTTCTTGTACAGCTCGAGATTCTGGCGCGCCTCCTGCTGCTCGCGCACGCGATTCTCGTACTCGCGCGTCGCCTGGTCCTTGTTCCCGCCACGCCCCTTCGTGCGCCCGAGCTCCCGCTCTGCGAGCTTACGCCTGTAGTCGGCGAGCCAGAGGTCTCTCTGCAGCTGAATACGCTCCCTCTCCTGGTCATCGGCCTTCGGCGGCGCGAGAACACCTTGATGGCGGAGGATGTTGAGAGTCGATGCCATACCAGAACTGTATGTCTGCTCTGTCGAAGTGCCCACCTCAACCTCCGAATTATCCGTAGCAGCCTTCTCAGCGGCCTCCGTCTCCTTGATGGCGTTCTCGATCGCATTGAGCATCTCCTCGTCATAGTCTTGCTCCTCCTTCACGCGAACTTCGCCTGCCTCCAGCTCATCCAGCACCTCGTCACCCTCTTCCATCTTGACATCAGCAGACGGTGAATGAGGTTTCGGCGTCTGTCTCGATGCTGGTGCTTGCGAAGGAGACTCTTTCTTCACGGCTACGGGGTCGTACGTGATTGCGCGGACAAACTCTGAGGTGTCATCGAATGTCAGACCGCCATCGCCATCGTTGTCGTCATCTTCGATGTTGATGACCTCAACTGCACGACCTTCCGGCTGAGCACGCTCCTCGGCAACTGCATAATGAACCAGTTAGTCACTGGCAATGCGTGCAGGAAGGTACTTACTTCTGCGCGCAATCCCCTCCGGCGAGAGCTTCTTCGACTTCTGCAGCTTTGCTCGTCGTGAACGCGCAAGCGCCGCTTGGAGCTCATCGTCATCTACGAAATTGGTGTCCAGGTTACGCGGTCGTGGCACAATCGGCTTCTCGTCTACCTGCATCTGGTCGTCACCATTGAGTGGAGCGATGTCGGACTCCTCTGCCACTCTTCGTGAAGGGCGTTTTTTCTTGGTCTATTAACAAGCGATGAGGTCGGTGAGAAGTTCCGCATGGGACGATAAGGACGAACTGACCTTTGGCTTCTTGAAACCGACGTCACCTTCTTTCATATAGTCCGCCGACTCAATATTCTCTATACGACGATGGTAAGTGAATGCTGCAGGATGGTACCAAAACACGCACTAGCGTAATCGATGGACAGCAGGGACTTGTTAACCGTAGTAGCAGACGCCTCCTCCTCTGCACGCTTGGATTGGGCGGCAGACTGTGCAGATCCACCCAAACGGAAACCCTGCACAACAGATGTCAGTAGCTAGGCGTGATAGCGTTGGACGAATAACTCACCGTTTCCTTGGAGCCCTCCAAGAACTCATCGTATTTGGAGAGGACGTTCCGCTTCATTCCCGCATGGCCGGGGGCGAACTCCTCGTCGTCGTATCCAGTATACTCTCGCCGCTTGATCTTAAGCTCTTTATTCTTCTTGGTCCTCTCATCTTCAGCTAGGGCGACGTTCTCGAGCTCATCCTCTGCGGTGCAGGGCTTAGCATGTGATGATACAACACGCAAACGAACTCACCCTCATTGTCCAGGATACGGCTATCTTTGAGGGTAAGTATCCGGTCCTCGCCTTCCTCCATCGCTCCGAAGTCATGGCTGACCTTCAAGCCGGCGAGATCCCCTACAAGGAAACAATACGTCAGAAATCCATCGAAACTAGGCGGTCTATGTGACGCACTCTCCGTGTAGTCCTCCTGGAACGCCTTGTCCATGTCCTCCAGCTCTTCTTGTCGTTTCTTAGCGAGCTCCCTCTCCTTCCTCTTGCTCCGTTTGATCCATTTCAAGGCGTCGTCTGCGTCGCCGTCCGCATCACCGAGCGTCGCACCTTTCAGCTTTGCATTGAGCTCTCGCCGGTTTCTCACCCTAGAGATGGTTCAATGAGCGTGATTGCTCGAAAACCGCGCGGGCCTGTACGGCCAACAGGGGGTAGAAGCAACTATCGCGGGTAGAAGGAATGGGTGTACTCACTTCGCGATGCTATCCTGTATCTTCCTATAGAGGGCAGAGCATAAGCCATACGCCAGGAGATCTAATTCAGTGTACATACTTCGCTTCCCGCTCCTTCGCCTCCTTCTCTCGCTGCTTGGCATAGTTGTCCTGTGCCTGCTGCTCCTTGTCGTCTACCGGCTTGCTGTCGTCCGTGAGCGGCTTGAGACCCAAGGAGATACGAATCTTATTCGTCTCCTCAAGAGTGATGCTCTCCTCCTTGGACATGGTGACGGACACAGGGTACAAGTGGAGTGGCGGATATGGTGGTGGTCAGCAAGGAACACAAGCCAGATCTTGTGGCGGCGTAGACAACAAGTACTTTCGGAGTTTCAATGAAACTAAGGCGTCGCATGCGTTTCTGAGTTTCTCATTACACTATCTTTGAAATTGTACTGATGACCTTAGTAATGACTAGTGTATTGTCAATATACGCGCAGTACCGACAAGGATGCGGTGTGCGCGCCCCACGCGCAGGCAGCTAGCACTCGGATGCTCTCAGACAATGAAGAGCCCTATGATTTTCCCAAAGGATAGAGTACATACAACTGATACGAGAGTATGATTGAGCGGGGTGGAAGTCTAGTGAATCAATGAGAACTGCCAGGGGGAGAAGGATTTTTAGCAGTCATTAGATACTAGTAACAGATCCTGCGAGTCCGTATTATGCTTGTGCGAATTGGAGGGAAATCCCTAGGTTCATGCAAAGCATTACTCAATGCCGGCCGGCGGGCTTGTGCTCCACATCTTCATTATCACCAACAACCATGTCCCAAAGTTCGGGACCGTCGCGGATGAGGCACTGGCAAGACAAGTCAGTGACTGATCGCTGACTGCATCTCCGAGGAGCACGAAAACACTCACAATAACCACTTCGACTGCGATGAGCGCAATGATAATCAATTCCATTCTATGTGCTGAAGTCTGAAGGGGTCCGATGAGCTCATCCTGTGGCACTACATTCACGACCTCTCACCTCTGTAAGGAGTTCCCGCAGGACGGATTGCATCTTCGAGAGCTGTCAGCACGAGCCGAAACCACGACAAGTTCTCCGAAATGACTTACCTCAGCGGCATATGTGATTTTGTCATTGACCGACTGCGTACGCAACTTTATCTCCAGTGCAGCACTCAGAGAGTGGAAGTAATCTGGGCACACCGGTTAGAACGTAGATGGTGCACGAAACGACCGATGCACTCACTCTCCAGTACCGGTTCAGCCCAGTAGAAGTCTGGAGTGTCGGCGAAGTTTTCCCTGTTCAAGTTGAGGCCCTGCCTGAACTTCAGCAGTTCACCGAGCTTCATGACCAATTGTTGTCTGCTCAAGCCTGGCTTGCCCGTCCGGTGGAGCGTGTCCGGTAGTACGGCCATCGACGACAAGTACCTCTCCAACGAGACCTCGAGGGCAGAGAGAGCGGTTGAGCGTGATAGGGCCTGAGAGTAGGCATAACGAGCCAGAATAGTATCGTGAGGCAAGCACGGTTGGGGCAAACCCTTTGGCAGTGCATCGTCCGTGTCCAGCGGTGGTGTGTGGCCAAGTATAATGAGATCGCCTTGCAGCCGTGTGTTTCTGCAGGTTGTTCGTCAGAGCTTGTACACAGCTAGATGGAGTGCATACTCACTCCTCGGAGTCGGTCACGAACTCCAGGTCCTCCGTCTCCGGTTCACGCAACGGCGAGATCTCGATGTCCGGCTTGCGCAAAAATTTTGCAGCAAATTTCTTCGCTTGCTCTTCTTCAAGCCCCCAAGCTACGAAGCTCCCGTTACCGAAGATGAATATCTCGCCCTCCTTCCCATCCTCTCCCCAACTCGGGATCCACCATGACTCGTGCAAAAGCTTAGCTGAAGGTGGAAGATATCTGCTAATGCTGCGCAGGTCGTAACGCTCCGCGGTCGCAAGTGTGATGATGGGCTGAATGTCGCTGCGGGTCGGTGTCCGGTTCGAACGAATAGGCAGCGATGCGGCCGCTGTCCTGCGCAAAGAGGTAGAAGCCTTTGGCTTAGGCTTGGGCTTGAACCCCTCCTGAGATGGAGTCTGTCTCGCCGCTTGCGCGACCCCTCGCTGTAACAGAGTAGCGGGAGGCGACGTTCGCAAACACTGAGGTCTGCTACCGGTGACCAGCCTACGTCGAAACTGAGCCCGGACAACGCCTAGACTACTCATCTAGCCAGTTTGAGATTTAGCCTGTCACTCGAGATGAGCGTGCTCACCATTGCGGATGGATGGCGAAGACTCGAAAGGATTGTCACTGTCAGAGGAAGCGGAAGGCAGAATGCGGAACAACTGGGGAGGCCCGGGCCCGGGGGTATGTCATGCAGGCGCCCAGACAAATCTCAGCCACACACGCGTTCACTCGGCCGAATCGACCGGGCCCGGGCATGTCGCGTCGCGACGCGTCTCCTGCATGACTGACCTTTGAGTGACTGAGGTCCTTCGGCTTGACAGGGCGCACCTAATACAAGTCTATGATCCAGAGAAATACACATAGGAATCGATGCCACCTTAGCTTGTAATTTACTTTTCTCCGCAACGTACGAGCACAGATCGGTACAGACAGATGAAGAAAAGATACCAAAACACAATGTAACCAGGGATAACGGCAATGCAATTCGTCACGAGCGTCATGACATCTCCACGTCCTCGTCACTATCTTCACTTCCCTCGACATCCTCCCAGCCATTCGCATCCTCATCATCCCCGTCCTCTGGCGACGGTTGTATGCCCAACGCCTCCAATTTGCCGATGAGCTCGTGCACATGCTCCAAGAGTGGTTTGTCCGGGTGGTCCTGGTTCACATGCGACTATGGGAAGACGTCAACCACAAGTTCAACGCAAAATACGCGTATGACACGTACCAATTGGCAAGTCTCCAGGCAGTCACGCGAATCCCTCGCGAGTTCTTCCCAGGCGAGTTCATCAAGTTTGCCTCCACTTTCTTGGGCTTGCTCCGCCATGAGGAAGAAACACCAGCCTTGCAGATACCATGCCTCGACTTCCTGATCATCAACGGCCATGACACCTTGCAACACGAGAAGAGCCGGCTCAAAGAGAGATAGTTCCAAAAATAACCTTACGAGCGAAAGGCGGGAGGAGATTGGTGGCAGACTGACATCGTCTACAGGCGTGCTCAGTGCATCCCTTGGCCTACCCAATGTGCGGACGTACCTGGTTCCAAGTCCTTCCACTGGGTCCATGCTTGCTCCAAGCATGCTTTTGCATCGTCCGGTCTTTGTTGCGAAAGTCGCACAGATGCCAAGCTCTGCAGCGCTTCAGTATTGCTCGGATCGGTTTGCAATGCCAAATTGAGGAGGTCCTCGCAATTTTTCTCAGCTGCAGGATCGAAGCTATTGTGTTCTGAAAGTGAGACTACGCAGGTGACCGATTCTGCACTCGGACGTACCATAGATCATAAGACGGATCCATCCATATCTCCACCATGCCAATTAGAGCTCGGACAATACTCTGCCTGAGCTCCTTCTCGTCATCAGCCGTGACGAGGGGATCTGTAGCGCGCTCCTTCCCCTTCAGCTGGCTATTCAGGATGTCCACCGCAGCCTGGTAATGTTCCAGTGCTGAGTGTGGATCGTCGCACAACTGGGCCAAGTACAGATGCGCAGATGGTGGTGGTGTGAGCGGAGCGCCTGCCCGCGGAGGCAGCAACGATTCGAAAGTCTGCGATCAGTCATAGGGCTCGTAATTGCGACTCGATTGACGGTCAAGCAGGTACGTACCATTTTCGCTGCATCCAAATCTCCCGTCTCCAGCTGGATCACACCCAGCAATTCCTTCCCCTCCACGCTATTTGGTTCTCGTTCTAATATCCGTCTTGCAAAGCGTCCTGCGAGATCATAGTCGCATTCCACGACTAGAGACTGTGCCTTCTCGAGCAGAGCGCCAACAGACGGTTCGCTCTGGCTTTCCTCGACAGCTGAGACTTTGGTGGACAACACAGTTCCCTTCTTTGTTTTTGTGCGCGTACGCCCCATAATGACAAGTCGAAGGGTGGCTCCGAAGTTTAGTAGAGGAGGATATAACCCGGGAAAGCTTTTTGAGATGAAGGCTTTCCGCCCGGCGCGGAGGAAATTGACACAGATCGTGATCTCGGGGACGCCCGATCCGATCGCCTCACATTCGCTCGTCTGGCGCCACAACGGCTCTGCGCTTAAACCGTGATCGTGTCGTTCGTCGCTGCTAAGGGCTGGATAGCGTGCTTCGCGGAATTCATCTCACCGACGTTCATTACTGCGGTACATTGACGTGACATGTACCCTGAGATTCAAACAGACTTGAAGGGGAAAGGCAGACAAATGCAGGACGACTCAGGGCTTTTCCTCGAACGGTTGCAGACGTTGTTCGACAAGACTTTGGCGGATCTTCGTTCCTTTGCTGAACGCGAGTCGCGCCCGTTTGAAGAGGTAGGTTGAAATATATCTACTTGCGCACAGATGGGTCGGTACATACTCGAGCATAGATCAGGGACCAAGTGGCGAAGTGGTTCTGCAAGGACCTGTTCAGCCCGGCCACACAGCCGCAAGGAAGCCTGGCAGAGCGAGGTGAGTTACCCGCGGCTCTCCTTCCATCCCACTGAACATCACACAGTTTCTTCTATATTGATGGCGACTTCACAAACACTCGAGTCTCTTGAGGACATCGCGGGTCTACAGTCGTTCTTCCTCGTGGTCAATCCCAGTGACCCATCAGATGAAGGCTTCCTCGGAGGAACTGTCATGGGCCGCGAGTTCTGGCGGTGCCATAGAGGTTGCGGTGCAGCAGGTGCGAAGCTCTTCCAGGAGCAATGCATGAAAGCCAAGGAGGCAAAGTCAGGAGAGCTCGCTCTCCCGGACATCCCGCTCGTGAATGCGCCGCCTAAGAAGAAGGGCCCGGCAAGCTCGCTTAAGTCTGAGGTGTATTCCCGGGTACGGGACGCGATTAGGTGCGCATTGATATCTGACCCACCACCGATACCGTAGTAAAATGTGTTCGAGGCAGAGCAGCATCGGGCGTCCGTAATGCCGAGATGAAGTGGACGGACCACTCCAAGCTAGACGTCTACGGCATCCGGGTCGTCGGGTGGCCTCCGTCTGTACCACCCCAGAACCCCTCCACCTTATCTGTCGCACAGAACAAGGAGGTGCTCGAGGCACTGCGTAAAGGGCGTATGTACTTCGAACGCATGGCCGTTCCACAAGATCTCCCGGAGACCTCAGGCTCAGTCCAGACTGCTTTCAAGGCGACACCCGAGGACGCGATGGATATTTCCTGGGCATACCGAGACCCTGACGAGCCAGCCGCAAAAGTGAGTGTTGAATGTTGTCACTGTGATGTCCTGTGCAAGGGCAGTCGATGACTGAGCGCGGCGACGGACTACTGTTCACCTGCTTGTCGTTTCTCACAGGGGTCGTCTCCTGGAAATGATAGCGGTCCCGAGACGGCATTGAACAAGGTCGGCGCGGGCGAAAGGCGTAGCATCGACCCTACACCGTCTGGCTCGTCTATCGTACCTGATACGAGGATGGCGGAAAATGATCTCCCGCAGAAGCGACCGCGATTACAGTAGCTAACATGATATATGTGTTTATCCATTACATAAGTACCCCATAATACCGGAAGCTACTCCGAAGGCTAGACAGAGCGACAGATGTACGTGTGAGCCATATGAATAAGGCGATGCGACATGGTACAACGATGGGTTGGACACTCGCACGTTATTTTCCCCTTCCCAAGACAACCCCTCTGAAATACGCTCAGACACCATCATCCCCGAAAGTCACGAACCGCAGAAGACCTCCCTTCCTCACGGTGGTCATCCGCGCGCCAACGCGCGAAATTTGAGAGTGGTCGACCGGGTGCTTCTGGAAGTCGATCTCGAAGACGACACGCTCCAGGCCGCCGTAGCGTGCGTGCGCGAGCACGACGTCGAGGCCTTCCATGTTTAGGGCGCAGAGATCGGATGCGCTGATCGAGATCGTGAGTTCCTTGAGATGTATCGAGTTCGCGGTGGCGAGTAAGATTACGATCCACGAAAGGGAAGGTCGGTAGGATGAATGTAGTAGTGTGGAACAGACGGTAGAGCATTGGATTCGGATGCTCTGCAACCCGGTTGAATGGGTTAATTCGAGCGCGCTCTTGCGGAGAATATCTGCAAGAATATTTCATAAACGATGGGATACCATATGGGTCAATGTGGACCGACCTGCTCCATCCCCAGTCTCACGAAACACAATCACAAGACTTCCTAGCGTAGCTCCCAGTGCCTTCAGAAGCCGACTGATAGCTGACGCGCATTGTTGTCCGGATATAGAACAATTGAGCGACGTAAGCTCGGTATGAGCTTCTTCCTCAATCATCCACGACACAAACGGTGCGGCGTCTACTTTGTGAGACAGCTCGAGAGACCGCAATAGAGGGAGGGGCTGAGTAGGTCCCTCGCCCTGATTGTGATTCCTCGGTAGCCATTGGATCGCGAGCAGATGAAGTGACTTGAGGCGAGGAAACGCGCGAAGGAACGTGATGAAATCGCTGAATGCAAGGGCCTTGCATCCATCGACAGACAACACCTTGATTTGTTTGAAATGAGGCTGGAGAGTGATGGTGAGACCACCGCCCAGAGGTAACGCTGAGATCCTCAAGGATTTCACTTTCGCCAGGAGGTGCATGTCCTCGGGGAGAATGCGTCGGAGCCATGTGTCGGCCTCTGTTAGGTCGGTTTCGGTATGTGCACGGGTGGGTGGACCCAAGGTTGGCCAGGAGAACATGCCCTTGCGGCTGTCAGTGTTCCACCAGCTGCATTGACTCTGACTGCCATTGATATCCATGTTCTGGACGTAGGCGGAGATCGCAGGTGATGATCGCAGCAGACGGGCAAACGCGTCCCCCGTGCGTCCCCTGTCTATGGACATGGTACGGAAGAGGTGGTAGCGTGCGCGTGAGAGCCACGATCGACACGTCAGGCTACAGGCCTTCAGCGATCCGTGGTCTTCATATAGCAAGTCAATGACCGTGTCTCGCAGTTCGCAGGGCAGGTCGTAGATAGGCGAACGCGGTGTTCTATGGTCGTGGAGGAGTTTCTAAGACAATGTCGACGTGTCACCTATGGTCAGTATCCAGCATTCCCATGAGCTTATCCTATGCGCGACTCACCATCCCGTGACTGTCGTACATTCGTTGAGAAACTGGTGGGTAGGAAATACGATTAAGCGAAACGAGCAGCATTCCACAGACAGTCGGAACACGACGGTGGGTGTGAGCGACTCTGTGGGCGTTGTTATGTGTGAAGCTTCGGTCTGCGCGTCCGGCGTAATGCGACTCACCGTCTTCACCGGGTTCGAGCAAGCTCCGCACTGCGGAATGTGTTGGCACGAGGGTTCCACGACTATGGATGCGCCCAGCGGCGGTCAGAGAATACCGCAGTCCTCAGCCTCGACGGTAGCACAACGATCGCTCGACATGAGCGTCCGACATCTCGTAATTCGCGAGTTTGTCATTTCGGCACGGATTCTAAGCATCTGCACTGATCCTCGAAGGCGCGATGATAGCAGCTGACATGGACACATTCTTCCCATCGGACGGAGGTAAGGTGGACCGTGTGCCACTGCAGCCAGATCAGTGACACTGATACTGTCCAGACACTGTCGACGTTTGGTCGACGTCGTGTCCCAGTCGCTGTGCCTGACTGCTATGGTCTCCCCTGGTCTCCCGTTTCTCGTTTCGGACACAACTCGATGGTCTCTCCCCGGCCGGTGACTTGCCCGATAAGGTGCGTGACGGGACCACCCGAATGCATGCTCCTCACTCGAGTTAACCGGCGTCCGACTTGGTGAACGCTCCCTCAACGCACCTGCCATGTTCTCCTCACTCTTCTCGTAAGTGCGATGTATCTGATGTTTTTCGATTGTGTTGAGGAGATGCTTGTCTACGCAGCACGTCTGCACCGGTCGATCCGAAGGCGCCCAATTTCCACCCTGTCGATGTAGGGAAGGGTGCACAGGACCTCTTCGGTGAACTCGAGCCGAAGGATATCGAATGGACATGCCCAGGAGGCTTTACAGTCGAGACGCAAATATGGTACCATATGCTGGACGACGGGTCGTCCCTGATGTGCCAAGTAATTCACTCCGCCGTTGGGTGAGTTTCCGTGTCGCTAGACCTTTGCGCGAATGCTCATGCCATGCCAGCGTGTGGTACCCTACTATCCAGTTCACCTGCAAGCTCTATAACCCGAAGACGAAGCAGCGCGTCTGGAAGTCTATCAACGTCAGCAATTTTGTTACCCCGCCTCCAGGCCTCGATAAACGCTCGAGCAAGGCCGATCAATTCAGCATTACACACAAAGACCACCCAGGAGACGAGTTCGCGGAGTCCTACGCTATCCGGGTCAACCTCGCAGACGACCTGCAGATCTCCCTCGATGTTCGTCGCCCCGCGTCTGCGCCAGGCTGGAAGGTTGGCAAGGGCCCCAAGGGCGGCTTCTCGTACTTCGGGCATGACGTCGCGAACCCTGAGGGATATGTGATCCACCGATTCTGGCCGCTGACCACTGCCACGGGAACCATCATCCGCAGCGGGCGCGCGGAGTCTGTGAAGGGCCCCGGCATGTTCGTGCACGCCATACAGGGCATGCGACCCAACCTCGTCGCGGCGCGCTGGAACTTCGCGCACTTCGTTAGCGAGGCGCACGGCGGGTGCAGCGCCATCCAGATGGAGTTCACCACGATCGACGCGTACGGTCGCCACGGTGCAGGCTCCGGCTTCGTCTCTGTCAACGTCGGCTCGCTGGTCCTCGGCGGCAAGCTCGTTGCTGTGACGGCTGAGACGAAGTACCCTGACGAGCCACTCCCGGAGACAGCGGAGGTGATGTCGCGTGCCGTGCACTCGAAGACAGCCCACGACGCGGATACGGGCTACAACGCCCCTACGGAACTGACGTTCCGATGGGCCGCTCCGTCAATCTTGCCTGATGCTCCGGGCAAGCTGGACGCGACGCTCGTCGTCGATGTTGGACAGCCCAACGCGTACAACGGACTCGTCGAGAAGGTCGATGTGTTGGCGGAGATCCCGACTGTGATAAAGACGATGATCGCGTATGCGGCGGGTACCAAACCCTACATCTACCAGGTTGGTGTCACGGTCCTCTCTGCTGGCATTCGTGCTCACTTATTGTCGCAGTGGTTCAACCCCGGCAAGCTTACCGTGAACGTCCCGAGCGGGCTCCTCCCGGACGCGTCTGGCTCGGTAGAGATCGAAGGCATCATCTACAATGAGGCAACCTTCATTTCTTGAGAGGCAACCTTCGTCTCCTGAGAGGCAACAAATGGCTACGATCGCGCGTTTTGGCGGCTACGGACGGCAGTATCTCATCAAGCGTAGATGGTAGCTTGTGACACCCATGTATCATATCCATTAACGAAGTACCCGGAATGGATGGTCTGAACCTCAATTGCTGCGCCAGAAATGCACTTCGTTCCACTGTTGAGAGCAGTACGAATGATTTATCACACCTTGAAGGACCTGAACACCACAAAAACGAGTGAGCAGTGATACAGTTCACCGGTAAGCGCCGCACACACGCGGGCTGGACAAAATGCAAAACTCGGTGGTACGGGGACATCCACTTTCTATCAGTGTGTCGGCTGGGGTTAGTGCAATAAGACAATCCCCTCGCCTTTTACTAGGGGATTCCGTGTACTGACCCCATTCAGAGCCGCACTACGAATTTTTCGGATATACGCTTCGTTTCGAAGTTGGCTCTACCTTGGTCGTCTTCCTTTTTGTGCTGCTTGTGACGTGGTCTGGGCGTTGCTGTTACTCTACCTAGCTCTGACTGGAGACAGCCGGCCCTTTACGAGACCTAGAACAGACGTGGACGTAGAAATGGGATGGATCTAGAGTGGGGTTGTTTGCAATACTACTGAGAAATAGTGTAGAGTAACGATGTAAAGTAAGCAGCACGATAGCAATGTTCGCTGTTGTACGACTCGGACTACAAATACACAGGGGGGATTCAACGAGTGGACTAGACCTACACGACACATGGCGCCGAAGAGACAAACCAGATAAAAAACGAGGCATCGACGAATAAATAACAGTAAACTTGAAGACGGGCCCAGTCTCACTCCGCAGCAGCAGGAGCAGCCCCTTCCTGCTGAGCGGCAACCTTCCGCCTCTCAATTTCGCGCGTCTCCCTCGCTTTGACCCGCGCCTGCTCCCAGCGATCGAGCTCGTCCCTGAGCTTCTGCACGCGCACCAGGTTGATCGGGTGCGACGCGCCGATCCAGCGGCGCGGCAGGTTGAGCAGCGATGTCTCCTCCTCGCGCTGCATCTCCTCCGCGCGCCCGGGTGTGCACTCCGCCGTCCTCGGCGTCTCGTTACGGCCCTCCCAGAAATGGATAGCGTGCCGCGGGTCGAATCCTGCATGGGCGAGCAACCTGCAGAAGGGAGCGTCAGTCAAGATGAGCGAGAGGCAGTGTGTGGGGACATGCCTCGCGGAGACGATGTCTGCTTCGACCTCTTGCGACTGGGAGGTGCAGTACTCGGTGATGCGAGAGATCTCGCCGGAGCTGGCTTTGCCGACGCCCGCGAGGGCATCGTTGATGAATGGCCCAACTGCACGCCAGTCAGCACGTTCTGATTTCAGTGTCGTGGACGGAACTCACATAGCATAGTCACCGGGAATAGGAAGGAGCGGACTATGTCGGTGAAGATCGTAATGACCCCAGGCCAGATAATCGTGCCTGTCGATAACGTCTCGATGTGGTGCGTAAGCACAAGGTGTGCGAGTTCGTGTGCAAGGAGGATCGCCAGTTCCGAGGACTGCTCCTCGGTAGGGACGGGATGCGCCGGCGAATGTGGACCGAACCCGAAGAAGTTGCCAAAGAGGTACGACCACCAGGACGTCGGCTGTGGCTCCTCAACAAACGCACGCGGATACTTGCGCAACACATCCTCGATGAAGCCCGAGAACACAACTATGCCACCCCCGCCGTCCGGACCGAAGCCATACGAGAACGCGTTGGACGACTCCGAGTCGTCAACGACCAGCAGAGAGTACGGCGGCCCGGGGATGGAATGCGCTGGTGTCTGCGCGGTCCGGTTCCTTGCGGCCTCTGCGAATCTGCGGAAGTAGTCGGATGCACGCGGGCGGGGCCGTAGGGGATACTTTGCGGGGGGAGGCTGGGGTATGTCGTCTGGCCCGTAGTCAATCCAATCTGGCCGCAGCTCTTTCTCGTGCTGCAGTACGGGGATCACGCTCTCAAGGCGGCGGAGGGTGCTGAGGACCCATTGGAAGCGCCAGTCGCCCGGGTCGATGAGGCGTGGGGTACCGTTCTGCGTGAGGATCTCGCCGACGGCGCGGTACCAGCCCGGCCCTGCGAGCTGGGCGGCTATGTCCTCCTCTTCGTCGGGAGATAGGAGGATGAGGCGCCAGCGGCCGGTGAGCGGCGTGCGCTCGAGGCTGGCGACGATCGTGAGCCAGAAGAGGACGATGGGGGTGAACAGGACGAGGTGGAAAAGCCGTGTGCTGTTGCGCAACCGCTCGACGACTGTCTCCCTCCACTCGTGCAGCTCGTCGCTGGACTTGCCATCCTTGATCTTCGCGTCAATCCTCTGCAGCTTCTTGTAGCTCTTCATTTTGTTGAGAAGGGCAATGGGCATGAATGTGAGAGCGATCCGGGAGACGGTGCTCGCCAACTGAATAGCACTGGAGGTCTGCGATTAACATGGTTATCCCGGGGGGAACTATTGTCAGTTGCTCTGGTCGAGGAATCGTGCGGATTTAAGTACCTTGAGGAACGAGAGCAGGAAGGGGACGAATGGCAAGCCATTTCTTGGAGGCGTCGAGTGGAATGCTCGTGCATGAATTAGGGTGAAGTGTATCGTCGGTAGAGCCGGCGCTGTCCGAGTCCTTGCCATTGGGTGCAATGCACGCTCTCCCACTGAGCCTCCGCGACGTTCCAACGAGCCATTCGTTAATGGGGTCGAATGTAAAGCTCGAGCATACCTCGACGCCGAGTCCGAGTTGATCACTGGCAGCGTGGTCGGGGGAAGTTGCCTCGCTTCACCTCTCGGACGGAATGCATATCCCCCGACGCCCCATCTTCCGCGCATCGACGAAGCCCGAGCAACAGCATGGGAAGCCAACCAAGAGGACGTCTTGCAGCCCAACATAGCACATTGTTGGGATGAACGAGGTTACGCGTGCATGTGTAGTACGCAGTCGATGTAACCTGACTCCGGCAGCGGGTCCGCCCTTGGTGTTCTTGGGCGCTCGTGCTGTTCGACCGACATCATTTCTTTGACAGGATCGGCCGTACTTGTCGACTCATGCGAGCCTTCTGCGTTGTTCGGACTGTTCGGACATGTCGAGTGTCTCAGCGTGGGGGCTATCGTTTCCAGAGGGATATGGCATGCCAGTGGCATGCTATATGGCCGAGCATTCGCGCTGGCCAGACTGCAGTGGTCCTCGATGGGGCCCTATCTCGAACGCCTGTCCATATGTAGAATCACTAATCGGTGATAGATAACTACAGCCAGTGATGGCGATCTAGCTCTGGGCCTCGGGCGCGGGGAGCAGTGCAGTGATTCTGGTCGGTAGACGCCGGGGAGTCTCCCCGCAGTGCAGAGTCCAGCGTCGTTCTTTCTCCTCGTCCTTCCGCCCATGACGGTCAACGATGCTTTCTTCAGTGCTGGATAGCTCTTCTTCGACAATTCTCAGAGTCAACCGCTGGTCGGGCTATGCCGTTCGCTCTCTACCCTCTCGAAGCTGGTCGGCAAACAGCAGGCCTATTCATGTACTTGCGTCACCTGCGCTTCATCGAGCACAAACGTCCTACCCCCGGCCGACAAACCTTACGACGCTCTCCCCGCGGAGGCAATTTCATGCCTCGAATCCCCGTCAGTGGATGTGTGCCCCCCCTCTCATCTGGTGGTTCAAGGTATGATGCTCCTTTTTGGCAGAGCGGAATGGTGGGCCCCTAGAACCAGTGAATACCGTTCAAGGTCGTTGTCGCAGTATTTCTACGTGCCGCTGTAAAATGGACATGACACCAGCTCGCTATGTTTGTTTTGGGGGTCGTCATGCCCAACGCCGAAAAGACATACCGTAACTAACATCCATCCACCAGACATCCACTGCACTCAATGTCGCAGAGACCGTCTTCCGCGTTGCGCTGACCTTTATTCCCTTAGCCTCTATGTCGCAGTTTCGCTCACGCAAAATACTTGAGAAGATCGAGAAGTTGCGGCAAAGTGGCCGCGGCAAAGACATGGACCTTGATGGCAAAGCACGCAGGGCTATCATGTATCTGGGGAGAGCCCGGAAGATTACGCGCACCCTACTGCTCATACCGGCTGTCATTGTAGCTTTCACGCTGCTGGCGGGTATAGAGAGGACACCGTTGACTGGAAGGTGAGTCTCTTGCTTCAGCACGGTGCTTCGAACATGGCTCTCTTCGGCCTCGATTGCTAGAACGTTCTCGCGCTCATCAATTGGGAAGTACGCTGTGGCTCGGATCCCGACTGACATGTGCAGTATTTTTCTGTGCTCATGCTTCTATGCTTACGCTTTGCACCTGTGCCGGGGTAGTACTAGAGCCTGATGCCTGTTATTTCCGACGCGTCCCAGGTATGTCACTCCATATTAAGCGTTCACATGCCGCCGATCCGCAGCTGTTCTTGGTTGGACACGAGCACCGTCCAACCCCATGAGAGCTATATTCGAAGCATTATACTCGCAATTTCCCCATTTCACACTGACGACAAACATGCAGATGGAGATTCATCTTACTCTCCCCTTGGGAGGAGGAAGACATCGCCTCACAATTAGCGGGCACAGGCTGGTACGCCGCCGTTGGCGAGATTCTAGCCACTGGCGGGAACACACCCAAGCTCATCGACCCGTCCGATTGGCGATACCGCTGGGTCCAACAGACGCTGCGCCGCCTCGAAGACGTTATCCCCGTCCTCCAAGCTGAGAAGGAGCTCCGGCCCGACTGGCTTGAAGGCGGGACGAAGGTGCCCCTTCCGCCGCCGTCTGACTACCCCCTACGGCCGCGCTTCCGCGAGTCAGACTACATCGGTAGGATGGCGGACGCAACGAAGCTGCGTTCGGCGCTACCCGAAGAAGTCATACCGGGCCCGCCGTACTCGCTGTTGGTCGTCGACAGGCCGGACGCATCTAATGCGTTCTCGTACGGCTTCGGCCCAGACGGCGCTGCGGGTATCGTGGTGTTCTCCGGCTTCCTCAACGACATCATGGCAAAGTACCCCATCAAGAACGTCGTTGCGCTAGACGCGACCTCCGCAGAAGAGGTGTCGTGGTGGTCCGCCGTTTTCGGCGGCTTGTTCAACGCGCAGCCTGTACCGGCGCGGCCTGTTCCTACTGAGGAGCAGACCTCCGAGCTCGCCATCCTCCTCGCGCACGAAGTTGCGCACTTGGTGCTCGCACACCACATCGAGACACTCTCCATTGGGTCCATCGTTGGGCCGAGCCTTATGACTATCGCCACCGACGTCATCCGGACGTTCATGTTCCCCTTCACCATGCTATGTAGGTCCGCTCTGATATTGCAGATGACTGTGCAGCTCACCTTGTCCTGACAGTCGGGCCCTTTATCAATGACGCTATCTCCGGCGTTTGGAAGACAAGCTCAGTCGAGTTCGCTAAGCTTTCCGGCATATGCACAAGTCATGAACAAGAGATCGAGGCGGACATCGTCTCCGCTCGGTAGGCCCACGCCCACCCTTACTGTATCTCCCCCAACTAACCCAACACCTCAGCCTCCTCGCGCATGCGGGTTTCGACCCGCAGCACGCGGTGCGCTTTTGGGAAAACCGCTCGCAGAGCGCTCAGAACGCCGATTGCGCGCACGCGCCGAAGGACGAGGTCATCCAGGAGCGCACGGGCATCGGCAAGCACCTCCCGCACCCCTGGGCGGGCTCGACGCACCCGCTCAACGTCGAGCGCGTGCGAAAGCTGAAGCAGGAGCTCGAGCGGTGGGACGAGGAGCGCCGCCGCGCGCGGGAGGCAAGTGCTGCGCCCGCGCGGTCGTGGAAGAGGGCGTGGTCGCTGCTGGCGTAGGTGTGCGTCGTCGTGTCTGTCTTTCGTTCTTTGCTCTAGGTAGGTAGGTAGGTAGGTAGTCATGGCCTTGTCTGGTCTGTTATATATCGTGCTTCAGTCGTTCGCTCTGGTTTGTATATCTCTGTCGTATATAGCCCGCTCGCTCCACTAGTATATTATTCGGTCTACAGCTGTACGATATATTCTGCTATTGCTCTCAGACTTCCTTGGCGCGGAAAAGTACGAACTGAGCATCCAGGCTGGATGCGTCCGGATCCGACGTTCCGGATCGGCGCGCCGACTGCGTAAGACTGTGTACCGAACGCACTGAACACCTGCTGAACACAGCACTCGTACTCCCGTCCGAGACGGCGTGCGGCTCGCTCCAAGTTCGATCGATCTGAACTATTAGACTCCGATGTACGCGACTTGAAGGAGGATCTCGGACCTGTGAGTAAATTAACCATGTTAGACTTGCGCGCGGATGACACCCTGGCAGTTGACAGGAGCTCACACTGACTTCGCTTGTAAACTAACAGGAACTCTCGTCGATCTCAACCAGTACATATGGCTGACAGAATGTAAATTTTCATTGGTCGGCGACCGACACATTTCGAGGTGCGCGTAGGGCCAAAAAGTGTTCTAAAGCTATGATTTGTAGGGCAAGTATGTACAGCAGGCCTGTGCAGCCGTCCTTTCGCCGTAAGCTTCGGTATCAAATAGCAGTACACCAAGACGTCGTCTGTCATCTTGTCTGCCTCGGTCCAGCCGTTCAAACGAGTGACTGCATCTCGAGAGCATATACATACTGGTGCTCCATTTACGAGATTAGATGAGGGGAACGAACGGTAACCTTTTCGTCGGATAGCGCCGGGTCAGGTCAAGCCAGCAAGAATTATAAACACCATGATGTACAACAGCACAGCCGCGCAGCCTCCAGTGTATCCGTAAGAGTCCCTCTGGTGCCCGCGCACCGCGGTATCAGTCTAGTCTATACCCGTCGCGCCACGGCGGGCTCATACGGGGAGGATGCTGCCCTGGCTGGAGTAGTCCGCCTTCTTCATGCCGCCGAAGTCGTCCTCCTGGTTGACGACGCGCGTGATGTTGACCGCGAGCGGGCGCATCGCGAAGTTCTGGTCCGCCGCGGACGCGTACGAGCGCGCCTGCGAGACGGCGGTGACGCGGGGCACGCCGGACGACGCGCTCGTGTGCGCCTTCTGAGCCCAGCCGAGCGCGACGCGCAGGTTGATGAGCGTGAGCGAGATCCCGCAGATCGGCGCCCAGAGGTCGCACGTCGTGAACTGGATGTTGCTCTTCGCTTGGTAGGTCACGAAGAAGATGAGGTTCCAGCTCCTGTTGGGATGGGAAGCGGGAGGAGGGGAAGGCGGTCAGTGGGTAGGGCGCTCCGAACGGACCGCAGTACGCACGATTGGAGGGCAGCAGACTCGATGATGATCGCGAGCGCACCCATGATGTTAGCACCACCATAGGCCTGGGTGGTGATTCGTGTCCGCCAGACACGGTACGCAATCAGCACTACGGGGACGCAACGATATTAGCGGAATGTGCGTGATACGGACACCAGAGATATGGGCCTCACAAGAGCAGTAGATGTTCGTGCTAATCAATGTTCGCATCAAGGAGATCGCATCATAAGCATTCGGGATCAGGCGCATATATACCAGGAGATACGCACGTGAAGGTGAAGACGCAGTCGCTTGTAATCCATCGGCCAGCTGATGTCTTGAAGACGTCGTCCCCCAGGGTGTACACTGCGAATTGCCAGCATACACCAGTGCCGCAAGCTACGGTGAATAGGAATCGTCAGCCCTTCAATGAATGAGGCACATCATGCAACAATTGCCGCGACGTACCAATCAACCCACACCATGTCATCACAGGGAAGATGATGATGAACTTGTTATAGCTCCAGACAATGTACAGCCGGTAGATCTGAGAAGCCTTAGTTGGTTCTTTCAGGAGGATTGTGTAGTGTAGAAGGCTTACAATCATCGCGTCGGAGATGAGCACCGTCACCACCAGGAACGCAGTTTTGATGACCTCTGTCATCATCGAGAGGTCTGCAAAGGCAATGATGGGCTCCGCGCCGCCCTTGTAGTTGACGAACGCGTCGAACAAGCGCACGACGGTCAAAATCCAGTGCTTTGTGAATAGTGGATGTCAAATGGTGTTAATGCGCGGAAGGCCTCGGGCTACTCACACCTGTGACTGTCAAAGCTATTAAACACCCAGCTATGAACATGGGTGTCCGCCACATTGGCCGGCTGCTCATGCCCGCAGCCATCTGCTCACGCCCGCGGCGGAGGAGGAGGTAGGTAGACGTGCCGGAGAGGATACAGAAGATGCCATAGAGGAAGCTCTCCATGCACGCCGTGGCGAGGTTGACGGAGAGGATGTTCAGTTCTGCGACCATGGTGGAGGGGGAGACGACGGTAGCCCAGCGGAACAGGACAGAGGGGGGTTACGCATGGCGAGTGTGTGTGCGATGTCGACCATATAAAATCACGGAGGGGTTACTGGGCGCCTGGAAATCTGGAGATGCCCTGGTCTCCACGAGATTGACGAGATCTACGAGGGCCCAGGATCAGAGACTCAGAGGAGGACCGGGGGTGCGGGTCTGTCAGGGCATATCGCCGCAAAGAAACTGCGGCACGAGAAGGCGTTGGGAGCGGCTAAGCGCAACGGGTAATCAGATAGACTCGGCCGGTGCGCACAGGGTGCGAGCCCTTCACGCCCTCGGGCCATCCATCACTGCAGCCAGAAGCTGCGACTTGTCCGACGTGTGCCTCTGCCGTGTCAGCCCGACAGATGGCCCGCGAGGCCGCTGTCCTGCTCAACATACAGTCAGATTTGAACGCGTCTGGCAGATGAGACTGTCACTGCACCGCCACCTGCGTTGACAGCGATTGTTTGCATGCATTGCTCGCTCGAAAAGGGCAAGGGCGGAAGGCGTAGGCGTGATAGAGGCCGCCACATGCACATGGGCGATCGCTGCACGTCATGCGCGCCAAGCTCGGGCCCGCCACGACCAGATCTCGACCGATCGCCTGTCGGGCGGGTGCAATGCTCCCCATCCGTCCACAGCTGCCTCCTCCCATCCCCCGTGTCCAGGTCAGGCAGGCAGGCATACAAATCCGCGACCACGTCCGTCGTGGCGTCGACATAGCCTTCAGCCATCCACATGCAAATCCGTGCGAACTACATATCGTCTTTTGGAGCGTAATTCCGATCGAAAGCAGGGGAAGAACACGAGTGCCGGAGCGGTTGACGACGTCCCCCCGTCCTGATACCCCAGTGTATGGTTTTTCCGCGTCTGCGCTGGTAACCGTCTCCAGCGGTGGAAGGCCCACATGCGCACGGGACGACTTACGACAGCAGCTCTCCTGTAACAGCGCGCGTCGCACGACACGGCATGCTTAGCTGCCTTGGCCGCCAGCCTTGCCGCAACACCAGAAAGTCAGTGCCAAACAATTTGCGAACATTGGTTTCCGACTTGACAGACCGCGCAGAGTCCAGACAGAGTCCGCGGCGCTGCAGACCGGGGCCCAGTGCCGCAGTGCGCGCGGACTATATAAAGAGTTCGAACGACGGGTGCGGAAGGCGCGTCCTGCGTTCGGCGCGGACTGACCGATCATGCGGCCCGCGATGGTTTAGCCAGTCCGCCGGCCACCCTCGTTCGCACTCCTCGCAACTGCAGAGGTCACAATTCCCTCTGTCATGCAACGGAGAGTTGTAAGGGGCAGCAGGCGTAGCGAGTTGCAACGAGTCCACTGCGATCGGACTTGCGCAGATGCCCGTGGTGCTGCGGTGGAGGGCTTTGGGGGAGGCCTGGGGGAGACTCAGATTTAGACGAGATAACGATCTGCTCGTGCCGACGCCTCGGCTACTGGAAGCAAAACCTTCAGCAGGCCGGCGTCCTGCCGCAAGTACCTCAGTTCACCTCGACGGCCATTACGGTCGTGGACGTGTCTCCTCTACACCGTAGAGCGAGAGGACAAGCGCAAACCAACTGAAAGTGCCTGTGAATTGACTTCGAGTTCGCCCGTCAGAATAATCAGAGCAGTAGAGTCAGAACTCTGCCACTTGCACCACCCGCGAAGCCCAGCTAGAAGCGAATCGCGTCCTGGGAGATCTGTCCCGATGCTCCTCCAGCTAGAAGCGAGCCCGCACCCTGGGCGATCCATCTCGATGCGCCGCGGCGATCGCCCTTGGAGGAAAGAAAGGAAAAGAAGTACGGTGCAACTCAAGATGAAGCACGCGAGCGGGGCAGGCGTAAGTATTAAGCTCGTCCACTTCTCGGTTTACTATCGTTCATGCGGGCTTATCGACGGCCTAGGCATGGGCGCGGTTAACTACCGAAGTGACTCGGTTCGCTGCGTGCTCTTTGGTGTGTGGACGTCGCGTCTGATCATTTCTACGCCCACCGACAGACAGACTGGGGACGTCGGTGGGGCGTCGGACGGCACTTGATGGTATTTGAGGCGGCTAGGCTCGATCCAAAATGATATTCGCGGATGAGGACACCTCTCATATGCATGTACTTACAAACCCGCGAAGCTCATTTACTAGGCTGCGACGATGAACGACCGTCCTATAAATTGCACCGCTGGGGACGTCCTCGCCAGCGGCAGGCGGAAGAAATCTACATACCGACTGTATGTCGGGTGTCAATCTGCGTCGCCGCTATTTTCAGTTCGAAAGGAGCAAGACGATGCAGCTGGATTGTTGACGTACCGGTAAGCATGCACGCCTGGTACCGCTGGCTGACGCGCTGACGGGTTGACGGTAGATAGACAGGTCGACTGACACAGCAGGCATGTTGTTACGCAAACGGCAGAGCCGACTAGAATGAACCTACGGGGGGTTACGAGCTCTGCCGCCGATATAACGGCCGCACGTCTTTCCTCTGTCGACCGCTCGCGTTTAGTAGCGATGGGTGCCCGATGGTGCCAGAGAGACAGTGAGTTGTGTCAGTGGCCCGTCCGGGGATTTTAGCATACTTCGCAAGTTACCCTCACTAGTGCATGGTCCCTGCGAGAAGGGGGCCGGAGTTGGAGCTGGCTTGACCGTGTGTATGGGCAGATAGACTCACGCAGAAGTAGTTCAACGGCGCGCGCCCTGCGTTTACGTCCATCACGTCGAGGACGCACGTTGGACTGAGACCTGCCATCAAGTCCCGGCCCAGATTTCGACGACCGCGTCCTCGTATGGCACTGAACTGCCCACCAAGCAGGCTGCATATGTCTGTCCAGGATGATCGAGAAGACAGCAATGAATTACATTGATGTCCATCACTATTAGCACAATATCGAAGCACACTTGAGCAACGCTTTGACGATAAGACTAGAGTGGTTGTCTACTAGCTCATCTCATCATACACCGGATCGCGGGGTTCTGATACATATGAAGGTGGGATATGAACCCTGTGTGGACCGTCCGCGGGCACGTCTGCAGATCCTGACGTAAATCAGATTCGGCTGCCTGGGAGTAGAGGACGTAGAACTTGTCTATGCACTCTTCGCTCAGGTGAACGGGACAGAAGCGCACCTTATACGCATGGAGATGGCTCCCGGAGCGCATAAAATCCCCTACTAATTACACTATTAGACGTGATCACGTCTCTTGATGGTCACGGCAGTTGCCGAACGGGCATACGACCTCGATTCTCTTGCTGTCGCACCAGCCAATGCAATGCTGTTCTCCACAGACAATGATATACGGAAAATCAAGGTAAGCCCCCAAGTAGCCTAAACGCACTTGCCATTCTGTCATACTTCAAAAAGGCATCGGTGTCGTCGGTCTAGGCGGCAAGACTCTCGTCAGCCTAGATCGGGACCCAACAGGCCTGGACAGGCGTAGGTGAATACCAGGCCTCCAGAGGCTCTGATACCCGCGACGGCACGGAACCACACGGGTGCGCACCAGAGGGCAATGAGCTGGCGACGAGAGCGCATTGAAGCATGGCGAGCGACGTTTCGGTGTCTCCTACGCCCCCGAAGACCTACCCATGTTCGACAGCAAATGCATTGATTACTAGTGTGTTACACAGTGAAATGGCTGGCGCGCCCACAAGTCTACTGCTGCACAAAGTCGTGAAGGACAATCTCGTTGTCGCCCTGGTAGTCAAGCTCGTACACTGGAAGGGCCTCAGAGCAGCACCGGAGGAACGAAGACGGCACAACTGACCGGAGCCGCATTCAGGGCAGCGCCTCTTCTTCTCCTGAGTGAGGTTCATCCAGAGGAGCTCATGCGATTCCGCGGGGCTGCCAGTGCACCCAATGATTCGGTTGTGCTCCTGCAGCGACAGAGGTCAACTTGGTTGATGCAGACCAGTGGTGCATTGTTTTGTGACGCACGTAAGAGAGGACCTTGATAGGGTCGGCAAGGGTGCCAATCCTACTTGAGTCCAGCGGGTTCTCGTCAAAGAGCTCAATACCCTCCCGTTCCGCGAGGATCTGCGCACGCTCGAGACCGGTGGCCTGTTCCTCCTCGGTGGGGACCTCACCGGCCTTGCCACCAGGGCCGAAAAGCTCGAGCTTGGGGGCGTCCGAGAAGCGAGCAGGGGTGGTGGAAAGGGCGCGGATGGCGAGGGAGGGCTTGGGCCTAGCGGCGGCGCGGGCGACGAGGCCTGCTGAGCGGACGGCGGCGCGGAACATGATTTTGTAGGGCGAGGACGGGTGCAACAGCGACAGCGCACGGCGGCTCGGAAGACTGCGACGCGCGCGTCACGGCGTGACTTCATCTTGATGGGATTTCCGTTTATAGCCGCAGATAGGCGACGGCACGCAATGCCGGATATGGAAGGTGTGTTGATCGGCAAAGAAGGAGTGGAGAAGCGAAGTTCGTGTTTGGAATGTTTCGAACTGGCTTACAACTTGTCCTCCGCCTATGCTCGGTGCGTAGCCCTGGCTAACACCGCGAGCACCCCACATACCCTACCCGCCTCTCCCTAAATCCCCGCCTCCTCCCGTCCACCTACATTCCTTCAACTTCTACACCGTGTTTATCGTAGACATCCAATGTTGACCTCGTCTTCGACGGGCGAGCCGCTGGCTGGCAACCCCCATGAACGCACGTATGCCTCGCCTCCGGGTCGGAAGTACCCCGCAGAGATACCATTGCCTGTGTTGACGCGTAGCACGACCGCCGCGTCGTACTCGTCGACCACTGACCTGCTTCCTCACCCCTCGGACTACCGCACAAAGAGGTCGACCTTGAAAGACAGGATCACGTCCTGGTACGGCGGGCCAAGAAAGTCTCCAGACTCGGATGCGAACGATCGGGACGCGACCCCAGCGGCTCCAGTCAAGAAGGTTCGCCTCAAAGCTTGGCATGGATGGAGATATGTGCTCTTCGGTTCATGTAAGCGCACCGTATGTTTCGACGCGTTCTGGGCTCACTCGATTGCTTTCGCAGGGCTCAATGTCTTTTTGCTACTCCTCCCTGTGGCGGTGAGTGCTCTCGGCGGGTATATGCGGGTCACCTTCAGCCGTATCGCTCATGCTCGTATAACAGTGGATATTGAAACTAGCGACCGAGGGGAATGACACGCTCATCTTCTCTGGTGCGCGTCACTCATAATGTCTGAAGTGTGGCATGACATCGTGCTAACTCTTGGTTCACGTAGCATGTATGGTCTCTATGATTCCGTTGGTGAAGGTAACGTATTCAGTTCTGTCTTAATGTCTGTGATGCTGAACGAATGGTTCAGCTTCATGATATGACCATCGGTGTACTGGCACGGCGCATGGGAGGTTCCAAGACGGGTCTAATCAACGCTAGTTTCGTACGTGAGCTATCATGTCTGCAATGCTTATTCTGAGCGTGTTGTTCCGCAGAGCAACATGTAAGTGAGATTGCATGGTGCAATCTCGATTGTTGACTGACTATATGCTATGCTGTCTTGCCATGCGCATGCAGTATTGAGCTGGTCGTAGCTGTGAGTGGTGTTATATTGACACAAGCTCTCCGGCAATTGAGCCTGACTCGTGATAGATCACGGCGCTGCGGAAATGCGAGCTGCACGTCGTCCAGTCTTCCTGTGAGACCCGTTCGTCACTTGTAACCACGCGTGATCTAACTTTCTCGACCGGTTTTCAGTGATTGGCGCAATCCTCAGCAAGCAACGTAAGCCCCAATATTCGCTAGCCGGTGTTTCTTACTCTGACGGCCTCTGTATCACAGTGCTCATCCTTGGAATGTGTTTCCTGGCTGGTGGCCTACGCTTCTACCAACAGGATTACGACCAGAGTTCGTCGTCATCTGCGTACTTCCCGAGATCCTGACTGATGCAGCGTGGATGATAGCTGCTACGATCATCCACTCTTCGCTCCTGAGTATCGGTGTCGGTGCAGTCTGCCTCCCGGCTGCATTCCATTTTGCTTTGTCGTACAACGCTGCCGATCTGGAGTCAGCGGGAACAACCCTACAGCAGCAGAAGGCCGACTTGTTGACGATGAGCCACAGTGTTAGTGGAATCCAATCTACTATGATTCAATATATTGACTGACCTCCTTCATAGGTTGCGCTCCTTCTCCTGCTCAGTACGTCTGACCAATAGTTTCACGTGCATCTCACCGCTGACACGCTGATGTCCACAGTCTACTTCGCGTATCTTGTCTTCCAACTGTTCTCTCACACGCACCTCTACCAGGACAACACCAAGCCCAGTGAGAAGATCCCTAGCGTCCCGCTCTCGATGTCGGTCCGGTCCCTCACGGAACGCGTCCGGGTGAACAGCGGCAACCTTCGCATGCGACGCTCGAACTCAGGCTCCCAGTCAGGCGGGCGAGGCTCCCCTCTGCCCAAGGGCACTGGAGAGAAAAAAGGATATCGTGTAGACGTGAACAGGGAGAAGACCAGTCCCGTGGAGGAGGTCCCCGAGACGTCGTTCGACGTCTCCGACGGCACCGGCGCGCAGTACGCGAACAACCCCGACAGCGCGCGCCAGCGTCGCACGGCGTACCTCGTCTCGCCGTGCGGCGCGACGTCGCAGGTGACCCTCTCCGCAGACGAGTTCGGCCGGTACAGGGAGGACCCGACTGTGCGCCTCGTGCACGACAAGTGGGGCGGGCGTGGGCGCAGTGCGAGCGTGAGCGACGGGTTAAACAGCGAGCGCGGCCGGCGGTACTCCGGCTCGTCGGACAGCAGCAAGCGGAGCTCGTTCGAGAGCGGACGGACGAAGCATGTCAGTGTCAACGAACTCGTGTCAGCGTACTCGGGCGACCGCAAGGACGTGCACCGTTCGGTGCAGGTCCGGGATCTCGGCATGAGCGGGGATGAACAGCGTGGAGATGCGCGAAGCCCGTCTGTGTCCCCGTCGAGCTCGGCGGAGAAGGTGGGCGAGGACGAGCTTCCGGAGTTGAGTTGGACGATGACGTTCGTTGTTCTGATCACCGTCACTGTCGTGAGTGTCGTGTCGACCTCTGTGTGGGGATATGTCGGGTTGGATTGCTGATGATTTGCGTCTCACCGTCGACAGCTCGTCACGATCAATGCGGAATGGCTTGTCGACTCTATGGACAACCTGTCACCGGCGCTCAGCAAGGAGTGGATTGGCCTGATCCTGCTGCCATCCGTTAGTTCCATCGCCGGTGAGTCCGACCTCCTATGGGATATGGACATGCAGCTCAATTGTATTCCTGTAGAATGTGTGACGGCTGTCAGTGTATCTGTCAAGGATAAATTGACATTGAGCATCAGCGTCGCTGTCGGCTCATCAATCGTAAGTCGAGTCCCTTCTGCTTCTTGTAATTGAATGATATATGAGCGAATACTCAGCAAACTACGCTGTTCGTCATCCCATTCATGGTGATCCTGGGTTGGATCCTGGACAAGCCGCTTCCTCTCCTGTTCGATCCGTTCCAGACAGTGGTATGTGCTCTTGTTTTACTTGCCTATTGGCACTCATCATTCTATGCTGCAGGTCCTGTACATTTCTGGTGAGTCTTCACACAGATCGGCGGTTCTTGAGCCTCGCCTGATACGTTGTGCGCCCAGTCAATATCATGGGTTACGTAGTGGCGGACGGCAAGTCCAACTGGCTGGAGGGCGTCATTCTAATCAGTGAGTGCCCGCTGGGCTGTCGGCCGTGACAGTCTGCTGACGCCTGCGACAGGCCTTTATCTTGTCATCGCGGTCACCTTCTGGTTCTATCCAGGTGAGCACACCCTGATACATGGGATTCTTCCATTTGATCACTCATGGTCGCTGTGTAGGCTCCAGCTTCTCCACCAATTTGGCGGTCTGTGTCGATACGGTAAAATCCCAATAAGTTCAGCACACCCACATCACCTCGCACTCGCACGTACACTAGCACCACCCCGGACAATATTTGCCTCGGATTCTACCTAATCCCTCGTCCCAGCATTCTATCGTAGATCCTAGAGTCACACAGCATTCAGATACAGCGCGGACGGTCGGATAATACCTGGGCATGGACTTCACGTTAGAGCCCCGTTTGTATTAGTACGGACGATACATAGCTTCTCTCGTTTTGTAGAGACCTGTAGCATTAGATATGAGCGTAGATAGTCTTTTGTGTACGTACATTTATTGGACTATGAACCGACGGTATCGTCGGTTTGAACTTTGGACCAATCACTGCCACCGTGACAGGTCCGACAACCTCGGCGATGCTTCGGACTAAGTAGCCCGAGACGTGACGTAACACGTTCACTGCGACCACCACTTCATCTTAAGCTCAGCCCAGGCTCAGCCACCGCTCGAAACTCTTTTCCAACGACTCAGACAACTCATACCTAGTAGGTATTGGCTCGAACCAGTCCTCCATCAAGTTGGGCTTGTTCTGACTCGGAGCTGGATTCAGTCGGGAAGTGGAAGACCTATCTAGTGACCTCTCAGTATGCGTACCACCCTCCTACGGCTGGCAGAATCGGTCTCCTCGAGGCCCTTGAATCTTCGAGAAACTAGTGCAGCACTCTTGCCGCCAACACCGTGAGTGGTTGTGAGCAATCTTGAAGGCGTTCGGCTCACGCCACGGCTTCGCACTAGACTATATAGGCGAATCCTGCGAGCGCATCGTTCCCTGCCCCCTGAGATGCGGTCCCTCGGGGATGACTATGTGAAAGCGGGCGAGTTGCTTCATGAGAATGCTAACATTCCATCTCTGAAGCGATACTACGCAGAGTTTCGCCGGCACAAGGAGGTTGCGAACAAAGTGCATATCATCGGCTTCCTCTCACAATGGAAAATGTATCTGGACGAGCTACCGTCAGGTCCAGATGCAGAGCGCTTCTCTGGGAAGAAGCTGGATCCTACGGTGCTAGAGAAGGTACGATATCTCACTCTGGCATAGTTGTGTTGCTCATTCGTTCGTCGAATAAGATGTCTGCTGAGCAGCTCGGACAGCTCTATGAGCTGATGAACGCAACAAGAAATGTTTACAATCCTAACGCACCTCCAGACGAAGCGGCAGGGGTAGTACCTCCGAAGTCGTCATAGGCCTCCCAGTATGTAGTGTTGTACTTGTGCGATACTTTCCTTGCGTTGCGTTGACCTAGTCTGACCGGCTTCTCCGCAGTTACTGTTCGTGACTATCTATTATTGCGTCGCGCGTCGTCTTGAGCACCTGATCCTCCGTGCATCGCACACCCCCCCCTCAATTTTTCCCCTGCATCTGTCAGCATATTCATCTCGGTGGTCGGCGGGTAGTTCGCGCCTGAGAGTTGGAGAAATGGCCAATCGACTACGACTCGAGCTCCAAAATTCGCCTCCTATCCGCTCGCCACCGTGCCACCGCCCGCTCAGATAGGTCAAAACTGTCGTTTGGGGTGACTACGACCGTCCAGTGACTGTGCCCGCGTCTAATAGAATGGCTACATTGCCATCATGCAGATTCCTCATACAATGGCCAATCGATTCGAGCTCCAAAACTCCCCTCCTATCCGCTCGCGACCGTACCACCGCCCACGCAGACAGGCCAGGAAACGTCGTATGGGGTAACTATGACTGTCCGGTATCTGTGCTCGCGCCTAATAGAACGGCTACGCTGTCATCTTGCAGGTTCCTCATGCCCACACCCAATTACTAGCACCTTGGCAACTTCAGTCGGATACCGAGCAAGCCCGTTTATCATCCATCGTATCACGTGTGACCACCATCGCGCTTCCGGCTCTCCGTTATATAGGTAGCGGACTCGTCCAGACTCCAGCTGCTCTCACCAGCACCCATTTCATCCGAACAACACACTCCCAAGCATGTCTCAGTCTCTGGTAAGTCGCAAATGGTGCGAATGGATAATTTCATAGGTGACCAGCGATGCCCGGCGACGTTCGCAGAGAGTGAACGCTACCAGCGAGCCTTACGCTGATCTCCCGCCGATGTGCGTCGCACTATTGGAGGCAAAGGCGAAGAAGGGTGAGTCTCATCATCTCCGTGCTAGCCCCCACTTATCGCGGCATAGGTGCTACCTTCGACCAGATCGCCAAGGCTATCGGCCGCGACGAAGTCTGGGTCGCCGCGATGTTCTACGGACAGGTAGAGGGCACCAGATACATCCCGGAACCACCCAATCATGACATCCTGTCTTAGGCAAAGCTCTCCGACGAGGAGCTCGCGAAGCTATCCCACTTCCTCGAGATCCCGCACGACAGCCTTGCGGCTGAACTCGGCGCGAACTGGTGGCCGCGCCGCGGGCTCGGGCCGATGCCTCCCACCGACCCTGTCTTGTACCGTCTGTACGAGGTACGCTTCCCACTGCGCGTGTCAGGCGTGGTACGTTCCCGGCGGCTGACCAGTTGTGCGTGTAGGGCGTCCTTGTGTATGGCAATGCTATCAAGGTGAGCTCCCGAAGGTGTATGTAGCTCCACTGCAAAGATCTCACCATGTATCGGCGATGACAGGCCGTCATTCACGAGAAGGTGAGTCGGGAGCATTGTTGTGCACCAGTGCTGCGGCTCAAATAACCGCACGTAGTTCGGCGACGGGATCATGTCCATGATCGACTGCAAGGTTAACATCGAACGTAAGCCGGACCCCAAGGGCGATCGCGTGCTCTTGATATTCGAGTACGTCGAGGTTTTTTCGGGTGACCTGCGCATCGTGTTGATCCCAGATTTTCCAGTGGCAAGTTCTTGCCGTACCTCAAGTGGTGAACGGTCCGTGCAGTAGTCAATCCGAAGCGGTGTATTCATGTATGCAAATTAAGCGACCAATGATCTGTACTACACTCCCCGAGCATGAATGCTGCTGGCTGATAGAGCCCACACGTCGCATCTGACCATTGCGATGCTTTAGATGCGACTTTGACGGACTGACACAAGCTGAGGGCGACGGCAGACCGCTAAACTCAAATGAAATGAATGCGCATACAGCATACAATATTATCCACGAAAACGGCGCATATAATCAACAGCATACAGCATTGTCACATCCATACTCATGCCAACGCAGGGAATGGCGGCTCCTCAGACCACCTCGATCGCGAGGCCCATGGCACGCTTGCCAATCGGGCTCTCGATGTCCTCCGGCCTGCCCACGCCGGCGTGCTCGATCTCACCCTTGCTGGGCGGGAAGTCCGGTGGCGGGAGGCCCTGCAGGAAGCGCTCCTTCTGCCGACGCACGTAGTCCGCGTTCATGGGCGTGAGCGGTACGGCGGGGATGTACATCACTGCGTATGTCAGGGTGTTACGGTCAGAAAATTGTTGGCTCGACGATGTGGAAGGCGCTGCTTACCGGCGGAGTCATCGGCTCCGGTGTGCTCCTTCTCAACGGCGTGTACGACGTCCTGCGGCAATTCTGATATCAGTGCGCGTGGAGTGTGGAGAAGGGGACACACGTACACAATGCCAGAAGACCATGTCGCCCGGGTATACCTTCGGCACAGACACCATCGTCTGCTCAAGCCTCATGTGCGGGTGCTTCTTCGTGTTCGGCCACGGTCCGCGGAACCCAGAGCCGGTCGAGTACACGCCAGGGAAGTCCGAGTCCGAGATGTCTAGTGGAGTAGCTAGTGAGCGATTGTGACTTGTTAAAGGATGGACTGGAGCACCCACCATACTCCCAGTTGTTGGGGTCGAGCGGGTCCTCGGTGCCGGGAATCTGCCGGAAGAACGGGCGCAGGATGGTGTAGGCGTTCGAAAGGTAGACGTTCGGGAAGACCTGCAAGGTTCCCTCGTGGGGTGCGGTCTCGCTGATTTGGCCATATTAGCAGTGTGACAACACGTCAAGCAGCAATATTTGCACCTGACAGCGAGCCAGCCCTGATATGTCCTGAACACAGTAGCCTAATTTCCTTGTTAAGGTAGTGCAGCGCGATTGACGAGCGGATCTCCTACCTGGCCAATACGGTTGTACAAGGAGGTGCGGGCGTTCATCCGGTTCTCCAGGTCGTACGGGTCATGATCGCGCCAATTACCAGTCAGGATGTCTTCGAAACACTTCCTGAACGTGGGGTCCTCCCATCGCTCAATTGCACCACCTGTTCTCCTCAATCAGTTATGTCCGCTCTACTACCGCTCGAGGCAGGGTACTGACCATCCACGTGCGGAGGGTGAGCGTCCCACTGCACACCTGGGTGTCGGATGCGGAAGCGGTCAGCGTAGGTGAGCGGCGTGGAGAGGTCGACGCTCTCAATCTTCGCGCCCGACTTGACGTGGTAGAAGTTGTTCAGCCAACTCGTGGCTGCGAGGACGTTCGGATGCCCGCGAGCGCGGACCTGAGACTTCGTCCAGCTGCAAATCGCCGGCGATGTGAGCAACAGGCTGGCGCTAGCATGTGACTGACGTACTAGAGCTGGAAGAATTGCTTGTCGTCCGCAGGGAAACCTGGAGAGCCAAAGTTGAGCATGGCTGAACGCAGTCATGTATCTAAAGGGTTCTGACCATCGATTCCGGGGTTCGTCGAGACGTACTCCTTGAGCCAGTCCTTCCAGGACGCCGCTTCGGCATCATCTACAACGTTGCGGATGACGACGCTCCCTTTCCTCCGGACCTCCTCAACCTTCTCAGGACTGAGGGTGCTGAGTTCAGCGAAGTCCACTTCGGGAACATACTACCATGTTGTCAACGCATGCGAGGACATGACAGCGACAGCTACCCCTACCTCCGTGCCCTGCTTGGCGATGTCTGCCGTCACGACCTCGAGTTCAGCGAGGAGTTCCGTCCACGCCTTCGTGACACGCGCCTCAAAGTCAGGATACGAGGCAGCGATCTCCTTCTTGAGCTCGACGAAGCGAGGGGGGCATGGACCGAGTTCAGGATGGGACATTCTGGCGAGAGGTCGTCTGCGGCGAGGTACCTGAGGACGAGTCGTCCGAGCTGCTGCATCTTATATCTGGAAAGAGGCGGACGCACGTCACATCAGTTACTCAGTACGGTCCGCATTCCGTGAGCACGCAGGATCACAAGGTACAAAGCATGACAGGGATTATCTGACCAGGATACTGCGCTGGATAGCGCACTCCTGAGTTTGCTTCGGGCTTCTCAGGTCGCCCGCGGCGACTTCGGCGATGCATCTGGGCTCGTTGCTTGTAGCATAACCATCTCCGTACACGGAGATCCTGCAAGCCCGTTGTATTCAGTACACCTCAGACCAGCGGGGTCTGACGCAGTTGGGCGAGGCGAGCAGGCAAGTGGATGGTCAGGACACGGAGGAATCTCGGCGAAATTGACAGGACAAGGTTAGCAGGCAACAGGATGGCAGCACGCACTACCGCTCAGAAGACCACGCACATCTAGATTCTCCCCCCGCGGGGCCCCAGAATGGCCGCTGGTACACAGCTGTATTACATCTTCATCACGTACCTGCACTAGCCATGAAATGGCCCCCGCGTCGGAAGGCCGTCTCGGGCGGAGGTGTCAATGTACAAGGAGCACTGGATTAACCAACACGATAGCAAGCTATTAGTAGGATAGATGCTAGAGATTTTCCTAGATATGGGCATAGCGAATCTCGAACGCCGAGACCCCACTCGAGGGCAAGGGCTCCGAAGAACTTCAGGTTCGACATTACTTATTCTTCGTCTTCAAGCGGAAGTTCTTCCTCCTCCACCTCGTACTCTTCGTCGGCGTACTCCTCTTCGACTGTTGCCTCTTGATACTATGGGGATGAGTCAGTGACACGAACTCCATGAGGTTGACGTGGTCTATCCATACCTGCTGGTACTCAGCACTAGTAGGGGCATATCAGCGTCCGGACGATGCACGTAGTTCAACGGTACGTACACTAGATCGTGAGCATTGCTCTCTGCCTCTGAGAACTCCATGGCGTCCATTCCTTCTCCGGTGTACCAGTGGAGGAAAGCCTGACGCTTGTACATCGCGATGAACTACGTATCTCATGTGAGCAATATGTTCCGACACGTTAATTGGATCTAACACACCTGGCTCAGGGTTCGCTGGAACAGCTCTTGGACCGCGGTCGAGTTGGACAAGCATGTTGCCGACTAGCGATGCAACCAATCAGATTGAGTCGGTGCCAGTAGTATGTGACTTGCTCACCTGAGTTGAGCCGACAGGAGGCACGGAAACCAACGACACCGAAACATTGTCAGGAATCCATCTAAGCACCACGAATCAGCAGAGACATCATGAGCAGGCTATCCTTCCACGTACTCCACGAACTGCGTAGAGTTCCTGCGCTGGAGATCTAGGACGGATGACTGCAAGGCATTATCGGCCGACGTTGATACTACCCACGACGAAACACACTTACTTCTGCCTGTGATACGACAACGATATCAGAGGTACGTCGCGCAAACAATCGGCACCACTCACCTCCTGCGAGGAGACTGCTCCTCGGAAGATCGTCGCGGCCGTGAGGTACCGGCTGTCGAGCGCGTGTCACTAAGATCTGTGCACACCTCTACGCACATACACAAAGCACCACTCACCCGAACCTAGGGTCGCAGGCGACGAGCAAGTTTCTCCGGTCGAAGAGCCTAGGCGGATCAGGGACGACGCTCAGTCCGCTTCTCCGTCATAGCAACACAGGACTCACGCTGATGTGAGATCGGGCACGGTCATGCGAACGAACGAACGCGCACGGGGATCGAAGAACGGCGCGTAGCTCGGCATGAGGAAGTGCAGACGCGGGAAGGGGACGAGGTTCAGCGCGAGCTTGCGCATGTCTCTGCCGATGGGTGCGGTGAGTATGCCGCCGGAATTGTCGGGCGCAGCACGTACCCGTTCAGCTGCCCAGGGAACCTGAGACTCGTGCTGACTCCGCACATCACTTGCGAGACCAACTGCAGACGGTCAGATCGGGATTACATCGGGCATCACGGAAAACGAGGCTTCAAGACTTACGACGTTCAAGTCGGAGAACTCGGGGGCCTTGTTCTTGAGGGTCCGGACGGTGATGTCATATCTAATCTACGGTCAATGATACAACCCAGACATGTCGGCGACGATAACTTACAGTGCCTCGTTGTCAATGCACATGGTCATGTCGCTGTTCTCGACCAGTTGGTGAATTGACAGGAGGGCATTGTACGGCTAAAAGTATCATCAGAGATGCACTTCTACCAGTCCCTCAAGACATACCTCGACGACAGTTTCAGACACCTGTCAGTATGTCAATGAGCTGCACTCGAGATATATAGTTAATGGTAGTACATGCCTTGGGAGATGGCAGAATAGAGAACGTTGACAGCATCCTATCAGGGTATTCCTGCAGTATTCGCATCAGGGGGCAGACGAGGCGGGTAGTAATAAGCACAACTTCTCGGAACTTGGACAGTAGCAGGGAGCCCAGCCCAGCACCCGTTCCTCCACCAAGGGAGTGAATCATTTGGAATCCTTGCATAGCGTCGCATGCCTCGGCCTGTACGCGGACGACATCCTACAGAAATGCGAGACCCTCAGTATAACAGTATAACGAGGCGTCCTAACCGGCTGAAGGGTGATACGGACCATGATACCGTCCACAAGCTCAGCACCTAGCGCTCTTGTTAATACTGCATGGTCAGTCTTCTCGAGTCATGAGCGCACCCTCAGTGTAGTCTAGAAAAGGTTCAGGCGCACGATCAAGGTTCTGAGTGGCGGATCGACTTACAGCCTTTAGCCCAGTTGTTTCCTGCACCAGTCTCGCCGGTGACGAAGCTGTCTGGGCGAAAGAGCTTCCCTAGCTTTCCAGAGCGGATCTGACGCGCAGATGTAAGACAAACAGCCAGTCGATCGCTACGAGAACGCGCGTACGCGGGAGCAAACACCATTCTCCAGGTCAATCTGCACGCTACGCGGAACGTACTTGCTGCCATTTCCTTGCGGGATCTCGGTAAAGAACACGTCAACCTAGATGATACCGCCCTTAGCTCACACTGATGCATGGTATACTAGATCACGTACCTTGGGGAGCTGTAGAGGATCGTTTCCTGTGTAGAACTAACGCGTCCTGATTAACGAACGCGTCCAGTCCGAGAGTCTGTACACTTACTCCCTCGTCATTCAGACCATGCTCCGCCAGAAGTGTGCTCCAGAAACTCTCCCCGACCTGGTTCCCGGCCTACATAACGACGACGCCATAGTGAGCCACCGAAACTCCCACCGGAACCGACGCGCTATCCTACCTGGCCGACCTGCACGCCATCACCGACGGATCAGCACCGATCCTGCACGCTCTGAATACGTGTCATTTACCTGTACGTTGAGGATTTCGCGTGGCATGTCGTGAAGGGGTATAGGGTATGCGTGCAAACTGAAAGTCAGAGAACAAGTCAAGATGCACGCCGTGCCCTCGGACGCGAAACGCAGTGATGGTGCTCTGACGCACTTCGGCGGATGCCGAGCCAATCCTCGGCCTTCTCCATCATCTCTGGTGCGCTATTATATGCAGCGTATGCATGTCCGGGGCCGGCGTGTCATTCAGAGTCGCGTATACTAGAGTCAGACCTCGGCTCCCGGCCAGCAAAGTCACAGCATAGACTGACTCGTGAGTGAATTGCTCTATGGTGTACATGTACATGTTCCTTTTTCGACTGCTGCTACTCCTCTGATCGCTCGTTACACATCATGACCAAAGACATCCTACACGTCGCGCAATTTGCATCCCTCAGTTCGACAGTTGCCTGATCTTGAGGATGATCGCTATATTTGAACAAGTCAGCAAACACGGGTCCGGGACCAGGAAGGTGAGTGCGCACATTGCGGGTCGAGGCCCTGGTGGGGGATCTGCTCAGTCAGACCACCGCAGCCCTCCTTGTTCGTGCCGATGTAGCCGTACTTCGGCGTGAGCTGGCGCTCAAGCAACCAAGTGCCGAACTTCGAACCAAGCTATAGCAAACGCAACATTAATCATCGCGCCCTCATTCTCGTAGTCATCACACTCACCCCAGTCTTCTGGCTCAGAGACTCAACGACAAGGACGAACGGACTCGAGCCGACCTTGCGGATCACCTGCTCGTCGACGAGGTTCAGCGTCGGCTTGTTGATCAAGCCAACGTCGAGGCCTTCCTGCCTGCAGCGGAGGACGGCGTCCCACGAGCGGTAGAGCATGTCACCGAACGAGACGACGTAGCCGGCCTTGCCCTCGCAGATGACCTCGTCCTTTCCGGGCACGAACTCGTAGTCGTCGCCGAAGACGCGCGTCTTGCCGTCCTCCCTGAGCATGTACGGTACCTTCGAACGCGTCGAGAAGATGAACCGTATGCCGCGATCGAAGAACACGCGCTCGACGACTTTCGTCATCTGTGCGGCGTCGGCCGGGAAGTAAAGCCACGACTGCGTATCTGCGAGACCGTTGTCCGCGAAGAGCGAGTTGACACCGAAGTGGCACGTGTTGTCGGCCATCTGGACAAGGCCTGTCAGAGAATGCTACGAATGCAAATGACTGTGTGACGTACCTCGTCAACACCGGAGTGAGAAAAGTGGCAGAGGACGTTGCAGAAGTTCAGGCGCGCCATGGTAATTTCCGAGATGACCATCTCGAGGAAGGCGGAGAAAGTGGAGAAGACACCAAACTTGTTCGCGTCGAAACCGAAACCAGCAGCCGCGCTGAAGTTTCCACGCTCCATGATACCGGAGGGAATGAACACCTCAGGGTGCTTCTGGTGGATGGACTTGAGGCCAGTCGAGCCCTCAAGATCACCTATCGACCGTTTTCGTCATCCATGCAGCACCACCACCCTGAAGTCACTCACTGTCAATGACCATGACCTTCTCGGCAGCCTCCTCCTTCGTGAGCTTGTCAAGCACCTTGTTCACGGCCTCACCGAACACAACACGGTTCGCGCCAACCTCCTTGGTCGAACCGATGTACAGGTAGGGCACAGCATGCGGCGTGATGTTGTTCAGGATATCCGTCGCCATCGTCTCGGGGTAGCCGCGCGAGGTGAGGTACTTGATCGCCGCCTTGACGGGGATGACATCGTGGCCGTGCGTGCTGCCCTCAATGTCCGCGACACCAGGGGCCATGACACGCTTGCAGACGACCGCCGCGGGACCGTCGTAAGCGATGATCTCGCACAGCGCAGCCCAGAGCGCATCGAGGTCTTCACCCTGGACGGTGAGCACCTTCAAGCCGTGGCCGGAGAGGGTCTTGTGGAGCTCGTAGCCCTTGAGGTACTGCGATGGGTGGCCAGCGATGGTGACGTCGTTGTCGTCGATAAGCAGCTTGACGTTGAGGTTCTGCGCGACAGCGAGGCGCGCCGCCTCGGCGTCGTTGCCCTCCTGCTGCGAGCCGTCGGATCCGAGCAGGAAGACGGTCTTGTCGCGGTTCGCGAGCGCGACGCCGTTCACCCAGGGCCATACGTGCCCGAGACGGCCGGACGAGAACTTGACGCCGGGAGTGAGACCAAGCTCGGGGTGGCCTGGAAGCTTGGAGTTTGCCTCACGGTAGTGCAGGAGGTGCTCGGCAGGGATGTGGCCCTCGATCGCAGAGAGCAAGTATTGCGTCGCAACACGGTGACCTGAGCAATAAATTGTAAGCCATGTTTCGACGAGAGGTGCAAGACGAGTGATGCTATGGCCGATCTAGACGTTGATGTGCAAAATTGATGGCGAATTTGATGTCGCCCCGACAAAGTCGGACCACCACCGCGCGCCGCCTTTGTGCGTCATAGACCAAATCGGGCACTGTACGCGCCCACCTCTGCGTCGTCGACCGACGGCGCCCAACGATGTGCACTCGCTTGAACGATACGCACGGCGATGATCCACCCTCGACCGCTTTACCCCATCCGGACGCAGAATCGAGAGGGATACTCACCGGCTTCGTCGAACAAGATAGGGACGTACTTGTCCTTCGAGGCGTTGAAGAGGGACAGGAGGAGGCAGACCTCTGGGACGGTGTCGTATGCACCACCTGTAAAGGAGGATCATCGCACCAGATCAAGTCGAGCGCAACACCGCGCGCCTACGCACCTGTGTGTCCGCTCACACCGCGAGCAGCACCGGTCGCGGTGAAGAGCACGATCGCATCGCGCATGATCTGGATGTTGTGCAACAACGCCGAGCGCTGCTCATTCGAGAGCTGCGGCTTGGTCGGGTCGAGCGTCACCCTGCATAACGACGTATGCCGTCGACCGTGAGCAAGCCATCGAGCGCGAGCAGCAGCGGGGCTCACTTCTTCAGGGCATTGAGGTCGATGGGGAACGCGCTCGCTGTGCCGGGCATTTTGGAGGACGTGCGGCGCGACGGGGATGGTGGAGGGGGAGTGAAAGAGAGTTGTGGTGCTTGCTCCCTCAGCCTGCACGCGATTTATCGTCCCCAATCAGCCGTGGCCGAGCGGTGGCGGACCAAGGCCTGCGCGGACCGGGGTCACCGGCGCTGCTTCTCCACTATGACATGGGAATCCGGTCACCCTCTCCCACTCGCTCAGTTTTCACTGAAGTTTTATGTGCTATGACAAGCCCCAGTGCATCACCCAGACTCAGGATATGTATCATAGCGCGTTATGCACAGTCAACTCTTCAGGTGAACAGTCCATGGTGCGTCGACCATATCTCAGAGTCGCTGGGGTACGTGTCCGACTGGGAACTGAAGTACCAAATGGCGCACATGCGAGGCGCGAAGGGCGAATGCTGACTCCGACGCGGAGGAAGACCATGATACCAGCGCAATACCAGCGTCACAGACTGCCAATGTCGTCGCCCGTGAGAGGCAGCGTGGGATGACGGACTGCGCAAAACGATCAACAACGGGAACGTTCAGAAGTTTGTGCGAGAGCTCTCACCTTCTATCCCTGTCTATACTTGGCCACTGCACGCTAGTTCCGGGACTTCCCAAAGGTCGAGCCAGGTACTACTAGTAGCAGCCGCGAATGACTCGTAGAATTCCACAAAAATTTCATCGAGAAAAACAGTCGAACCGCGCACCACTCGTAGGTTGCGCGGGGTCGTCTTCACCTGTTGGTGATATCCACGCAGGTCTGATCGTCGTTGCAGCCGATCTGCTCTTCCTGACCCCGGATTTACATCTCCACGGGCGCAAATGATCGAGCACCGGGTCCGACACAAGTGTCCGTACTCTGCCGACATGCATCCTCTCAACGGCCGACCCAAAGCCGTCTGACGAAATGGAACGGCCGCGTCATCCCCGATGGTACAAGGTGATTGCCTCGGATAGATATCTGTCGCCAAACCACAGCGAAGCCGATGGATGCACACGTTCGTGACCCCGGAGTGCGCCCTGTATACGTCGAAGTGTAAGTACCGTATTCGTGTGGTCCGAGGGGCGATACTGGGGACCAAGAGCTGTCGGCATCCCGCGGAGCGCGCGCGAACGCGCACAAAGGTAATCTCCACATGAGCGCAAGCTTCGTGGCCGATGATACCTGTGGACTCGGAGGGAAACTGGCAACGATCATAGGTGCGCGCTGGTCAGAATAGCCGTCTCGACCAGGTGCTGCGGATGTAGGCAACTCTGGGCATTCCGCGCTAGCAACCCGAGCACTGCACGCAGGAAATGAAGCCGCGGGACACCCAAGGGACACCTATGTATAAGCGTAAGAACGACCCGGGGCATGCTACACCATCAGGTGAGGGCATTCGGAGGACTGACACATACGACTTCGTGAGGCCCAGCCCATTGACTCGGGGCATCGTCAAGATTCAACACACGGCACCTTGGATCCTTCAAGGAGTAGTACCCACTCACATTTCATAACGTGTCTTCCTAGTTCAGATCAAGGTCGCATCCACAAGGTCAAGAGAACGCTCGGCGACTCATGAAGGACGCGGGCGGTCAGGCAGTGTGCTGTGTGGACTCGGATGAGGACAGCGCATGATGACGGGATTCTCGGGTTCCCGGTTTGATCCAAGAGATGTACATACGCAAAACCAAGTAGACGGGAGAAAATAGCGCACTGCAGTCGGTGAGTGCATGGAGAACCTGGTGATACACCGACCCTGTAGCTTTCGGTGTTCACGACAAACACGCCGGCGGAGGCGCGATTCACGCTCGTTGGGCGCCTAGTCCGCGACGCGAAGCACGTGGAGCGCGTTGTTTGGCGAGCTTTGGCTTCGAGCTGGGACGCGTGCCTCGAAGGGTCAAGAGCGCGTCCGGCCATTGTTGTACGTACGCGGCGCGATCAGTCCGCCACAGTCGATGTTTGTACAGGCCAGAAATAGCACAATGGGCGATGTGCCGATTGCCTTGCCCTGGCTCGCCACGCGGTTGCCAAGGGCGTCGCGAGGGCGTCGCGATCCAAATCAGACAATAGCGCGTGTCAAGCTGCGCGCCTCCTTGTCCCATTCATTCTTTTGCTCATAAGAGACCCGGCCACCGCTGGCCTACTCGCTGCCAAGCTCATACACGCTCTTTACCTGGTGTCGACGGGGACTCAGTTCCGGCGTTCTCTGCGAGACTGGCTCTCGGACTCTGTTGCGATCGTGTCCTACTGCTGCCTATTGCTGACGTCCTGGCTAGACGGTTCAATGGCTCGTATACCCTTACCTCTACTACTTACTGCCGTTGCAGGCTTAATACCACTAGTGGCCGGCCATGCAGGTACGCTCCTGCCCGCCAGTTCAGACGTCTCGGTTTGCTGACATTCCACACAGCGTTCTTCCACCCATCGATGTGGGGTTTCAACGTGACAGCGCAGACATTCCCTTACGATAACCGCCCCGTGGCTCCCCTAACAGAGTACACCTTCGACCAATGGTGGTTCCATGGCCACCTGGACTATCCGCCCAATGATGGCGACATCTTCGAGCTGCCTGCAGGCCAGCCCGTAACGACGCAGATCGCCTGCGACAAGGGTGCTACCACCTTCTTCGCCTCTGATCCCGGAGGAGACATCCAGAACGGTGACGACCCGTGTCCCGGCTCGCCCCCGTCCGAATACCATACGACCGGTTTCGACGACCTCAAGGGCTGCGCGCTCGCTATCACGTACAAGTCGAACGTGTCCGATGTGCAGCCTGAGGACTTCACCGTGTTCAGTGTCAACCAGACGTGCGTGTGGTACCGATTCACGGACTTCCAGGTACCCGCGAGGATGCCTGCCTGCCCGGAGGGCGGCTGCATCTGCGCATGGCTCTGGATCCATTCGGTAAGTCTCTTTCTCAACTCACAAGTATGCACTCCCATTGACCATATATTGCAGCCTGACAGCGGTGGCGAACAGAGTATGTATGAGTATTGGTATGCCGGATCTGTAGTACTGATTGATATCCCGTAGACTACATGAATGGCTTCCGCTGCAACGTCACTGGCGCGACGTCCGACGTGGCCCTGGCCACGCCACAAGTCCCCCGCCGCTGTGGCGCCGATCTCGACAACGGCCGGGTCGACGCTAGCTTTAGCAACTGTACGTGGGGCGCGAAGCAGCCGTTCTACTGGCTCCAGCAGGAACGCAACAATGTAAGTTACGCCCTCCCTCTCTCCACCGCATCGCACGATTGTTGACCCGCACGCACAGATGTTCGAAGGCTACTACTCCCCGCCCTTCTACACGAACCTCTATAACTTCCTCGATGGCGCGCAACAAGACATTTTCCAGGACTCGTACCCTAACGGGCTGCCCACGCCCGTCGTGAACGGCACCGTGCCCGTCCCGAACTTCGTCGGCGTGCAGCCGACCGCGACGCCCAGCGCGCCGAGCGGACTGCCGTTCGCCATCGTGGGCACGCCCGCGCCCGTGGCGACGGCAACGTCGAGCGCCGGTGCGGGAGGCGGGGGGACCACTACCTCAGGTACTGCGAATTCTCCTTCGTCATCAATTCAGAGTACGGCGTCGGCTGCATCGACGTCGGCATCGGTGGATGTGACGGCGTCGTCTACGGCGAGTGCGACGGACGCGGTGAGCGTGTCTGTCGTGATTTCAACTGTCGTGAGCACGGAGGTTGTTACGGTCACCGCGGCCCCCGCGTCCGTGACTGCGACGGCATCGAGCGTCGTACTCTCGGTTGTATCAGGGATCGACGCGTCCTCGTCGACGCTTTCTTCATCCTCAGCGATATCCGCGTCGTCTTCGGCTTCATCGACGCCACCGTCATCTTCGTCTTCAGAATCTGCATCTGCGTCGTTAGCGATACCCTCATCTTCCTCGGCTGCCTCCATTCTCCCCGCGACCTCGACCCTCTTGCTCAACGCTCCTTCTCCCTCCCTGATCCCAGATGTCAACATCGCTTCAGCAACGGCTTCTTCCTCGACCTCCAGTCCCACAGGCCTCAGATGGTACGTCTTTGTCGCACGCCCTCTAGATTTGCACTGCCAGCTGACATTCTGGCGTGTTTGCAGTGCGGCGAGAGGCAGTCAGGCCAACTCAAAAACCCGTCGCGTGGCCCGTCGCTCGACAAAGAGCGGTCTCCAGGACGTCTGGGAGGCGATGAAGCCCGGCTTGCGTCGGCGTGATGCCGACCCCGGTGACAACGCGACCGACTCGTTAGTAGTACGGGGCGCGAGGGCGTACAGGCCGGCTCATAGGAGCAGGCTTTGGCGGGTCTTCTAATGTGGCGTCTCGTGGGCGGTGTGCTACGTATTTTAGTGCGCGCGGGCGTGTAGAACGAGTACGCTTTGTGCAACATGATCTTGGTGATACCCCTTCTTGACAGAATACCTGGCGTCTCGTGTAGCAATAGTGATCGGGCTCTGGCGGCTCGTGTATGAGTAGTGTAATTGTAGCTTTGATCTTTGGAATCTCAACGACTCCATTTTTGCGACGCAAAGTGAACGAGTTGTGCGTTAATAACCTCGATTAAGAATAGACTAAGTCAGTGTCTACGACACAGCACGATGCGGAGATAGCAAACACGAGGGACAGTAGATGCGTAGTATGGAAAACACGATGCAAGTAATGCGGAAATATCTAGTAATTGCGAATGAGTGGACAGGTCAGTGCGACAGGGAAATAAGTATGTATGCGTGAAGGAGAGATAGATATGAGAGTGAGAAATCTATGTGTGGAGAAAGATGTATGCGTGAGGGGGGCCCATGAGTAGATGCAAGCTGAGTAGGCGATACAAGAGCTTTAGATGGAGAAAATTGATACAAAAGAGCGTGAATATCCATCCAGGCTTCGTCTCAGACGTGAAGCACCGCCCACAGGACAGTGCAGGGCTGTTCGTCAGCTAAGCCAGTAGCCGTTCAGTACTCGGACATCGTGTGATCCATCATGCGCGGCCCAGCGGACAGACCAGGGGGACGTACGCCAGGCGGAAGGTTGATATACCTATATCCCGTGGGTGCAGAGTCTTCGCTCCACTCGGAATCCGAGTCGGAGTCAGCGGCCGTGCTGGCGATCGACGGGGTGCGCTCAAGTCTTGAAGGGCCCGCAACCGGGGCAGAGACAGGTTGTGCAAAGACGCTAGCGAAGGGATCAATGGCAAGAGCCGCGAACGCGCCGACCGGGGGGATATAGGCGTTCACAGGAGCCGTGAAGGCCGAGGGAGCAAAGGGTGCCATGAAGACAGGACGCGATGCGAGCACGGGTGGTGCCGCGAAAGCGGGAGGCGCGGAGACAGGAACTTGAACCTCCTCGACTTCCACTTCCATGGGCTCGTCGACAACCTGGACCGGTGCGGCGTCGGTAGCATCCGGAGCAACAGCAGCGTCAGGCCGTCGGACAAAGCGACGCTTGAGGTCTTTCTCGGGGGTAAGATTCATGAGACCCGCACGCGTCACAGAACGCGTCGCGCGGGTAGGCGAGGCCCTACTCGGGGAAGGCGAGGAGTCCCTCTTGACCGGAGATGACAGGAACGCGGAGGCCGGCTTCTGGGGAGAAATCGGGAAGATTCCTGGGGGCGCGGTCTTCTTAGGCGACGGCGTCGACACAGGCTTCACAGAAGTTTGGACCTTCGGCCTGCTGGGCGACGCTGCCCTCTTCCTGGGCGATCCGGCGGAAGCAGGCTTGCCCGGGGAGGCGGCCCTCTTGGTAGGAGGCTTTCCCGGGGAGGAGGCCCTCTTGGTAGGAGGCTTGCCCGGGGAGGAGGCCCTCTTGGTAGGAGGCTTGCCCGGGGAGGAGGCTCTCTTGGTAGCCGGACCTGTGGAGGCGGGCTTCCGGGGCGACGCGGCCCTCTTTGGTGGAGAGCCAGTGGAGGCTCGCTGCGTCGTCGATGCTGCGCGTCCGCGGTGGGAGGGAGGCGTTGCGAGCGAGGCTGCCGCCTCGAGCAGTTCCGCCTTAACTCTAGCCCCGGCGCTGCCCTTGAGCATGGAGACTACTTTCTTCTGCCTTATGGCAGCTTGTGGCGGGGGTGGGGTTTGCGGACGGATGATTAACGCCCCCGGGTCGATGCCGGCAGCGTCGTTGTGGTGCATTTCGTAAGCGTCATCCCCGTACCCGTATCCAAGGATCCCATGGCCAGTTCTGTATGTGCGGAGCATCGTATGGGCGGGAGAACCGCGGCGGATGTCTTCGCTGGAAAGACCGCACGGAACCAGGTAGCCGTCAGTGCCTAGCTTGAAACCCTTTCTGCCATCGTGCGCACACGCAATGTCCTAGAAGTGACGAGGCCACAAATTCTCAGACAACAGGAAGACAAAAGACAAGCTTATACCACTCACCGTCCACAGCCCGCCTGATGCCGTGGGCAGGTAAGACTCCATGAACCCTTCGTGGTGCTGTACCGTGTAGGGATCGTAGACCTCGTCTAGATCTACCTTGGTGATGACCGGTCGCGATCCACTGGTCGTTGCCGTATGCCCTGATGTCCCCGCACGTTCCACACGAACCAGCTCATTGCCCGACTCGGAGGGCGCCCACTTGTCCATTGACAAGGACTCGTAGAACTCCATTCGCTCAGCGGGCGGCCAGTCCTGCCCTCCGTTCGGCGCTGCAATGACATATGTCACGGTCGCTTTCCGGTCCCCGTCTTGGCCGGGCACAATAACTAGGGCATAGAAAGATTTGAGAAAATGCATATTCTTCAAGAGCGATGGCGGGATCGGAGTCGGGGCGGGTGGGTCAGAAGACACGGAAGGGAGACGATGAGCCGGTGTCGAGTCGAAAAGGGGCGCAGAGTTAGGGAGCATCCCCAAGCCCCGTCACCAATTTATGCGTCTCAGCGACGCGTCGAAGCCACGGCCCCGATCTGGCCACAGTACAAGGGCATTGCCAAAGCGGGCTCGTAGCAACGACGGCGTCGCCGGCGCGCCTCGTGTTTGGCACTGGGGCCACGCAAGCCACAGAGGACAATCCATGGATGCGCCCCGATTTGGTCGAACAAAGCGTGCGGTGCCACAACCTGCGCTTCTGCCGATGGTGGCACCCGAATTGGGAACAAACGCACCGCTGGATTTGGTAGCTCCGGGGTGGCCGGGGCTGTGCGCTCGCGCATCCGGTTACTCAACGTGTTTTGGATTGTCTGAGGGTTAATGTTGAATGCCGGGTGCGTCCCACGGGCCACGGGAAGCCTGGGCCTGCTGGGCCAATCAGGCTCGCTCTTTGTCACTGTTCTCTATGGGGACGTCAGTGAATGCTACGAGTGATGTGGCTGACCTTTCCTGTCATCTCCCGTCACGTCTAGGCCTGGGGTTGGAATTTCATGCTGGAGTTGCGATTGTTTGCAAATTGGGATTGCGCTTGACCACGGTCTGCGGTAATTGCTACGAATCCTGGAACCACGATACTGGCTGGATGGCTTACAGGACGACCGCAAGTACTCCCACATTACTGGGACCTGCTGTCGCGAGAGCGGGACAGGCGGTGAACCAGGAGCGCTTACGTGCGAGGTCAAAGCGGGTGCAGCCTGTGCAGGTGCGTCTACAACCTTTCTATCTCGTTAACCTGGCACACAAAACGCTCGACGCGTAAGACGGGGACGTACAAAAATCGTTTCTGACTGCGACGTCATAGGGGCCCCGGGCCCTTGCTTGCAGGTCGAAGCGAGAACATGCCTACTTATCGCCAGCCCCTGTGACGGAGCGCTCTTCAAACGTCACTTGCCCTGCTTTGTTCGAGGGCTTTGATCTATTCAAGGGTTAGTACGACCGTGACTTGATCCTGTGGGCTGATGAGGGCCTCAGCTTGGATGCGAACGCGTTCCACATGTTCCTTCCGGTACGACTCCTCCGACTCCAATGGCAGTGTAGACTCAATGCATACATGCATTTAATTACCGTGTCTCAGGACTCTTGGCCCGGTGTTTAACATCTCGGATCGTAGTCTTTGCCCTCAGTCGGACTCAGACAGCGAGTCAACAGACTAAGAGCGAACAGAAACAAGACGACGCAACTGTTCGTCCCCGCACCGCGCCCGCTTCTCCTCCACCATCAAGCACCCACTGCTCCGAGGCTTCGCCCCGGGAAGGACGGTGTTTCAGGTGCCCTCCTCGCGTCCGCCGCAGGCTAACTCGCCTTCGTCAAATCCGCAGTCAAATTCACCGAGCCTCGGAGCGCCCCCAGTCTTCCGGAGCGCCAGCAAGCCAGCCCTCCGAGTCCTCGGGCAATCCGGTGGACCGCGACGCCCTCTGCGGACAGCGCGCGGCGCCCTACCTGTACCGTCTGCCGTGTCTCCTCCCTCCACATGCTCCCTCTGCGCGCGCATCAAGTCGGTGATGCCTGCCGTCTCGCAAGGACACCGTAACGATGAACTTCGGGAGGTCCGCCGTCGGTGTTAGGCTGCAGCTAAGTACTAGTGTGGGTACGCAGCCTCGGCATGCCGCGATGGAGGCATTAGTGGGTGGACAGGAACCGTGGACTGGTGCGGTCGACACACGGCGGCCAGGTCGTGCCGTGCGGGCATGAGGGTCGTCCTGCTCGACTTGCGGGGTGCTGGTGAGGCGGTGGGAGCCTAAGGTGAGCAGTTTCTAGACTGTGAGACTCGAGGACTTGTTTGGGACTTCAGTATGGGCATACGCCGCGCGATGTCGAGAGGTCGGGCCTACGCACCTACGCCCGTCGGCTTGGATGCTTTCGGAGTCGTCTCGTCCACGATCTGAGGAGATGCGGCTAGTACCTCACTTGGCACAGGGTGTGCATATTATGTGGGCAGGTATATGACACGTACGAGTATCGCTTCCAGCCGCGGGCTGTGAGTGCGTCAGGGAGTTGAGTGGGGATGCGCACTTTATCTTTCAAGTCCGAGGCAGGCGCATCTGCCGGCGGCAGCGCCGCCGCCAGCGGGAGACCCGCTGTAGAGGGAACCGACCAAGTTGTCAACCCTCCAGGGGTGCTCGTACGATCGTGTTCGGAAATCCGCCAAGCGAGCAGCGGAGCCACGGCTAGTCCGGCCATTTCTGGATTGGTTCTGGGATGCGGCCTCGGCTCGAGTCTCTCGCAGATCATCGAGAGGCAGATGGATAACTGGACCTGGGAGGCTGGGCCTCGGAAGAGGTTGAGTTGAATATCTCTTGTCTCTTCTGAGATGCGTGTTGCCAGTGGGCTGTGTCCAACGCTATGTCAAATTGAGATGATAGTTGGTTGGATGTGATAGTGGTCGCATCGTGATGGGGATGATGCTGACGCTGACTCTTTGCTCAGTGCTCACATTGCGATTGCGACGGCGCTGCGATAATTCTGCAATAAGAAACCACGGGTGGTTCGAGGCGGTGTGCCTGTGTTATATGTACACGGCTGTACGGCTGGAAATTCTGGACTACTATTTCGGGGGCGAAACGCGTAGGTCGCGTAGGTCTTCTCGCGTACTATTTATGATGCTCTGATGATCGCGACGTTTAGCTCGTTAAGCAACGCGTGTCTCGTTGACCACGTCCTGCAGCCACCGAGAGTCCCAAACAACACTCTGGGCTGTGATGTCACTCGGAGTCGGCGATAGCTACGGGCAGTGGGTACGTGTGGGGCGCAACTTTGTGGCACCCCGTTTCGAGGATGGAGGATGATTAAAATTGTGCGGCAAAGTCCGCGACGATAGTGCTGCTCAGATCTGAAGAGCAGATAAGGGCAGCGGGGGGCATTTTCAAGGACGGCTATCATCCGGCGCCCCGGCAGGGAAGCATCGGTAGTATTGTCCCGGCACCGCAGTCATATGCAGCAGGCCGTCAACAGGCAATGTATCCTCTCGTTGCAGGCTCATTGCACCAGTATGGTGACAGCAGCACATGGCGCTGTACAGGGCTGAGGGGAGTGCAGGCGGGGGCAAGCGGGATGGGCAGGACAAGCACTACAAATGGACACTAGTTGCGTACTGAGGTTGCAGTGAGGCGATGATCCTCCGAGCCGAGGAGGGAAGTTGCCAAGGCGACAGGGACGGACGGGCGGCGAGAAGATGGGCGGGGGCGCCGGCGGTGGGGTCCACGCGGGCCGTCATCAGATGCATGGATCATTGCGTTCGCGGTTGGTATTTGAACCACGAGCTGCCCGCCGCGTCCCCGTCCACCTTCGCGGCTCTCTCCCAGCCAGTTGTCTCGCCCCCCGGCCCCACATTCGTTACGAACACGCATTCGTTTCCCGCCATGTTCTCCCCCATCCCCCTCCTCGTTCCCCTCGCCGCCCTCGCGCCTCTGGCGTCAGCACACATCGGTGAGTGCCCCCGTCCGACGCGACCAGCACGCGCCTGAACTCCCCCTGCTAGCCCTTTGGAATAAGGCCATGTACGGTTTCAACGTGTCCGCACAGACGTTCTCCTACGACAACCGTCCTGTGGTTCCTCTGGTGAACCAGCCGTTCGACCAGTGGTGGTTCGTGAGTGCCCAGTTCATCCGCTGTGGCCGGATAACCTACGGCCCGCATGTGGCGGTATTGACTGACGCGTGCCTGGACAGCACGGCCACCTGGGCTATCCTCCCAACGCAGGTGATGTCGCCGAGTTGCCTGCCGGCGGTACCTTCACCTCCGAGCTGTCTTGCGACAAGGGCGCGACTTCGAACTGGCCCTCGTCCGACGGGTACGTCCACTCTAGCTGTTTGTTTGTGCGCCTTCGCTGACCGTGCCCGTCGCAGCGGTAACGCAGGATACCCGAGCACCTGGCCATGCCCCGGCCAGGATTCCTCGCAGTTCCACACGAACAGCATTGACGACACCAAGGGGTGCAGCATAGCCATTGCCGACAAGGAGAATGCCTCCGACGTGCAGCCAGAGGACTTCACGATTATCAGCACCAACGACACCTGTGTATGGAACCTCAACACCGACTTCCAGATTCCCGCACAGTTGCCCGCATGCTCAGGCGCGAACTGCGTGTGTGCTTGGTTCTGGATCCACAGTGTGAGCATCCATACCTGCGTCGTGTCGGTTGAACGGAGGCTGACGCAGGTGCCCGCCAGGATGACAGCGGTGCGGAGCAGCGTAAGTGTCAGCCACGGTTGGCGAGAATCCGAATCTGATTGTCCTCTGTAGTTTACATGACCGGCTTCAACTGCAATGTTACCGGCGCGACCGGCACGACTCCCATCGGCCAGAAGATGCTCGCCCGGCAGTGAGTCCCTCACTCCGCATTGGTCCCCAAGGGTAGCTCAACTCACCTCTGGTCGTAGGTGCGGTACAGATACCACCACAGGTCTCACTGCCAACCCGGGCAACTGCACGATCGGGCCCAAGTACCCCATCTACTGGCTGCAGGCCGAGCGCAACAACGTATGTCTTCGTCTCCTCACGTCTCCCTCCCCCGTCCCTCCCGCTTATGTGCGCTCGCATCGCATACTGACCGACGGCCTGCAGTTCTTCGAGGGCTACTACGACGTGCCCTACTACAACCAGAAGATGGGCTTCCAGCCCGGCGCACAGGACGACATCTTCCAGGATGCGTACATCTCCTCGCTCGGCCCCGGGAGCGCGACGGCCACCGCCGCCGCGCGCCGCGAGGTGCCCGTCGCGGAGGCGACGCCGAACCCCGACGTGCGCGGGATGATGAAGCGGCACAAGCGCATGATGGACCTCGGCCACGGCTCGCTCTGAGCGCGCGCCCGATCCCCCGCATCGCTCTCGATACCGATACCGATACCCGTGAGACTGTGTCCTATACCCTGCAGGCTCGACGCGCTGCAGTTCCCGCGCGGCCTTGTAGGTCGCGCCTCTCCGTTTCATCCCATCCGCTCCCGCCCCGTCTTGTCCCCCGCTCGCCTTCGTACGCATCCTTGTTCGTTGCGCATGCCCCGTTTAGCCTATACGTGCGCGTGCGCCCGCTGGTCCTCCTGCCCTCGTGCTATCCTTATTATCGCTCTGTTCGCGCGCCAGGCCGTTGTCGACCGAGTCGCGTCGCCGACCCCGAATTGCATCCCGTTGTCCCCCGTCTCTGCCCTGTGCGGCGGCCCCTAGGCCCCGCTCGTACGTCGTCGGTTTCAATCGCGGCGGCGCCCGTTGTTGTTGGCGCCGCCGTGTGGGTGTGTATGGTCTGTGCTCGCCCTCTTTTTTTTTCTCGCTTGTGTGCTTTGGCAGGCTACGTTGTTGTTGTAGTCTCCTTGTGGATATGACATTGACAATGCAGATGTTGTTCGAAGTGCACGCCTGAGTTTGGCGGCGTGGTACGCGATGGAAGTAGGATTGACTGCACTGCCATGTCGCCTACATGTTCCGGCCGCACGCCCCGCGTCCGACCAGGGTCAAGACAACCAGTGTGCGTGTATGCGTGTAGAGTACGAGGATGTACGTGAGCATGTCCATTGTCTGGCCTGACCACAGATTGAAATTTGAAGCTTTGTGCTATCTAGGATCTACGTTGTACACGTTCAAGTCTGGGTGACAGCCATCCGCCCGCGAGTCTTTGTCTGACTGACCGTCGCGCCCCTTGTTTTCGGCAATGTCCCATAGAAGATAGGGCTACCGTACGAGGTCAACGTTGGGATTCGGACGATGGCAAAACCATCTTCGCCGGGCCAGGGTGAGTGCTTTGTATGGTCGGGCTGACTCTGTACATCGTGTTCATCAATACTCAACTAGCAGGTGATCGCCGTTGCAGACGAGTCCGGAGGAATGCGTCGCCCCGACGAGCTGTTCAAGGTGCATAGACATCACTTGGCGCGCAATCCAGCCGGGGGGTCTCCGAGGCATGTTCTCGTTCCCTCCTGGCAAGAGGCCGGCGCACTGTGAGCAAGGGCAGACACGCGAGTCCGCGGGGCGCTGTGGAGAGCAATGGTGCGTTCTGAGAACGGACGATAGCTGCGAGGCTTGTGGCGGAGGTTGTCTTCGAAGGTGTCGAGTATCGCTTTGCGTGAGGTTCAGATCTGTAGAGGATACGCCGCGTCGGAGACTGGAGGTCGTCGGCCCAGCATTCAGATGCTCGATTTTGCCATGTCTCCGCTGCCTGTTCATTCCCATCGAATGAGATAGTCCAGGCGGTTCAGGCCTGCATCTCGTGGCTTCGACTTGCCTGTGGCCCGGGCGAACTTGGGAGCGCGCCCATCAAATTTGACGAATTTGATGGGTGGCTTCGAGATTGGGATCGGTACGTGTACATATCTCGATGTCGATCGCGTCGGGCGTCCTCCGATCCCCGGGCGCTGGGAGTCGGACTCGTCCACCTCAGGTCCACCTTCGTCCCGATCATGTCCCGACTGCACCGCAATGACTGTAGATCTGACGCTATCGCCTAGATGGGGCTGCGGGACCGGAGTGGCCGAGGGGAAGAACCACTGAGGAGCCAGACAAAGTACACGAGTTCGGTGAGGTCTAAAGCTTCTGCCCGAGTACCCGAGGGCCGACCCCGACACGATACTTTGTATTGACAAGATCTTCCCTACTATACACAGGCGATGCGCATCGCGGACTGGTACTCGCTGACAATAATTCGATAAGCGCACTCTTCGGCGGCCAGTGCCGACAACTGGCCGTGGTCGAAGCCGTACATGTTGCCTGTGGTGGTAGTTTCGACTCCTCATTGTACGTGTTGCGATCATGCTAATCGATCATATCAGTGTACAATATACTGCCTGTAAGCCTTGATGACAGCCCTCCGCAATATTGGGCTGGGAAGCGTGCACTGCGGGCCACCATTCCGACTCCGTCGGATGCGGTTTCCATTTGTGCGGACGAGTTGGATCCCGCATTGGGAGGCTCTCCGGAGTCGTACAGAACACTCGTTCATGTGACCTCACGGAACTACCTCATGCCACCTCATACATACCGAACCAGCAACCCACACAGCAAACCAGTATGGAGGTGACTTCATATGCCTACAGACTCGCGGTGCTTTGCGTCATTCTCACACCGCGTACGGCCACATGTGACGGGTGCTTCGTTTAACCACATCACCGATATCTACATACGCCACACTCGTCCCGCCCAGATGACGGCCGTCGCCTATACGCGGAACCAATCGAAGGTTCGTGCGATAGAGGGTGTTGGACTCGAGACGTCGTAATCGAGGTTTGGCAGCACCTTGACGCATCAGCCAAATCGGACTCAGGACACTATAAAGCGACGTTCAGATCTGACAATTCCAGAAGCCCTCACAAACGCAAGTTCACCTCGTTCACCGTTAACGTTTGCTATCATCCTCTGTCATGTCTAACGCGTCGCACCTGCTCCCTGCTGTGCCTCAGACTCAAGGCCGTTCATGCACTACCTTCAAGATTCCGCCCATGGACGGCTCACTGACCTACCCTCAGCTGTTCGATTACCACGGGCAGCACTCCGCTGACCACCGCCTGTTCGTGTATGCAGAAGACGACGGAACCCTCAAGACAATCAATTGGTCCCAAGCGAGCCAGGCGATCCGCAGAAGTGCCCTGTTCGTGAGGGACCGTCTGGGCTGGCAGCCCGGTATGGTCGACGCACCGGTGGTCGCGATCTTGTCGGCCTCAGGTTCGTGTTTCGTAGACGTGCGACTCGTTACATGTTGACCAGAGCAATTACAGACTCGATTCCCTATGCGACGACGTTCATGGGTGCCATGCGCGCGGGCTATACCCCGTTCCCCATCTCTACGCGTAACTCGCCTGCCGCGGTCGCATATCTACTCGAGAAGACCAACGCCCAACATGTATTAGTCGGGCTCGACCAGGCCATGCAGGATCTTGCCAGAGATGCGTTCGAGATCCTCAAGTCCCAGTCCCAATTTGCCACCGCTCCTGGAACATCGCCCATGCCTGTATTTAGCGACCTGTACGGTGCAGACATCGCGGACGTCGCCGTCGAAGACGTGCCGTACGAACAGCGGGGCTTGGAAGAACGCACTTTCCTCCTACACTCCTCAGGTAAGCATTATATTTTTCGTGGAAACGCGCTGTCTTTGATTGCGTTGCATTAGGGTCCACCGCCTTCCCCAAGCAGATTCCTTTCACCTATCGGTCGATCCTACAATTTGCCAGAGCCGCTTTCTACGGAGAGCTCGATCTGACGGACCGCGTGATATCCCTACACAGCGTGCCGATGTTCCATGCGATGGGTATCCTCATGACCCTGTGCACTGTGCGTTTCAAAATGCGGATTTATCGTGTGGTGGTCTAACGGGATTGTCCCCAACGTCGCAGGCTGCTTATGGCATGGTTGCCGCCGTGCCCGCGCCGAAGACGCCCCCGGCGGTCCCAACGAACGACTCGGTCATCGAAGGAGCAAAGGCGACAAATGCTAATCTGCTCTTGACTGTTCCAGCCATGGTTGAGGTTCGTCATCGCTTGTATCTGGTCTCTTAGCAGTCGTGCTCAATCTTACCCAGGCCTGGTCACGCAACCCCGAGTATGTCAAATGGATTGCAACGCGTGACGCAGTGGTATGTACTGTCCCGAAGTTGATTTCAGATCCCCCTTTAATATATTTCTATCATCAGATCTACGGTGGTGGCCCGCTCAACAAGGAGCGGGGCGATTACATGGTCAATCACGGCGTCGAGATCATCAACATCTACGGATCGTACGTACAACGTCACCAGGAGCCATTCATTACTCTGACAAAGCTTCAGCACGGAATGCGGTCCTTTGAACGTATTTTTGACTGGTAAGCGTCTCCTTGATACTCTCATTCACGCCGAATCGAACAAAAACTCTCTATCAGCCAATCCTGGCATAGACTGGGAGCACTTCCGCTTTGCATCCTACCTCAACGTGAAGTTAGAACCACACGGCAATGACCAATACGAAGTTGTCCTCGTGGTAAGTACAAGTTCACACTTCCACCTTCATACCAACACGCGACTGTATTATAGCCAAACGAGTTTGTGCGGCCAAACTTGCTCAACACCAAGGTCGATGGAGTAGACGCTTACGCGACCTCTGATCTTGTCGCTCCTCATCCGACAAAAAAAGGGTTCTACAAGATAGTCGGCCGTACTGACGATCAGATCATGCACAGTACCGGCGAGAAGGTAGGCATCGATCGAAGTCTTGAAGGGTACTGTAGCTGACGAATGTGTAGACTAACCCAGGTCCTTTGGGTACGCTAAGTAGTTCATTGGTTGAGGGTCGCCCAGCTGACCGCGTCATTCTAGAATTGATGATGAATCAGGACCCACATGTACAAGCGAGCGTCATGTTCGGTCGTGGACGGCTCCAGGCTGGGATCCTGGTCGAGCCTAAGCCCGAGTCCAGCTTTGATCCCTCGGACGATGCCAAGGTTGCTGAGTTCCGCAACAAGATTTGGTATGTCTAAACAGGACATTGGTATATCGACTTGTGAACTAAGTGAGCCACTAGGCCGACTGTCTTGAAGATGAACGCCTTCGCTCCGCAGCACTCCCGTCTCTTCAAAGAGGTGCGTCTCCGCATCCATGCTTAATTGACGTTCCCTGTTTCTCATGCGTCTACAGATGATATTGATTGCGAAGCCAAGCAAGCCCTTCTTTTACACCGCTAAGCATACTGTGCGCCGTGGGGCCGTGATCAAGGAATACGAGGACGAGATTGATGCAATCTATGACTCGGTTGAAGCCAGCTCGCAGTCAGCCGTTCCACCTCCCGCGAGCTGGGACATTCCCTCGACGACCAAGTTCGTGCGTCGGGTGGCTGCACAGGTCATGGGCCGCACTATACCGGACGACGGTGATCTCTTCCAGCATGGCTGCGATAGGTATGGATAGATCGTGTACATCGCACTGCTACAGCCTCGCTTACTCTGCATTACTGTCAGTCTACAGGCGACCTATATCAGAAACACTCTTCTCCGTGCCGTCCGCGAGACTCAGAAGATCGACACGCGCCACGTCCGAGAGAGCTTCATCTACGACAACCCTACCATCGCCCAGCTCTCCGCCTCCATCGCCTCCATCGCCCTTGGTACCGACCGCTCAGAGAGCGCCAGTACATCTGCTGCGGCCCGCATTGACGCCATGCGCGCGATGCTCGCGAAGTACACTGCAAACTTCCCCGTGCACAAGGCCGATCCCAGTGTGAAGCGGCCTGCGGGCGACGTCGTCCTCGTCACGGGCACCACCGGGAGCTTGGGCTGTCACTTGCTGGCCCAGCTTTCGGAAAACCAAGAGGTCGCAAGGATCTATGCGCTGAACAGGCCTGCGAAGGACCAGCTCCCGCTCCGCGAGAGGCAGAGGTCTGCGCTGATTGATCGTGGGCTCGATGCGAGTGTACTGGAGTCAGAGAAGGTCGTGCTGCTCGAGGGCGATCTGGCGAAGGCGCACTTCGGTGTGGGCGAGAAGGTGTATGAGGAGCTCCGTCGCTCTGTGACGCACATCATCCACAACGGTATGTCTGACGTTCGAGCAGCGAGAATAAAAATTGATCGTCTGTCACCTTTAGCCTGGCGCGTCGACTTCGTCATCCAACTCACGTCGTTCGAACCACAGGTGCAAGGCGTCCGAGCTCTCGTCGACTTCGCCCTCAGCTCGCCCTTCCCTGAGCCACCCAGTCTGGTGTTCGAAAGTTCGATGGGTACGCTTCAAAGTGAGTCTCATTGATCGACTTCAAGTCATCGCACGTACTCATCACTCCGCCCAATGCACGCTAGATGCCCCGAACAACGAGTTTATCCTCGAGACGTCCTCCAAACCAGAGTATGCCATCGGTACAGGCTACGCCGAGTCCAAATGGGTCTCGGAGCAGATCCTCTTCACTTCCTCCGAGAAGACCGCACTGAACCCGCTCATCGCCCGCCTCGGCCAAATATGCGCCGGCCCCGACGGCGCATGGAACGCCCACGAGTGGTTCCCGTCCATTGTGCAGAGCGCGCCTACGCTGGGCTGCTTCCCAGATGACAACAGGGTCAGTCATACGCGTCCATCTCCATGTGGCGTCCAAGCTAACTTATCCTTCGCTCTTCAGTCCGTCGATTGGATCCAGCTGGACCTCGCCACCGCCGCGCTCATCGACTTCCGCAACGCGTCAAGCCCGACGCACCTCGTGCATCTCGTGCATCCGCGCCCCGTGTCCCTGCACACGCTGGCCGTCGCCGTCTCCGCTGAGTTCGCCGTCCCGCTCGTGCCGTTCGCGACGTGGCTCGCGAAGCTCGAGCAGCACGCCGCGCAGTCGCTCTCTGGCGCGGGCGCCGGATCGGGCGGAGACGCAGTGCGGAGCCTGCGCGCGCTGCACCTGCTGCCGATGTTCCGCGGGCTGGCGGAGAAGGCAGGAAAGGGCAACATGGCGCTCGGCATGACGAATATGGATGTGAGCAGGGCGAAGGAGGCATCCAGGACGATGGCGGACCCGGAGTTGAGGCAGCTTGGTGCGGAGGATGTGCAGAGGTGGCTGGCGTATTGGCGCAAGGTCGGGCTGTTCGGTCGTGCCTGAAAGTGGTCTTTGTGACTACATCTCGTGCCTCCTAGCCTGAGGCGTCAATATGACATCCGAGTGTTGTGTAGGATAGAAATCATCGATGGCGACTCTGTACGGACTCTTATGAGATTATGATAGTAGACTGTTACGGATTGCAGTCTCTTTAGAGCAGCTCAAGATTACGAACGAACGATTCATGGCTTTTTACCGGATAACTTTGCAGATGCTAGACAACGAGCATGCCTTGATACACCTCGCAGCTTCTTTCGCGCATGCATGCCAGTTCCAGTCATGACATGGAGATATTCAACCGGGAGTGCAGCCCCCCACGACATGTCATTGAAGATATGTACGTAGCGCCGCAATGCGGCACGTCGTGAGTTGCTCCGGCGACCTGACTTACCTCAGACCCATTCCCAGTCTTCCCAATACAATCGGGCGCGCGCGTCATGCAGCGCCCCAGGGCTGCCCAAGGCCGCTACCCTACCGGTTCGGTTGTTGAGGCTGCGGGTCCAAGAAACTCGGGCTTCGGGAGCAGGCACCCGCGAACCGATGTATCGTTGTACATTACCATGGTGAACCCGCGAACTGATGCACCGTTGTATATCAACATGGGAAACCCCCTGAAAACCCGTTCGATCGAAGTCCAAAGGAGATGCCAGGAACAGCCCTTCGCACTTGCACAGCGTACTCTTCCTCGTTCAAGGCTCCCAGTCGAATGGGTTGGGAGTCTGGGACTCTCGGGGTACCCACGGCATCCCAGAGCTGTCCGATCTGCCAAATACGCAACTGAGTTCTGATAGCATGAATCACGTTGTTGCGGATGAACTGGATGATACTGACGTTGAGATATTGACAAGTCAACGGCGCCGCCGTCTCTGCGTAGCATTCAGATAGATCGTGGCGAGGCGTGATCGCACAGAGCGTGACGGCAAAGCAGCCATGCGGCTTGTCCGGCTTGCGACGAATCCAACGGGTTGGAACCTGCAACATTGCAACGCGGTTCCCTTGTCCGGCGCTCAAGTTCATGGCAACTTCACGGCAACGCTAGCAGCCTTGATAGTCAGAACATCACACTGATACTACCAGGGCGCCGTGACCAGCCTGCTTGTCGTTTGCTCCACGAGGCTCGAATGTCGACGTTGACATGTGTGCGAGCAGCGAGTTGTTGAGATCAGATACGGGGCTCAGGCTTTGCGGGAAAAGGGTTCGATGCGGTGGTCCGGAGAGAGAGCTGACCCATCATCGTGTTCGTCAATAGGAGTTGAACGTTGAACGTTGAACGTTGACCCTTGGAGCTAGGATCGAGGGCTTCCGGGTCGATACTCGTGAGTACGCGCGTGAAGTTCGCAACGTCGCACTCGTAGGGATTCCGCGAAGGGCCTCCTATTCTAAGAGACGGATAGGCCTGATTGATTTATAAAACATACGCTGTTGACCACCTCTGCGCGCGTGCCGTCCGGCAGCGGAACTGCCAGAATTGCCACTATAGTCATTTGAAGCATCGACCCAATCTTGGATTGACAGCGGAGTACGTATGCTTGAGAAGATAGCTGGGTTCGAACAGACCTTCCCTAAACTCCCGCGTCGACTTTGGCAGATTGACGCTGGGTTATACTGTGCTCGATGTGGAGGTATGCAGGTTTGCTAGTTTTTAGGATGCTCGAGAGATGATACGAGGTGCGCTGGAACTGTGTTCGGAGAATGGTCCTGATGAAGATGAACGAGAGCTGAGATTGCTTGAAGGAGTTGGAGTAGACACTGGAGGTTGAAAGCCATCCAGAGCGGCTTGGCACCTTCGATCGAGGATTATTGATGTTCCATATATGGTAAGGTTGAAGAATGAGCGCGCCTCGAGTCACACTCGAGGGAGCGATCTACTCGATGTTCTCCACTTACTCTCCGTACCATTGGGCATACAGGGCGCCAAAGTGCTCTTCAGCGGGCGAAATGGACGTCGAATGAGCCCGAGAGAACGGGAGCAGCATGCATTGAAGAGAGGCCGCCACAAACTACTGACTTAGTAGCCGCCCAGTGAGAGAACGCGGGCCGCCGTGCTAGCGCCGGGGCGCCGTCGATGTCTGCTCGGTCCCGACGTCGTCCGGCACACTCCTCCTTAGCATTCACGCAGAACAAGGACAGCCACATTTGTTGTTATCGACCAAGACATATCTCCGGCGCGCGGTTGACGTAGACCGCAGTACACTCGGCGTGACGAGCAGTGAGTCTGGCACAGCCCCGTTATTAATTCATTACATACACAGGCTTGGCTACGCAGAGTTCGGAGCGACGTGTCACAGCTCTGCATATCTCGTAGGATTGCCGCCGGACGCCACGCTCCATAGTAGGCTCGGTGGGGATAACTCGAGCCTCAGGCCAGGTGTGTGATGGCGTAGAGTTTGAACCTTGTGCAGTACGTCTGGGTGTATTGTGTGGGGCAAGAACACTCACAGATATGGTAGGTGCGCGCGAGTCGTTGTATTCCTGCTGCGAGCGGGAGAATGTCGAACTGTATGGACTGCTTGCGACGAGCGTGGTGCCGGGATGCCGTGCGAGTACGGATCGAGGAGAGCGTCCGGCCACGCTGCGATGGGTGCTCCTGTCCCGTTTCCGCTCATTGGCATTTCTGACGCGCGCCATGACAAGCACCCAGCTCACAGATGCCCCAGAGGCGGCGCAGGCAGCGTCATCGCCGTCAGCAGACTGCACGCCCTCAGCACGCGACGCGCTGGACCCTGCCAGCGGAGGGACACCCACTGTGCGCGCGCGTGCGGCCTGGACCTCGAACATGCTCTTCCGGGCCAGCAAGGAGACTTCCGGTACGCATCAAAGTGTAAGAGCTCGCACTGCGCTGCTCCGATCCCACCAGGAATCTGCTCACGCTGCTAGCAGACGCCGCCCCGGCCGCCTCCTCGAGTGACCACAATTCGTACTCCGAGAACCATGGACCCTCCGCGTCTTACGGATGGACAACGCTCCCTGCCGCGCCTCCGACTCACATTACTGCCACCTGGTCATGGGCGGCTGCCCCGACTACTTAAGCAGTTGTCCATCTATGCTGCGCGCTCTCTCCGCAATCTATCCGCAAGGCCTCCTCGCGTCTGCTTCATCTGCACCGCGCACGCCTCCACATGCCTAAGCTCCTCCCCGGCTCCCGCTCTCGCAGCTCCTCCAGGACGCGCTGGGTCCCGGGGCACGCCCAGTCTGACTCCGAGGCCGACCTCCTCCCCAAGGTCAACGGCGTGCCCAGCCGGAATATACACGGCGGCGTCTGGTTCACGCGCAGATACACGAAGCTCGCCGTCGCGTTCCTCGTCGGCCTAGCGCTCTTCTTGGCCGTCATCGCGCTGGGCGCGCACTGGAAGTGGCGGCGCGCGCCCGTCGTGGCGGCCCTACTCGCCGAGCCCGAGCGCATGCCCCCCGACTACGCACGTTTCCACGAGTATGAGCTACAGACGTCCGAGCGGCATGGCGACTATGCGGACACGAAGTATATATTCTTTGCTAATCACGCACGAAGTGAGTATGCTCTCTGCGCGAGATTGTTCTTCACTGTTGTCCGCGGTTCCGCAGCATCAAGGCATGCATTTATGCCCCAGTCTTGATACACGATCAAGTCTTGCACATGTATGCCGCTCTCTTCCTCGTAAACATGTAGAGCCGTTGCGGCCCCGCCGTCGTGGAGCCAAAAAAAAAGCGTAACCATCGTGACGAGTTCATGCATTCTAGCCGGGTCGACGGATACAATCCTGTCAACAGCTTGTAGGCCATTATTGAGTGGCTGCTAGTCGACCTGCCAGTTCAAGGCTGTCGCTACCTGCCGCTTCAATGTGAACGGCCTGTCGCCTGTCTTATTCGCACGAGACATCTGCGGATCATTCACGCGAATAGAAAGGGTGGGATGAAAGCTGATATATCTCGACAGATTCTGGTTGGGGCAATGTAATGCAAGAACTACTCCTTCAAGCACTGCTAGCATATCGAATGAAGAGAACGTACGTCCCATTTTGCCTTCGGTATCTACCCATCTTAACATCGCCCGCAGATTTGTGTACTATAATTATACATGGCGGGATGACGGTTCAACAATCTCCTACTATAATGGCAAACCTATACCCTCGACGATACCCCTCTCTGCGCTCCTGCAAGGTATGAAGCTGACTATATGCGCCGTTAGTTCGATCACTCACCCCGCACTGCATAGGTCCGATATTGGGTACACCCTCCGTTATCGATCCTTCCGCAGCGCATCCGTTCGCTGTCACAGAAGACTACTATTACAGAGTATGCCCGGAGAACGAGCGCAAGTACATCCGTACGGAGGAAGTCTCATCGCTACTTGGGACCACATCCACTGCCGGCAACATGATTGAGAAGTGGGTAGAGGTCTTCGGTGAGCTCCCCGCCAAGTGCATCGAGATCCCGAGCGATGCCCCGTCCAACTTCGACATCTTGTACGTCCACTCTTCACTCCTCCTATATGTATTTCCATTGACACCGAGATATCCGTGTACAGCATTTTCGGCGACGCCAGCCGGCTTCTAGACGTCTGGCCGATCTTCTCTAAGTCGCCCATCCTCCAAGAATTCGCCTGGTCCCCGCTCGTCGAGCTCGCCTTCGACCAAAACCGGGAAGTCTTCGCGCCCACGTACGTCTACGTTCCGCCGCTGGGCACGTTGCCCATGGCGCTGTCCGGCTCCACCGCGGTCTCGCCGAGCGCCGCGCGATATGCGCCGATCCCGGGGCTGCTCGCGATCCACCTGCGGCGCGGCGACTTCTCGGAGCACTGCACGAATCTCGCGCGCTGGGGCTCGTCGTACGTGGGCCACAACGAGTTCCCGGAGCTCCCCGACAAATTCCACTACCCGCCGGACACAAACGACGACGACCGGATCGCCCTCCAGCGCCCGCACTGCTACCCGAGCATACAGGAGGTCGTCGAGCGCGCTGTGGAGGAGCGCGCGGCGCAGCGCGCGATCGGGCGGCCGGAGCTCGTGGATGTGTATTTCATGACGAACGGCCCGAAGGAGTGGGTGGACGAGCTGACGGAGGCGGTGCGCGCGACGGGTGGCTGGAGGACGGTCGCGAGCAGTAGGGATTTAGAGGTGAATTGGGAGCAAAAGTTTGTGAAACAGGCGGTGGATATGTTGATTGGACAGAGGGCGCAGGTGTTTGTGGGGAATGGGGTGAGTGCCCTTTCTGCTTGAGCGCGCTTTCCGTCGCTGTCTAGAAGGAGTCGTGCTGATGTCGCTTTGTTGCTAGTATTCGAGCATGTCGGGGCTCGTCACGATGTTCAGGATGGCAAACGGCATCCCGCCGGGGCAAAATCGCCTCCTCTGAGATCTCATCATTACTCTCATACGGGACTTTGCTTTGAATGGGACTCGCTTATTGGTGCTACGACTGTCGGGTCACGAAAGCTGTCGTATGTTGTCTGCTCTGCTGATTTCTGGTTATTGGATCATGCATACATGTAATGCCACACTCTCACGTTTATGAGTGATATCTATCCCCTCTGTGCATCCAGCTGGGCCATTCCGTTGAATTTCCCATCACATCCTCCTCCTTGTTTGTAGGTAACAATGGACGCGCGGATCATACTGCGCGCGCATTTCAGTGATCTCGGGTGCCTCGATTCGGGTTTACGTTCAGATTCAGGTGAGTACACAACGCCCATTCAATGCCTTGACAGATCTTCTATTCTAATGAATCTAATTGTATCGCCTCACGGTGAGATCAGCCCGTGTGTACGTCTCTCTATCCTAGTCCGTGGTATGCTAACCAATGGCAAGTTAGGCCCCAAGCAGCCCAACCTTGCGCCAGTAAGCCACCCATCGCCTCACATCCTCCGCCCCCAGCTGCCTTACCGCCCGGTCCGCGAGCGTCGACGATGCCGCCCGTGCGAGGCTCACGTCCATGTCCGCCAGGCCGAGCGCCATTCGCCCCTTCTCCTTGCCCTCCTTCTGCAGCATCCCACGGAACATGGGTAGCAGGTGCAGCGCGCGCAGCCCACGCAGTGTCTCCGCCTGGGCGGCGGCGCTCTGCGCATTGTAAGCCGCGGCCTGTTCCTCGAGCTTCGCGAGCCACGCGGGGAAGGGGACGAGCGGCACAGAGAGTACGTCGGAGACGGCGACGGCGAGGGTGTGCCAGGGGACGGGACGCGGGTGTGCGAGGTGCACGGTATGGGTAGGCGTGGACGCTTTGCGGAAGTCGATGATCGCGTCGGTTGCGATGTCGAGCGGAATCCATTGTACGTCCTGCAAGAAGGGAGATCAGCTCGTCTGCTGCAATCGGGGAAACAGGGAGATCTGGCGGCGCACCTTCTCGTCATCTGGGAAGCAGCCAAGCTTGGGCGCGCTCTGCACGAGGGATGGGAACCACTCCGAGGCGTTCCAGACACCGTCGGGTCCTCCGCAGACCTGACCCACTCGCACGACGAGCGTGTCTGCCTTCGTCTTCGCTGCGGCCGCTTGAAGGATCTGCTCTGACACCCACTTGGACTCGGCATACCCGCTTCCGACGGCCCAAAGGGGATCGACAGCCGATTCCGGGCAGAGTTGGTCTGCCGGTGCATCTGAGGTACGCAATTAGTTCGTGGCTGTTGTTCATGCGCATTGGAGTCTCACTTTGGAGGGTGGCCATGGAGCTGGTGAATAGCAGTCGGGGTGGCGAGGGCAGGCGAGAGGTGAGCGCGAAGTCGATGAGGCTGCGTACGCCCTGGACCTGCGGCTCGAAAGAGGGTAGGTTGATGGCGAAGTCGACCTTCCATGCTGCGAACGGGTCAGCCATATGTTCTCCCTGTGCTATGTACAGATATTCTCATACCGTTGTGGATGATGTGCGTCACATGGTGATGCATCTGCAAGAAATGTTTGAGCACAGCGTTTCCCGCAAGTGTCGAACAACGTACCTGTTTGTAGGTGTCCTCGGAGAGACCGAAGTGCTGCTGCGTGAGATCACCCTCCACAAGAACAACCTTGTCCGTGTCCAACACACTTGCGTCAAGGCCGCGCTCGACCAAGACCTTCGCTTGCCTGTCGCGGAGCGACGCCTGGTCTCGCGACGTCCTGTTCAGTGCATACACCGTTTTGACCTCTGGGTTCTTCGCGAGCTTTACCAATAGCTGGCTACCCAAAGCACCAGTTGTTCCCGTGACAAGCACAACGTCCTTCACAGGTTGGGCTGCCTTCAGCAGAATCGTCTTGTGCACGGGGAAGTCAGACGTGTACTTCGCCACCATGGTATGCATGGCGTCGACTCGGGCTGTCGGTGACGCGGAGGTGTCCTCCGTTCCGAGCGCAACAGACGAGACAAATGCACCAAGAGCGGAGATCGTAGGATGTTCGTAGACGAAGGCACCAGACAAGTCGCGCGTCCCGACCTTCGCGTCCTCGCGCAGTGCGTGCAGGATGGTGTTGCGGATATATGTTGCTTGAAGACTTGATGCTGGTCAGATCATACCCATCAAGAAGGTCGATATGGTCACCTGTCACATCCATGCTGGAAGACGTCATCGTCATCCGCCACCTGGTGTGTCATGATAGCCCAGACGACGCGACGGGCAAAGTCCGTAGACGCTGACACATCCCATTGCGAGGGAGAGGGGATGTTGGCTTGCGCGGATGCTTCTACGGTCTTGTACAGGGCGTCGATCTCCTCTTCGTACAGGTTGATGACAGCGCCTCTCCGCACTGTGCGTTTTGGCGTGTAAACGAAGGGCTTTGAGGGCTTAGCCACCAGGATCATCTGCCAGTCGTAGGTCGCTTGTTCATACGAAGTTGGAAAGACAAGCCTTTAGGTAACCACCCACCTCCTTGAACAATCTCGAGTGTTGTGGTGCGTATGCGTTCATCTTCTCGATCGTCGGCCTGTTAATGTATGAGTTATGAGCCATATTGCAGATGTGGACCCAATGCGCACCAAATCTTGTTTCTGAACCCAGCCAGCTTCGCCTCATCTGCTGGGTCGAAAACGTACTGAGGCTTAGGGTCGACAATGATCCCAGCTTGGAAGCGTCCACGACCGAACATGACACCGGACATGACGTATGGGTCTTGGCTGATCATGGCCTCTGTGACAGCGTCAGCACACGGACGGTACCATCCATGGTCAGTCAGACTTGCCAAGAGGTCCAGGGTTCGTCTGAGGCAAACGAGTTAACCTAGGTGGCTGTATTGTTGAGATAGGCTTACCTTCTCGCCAGTACTGTGCATGATCTGGTCGTCTGTCCGTCCAAAGATTTTCCAGAAACCCTTCTTTGTGGGGTGGGGGACGAGGAGATCCGAGGTAGCGTAGGCGTCCACTCCATCGACCTTGGTATTGATGACATTTGGTACCATCGATTCGTTCGCCTTGGCAGAGGTTAGACTTCACAGTGTGAAGGCCTGCGAACGCAATCTACTCACGACGTGGACAAACTCATACTCGTCATTTGCAAAGTGCTGCATCTTGTGACCAACGTGCGGAGCAATCTCGAAGTACTCCCATTCCTTCGGGGTCCCAGCTGCGAATATGACAGGCGTGAATGTCTATGTGAGCGCCTTTGAAAGGGATCTTACCTGGCAAAACGACGCTGATCGCACCGGACTCGGTTCTATCGCTCAGATCAGTATGTGGAACGTTTTATAGATAGGAGCAACGCACGAGCCATAGAGGACGAAGATGGTAACCCCTTGAGAGACCATGAAGTCGCCAGCCTCCTTGTTCAGTGGTCCGCCACTGTAGACCTATCTCATGGGTCAGTTGAGTGATCTTCGTGAGATGAGCGAACAGACCCACTATACCAGTCCGCGTCTTGAGCCAGTTCACATAATCCTGATTATGTGTCCATGCCTGTAGACCTCAACGTCAGTCTGATTGCAGGTACATATGCGTCAATGTGAAGGAGGCACCTCAATCATGGCAGGCACTGCGACGAGGATGTCACTATTCGCAGCAATAGCAGCTTGTATTGCCATGTCAGTTGTTGGGATGACAGGGGGAGACCGCGGAGCGAATACGCTGAACACGATTCCGCTGGACATCTGGACCGTGACCGCAGATTGTCAGAAGGAGTATATGAAGCACAGTTATTCTCAGGGACGCACCGCGAGCATAGTGTGGATGATTCCCAACGCATGGAACATGGGAACTGTGTGCAACGAGTAGACCTTGTCCGTCAGGTCGCGCTGGCCGTAGCAAGGCGCCCTGGCGATCTGCAGCAATCGCCTGTGGCTGAACTGGACAGCCTTTGGGAAGGCTGTCGAGCCTATACACCGCCATCTCAGCAAATTCACGCGCTCCTAAAACACGGGTTAAAACGAACCTGATGAATGCAGAATCATAGCTGGTGCGTCCATGCCTCTTGACTCGTAAGGCAGAGTGCTCAGGTCAGTGACAAGGCGATCCTCAGACGAAGGCGTAAAGAGTTCATCAAACACTGGCATGGACGACGTTCCAGGAATCGCAGCGTCCGAGCTCTGCTCCTTAAGGAGAGTGAATGCCTCCTGAGCGAGGTCGTGCATCGCTTGTTCACGTCCAATGAGAAGGTGCTTGACGTGCACCTTGCTGAGCAGGTGCGCGACGGCAGCGGGCGAGTTTCGAGAAGATATCATGAAGGGCACGTAGTTCGCGCGCATCATAGCCATGGCAAAGACGACATAAGGGATTGAGTCTGACAGACATATTAGTGGCGAGTTGGGTAGCACGAGTGAATAGACGCTACCTGAGCCCGACAGGATACCAACGACGCTACCCTCCGGTAAACCAGCGACGCGCTCGCGAATGAGATGGTAGCCCCGCGCGATGGCTGCCGCGCCTTCGGACCAAGAGATAGTTCGGATAGGGCCACGGTCATCCTCCGCGAACACGAAGAGACGGTGTGAGGACGATTGCTTTTGGTGCCAGTCGTAGATCTGGGGGATCACTAGGGACCCATCGACAGGAGGGACCTTGAACGTCGTACAAGAGAGACCCTGCGTCTGGGGGACCGGAGGCAGAGACATTGCGGTAGTGGCGTGAAAGAGTTAGGTGAACAGGATCTCAGGCTATGAGACGTGTGTCGATCCCGAGGGGAGCGGTGAGGTCTCTTATATACGACCCGGTAACTACACATCCGGCGTATGTCAGAGATGTTGACTTTGGTCGGTTTCCCTTATGCACCGCGATCGTCGGCGAGCATAACATGTGCGACTCCCGTCGCCGACGTAGCCTGAGCGGGCTAGTTCGTATCTCCGAACCGGGAACTTGTAACACCCGGTGCGTCCTGTATCTATGTGACGGACCTGTGGCGGACTCATCGCCATGGCAGTTAGGACCCCTGTGTTCAATTGTCGCGCTAAAATGGCCAAGGGTCTTCAGAACATTCACCGAAAGGCAACACTGCACGCCGCGTTGGTCACGAACATACCAAGGCGATGCGTGCTTCACTGCAGCTTCATGACGCATAGCGCGGCTGTTCATCGGTATGAATTACTGTAAGAGGGGAGGCCCGTTTGATCTGAGGGAAGGAATCGTAGGCCGTCTGGGTCCGGGAAACGAGTATAGGCCGCGATTGGGCCGCGACAAAGCTGGCGACGACAGCGTGCTGCGTGATTAGGAACGTTCATCCAGATCGGGCTGACGCACATCATCAGATCTGCATGTAAATCGCCTGCGATCAGATTATGTAAGTAACTCTGCAACTTGAATCGTTCGCTCGCGAAGGTGAAAGTCAGCCAACGTAGCGGGTTAAGCAAAATCATTGTGTTGCGACCTCTGAGCCTCGCGTGGTACATCCCTGACTAATGCACACAACACTCTTCCCATACTTCCCCATACGATGGCAATTCGCTCAGAAGCATTGCTGAGGTTCTTCTGTTCAGGTTCTGTTACACAGTGAGTTTAGACAGTGTGAGTCGTCCCGGCATACCAAAGCTAGTATAAATCGGTAACTACGAGCCTGTACCGTTCACGCTCTTGCACGAATGCAGCAGCGGTTCATCCGCGTCTCCACGCATGACGTCCCCGACGCCTCCTTCTGTCAAATGCGAGTGCCAGGATGCCGCTATCAATATGTCATCACTAGGGTAGCGTCCGCGTTTATCCACCTGCAAACATAGGTAAGCGGCCTCGATGCCCGATGCCCGAGCCCCCTCTCCCGCTCCGGCGGGTGCATCGATGGCTTCTCAGTCTGAAGAACCGCGCGTCGGTCGAGGAGTCGTCGGAATTGCGCCGGACAAGGTGTTTGTGACGGTAGCGGCTGTCGGAAATCGGATGACTTGCACTCTCCCGGATATGAACCACACCGGCCGGGTCACCTTTCTGGATCCGTGAATGTGATGATGGAAAGGTTGGCTACCAGCACGTAGAGGATAAGCATTGACAGAAGACACGGTGAGCGGCCCGAACAGGCGACGAACAGGTGCGACAAGCGCCTCGGGTGGCCTCGGAGTCGGAGGCTGCAGAGGCGCCAAACACCGCCACTAACGCTTCGTAGCATCCTTATCTAGATTCAACCATGACGGCACATGATATGTACTCGTCTAAGCCATTTGTTCGGTACTCCTTGAAAATGCAGGGTTGTGTGTTTCTTTGACTACTGCTGCCTGCCTCGTCTCACACGTACATGAAAAACTTAGGCGGCCGGTTTCTGAGCCATGCAGCGTACCGCGGATTTGGAGCCCGCAGAATGTGGTTGTCGTCGGTGAGTCGACAGTCAAGTTACTATGTCTACCACCTACATTACAACTGTACTGAATTAGCAGCTTTCTGGTTGAATTCTTTCTCGGAAATATGATCAAATAGCAGAAGAGACCGCTGTGGCGGCCCACCACAACCGCCCGTTTCGATACTGACCAGGGTGCCAAATTGAACCTGCGGGTAAGCAACCCTCGGGTTCGTACATGGGAGTTGTGCGGGTGGATGAACGGGACGGAAACAACGCACCCGTTGCTTCCGTCCCGTTCATCCATCCGCACAAGCGTGATGACCGTCCGACATCCGCAGCCTCCCAAACGTATAAAAGGAGGGCCATTTCGCTCATCAAGTCCATCCGCATCAGCTACATTCATCGTCTTGACACATCGCACTACTTGATCATGCCTGCTCCGTCGTTCACCCGCTCTATCTCCCTGGCAGGCCAGGGAAGTGTCGCCCGGTCCTTCTCGAGGTCCAAGTACCCCAGCTTCTCCGAGGCATCTGCGCCTGGCGCGCAGGGCCGCCCGAGCAGGCTCGAGCTGCAAGCAGTCTTGGCCCATGCGCAGGCACGCAGGGGCGCTCAAGCTGCATCGCACACAAACACCAACTCGGATGAGGGTAAGCTTCACTTCAACTCAAGTTCAGATCCAGTGATTGATTATTTCGGGCAGGTTCTCTCGTGGGGCTGGGTCTCCCCGCCGAGCTGTTCCCTCCCGCCCTCCGCGACACACAGCCGCGGATGGCGCCGATGGGGATGATGACTGTCAGCTACGCGCAGTCTCCCCTCAGAGGGGCTACAAGCGCACCGCCGACTCCCCCGCCTACCCCGCCGTACCCCGCCTCGCCCGAGATCTCACTCGCGAGGAAGGCATGGCCCATCGACTACGACGAGGCCGACTTCAGTTTGCCGTCGACACCCGCTAGCACCCCGGCAGAGCCGACGCTCCGAAAGCCGCTGGTACGGCCGTCGCTATTCATGATGCCGCACTTCGCTCGTGAAGCGTCCCAGTCAAAGCCTTTGCTCGGGTTGGGCATCATAGTCCCTATGGTAGCCTCGCCTGCTGAGGCCATTGCCAGCGCGTTCCCTGGCCCTCGCACTGGTCCTCGCCGCATCACAGTAAGTCACCCTAGCACCGCCTCTCTAGCCCATCGACGTGGAGGCTCACCGAATCGTGCAGGAGGACCTCGCCGCAGACCCAATTGTCACTCCCAGCGAGCTGATGGGGCGAAACTTCCCCCTCACGCCCGGCGCGCCCATGAAGGTGGAGCGGCACTTCCCTTTGACCCCCGGTCTCCCGCTCTACGCGGCCGTCACGCCAGCCTCGAACGCGGCTCCGCGCGACTTCCACCGCACGCCTGGCGCGCCGCTCTTCCGCCAGCCGTCCCGCGCGGTCGTACCCATAGCAGGTGCTTCTGCGCCTCAAAGCCTACTCGAGGGGCTCATGGCGAACTGGGGAGGCTCGAAGCCCGCGTCGCGGTGCTCATCGTCCGGCGGGCTGAGCGTGAATGAGGACCAGGTGTTGGGTCCGACCCCTCTGCCTACGCCGGCAGAAATGGTAGACATGTATTTCATTTAGACTGTAAAAGCAGACTCGTCTTCCTGCTGGCATGAGGATGTAGTCAAAAACAAATAACAAATAACAAATAACAAATAACAAAGATCATAGAATATTCCTCTCTTCGTCTGGTGCTTCGAGCCGATTGTAACATCACGTAAGGACATCGCGTTCCGCTTCAATTCCGCTAGGCCGTGTTCCACGCTCACTGGCAGCGCAGCACTGGGAGTGATACTTATAGTAAGTTGCGGATACGGGAGATGAGCGTCAACAACTCTCCCTAATATTATCACGGACACGATGCGTACCATATTGAAATGCTCTATTCTTGTCCCTTACTATGACGCTGTCGGTCAGGGCGTAAATCAGTGGCCTATCACGCAGGGAAGCCATAACAGGCGATGGACCCAGGTATTGAATGAATGCACATTAGCGGAAGTTGATCGTATGGTATAACATTGTCCTAACATATGAAAGCAAAATCGGAAGTCAAGGTGATACGTGTCTTGTCGTATATCTCCGCTGCTCGGTCGCTGAGTCGCTCAAGGTCGCCATAGAGAGGTTTTCATCTGTTCACGATGAGACAGCCTCCACGAACCTGCTATCCCCAGAGCCGCTCGGCCTATGCGCAGGCGGTTTCGCAGCCGACGCTATATTCGCGCTCTTCCCCCTCCTACTGAACCACCGGCTGCTCTCCTTCTTCTGCGTGGGGCGTTGTTCCGCGGGGCCTCCTGGCACGACGGACATTTGCGCGGCGGCCCGCTGGGCCTCCTCAATCTCCTTCTGCAGCTGCTCCGCGCGCTCGCGCAGGAAGGCCTCGAGGAGAGCTGCGTTGCGCGAGTTGGCTTTGTAGATCGCGAGGAAGACGTCGCCGACGAGTGGGATGAAGCCGACGGTCGCGGAGATGAGGTTGTTGGCAAGCATTCGGTGGTATATGTGGTCGGGTATCCTGCAAGTAGCGAGTTCAGCATTGGACGTGGGTGATAAGTGCGGGAGACGTACCCTGCTTGCTTTGCCTTGCGCACGACGAGGAAGTAATTAAGACAAACGTCTGCGACGTCTCCCGCTCCAGGAATGATGCCTAGGGGCCATGTGATCAGAGATGACGAGAAAGCACCTTGGTGAGGCATACTCACCGACTACGAACGTCCACCCGAAACGCATACCCAAGATGCGAAAGCCCTTGTCGAGGTAGTGAGCGCGTCGGTTGACCGACTTCAGGATCTGAGCATCACGAGGTGTCAAGCCGGGCGGGAGGTCTCTCTGAGCGTTGGCATGTCAGTTGCACAGAAAGGAGTGGAAAAACACTGGTGGGCGTACCTTTCGCCTCTTCTGACGACCCCGGCTGTCTGTGTATGTCTCGTACAGCGGATCCTGGGGCTCGTAATCCTTCAGATGCTGAGCAAACAGCTTTCGTCCTCTGCCCAAAACAAAGTTTTCCATGGTATCGGGGGAGAGGGCAAGCGGGGAAAGTAGCGCAGGGCGAAGAACGGGAGACGGTTTTGTATGAGGGCCGTGCTTGTGGTGAGCGAGGCTCCTGGGTGGCTACGGGCTGTGACGTCAGGCAGGTGATAGTCTTTCGCCGTGCCATCTCCGCGGTCTACTTGGCTCGAGCCCCAAGCCCCGGGTCGTGCAGTCGGCTGGCATGAGCAGTGGATGGGCGTGGGTCTCTGCGGACGCTGCCCAGGGCATGGTAGCGGCGCGGTCGGTAAATCCAGGTCCAAAAATACAGACGTGTCGGAAATTCTGTGGCCGGCACGTGGGATTGACAAGGCCCCGCTTCCTCCCTGAAAAGGCAGGCAAATTCAGGCCCCGCCGTGCCTACCGCGGCTGTGGCTTACGTTTACAAGCGTTACCTTGCACTTATCCTCCATCATATCGTCCGGAAAGCCACTTGCTGCCCGCCTCCTGGAAAATACTCATCACGCCTGTCGGAAATTGCGGGCGCGCTGCTCTCCAAGCAGACTTGTCGTTCATAACCCGGTGAGAAACACAACCCTCGCCTCTCTCTTCCGTCCTATCAGTCCATTCCCAGTGGCTGGCCATCGTTGTGTCAGTACCCAGCGTTATCCCGCTCATTTCTGCATTCAATACATTTCACTGCACTTCGCTTCGAGCGATGTTACTGAAGCGATGTATTGCCAGTCCAGTATCTGAGCCATGGCCGACGGCTCGCTTCACAGCTTGACCAGCACGTTGGCTTCAACCCAAGGCCTTGATCCTTCGCAGCAGCAACCAGGAGGCCAGCCTGCAGGTAGTGAGTTCCTACCGCTCAGTTCGGACAACTTCTCAGTATCTTGCAGTCGATCCCAATGCACCCCCGCCTCCACCTCCTCAGCTTAATGGAGCGCCGCTCGTGCTGGGCCCGGACACTGTCATCCCCGAAGTCCCTGTGAAACGAAAGCCCGGCCGCCCGAAAGGCAGCGGGAAAAAGCAGCTGGACCCAAACGCTGAACCCAAGCCCAAGCGACCGGTCGGTCGTCCGAGGAAGGATGGGCTGCCTGCAGGCTCTGTGGGTCCCAAGCGTCCGGGTCGGCCTCGCAAACGGCCCCCTGGCTCCTTCGCTAGTGGAGGCCAGTCTGTATCGGCCGCGTTTCCTGGCTATGCGGTGCGTACTGTCTTGTGGCTTAGGTACCGTGCGTAGGTTCTGAGACTGTGCTCTCAGCCGCCGTACCCTTACCCCGTGCAAGCTCAATGGAGGGCTTCTGTACCGCCCATGGCATCACTGCCGGCAGGCCCTCCGGCCCCTCCCCCTCCCGCGACACAGCTAGCGTTCCATATCGACCCCAACTTGGACAGGGACAATTGGGCTGAGCTATCTCGCACGAGGCCAGATGTTTTCCTCTCTGCTCTTGTGTCTGCGCTCGCATCGCCCAACGCTGGGTCGCACGCCGGTCCGAGCATGGAGGACGCCTTTCGATCGCATCTTGCCTCCTTGGCGCCTGCAAGCAAGAACACGCCGTCCATCCCAACGCTGTACTCAGTGCTGAAGACGTTCTGGCTGCCGTCCTCGCCTGTGTACTTCTCGTTGACGGCGTCTGCGTCCACGGCGCGCACACCATCTGACCACCGATTCCTGTACTGGGACCCGCAGCCACTCGTATTCAACGGCATCTCTTGCCCCGCCTGTGGCACCCCGCTCATCAACCGTGGGCGCATCAGCTCGGGGCCTATTAAGGTGTACGACCTGGGGAAGCCCTTCTTCATTATCGGCTGCGAGTACGTTTGCAAGGGACAGGCGTGCATCCACCAGACGACGCCCGACGGCAGGAAGTTCGCAAGCACGGACGCGTCTATCTTACGCGCGCTGCCGCCGAAACTTCAAGATGAGTTTCCTGCGTACCTCCTGCAGGGCGCGCCCGACCTCGGGACAGGCCCGGAGATCTGGAACTGGCAGGGCATGGGCGTGTCGCTCGCTCTGTGGAACATGGTGCACGCGGCATTGCGCGCAGGGCTGAGGAAGGAGCCCATCGTCGACATCATTCATGCCGTGCAAGACCCCGTGAAGGACGAGAACGTCCGGCAGATGCAAATGCAGATGCAGTTCCAGATGCAGCTGCCCGCGCCGCAAGCCCCTGTCTCCGCGCCGCCTGTTCTCGAGCAGCAGGAGCAGGAGCCGGAGGAAGAGGACGAAGAGAAGGAGGACGCTGATCACATCGAGGGTGACCTAGAGTACCCAAAGGATGTGAGTATACACACCTTGTGCATGCTACTAACCCTAACAGACGACCCACAGCCTACCGAGGAATACAATGAAGCATGGAACGCGAATAACGGCACCGCGGCGGCAGAGGCTGCTCAGCCCGAGGCGGGACCCAGCAACGCGCCTGACACGAATGGCCAGCAGGCCGCGCCGCCGCCGTCCATCAGCCAGGGCCCGCCTCCGCCCGCCAACGGGGTGGCCCCGCCGCCGCCGCCGCAGTACCCGGGATATGTGCAGCCGTACGGGCCCTACGCATACCCGCCATACTCGTACTTCCAGCCCGCGGCGCCGCCGCCGCCGCCCGACCCGAACCCGGCGACCCCGAACCCGAATCTGCTGAAGCGCACGTTCTCGATCGTGGACGGCTCGCCGGACTCGGGCTTGTCTGAGCCGATGCAGAAGCGCATCCGGCACTGCTGCAAGTGCGGTTCGAACGACTGCAAGGGCAAAGGCGGCCGCGCGTTCTGCACGAACCCATGCCAGGACTGCGGGAAGCTGTCGTGCAAGGGGAGGAACAGCAAGCGGCCGGATAGGACGTGTTCGGATGCGTGGCCGTGAGGCCTGTTGTGCGGTGGGGCTTGTAAAAATGGAGGGCTGTTGAAGGTTAGTATGTAAGTATGTTGGGTTCCATACAGTTTTGAGGTAGTCGTGTATTCTACCTTCCCATGCTATGCCGCTGGGAAGGGTGTAGTCATTATGCAGCCACTTAGCCACGCAGGCCTTGTCATTAAAATGTTATTCCAATTCCCCGCTACATGTACTAGTATTCTCAATCTGTCTACATCGTTACAGGTATATCACTTTCCTGCCATGACGGCCATCATAGACCTCGCTCCTGTTCCGGAGGGAAGACCCCTGTAGCCTCCTTGATCTCCTCCTTGATGCTCTTCTTGTCCTCCTCCACGTCGGACGTCCGACTGGAGTCGCTGTCCACATTGTCCGACAGGATGGCTTCGGGGATGTACGTCTCCATTGCAGGGAACAGCATGGATGCGGTGTAGTACACCGTGGATGCCACAACAAACTACAACTCGTTAGATCAGCGTTGCCGATTGTGGAGGGGAGAGGACGTACGCCGAATATCCATGCAAAAGCGAAGATGTGGACTGCGCCGCTGCCGACCTTAATGCCAGTGTTGATAGAGTTGATCCAGCCCGGGAAGAGCGGAGGCACGGAGCAGAGGATTGCAAGGACAGCTCGCCAATTCTGTTGTGCGCCCGTCAGCCAATCTGGCGCGCGCGCGGTGCTTTCTGGGTAACTTACGAATCCGTACGTGTAGCGGTAGCGTCCGTGGGGGCGGTACATGGAGGGGACGTCTACCTTGCCTTTGTGCAAGAACCAGTACTAGAGCAGCCCGATCAGTTGGTATCAGAATATGCGGCAGACGGTCGACTCACATCGGTGACCATGATACCGGCGAAGGGGCCAAGGAAGACGGTATAGCCGTTAATGAAGGTCAGGAAGCCCTCAGCACTAACAGATGTCGAAGTCAGCCATATATCTCCCACAGGCGCAAACTCCAACATACGTCGCCAAGATCTCCCAAGGACACAGTGCCCACCCCCCAAGCAGCGCACACAGAACCTGGCCTCTCCTGATGTTGATGTACCGCGGGAACAGCACCGTCATGTCGTTCGCGGCCGAGAGCGAGTTCGCGGAGATGTTCGTGCCGAGCGTGGTAAGCACCCACGCGAACGACGCGAAGAACGCCGCGGCGCGGTTGTCCCACTGGTTGATGAGCTTGAGCGGGTCCCAGAGCGTCTGGCCGTAGAGCACCATGCCCGCGCTCGTGACCGCCATGCCGATGAACCCGCAGAGCGTGAAGGCTATGGGGATGATGGCAATCTGGACGTATTGCCTGCGCAGAACATGTCAACGTGCATGACGGTCTCTGAAGGGCCGGATACTCACGCCCGCTCATTCTTCGCGTATCTCGTGAAGTCGGGAATGTTCACCGCTAGCGTCGAGTAGATGCCTAGCGCACTGTTCAGCGCGCTCAGCCACGCCCACGACAAGTCGCTTCCGTGCAGCGTTGCATGCTGGACGAAGAGCCCGTCTCGTGGAGGCACCTTGACCATTGCCCAGATGAGCATAGCGAGCCACATTCCGGGGACTACAAGGGCCTTCGCCATGAAAAGCCACCGGATCTTCTGAGGGGAGATCAGCATGAACGGGAACTGCGAGATCTCTGTTTCAATCTTCGTGCTACAAACAAGAAGAGGGTATGGAACGCACCTGGATAAGCCAGTACAAGAAGTAGCACATGATGCCGGAGGTCGTGATATTCGCGTTGGCTGGGAGGTGATTGGGTAATCTAGCCAATGAAGGCCAGATAGCTTTCAGCATCTGTACCTAAGATCAGATACCCGTGTCTCCTCTCGATGTCTGGTGAAGGATACACACTTGATACACGCATTCCGACCCTGTATATGTCTGGATGCCGAACCAGAACATTGACAAGAGCACCCGGCTGATGACGCTGAAGTAGCTAAACCAGAACCCGAAGGAAGACCGGTTCAGCACGGGGAATGCTACATGTAAGCGGGCACCGATTGTTCCGTTGAGAACCATTACGACGGAGATAATGATGTGTCCGACTGCGATCGCAGGAAGAGCTTGCCGCCTGAACCCTGCGTATCAGCCCTGTGTTCGTAGCCGCACGACCTGCGCAGACGCACCATGACAGACCGGTAGCCAACATGCTCGACGCGAGTTCCCATACCGCAGCGTTCGTCGCGTCCGAGATCCAGTACGCGATGTAGTTCACGGTCGTCCACGTCCGCTACCCGCAGCAAGAACGTCACTTCACCTCTCACACCGAAAGCAGCCAGTCACTGACCTCATGTGGAGGAACCGGATCCATGTCCTTGTTCGACCATTTGCTACTCGGTGCAAAGGTCGAGTGCTCCGGTTCAAGAGCCCATGCTGACGGCTTGAAGTAGGCCGCAACGCGGGTGTGCGTCTTCGCCATCGCGTCTGCGCGCAGAGGGTGAGGGAGGACGTCCGAGTGAGTCTGCCGCGGAACCGGGGCATCATCTCGGAGTGGGTGATTTTATATCGCAGGCTCAGACAATTTGACGACGGCCTGGTTGATGGAGATAACAGCGGTGACATCTTGGGCCCCGCTGAAGTTCTTCCCGAAGATAAGGGTTCGCCATAAAAAGGCTTCGCGCGTGTAGAGGTGTCCAGGAGCGCGGGGCCCCACCCAGGTCGCGCATATAAGCGAGGGCGCGCTGCAGGACAGGCAGTCGGGCGTGCCGCGTTTGACTGGCGTGCAGTTGTTGACGACCGTTGGACGACCCGTGCTCGAAGTCCCGGAACTTCACAGAGGCAAAGTAATGTGCCTGGGAAGGCTAGATGATGCAAAGTGGGTCCCTGGGAGACTGGACCGGTGTACAGCAGTACTGAGCTTCGAGGACCCGAAGGAATCTCAGTGGTCAGAGACTCGGCGGGGCCCCGCCCCCGGAATGTGCTAGGCGCTCAGGACTGAGCGCCGTTTGCGGATCTGTTATATATTGGCCACAGTTGTTAGTTGTGAATATATTCGTTGTTCTACCTGAACTGCTCAGATTCATATTCCAAGTATTCATCATCTCGACTTACCATTCAAACGTCGTCCGCGCAGTGGTGAGCGTGTCAACTCGAACAGAGTCGACTCGGACTGCCAGGGACGACAGCCTGAGGTGCCTGTGCCGCCCACTCCGAGGAGAATTAGCAATGATAAGAACCCATTTAGATCTTGCTCAATGCATTTCGCGCAAGTACTAGAAGGCTGAAGCAGCCTCGGAGGTAGAGAGAAAGTGAAAGTCGTCAGTCTTTCGGAGGACGCGTTACCTACATGCGGCCACGTGACCGTATGCAGATGCTCGCGCGACGCGTTCGTGGCTGAAAACTTGTGCTGCTCTCCACAGGTGGGCATAGCACAGGGGTGGACCTCGAGATGGGCACTGGGGTCGCACTCACTCAAACGTAAGTACACCGGGGTATAAGTATTGGCAAGCATTGGTGTCGTGATAGTCATTTGACAGCGTATGATACAGCAAGAATTGTAACCAAGCAGTAGACCCGTCTATCCCACTTCTATCCCGATTCTAGGTATGCGACTTACTACAGCAGAAACAGACAGCATGTCCTATCACTCAGCAATTATAGCGATGCACCACCGCACGTCTTGATGGTCTGCCCGGTGATGTACTCCGCCTCCTCGGAGGCGAGGAAAGAGACGAGCTTCGCGACATCCTCAGGCTCCTGGATGCGGCCAAGCAGGATGTCGTTCTTCACACGCTTGGCCTTCGCCTCACCGGGGCTGATCCCCTCCTGTGGACAAACATAGGTCAAACAACAGATTGTCTAGCGTCTGTGAGCATGTACTCACAATCTCAGCAAGCTCCCTGTCGATGTGGTCCCACATAGGCGTGTCGACGATTCCAGGAGCGTAGGCTACAGGGAGGAGTAAATGTCAGATGAGGAATGCTGTGTAACATATGGGTGAGGACGTGCCATTGACGCGGATACCGTACTGCGCCCACTCCTTCGCTGCAGCCTCCGTGAAACCACGGGCAGCAAACTTGGTAGCTCCGTATGGTGCGAGGTTTGCTGATCGATATGTGAGTGACCGACGGTCTAATGCCTCGCGGAAAGGGAGCTTACCCGCTGTACGGTATGACGCTATTGAGCCTGCACCGATAACGCGACCACCGAACCCTTGCTTGACCATCTGCTTCGCGGCAGCGATATAGGTGTTCATGAGCCCGAGGACATTGAGTCGGACCTCGTTCTCAATGAACCTGACGCGGCGGTCAGACCAGCCAGGAACCTCACCGCAAACTATGACTTACTCAGGGGTGCACTCGAGCAGGGGCTTGACCTGCGTCACACCAGCGTTGGCCACACTGACGAAGAGGTTCGGGCCGAGCTTGTTCACGGTCTCATCGACGGCGGCGTAGATCTGCTTCGCATCCCTCATGTCTTGGGTCGGGTGTGATCAGCGTACGCCAAAGCTGTTTGTGAAGCACGTCGCTCACCAGCGTATACAGCCACCGCCTTCCGGCCGTAGGACTCGATCTCCTTGATCACGTCGTCGACTCTGGGCTTCGCAGGAGGGATGTCCGCGATGGAGATGTCGTAGCCGTCCCGCGCGAGGCGACACGCGATGGCACGCCCGATGCCTTGGCCGGCACCCGTCACGAACGCGATGCGCCCGAGGGCGGCCTTCACAGGAGAAGCGAGCGACATTGGGGCGGGGTGGGGAGGCGGGAGAAAGGGGCTAGAGGGGTGGATGATAGGTGGGGGTATTTAAGAGCCTGCGAGGACTGGCCAGGTCCCTCCAGGGCCACGCCGGGTACCCGCGCATCATCCACATGAGCACGGTGAGGATGCGGAGAAGCGGCCGGTCCGACGCTCGCCGTCGACGCGTCCGAGGCCTTGATCGTCGCTCTGAACAGTTGTCCCGAGCACAGCGGTCCGGGGTAGCGCGTTCCAAGCGCCCTTCCCCGCTTCCTGCCTCCGACGCTCATCGTCTCGTCCGCTCTGGATGGGCGCACGACGCGCACATCTCTCCATTGGCGATGCTAGCGAGCCTTCGCAGGAGAAGCGCAAAATACGCATCCGAGAGCTGCTAGTAGGATCGTGACTAAATTCTTGGTCTAAGTTACGGCATTCGGAGACACGGCTCCGGTCACCATTGACGCGTCTCTCGACACACGGCGGCCAGTGTTTGCAGCAGGCAGCAGCTTTGTAGGCGATACACCAAAGCATCGTACGTGAACCAGAAGTGCGTGACCGTACGGAATCCTCCTCTTGTTGACTCTGACCCGCAGATGTAGGCAAGGATGTGACCATCGTTCTACGTCCAGTCCGGCGTGTCGCCGAAATCCGTGTAATTATGCAGTCTCGCAAGAGAGGATAATATCCGTGCTGCAGTCAGGGCAGTTTGGCTCGCATTGCCGCAGTAACGGTTGAGTCGAGACTGGCACTGGACATCTCGATGCCCCTCTTTGCGTCCTTCAGCGTCTGTCAAATATCGACAGAACCACCAAAGGAACGTATGAAAGCTCGACAATGATAAGCTTGTGTTCGACGTTGCTCACCCATTACATACCGATCATCAAATCGGAATGCTATCTTTATCGTGTCAGCTCAGTATGCCAATTTCTTCCTACATGTCCGTTGCAGTCGAACCTCCGTCTTCAATAGTCTCCGTTGCCGACCATAAAAGAACGACAAGCGCCGTCTTCAAGTGGTCAAGAGGTGAGTGCACAGTATTGTTCCAATATTTTGTAGCTCACCCCTGTGGCAGCATGCGCAGCGGACAGCGAAGGTGACTGTCGTGAGAGCAAGTCGCATCGGGATCGTGCTCTGGTGACCGACACGAGCTTCCGCGTTGTCTATCTCGACAGGGTGAATGCCGAATATGTCTTCCTCTACCCACGGTATAGTCCCGTTCAGTTCACGCTGTCGAAGCCTTAGTCAGAAGGCATTCCGACTGTGGAGAAGGACAGTACGATGATGGTGAGCGAAGCACCTCTTGGAACAGTATGTCCTAACCTTGGAACCTTGGATTCCCCGACAGTTGGAGTGACTCAACTCATCAATGGTGCGATACGACGCCTTACGGGTTTGACATACTTAAGCCTCATACTGATTCCACGGATCAGTTATATAGATTGTCCGTGACGAAAACGTCTGCTACCGAGGGTTCCCATGTCCTCGCCACAGCGACTACTATCTGACGTGCCTCCAAGGCAAAGGGTCCCAAGCGCGACATTCAAGCAACCTCCCTTAGATGGTTCCCTGACCCTCCCTGAACTCTGTGATTGGCATGGCCAGCACTCTCCGGAACACACACTCTTTGTCTACGCCGAAGACGACGGGACTATCAAGAACATCAAGTGGTCGGAGGCTAGCCAGGCCATCCGCAGAGGTGCCGCACTGATTAGGGGCCGTTTGGGATGGAGGAAAGGTACAGACGAGACCCCGGTGATCGCCATAGTATCGTCTTCAGGTGCGCAGCACCGTGCTCTGTATGTGGTCGCTCAGGCTAACTACGAGTCATGATACGTACACATATTCCAGATTCTATCCCGTACATGACCATGATATTGGGGATCATGCGTGCGAACTACGCCGCCTTCCCCATATCCACGCGAAACTGCCCCGCGGCCATAGCGCACCTCATCGAGAAGACAAGAGCTACCCACATTTTGGTCGGACGTGAACAAGCCATGCACGACCTCGTCATGCAATCATTGGAGGTGCTAAAGGCGCAGAATGTCGCGGCTCGTGTGCCTGAGCTCTCACCGATGCCGATTTTCGATGAGCTCTATGCGAGTGGCGAAGACCTATCAATGGAAGAGGTCCCCTACGAACAGCGAGGCCCGGATACACTCGCTTTAATCTTGCATTCGTCAGGTGAGTGTTATTCGTACTTTCGCGTTTCAGACGACAGCCGTGAACACTGCTGTAGGATCGACTTCGTTTCCGAAGCCTATCAATGGTACTCTCCATCGTCTGTTACAATTCGCCAGAGCCCCATGCTACGGCGAGCGCGACCTCGCAGGCAAGATCATGTCTCTGCATGGTAACCCCATGTTCCACGCAATGGGCTTCACTATCGCTAGCTTCGCTGTAAGTCTTCGATCGAGCGTATCTTCATTGTATGTCACGGTTTTGCACCTGCAGATCACGGCTGGCATGTGCGTCAGCTTGCCGGCGCCCAAGAACCCCCCTCCAAGCTCGACAGCGGAGGTGACGATACACGGTGCCATGAATACACGTTCGGACTTGGTCCTCGCGGTGCCGTCAATGATAGAGGTTCGTGCCAGTAGCAACTCGATGTGAGCTTCCATCGCTGACGCACAGGTACTCTGCAGTCCTGGTCACGCAACACCACGTACGTTGAATGGTTGAGTCAATGCGATGGTCTTGTAGGTGTCTTGCGCACGATGAGTGACACGGACTCACACTCACGCTGTCCTGTTTAGGTATTCGGAGGGGGCCCTCTCACCAAGGAGGTCGGGGACTACTTGGTCTCTCATGGAGTGCCTCTCATCCTCGAATACGGGTCGTGAGTTCGCGCAACACTTCATCAATAGCGTAGTTGTTCATGTCGGGTCGTTGGTAGCACCGAGTGCGGAGCCGTCAATCACTTCCTACAGGGTCAGTAGATGTACATTCAGTTCAAAGACCTCTGGGACGCTGACGATCGCCTTCGCAGATGAGCACCTTGGCGATGATTGGCAGTATTTCCGTTTCGCCGATCATATTGATGTCAGGCTGGAACCCTACGTGACTGGCCAGTACGAGTGCATCATCATGGTCAGTCCCCTTTCTGTGAGTGAGTGTCATCGAAATTAATACTGTTGCAGGCGAATGAACATGTACGCCCCCACGTGATCAACACTACAATTGACGGAATCGATGGCTATGCTACCTCCGATGTACTCGAGCAGCATCCCACTAGAAATGGGTATTGGCGGGTCCTCGGTCGCACAGACGACCAGATCATACATAGTACCGGCGAGAAGGTGATTAGACATGGCCTCATTGAGTTTTTTTTTTAGCTTATGCTCAGCAAGACAAATCCAGGGCCCCTAGGTGAAATGCATGTCGACTCAAGTGATTGCTACCGTACTGAACATTACTGATGCAGAGGGTACGATGAATCAAGACCCGCATGTCGTAGCGTCTGTCATATTTGGCCGCGGTCGGTTCCAAGCAGGCATACTGGTTGAACCGAGAGCTGAGTATAGCATCGATCCGGCGGACGAGAATAGGTTGGCCGAGTTCAGGAATCAACTGTGGTATGTGCCTCAGGTCGCGTTGCCTCTCTTTGATTATTTATTGATAGCAAGACCCAGGCCCACTGTACAGAAGATCAATGCTTTTGCTCCCCAGCATTCGCGGCTGTTCAAGGAGGTAAGACGATCAGCATCATACTCATCGCTGTGAAGCATGTATACCCTGACTGCATGTAGATGATCCTTGTCACGAAGCCAAGCAAGCCGTTCGCTTACACTGCGAAGCACACCGTACGACGAGGCATCGTACTAAAGGAATACGAGGAAGAAATCAATGCGCTCTACGACACGATAGACTCCACCACAGAAGTGAACGTTCAATACCCAGCACAGTGGCACCCCGCTCAGGCGACCTCCTTCGTCCGAAGCGTTGTGCATGATATCATGGGCCTCAAAGTGTCGGACGACGACGACGTCTTCCAGAACGGATGCGACAGGTCAGTTTTGCCACTTCTGATATGCCGATAGGAGCGAACTGAACGTTCCATGTTAGTCTGCAGGCCACGTATATCCGAAATGCACTGCTTCGCGCGATCCGCGAGTCATCGAAGATCAACACACATACTGTTTCCGAAGGGTTCGTATACGACAATCCGACCGTCTCGCGCCTAGGATCCTTCCTCACTTCCGTCGTACTCGGTGCCAAATTTCCGAGCAGCAATCCTGAGTCGTCCATTGCCCGCATCGCCTCTATGCACGCAATGGTGGCCAAATACACAACCGATTTCCCGGTGTTCAGCCCCGACAGAGCTGCTTCTGGCCAACTTTCTGGTGACGTCGTATTGGTGACCGGCACCACTGGCAGTCTTGGCTGCCATCTTCTCGTTCAGCTGGCTTCGAACTCTGAAGTCCGCCGCGTCTATGCTCTCAATAGACCGGCTAGAAATGGCGACACAACTCGGCACCGCCAAGAGAGGGCGTTGCTCGAGCGGGGTATGGATGTAGCGATCCTAGACTCCGATCGGGTGGTAATGTTGGAAGGAGATTTGACACAGCCCGGTTTTGGACTACCTGCAGATACGTACCACGAGGTATGTTGGCTCATCACCATGTATCACAGAACCTTTCACTCAAATACTCAGATGCATACCTCGGTCACGCATATCATACACAACGGTACGCATTCCGAGTTGCATATGTGGTCAAGTGCTCATGGTGCCGGTGCTCTTCATAGCGTGGCACGTCGACTTTGCGCTTAAGCTTTCTTCATTTGAGCCCCAAGTCCAGGGGATCCGTGCGCTCGTCGACTTCGCGTTGACTGTACCGGCAAGCACCAAGCCAGCCCATATCCAATTCATCAGTTCCATAGGAGTTGTGCAGAGTAGGCACTGATTCTCATCGAGGGCTAGTCATGGCGCTGATGATGGTACAATTGCTTTACCCAGATATGCCTCCGGCCGAGCTCTGTATGGAGGAATCGGTTGATCCGAGCAACGTAGTCTCTACCGGCTACGCTGAGTCGAAGTGGGTGTCGGAACAGATACTGTATACTGCTGCAGTCCGGACGCCACTGCGTGCTCTGGTCGTCCGGCTTGGTCAGGTATGCGGGGGCCCCGATGGCGTATGGAACTCCCATGAATGGTTCCCTTCTATGGTACAAAGCGCGCCAGTGGTGCAATGCTTCCCAGATGACACAAGAGTGCGTGCCATCGCTCACCGGAATCCAAGTAACTTATGTGGTGGCAGGCCGTTGATTGGATACCCGCTGACCTCGCTGCTGCCGCAATCGTTGACTTCCGCAAGGCGTCAAGTCCAACAAACACTGTACATCTTGTGCATCCACGGCCCGTCTCTTGGCGCTCGCTCGCGACATTTATCGCTGGTACATTCTCAGTACCCCTCGTCTCGTATTCGGAATGGTTCGCCAAGCTCGAAAGTCTCACGTCGGAGTACAATTCGCGCTTTGCTGTCGCGTCCTCAGGCAATGATTCGCCTCGTGGGTTACACGCATCGCGCCTGTTGTCCTTCTTCCGAAGCATAGCGGAAAATTTCGATGCTGGGCCGGTAGCATTGGGGATGGTAAGCCTTGACCTAAAATATTCTCTCAGCGCATCATCCACGCTGTCAAACCCCGAGTTGAGACGATTGCACACGGAAGATATGCAGAAATGGCTGTCGTATTGGCGGAAAGCGGGCGTCTTTTCATGAGAGAGTGCCGTTCGGACAATGTCAGTGCCTCACACTTCCACAACATCGTTTCTATATCAATCATGTGCTGATGCATGCAGTTAGTGTACGTACTGAATATCATACAAGGCTTCCTTCGCCGTGCAAAGCACTGGCATATCTTTATCTCGAACAGTAACGCTTTCTGATCGACACTGAAGTGGAGTTGAACATCTTCGCCAAATCTTCTCGTGCCACTCTGTGGGCGTGGGCGCTCTTCACTGAGCATCATCATGTTACGTCACAAGGCTGGCACTGGCAGCGCTGGCCTGCGCTGGCCAGTCAACATAAGTATACTGGCTGCATGTATAACTTGGCAGTCTACTCCCGCCTTGGTCACTGCGGAGTCCGTGTTCCTCGTGAACATAGCGCGAAACGATGTCGCGACTCAGAACTGAGGACGACAATCCCACAGAAGACACACCTTTACTACAGGCAGATGTCAGGGTGGATGGTGGCGATGGGAAGGGGCCCGTTGCAATAACGCCTCTTCCGAAAGCGCAGATCAGTATCTTATTTGTTCTTATGCTCGTGGAGCCAATCCTTTCCCAAAGCATCTATCCCTTCATCAACCAGGTCTGTCCCTGGCTACATTTAACTAAGGTTTACGCTGATCTAATAACTAGCTTGTGAGCGAACTCGACATCATACATGGCGATGAGAAGAAAGTCGGCTATTATGCCGGCCTGATTGTGAGAACTCGACAATGCCCGAACCATGGAGGTACCGTAGGCTGACCTATGCGGAGAATCATAGGAATCCATATTCTACCTGACCGAAGTCGTGTTCGTGATCCAATGGTCACGACTGTCTGACTACATCGGTCGCAAACCGGTATTGCTCATCGGGATGGCAGGGGCAACAACATCCATGATATGCTTTGGCCTCTCGAAGAAGTTCTGGCAACTAGTGCTCAGGTCCGTGTACACGTCTGTGACTAATCAGTTGCAATCTCAAGACATGCCATGACATCGTAGTCGGTGTATACTGGGCGCCTTGAATGGCAACGTTGGCGCTATGCAAAGCGTTGTTGGAGGTATGCATCCTGCTCCTAGTCAAACCGCTTTCTCACAGGGCGCATGCATGCTAGAACTCACCGATTCGACCAATATGGCCCAGGTGTTTGCCCTCATGCCCGTCGCATGGTCCGTGGGCGCCACCACAGCGTAGGTCATATCAGTTATGCTGTCTCTTTGCTTCGCAAAGCTCATTACGTGGCGTGATAATAGGCCGTTAATTGGAGGGCAGCTAGCCAAGCCTCACGATAGATGGCCAAACGTCTTCGGGAACAAATTTTGGATACGATATCCATACTTCCTTCCCTGCGCTGTTGCTGCGGCATGCGCAGCGCTCGCCTGTCTCATTGCGGCTCTCTTCATGAAGGAGGTTCGTGGACTTTCATTGCTCCTAGGAATAGTGGTTGATGCATCGCAGACCCTCAAACGCAAAAAGTCTCTCCACTCTTCCGCGTCTTCCTGCGAAGACCCCGAGGAGCAAGCCTCCGAGACCACCGTTCCCCTTCTTACACTCCTCAAGCACCCGCGCGTCCTCCTTTCCGTCGCAAACTATGGCGCGCTTTGTCTACTTGACATAGCGTATCGGGCAGTCCAGCCTCTCTTCTTTGCAACGCCGCGCTCGTTGGGAGGTCTCGGCCTTCCGCCCTCGACGATCGGGCTGATCCTCGGAAGCTTCGGTATCTTCAACGGTATCCTCCAGGCGTTGTGGTTCGCTCCACTGGTCAGACGCTTCGGCCCTAAACATGTGCATATGGCTGGCTTGGGTGCATTCATTCCCCTCTGGATACTGTTCCCTGTGATTGGGGGGCTTGCGCACTGGCAGGGAGGGATGACACCTCTGGTATGGTCGATGGTCATGCTGCAGCAGGTCGTGAGCGTCGTAATGGACACAGCATATGGTGGGTCTTGACTCCTACATATAAGCAAGACTGTCTGATTATCTGCGTTGCAGGCTGCGTATTCATGTACATCACGTCCTCTGCACCGAACAGGAGCTCCCTCGGAGGGACCAACGGTATTGGGCAGCTTGTCGCGGCATTCGTGCGGGCTGTTGGACCTGCCTCTGCTACTTCGCTCTTCGCGGTGTCGCTCGAGAGGAACTGGCTTGGTGGAGGCGCCGTTTGGCTTATCCTTATTTTGGTTTCATGTGCACTCTGGACCGTCTCGCTCCATCTGCCGAAAGAGACGTGGCCAAGAGAGAGCGATCATCATTCAAACGAAACCGTGGTCGGGAGTGACTGTGATAGCCAAACTGACAGTTGATGATACATCTTTTTATGGCGCGCACCTATATTGTATCGATACTCGGGTTTTTCTGGTGGGACTCTGTGAGATTCTCAGTCTCATCGCGGCGGGCTCAGTCGAACGATCACAAACCTCGGTGAAGTGAAGTAGTGAGTGCTATGATTATCACGACCATACATGTAATTGAGCTTCCCTAATATAAGTACTTCTGCTCTGCCGCGTGCAGAAAAGCATCACATAAGACCAGGATCTTCGACCGCCACGTTGGTGGCTACGCGAAGATACACGACATCAGGTGACCGCGTCGTCTGCTGCACCTCCTGCGCGACCATTCTTTCTTGCTCCTGTCCGCTGTCCATCAAAGCGATACGAAGACGGTGCGTTCATATTCTAGCGAAGCAAGCACGAATGCGGCAGATCCCAGAACGCTGTTGTACAGGATGCTCTGGCCGACGTAATACTACAGATCCTTAACATCAGCCTGTGGGACGACTGGGCAATCAAGACATGGCGACGAACCTCGTATGACGCTGTCGAGTTCAAACTGCACACCGACACTGTGCCGTTGTACCCCAGCGTGCCGTTTCCGTTGTCCACGACGAACGTATCGGCGATGTACTCGTATGCCCGACTCGCTACATCCACGTATGACGCATTGGCAATGGATCCCGTCGTGTCATCCCCGTTCATGGCCTCGAAGCCCCGCTCGAGATATCCGAAGCGAACGCCCTTTAGCAGCGCGTACACGAACATCGAGCTCCCGCTGCTCTCGATGTAGTTGCCCTCCCGTCCCGGCGCGTCGAGCACCTGCCACCACCCACCCGTCGCCGGGTCCGCCGCGCGCGCAACCGCGCTCGCCAGCTCGACGAATCTGCCGTGCAGATGGTGCCATGCGTCCGCGTCGACAAGCGGGCCTTGGAGGAGCTCGAGCGTGTCCACGAGCGCCATCGCGTACCATCCGAGGCTGCGCCCCCAGACGTGCGGACTCGCGCCCGTCGCTGGATCCGCCCAGACGGCCGTCTTGGAGGCGTCGTACCCGTGCACAAGGAGGCCCGTGGTGGCGTTGTAGCAATGCTCCCAGAGAAGGTCGAGCTGGTGAGTGACGTTCTGGACGGCGTGGCGTAGAGCGCCGATGTCGTACTGCACCGCGTACGCGGCGCTGAAGGGCGCGTAGGAGTACATCCCGTCGAGGTAGGACCAGTCTGGGTATGTGTAGTACCATAGTCCGCCTTCCGCGTTTTTCGGCTGAAGATCGACGGAGTCCCGGAGCGCTGTGAGCGCGTCTCCGTAGGACGCGTTGCTCGTCTCGGTGTATGCGCGGAGAAGCGCGTTCCCGCTGGAGAGCCTGTCAAGCGGGTATGCGGTGTCGTGCGATGCGTTCGCGAGGACGCTAGTAACGGATTCGACGGATCGCTCGATGTACGTCGTGACGCTGTCGGCGATTGCACTGGAAGGGTAGGCTGATAGAAATTGGTTGAATGCCTTCTGGGTGAAGCCTGCTTGGAGGAGTTGCGAGGCGTCACCGGGTCCGCCGAGAACACCTTGGTTGCGGGCCATGATACTGGTGGCCATCCATGCCGAATAGTTGGCGGGAAGGCCTGCTGCATTGGAGGCCGGAAGCGCAGCGGCAAGGGAGAGGAGGAGAGGAAGGGCCATCGGACCGACACCTCGTAGTGAACGCATGGCTAGAACAGCAGGAGGATGCACGAGCGAAGGTTGACACTCCCTACCGAAGACGTGCCAACCTTTCAATGTCCTGGCACTGCTTGCTAGCTTGAATCCCCGCCGTTGGCCGTACGAACCTACGCAACGGAAACGTGCGCGTCTCTAAACTGGCCATCTGAAACCAAGGTGCCGGTGCCATCATTAATGTCATCCCTTAGTCAGGGATTCCCCGCAACGCCAAAGGCTGCAGCTGGGTGAGGCTCTCGGTGTTGTGCGTTTGCGCGTACACTCCGCTATAATCTCTATACATAGGTCATCGCGTCCGTGTCCATGAGCAGATACAGTCGCAAAATAAGGGAGAGGCGAGACACACAATGTTGTTTTCCCAATTAATCTCATCGAGCGTGCATCCGAGACTCGAGTTGAAAGGTGCGTGGCGTGCAGGTGGCGTGTCAGTGTCACATCACCGGTACCGCCGAGCCGAGGGTGATCGGATCCACCCTGGTCGTCCTCAGATCGCCAGCGTCCGGGCCCGCGATTGCCTCCTAGACAGGATCTGCGACCACGCATCTGAAGACACAGATGAGTGCACCGCCGCCTGAAGGCCTGGGGTCGATCGTCAGCCCCAGCGCAGATCAGGTCGCCCACCAGCCAGTCGGTCCTCCATGATCCATGAATGCATGATCGCACATGGACAACAATAAACTGTATACTGTATAAGATCGACGTCCCCTCGAGCCAGACGATCGGCGCGCTCCTCCTCGAGCAACTCAGCAAGGTCACGACACACAGCCCGCAACCGACCGAGACGGGCGTCGGGAATTCTACATCCATTCGTGTATGCGGACGGTGGACTACAGAAAAGGGAGAGAGAGGAAGAGAGAGAGAGTTGCAATGTGACGTATACGATGTGCTTGACCGTGTGAGCGTGCGGACGTGGACGGGGACGTGAATGCGGACGGAGGACGGGGAGTGGTGGAAGAATGCAGGGCGGGCGCGGCGTGGAGGAGGGGTAGGGTAGGGTAGGGGCGGGTATAAAGCGTGACGACGTGAGCAGACATAAGCAAAAGGCGACGGCGCGCGGAACCGGGGGTGGAGGCGAAGCGAATAACTGAGATACGAGGACAACATGCATAGGTACACACACGGACGTGCCGGTACCACTAGATCAGAGCGACGACAGATGACAGACGAAAGGAAACGAAGGGACCGGGCCGGAGCGAAAGGGTGGCACAGCGCAGACGAAGGCGAAGGGTAGGATGTGCGCATGCGTGGAGAATGTGTGTGTGTGTATGTACGAGGGAGGGAGGAGCCGCGGCGACTGCGGACCAGAAGACCGACAAACCGAAGCCCAACAAAAACAAAATGTGCAAAAAACTAACCTGAAGATTCAGAAGACGACCGGCAGATAAGACACGCACTGACGATAGGCTCCGCAACGCAACGGCGCGAGACACGACAGGCACGCGCATCACGATTCAAGCCAGCACCTTGCGGGGTCCGTCGAGCTGCTCAGAAGCAGCGGGGAATCGAAGTTCGCCGAGAGGCCGCGCGCCGTCGTGTATGGGCGCGGCGACCTCCGGGGTTTTGAGTTCGGGGGCGGGGTCGTAGGCGGAGTCGTGTATGTCGCGTTCGGAGAGCGTGTGTGTCGTGTCGCGCGCGGTATCGTAAGACTCGTGTATCTGCTCGTGGCGCGACGGCAGCGCGGGCGTGGGGTAGGGGATCATGGGGACTGCGACGTCGGCGTTGGTGGTGTCGGCGGCAGGGATGTCGATGTCGGTTGGAGGCGGGAGGAGGGAGTCTAAGGGTGCGTGAATGTCTGGGAAGGCGGGGGCGGGCATAAGATCAGAGGGGAGTGTATGCGACGACACTCCCTCTCGTGCGTCGGTCCCGTCGTGTGTCGGGATACCAGGATAGCCCACGGCATTGACAGCCTCACCTACAGTTCGCACGACCCCCCGAGGCACGTCGACGCCTCCCCGCTCGGCATCCGCATCGACTCGGTCGACCGCACCAACAACCTCCGCGTCCTCCGCCTCCCCGCATCCACCTCCACGTTCCCCGCCCCGCTCGCGCGGGCCACCCACGACTGTCTCGTCGCTCTCCCGCCTGTCGAGGTCCGCCCTCCGGGGCACAGAGTCGGTGTCCAGCGTAGGGCGAAGGGGCAGCGGAGCGGAGGGTCGTCGCTCTTCCAGCATCGGCATCGGCGTCCGGTCGTCCACCGCACCACCCCCGTCCACACTCCCCATCGAAGCAGCCCTCCTCGCACTCGCCTCCCTTTGCCTCTCCCTCTCCCTCTCCCGTTCCTGCTCCCGCTCCCGCTCCCTCATCAGCCTCCGCTTCTTCACGAGCCCCGGCGGCACCGGCGGCTCGCGGACGCGCATCTTCGGGTGTGCGTGGATCGAGCTCTGCGCCGCACCCACGCCCATTCCCATGGGCAAGCCCGGGCCCCACGGGGGGTGGGGGTGCCCATACGCGAAGGCGGGGCCCACGGCGAGGTTCGGGAGGCTCGTGCTGACGGGGAAGCCCGCCCAGCCGGGGGCGCACGGGTACGGGTAGGGGTAGTGCGCGTCGGCGTCGGCGGCTGACGCGGAGGCGGAGGCGGGGAAGGGGTACTCGAAGCGCGGGGAGAGGTCGAAGGGCGTGCCGACGAGGGCGGAGGGCGAGTGGAGGGAGAGCGCGCCGAGCGAGAGGCGCGGCTTGCGCGCGGGCGGCGGCGTGTGCGAGGGCGAGGGCGACCGGGACGTGCGCGGCGGGAAGGGGAAGGAGAGGGCCGGGGGGCGGTCGGGCCCGGTCTGTGGGGTGACGGGTTGTTAGCACGGTGGGGCGGGCATCATGGCGATCAGATGAGGGGACAGCGGCGGATCCGCTGCTGGCGGGACCGGGGATCCGACCCGCACAGCGTAGACAGAGGGAAGGACGGGATGTCGAGTAGAGCGGTACTCACCTCAGTCACCGCGTTGCCGCTCTCCATGGGCACGAACGCAAAGTCGTCGAGATCCGGGTCGGGCGTGGGCCCTGCAGCGGCATCGTCGCGGTCGCGGTCGAGGAAGGCAGAGACGGGGAACGCAGCGGCGCCGGGGACGGGGGGCACGTCCTCATCGTAGGCAGCGATGGGGACGTAGGTCGGCGGGACGGTGGGCATGGGGGGCTCGCTGAGCGTGGTGCGGAGACGCGGCGGGAGAGGTCTGGTCGACGTCGACAGCGGGTGTCTCGCACTTGGACTCGGACTTGCCGCACTGGGGGCCTGAGAGAGATCGCCGGGCTCGCGATAGGGCGGTGCCGGGGGAGGATCTGGGCAGGTCGGGCGGGAGGCGGGCGGGAGTGGACGGTGGCTCGGACGGGGCCAGCACGGTGCTGTGGATGGCAGCGAGAGGCTATATCGGACGGCGGTGGCGAGGACAGCCCAGGGGCAGCCAGAGAATGGGGCACCTGGGGAGGATTGGAGGCGGACAGCGGCGCTGCACAGTCCAGGTTCCACGGGAACATTCCACTTGCGTGTGGGGTCCTCCTGCGTGCCGCCATGCCGCCGGCCTGCCGCCTCTCCCCATCCGCGGCCCTCTCCCCTCTACCTCCCTCTCGGTCGATATCCTAGCGCTGCAGCGCGCTCTAAAGTGGGCTACCTTCAATGCACTCGTCCTATCTTCGCTCGAGCCTATCTCGGTGCGTCGCGCGCTGCTCAATTCCCCGGTTTGTTTCTGCCCACCGCTCAGTCGACCTGCCTTGTGGGTATCTGCCAACGACGGGGATGTCCTGCGCTATGACGAGGGCCGATAGGCTATCGCAGTCCAGACCACCGAGTGACGATCGCCCGTCCCCACATGGCCCCCACGCTCCCGCTCAACCAACAACTTCAGCTTGAACCTTTACACGGCCCACCCGGTCCAGGCCGTCTCGTGTGCCTGTCGTCGAACTTCGCTCACCAAGCTCTCAACCTCAAGTTATGTGGGCCGCTGCCGGGTCCTCTTCAGGACGCACCCCTCTCGGATACCAGCTGGCATATAACCGGACAACAGTTCGGCGCGGACGGGCGCACCGAGCGACTTTCTCGAGGGTCTCGCTATCCCGGCGGACCGACTGTGGCGGCTGAGGGGCTGCACGACAGCCGGAGGGCTCTCTCTGAGTCCAGGCAGGAATTATTTTCATTGGGACTGCAGCAGTCGACGTCGTGCTTGTATATGTATCTCTTCTCCAAAGGCACTCTCTGCAGATTCTGTCGCGTTACCAGCGTGACTTCGTCTCGAATTCGCCGTGTTCGGGTTTCCCAATTTCACCCCATGCATGCCTTGGACACTATCGTGCGCACGACGTAGTGCTCCTACTGTAACGTCGACGACTTACAACAACGAGAGCATATTTCTCCCCGGGGGTTGTCTGCAGATGCGCTCGCACCCTCAACTTGAACGACTGCTTCCTCTTCGCGAAGGAAGGATCGTTGACAACATCAACCGTCTGCTGAAGTCGGCGAGGCCCAGCCGGAGAGCGCACATTCAGACATCCGTATGGCCACCCAGCCCGAGCCCGGTGTCCCACATACCACCGGCACTCACACCCAGTCAAACTTCACAGAGATACGCTGCGAAGGTATCGGGATTCCCGTTCATGACAAGGGTCAGGGACGCGGACGCGGAAGAGCGAGGGCCGACCTCGAAGCGAGGTACGGACTCTAGTACTTGCGAACGCGACGGTCACTTAGCCTGCTCACTCGTTCTATCACAGCACGACCAAGACGAAGCTCTTGAGTCGCCTTGCTCCGAGTGCCGCCCCGTCGCGGCGGCACAACGATAACTTACGAGGGATTGCCATGCACGTCCTGCGCGCTCCCTGTCAACGCCACGCTTCTGCATCGTGCAGTGCTTCAGCGCCAGCCTTCGCCCACAGCTTGTCGATCAGGGCCCCGTCGTGCCGTACTCCGCACGACGACGGCGAGAGCGTACAGCACGCTCCAGCCGGCGCCCGGGATCGAGCCCACATTGCACGCGCGGGGCTCCCTGACTTGGAGGAAGATCGACCTATCATGTGAGTGGCCCGCTACATACGTCCCGCAAGCTCTACGGTGGCCCAGCCACTGACCGGAGGAGCTTTGCGGAGAAGATTTACATAGGACCCTGGCACTGCGCCCGATTTGAAAGTCGGACACGATGCGATCCGTTAAGGCTGCTTCCTGGCCTGGCCGGAACCATCGATCTGAGCCTTCATAATAAGCAGCAGACGTCCGTCGAGTAACACGGCTCGTGAGGCCTGGGGAAGCGGACACAGGGACTCGGGAGTGCGGCAGTACTGCATGCAGTGAGCCACCGCTGCGGGCCTGCGGCCGGATGCACCATGCCAGACACGGATGCGAGCGCGATCGTACTGTCAGTGTCGCGGTCGAAGGCTGTCTTCGCTTCGCGACGTCCCCGTTGCCCCTGTCGGCGGTGTCCAACGCACTGGCCCCGCCGGCCATACCAGGCGTGTGCAGCGTTCAAAGTCCCCGCCGGACACGCCGACGGTCGCGTACGTCCCAGGACACCGCGCTCCCACCGTACGCGCTCTCAGGCTCGCACCTCCGCCGACGACGCTGGAGATGGACGAGCAGATGCAACTTCGTTTCTTGTAACCGTCTCAGAATATTCCTCGCGGACATCGCCCGGTGATATATTCCTGAGAATGAGCCTCATTGGAGCTTCACGGTCGTCCACGTAAACCCCGTCTTCGCCGTCCTAACTCGTTCCACGGTAGGTGGCAGCGTCGATCATAGTACTCAACATTGTAACGGGACGTCGATTCCTAGTGATGCAGTCTAGTATAATACATGGTGTAATCATTGTTCGTTCGTGAGCTCTATAAGTCATCAATGGTTGCAGCAAAGAAACAAGGAGACCAACGTGAAAGCGACATGAAATCATCCTGGGTGCTGAAACCCCTCTCGTCATCGACCGGCCTGACTTCTGGTCGGACTCCCCACTCCCACAACGCCTGCTATCCCATACATCCAAACTACCAGTTCCTTGTCCAGCCATCATATGGCAGCGGGATGGCCACGAACCACAGCACGCACGAGGTGAGCATCAGGATGACGTACACCGCTTTGCCGCCGAGCCAGTTGTGCTCGAGGGAGAGCGCGAAGAGCGACGTTGCTGATGCCGGCCCGACCGAACGCAGGAGTGCTGCAATGACCTGCGCAACGCCGTTCGTTGCGCCGAGCGAGCGTTTGTTCGGCGCGGAGGTCGTCACGAACATGAAAGACGCAGCTTATGATAACGCAACGTGTTAGATCTGAGGCACTCGGTGCGAAATAATGAACAGACTCACCGAAGGACATGTCCATGACCACTGAGATGGTGAGCTGGAGCACGATGGCAGCCCACACGATATACGTCAGGCCGTCTGGCCGCGCCAAAGCGTTGATCACAGGAAACATCCCAAAGAGCGGCACGAAACACGCCATGCCCGCCATGAAGACGCGTTTGGGGCCCCACCGTCGTATGACGCGGGCGAAGAACAGAGCCTGGAGGGAGCCATTCAGGAGCCCGAAGATGCCGAGGACGAGCCCGATCGTAGCGGGCGTGAAGCCCAGTCCGCCGAGCGCGATGGGCGTGCTGAAGAAGAGCGGCTGGATCGCGCGATAGGCGATGTCGAGCAGGCAGAGCGTGCCGTAGCTTAGGACCGAGAGCAGCACGGGGCGGACCATGAGCGAGCGCAGTGTCGCGGGGTCTTCGAGCGACTCTTCTCGGAGGAGAGGGTCTTCTTCGGCTTGTACGAGGATGCGCACAGACTTCTGCTTGCTATGCCTCCGTTGCACGGTCTGTGTGGTCATTAGAGTCCGAAGTAGCCGACGAGCGGTTTGCTCACCTCCTTCAGGAAAATAGACGCAATCACGAACGTGAACGCGGAGAAGGACGCAGAGACGGCGCATGGTAGGAGGTAAGGATACTGTGTCCAGATGGGAGCCGTGAAGAGGTTTGGCCATCTGTCGTGGGGCTTCGCCAATTGCCCACCGATCATCGGACTAGAGCAGATGCAAGTTAAGTCAGGATGTAACGTTGTTCAACGGATCTGCCTACCCCAAGGTCGCGCCAGCGGACCATACGACTGGCATCAGCGCGAAGCCTTGCGCCATGTTAGTCGAATCGGTCAATTCTGTGCATAAGTTGAGCATTCGGCACATGCAACAAAAGCTCTACAACATACCTCCCATCATGCTTTTGATGACCCCGATATTGCCATTCAATGCCCCGACCAAACAGCGGCTGGACAAGTAGAGAAATCAGCGTTCGGCACTCTGCAAATAACACGAACGCGCGTACCTAAGGACCAAGTGCAGGAACGTTTTGGAAATTCCAAAGCATATCATCGACATACAAAGGCCTGCCATCCCCGTCAGAAGGACAGGCTTGCGCCCGATGTAGTCTGAGATGCGCGACCATTGGAGAACAAACATCGCCTCAGTCAGGAAGAAGACCGACTCCTACTCTCACAAGCAGCATGAGCACACGTTATTTCGTTGATTGCAAGCGGAGTACTCACAATCATGCCGGCATAGTATCCAACCTTTTTCTCATCCCCACCCGTGATATCCAGCTCGCTCACGAGCTAACAGATGCGACAGCATATTAGACGGAGGTACCAGCGATGCTTGAACGTATCATACTCGCCTGGTTGATGAACGGATAGATACATTGGGAGGTGATAGGCTCAGCGAGCTGGAGGAGGAGGAGGATTCCGATTTGCAGCCTGGGAAGGGGCGTTACGGGCTTGGGCTCCTTCGCAGGCAGGAGCGCCGTGGTCTCGTCGAGTCTCTCATCCTCGTTACGGGGCATCCGCACTACGAGCTAGTGCACGTCGTGGACAGGGAGGATGTCGCAGGGAACAGGGAGGACAGCGGGCGAAACTGGGGGGCAGGAGAGACACATTCCCGCTTTATCTCGTCTCGGAGTTTCCGAGGACGGTCACTCACAATCTCGAGATCGTGCATAGAAAATTGGTCGAGGCCGGTCGCATTCCTCCGCATACACACCGCGAACCTGTGATCTCCGGGAATGTACTCTCAAGAGACGTAATGGGAGGATGATGTGTCGCACCCATCTTCGCAATGGTCATGCTCACCGCGCAGTCCCGCTCCGGACCCTCCTTAAGGCTTCCTAGCTTGCATATCTGCTGGTATGTCGTCGATATGGAAGAGCCCTCGTCATTCGAAGCGGGAGAAACCCCGAGATGCAAACGCCAATTGCCACGAACCCAAGACGATCATGAAGCATGCGCTCGAGGATGCTCGGGATGGGATTTGGGAAGTGGGCTTAGCACGGGTCCGCTGGGTTTGCCCGCCACAAGGTCGCGTTACGCATGACCGCCAGATGCCATCGCCCATCATAGGCGATGCCATCGGGGACGCTGCGCGCGCCACAGACCGTCGCGGTCGTCGGGCTCGACTCACTCGCAGACACATATCGCATCAATCAGCATTTCGTAGGGAGCCTGATAAACGTACAAACCATGATATTACGTCTGCCCTGTCGACGCAGCATAGCTCACAACCTTCTCATTGGAACAATCAGGAGAAAGTATCCCCAAACCTGGTCTCAGCGCGCAAATTCTCGCCATCCGTTTGTGGTTGGGTGGCACAGAGTCCGACAAGAGAATGACACTAGCAGGGCATCACGACACTTGCACGACACGTCTCAGAACCAACCGGAGCGCGCTGTCTATAACAGTCTCGACTGGGTACATGCCGTCAGCTGCAGCGCAGGCGCTGGGTCTATTCCACCTTCGTCGCAAGAAGATGCGCGAAAACCTAGCGGACGAAAGTCAATGCCAGCTGACAGGGGCGTCTCGGAGGCACTTGGGGCAAGGCAAAGGAGAACAGAACCTACCCCGGGTGCGCTATACACAGAATGCACGTAGGGACATATGTTGGTCAGGGCGACTGGCGTCTTGCCACTAGTACGGCCTCCGTATTCAGGGACATCTATGCCGCCCCTTGCGCGCGAGAAAGCACGCCGTGTACTCAGGACTGCAAGCTCTGTCAGTGGGAGAAGAATGCAGCAAAGACGCGCACCAGCCTCGAAACGCCAATTAGAAGAAACAACTGAAGCTCTTCAGAACGAGCACTCGCCGCATAGTACATATGTAGACACAAACATCAGCTTAGCTGCTCAAGCTTGACAGCCTACCTATCGTCCATAGCGCCCCCTGCAATCCGTAGCACGCAATCAAGGACCGTATTGGTGAGATAGCATGAATAGGTGACATTGGGAAGAGCAAGCATGTATACGTGGGACGTCATAGAGTAAGAATACCTAGGTTCGGTCCAAGGAGCCGGCCATTCTCTTCGTGAAGTCATGTATTGGTATCATGGTCATTACGAGGGTATGCATGGAGAAGCCACGGCACCGGAGACTTTGTGGCGTTACCGCCCGGCTTCGATGGGTCACTGTGGCTGGGGATCGCTTATCCCCCGGAACTAGCGTAGTGAAGCCGCAGAAAGGCATCGAGATCAACGGAGCGCCGTGCGATCGTCGACGGCGCATGGCGAGAACAGATGACGTTGGTAGTGACATAGGGGAGCTCTGAATAAACGCCAGTGCATCAACATACACCGGACAACGACGAAAAGACTCTGCACGCACGTAAGTTATCAGACCCGGGAAACGCAAAACAGAGCTGGGAACGACGAAGGGTCACGTTCGCCTCGTCAGGAGTTCTCTGAGACCCTTCCCCAAGTTCTTGACTTTCTCCCTGACTCCTCCCGGGTTCGCCTCGCGCCCTCTGGACGTTACGACATCTGCAGAACGACACCGCGCAAGGTCCATGCGTAGTTCTGTTTCTCCTGTGATGGAGCAGCCAGCCGTCCAGTCCGACGCGGGTACGGGTTCGCGAAGTCGATGCGAGCGTCCAATGGTTGCAGGCCGAGGCATATCGAGAGACTTTGCGCCGCGCTCCAGCAGGACGGCGTGCAGGGAAGCGTTCGCTACGTCAGAGCGAGGCGCTGGTGGTAGTCCGGGGGGAGTCATGCTCTTCCGTATCGCTGTGTACAGGGGACGCTCGGGATGGCCTAGTGGCACGAAGGGCGCCGACGACGGCGAAGGTGACCGGGATGGCAGTACTGCTTGCACCGGGACTACCGGGCCGTAGTCGTCCACAAGTTTGGAAGACGTCTTCGAGGACAGCAACGGCATTGACCGCTTTCGCAACGAACGCGACGAACGCTTGCGCAACATAGCCATCCTTTGTTTCCTCCGCAAGGTCCGCTGAGACGAAGCGGAAGTGGATGACGCATCGACGCTCTTGGTATCGTCCAACTTGTTGTGGTCCGGTCGGCTTTGCATGGATAACTTGACAGGTTCGTTGGGCATGATAGGGCTTGGATGTTCGTCGTCATACATGCTTATTAGTTCTTTCAAGAATGGCTTTAACTCTGCCTCGACATCCTGCGACGAGTTTCATCGTCAGTACCCGATGAGCAGAGTAAATAGCTAACTCACATAGGTTATCGCAGCAACTATATCGGCGGTCGAGTGAATGCCTGCTTTGCGATGCTTCTGTCGACGCGTCGTTGCGCGCGGGGTGACGCGGACACGTGTCGCCCCGCATCCCGGCCGTAGGCCTGACACAGCACAGGTGGGTCTGGTCGCCATGGCAGGGCGCGTTTCCATCCTCCTCATGTGCTTCCGCTGCGTTTCGCTTAGGAGCTGCGGGCAACTGATGCGCCGGCGCGCGGTTGTGGCGGCAAAAGGTCTAGACTTGCATGCACTCAAACACCATGGGCATGTATACCCAAGTGTATTCGTGAAACCGCAAAGCAAGCAGTCGAACATGATACGGTGAGGTTCCAGCCGGAGGCGGGGAAGTGATTCCCATCTGGTAAGCTACAGAGCGACGAATATGACCTTCCGATGTGAGTAACACAAGATCGGCAATACGTACGGGTCTGTCCCATTTATACTCTCTGGAGAGCATGTGAGCGCAGTCGTCCGCCAAGGGGGCAGCCATGTCGGGGTGGTACGCGACCGGTATAGGCGGGAGCGGGTGGGGGAGTCGGAGAACCAGGTACGAGGAAGAAGATATGGGAAACGCAGCCGCGCCCGCCCTGCGCAACGCGACTTTCATGAAGAGATCGACAGCCTCGTTCATAACGCGGAGGCTAGAGAAGGCTCAAATTTCGAGCGGTTTGAGCCGCCACGATATGCCATGAACTCAATCGGTAGGCAAAGAGCCAATGATCTGGCCCGGAGACACGAGCCACATGCGTTGAGACCATGAGTCCGTGCGTGCGTGCATTGTCCACTGATAAACGAAGATATCCCGTGCCGAGGTTGTGGTCGAGGTCGTGGTCGTGGTTGCAACGAGGACGGCGTAGTTGCCTTTCGTGGAAGTCGTGTTACTGTGGCTGAACTTCCCGCGCAAAGCCGCTCCTCCGACTGACTGGGACAAATGCAAGGAGTCATCCGCTTATTACAGTGAAAATGACAAGGGTGCCGTCATAGACAACGTCGGGGTCGCGACCGAAACCTTCCGGAACATCATGGCGCAATTCTGTCTCTGGCTGAACCGAGACTGGGCGGCTCAACGCGGTGGCTTACAGTTTCAGCCAGTACCAGCCCCACCCGAGCGAGTCCTGTACGTCAGCCGCCAGAGGATGGTGCCGGTGGGAGTGGGTAGGCATCACGGTCAAGCCTTCAAGCTTCAAGCTTCAAGCTTCAAGGTCAAGAATGGAATCGGGTGTTGCAGGGAACGCTCGAACGCTGGGAGAGCTCAGGCTATGACACGAAATTGTGGTATAGTAAGTAGAATGATCGATATCATTACTAGTCTTTCCTCCGGCGTGTAGGAGTGGACGGCAGATCGACGCCCAAAATGAATGTGCGACGATGAGAACAACTTCATGAGAAGAGCATAATCCCACCGTGCACGAGTACGGCACGACGTGGCATTGTTCCACACGGGATGCCAACGGCCACCCAAATGACCGGCAATGCGACCTACGGTCGCGGCAACATAGCGCCTCATGCCACGAGCAGTCCAGGATGGCAGGTTACTGAGAAGCAGGACCGAGATATCCGAAGCAAAGCCTCGATGTTCCAGCAAGGCCAGTCCGTCGACGCCTGTCGTATAATGGACGACTTCTCGTAACACATCTTACAGGCTGAAGGCGAACAGAGGTTTTCTGCGCATAGCCATAACACGCCGACGAACGTCGCTCGGTTCCTGAACGGAACATGCATGCGGTGCGGAGCTGGCGGGTCCAGAATAAAGGAACGCATGCACTCACTTACCGGGGCATACCCCTTCGGGTGAGAGCAAGACATTATACATTGCGTTGGATACAATCCGCCGAGGGTCATCAAAAAGCACAGATCTAGAGCCGTCCCTGAGAGGTAGAGGAGGCATCACATAAGAAGACGCAGCACGCACAGAAAAGCCGAACTGACCTCCAAACTAAATGAACAAACTGATCGCGCCTTTCTCTGGATCCATCTTCCACTCTCCATCGACGAGAACGCTGACATGTGCGCGTGCGCAGCCCGCCACAGGACATACCCAATCAAATATGTCTTCGACGACTGGTTTGGCCTTGCCTTTACCCTTCCCGCGCACACGCGTCGCGGACGATGGACCATTTCCTCGCCTGCGGGGCATGGCACGGACGGGGCGAACGGGAGAAGGAGGCGAAACGACAGAGGATGCAGCTACACTTTCGTGTGCCGGAGGAACGCCGATGTTCGAGGGTACGCGCGGATGCCGAGGTCGTAGACGAGAACGTATCGAGTTGTCTTCCAGCGGAACCGCGGTGTCCGCCCTCGATACGTCTGCAGATATCTCCACCGCCTTCCGCTTGCCTCTCCTGGGCGTAACCGACTCCTTCGCTGTCGCCCTTGTCTTGCCTTTACCAGACGTTGGCGGGTCGGTCTCGACGATGTCCATGGCGATGTCGGCATGCAGCACGGCCCGTGCCTTACCCTTACCCTTGCGATCGTGAACCATGTCTTCTGTTTCTGGCAAAGGAAGAGTCGGCGGCGGCGGAGCCGATGGCTTCATGAGCTCTTGAATACACTTGCCATCAAGCATATGGCCACACCGGAGCCCCCAGAGTTTTACTCTAGCCAGCTGATCGGCAGGCGCCGCGCTCTCGGCGGATAGAGCGAGAGGGTCGTTACAATGCGCACAAACCAAGGTAGCGACCGCCTCGACGGCACTTGACTTCCCCGATGCCTTGCTTGGGCCTGCAGTTGTTTCGTCGTCGTCATCCAGGATGATGATAGGCGAGGTTGTCCCAGACGTAGACGGGGGTTCGGGTGGTGCGAAATCGAACGTGAAGCCAGGCATGGGTTGATCTGGATGTGTATAGCTAGCCTTGTAATGCTGCTCCCTCGGCCGTTCGGCCGCGGCAAGAGGACCTCGGAGTCGCCCACCACCAAACTGGTCTGCCATAATTTCTTCAAGAATCTCGAGGTCCTCGATATCGTCTATGGGTCCATTGAACAGGTATCCACCGGCATAGATCTCGTTCGGTGCGGGGATATGACGTGGCGCAGGTTGCGACTCGTTACGGCGCCACATAGCGTTCATGAATGGCGGGAGGTAGCGGCGCCAACCTGGCTGCTCCTGTGCCTCGCGTCGTCCATTCGCTTGTTCCATGACATGCGGCCTATTGAGAGTAATCATGGCGCCGCCGAGGCCCATAACTGGCTGGTAGTGAGACCGAGCGGCCGGCGCCGGGGGTGGCACATCAACGGGAGGTGTGTGGTCGCGGGGTGCGGGGTGCCGTATGTGAGCTTCAAACGCGAAGGGTCGGTCATTGGGTCGGATAACAGGAGGTGGAAGCGCACCCTCTCGTCTTCCGAGGTGGATGGGAAATGCACCCTGGCCCGCGAGGTGGCGTGGAATAGGAGGGACAGGAGGGACATATCGAGGGTGAATAGGCCTTGGTGGAGGTGACAGTAATCGTCGCTGAGCTGTCGGCCAGTGTCATGAGATTATCACCAACCAGGCAAGATGCAGTGCCATACCATGCGCATTGTTGACCCGATTTACTTCTACTTCGTCGTCACTTTCTACAAGAATGGCGGATGCAGAGCTCGACCCCGAGAGGCGTCGAGTGTCATTCGTTTGAGCGTTGGATCCTGTCAGGCGCCGAGATGGTAGAGAGACATCTAGGACTAGTATATCGTCGTCGAGCGAATCGACATCAATGACTTCGTGTGCAGGCTGCTGCCTGCCACTGTCGGAGACTATGCGGGAGGGCACGTCGACAGTCGCCATGGGATACGTGAGCGAGTACAGTTTCCTAGCACACAGAGCAGCAATGCCGTAGCAAGGTTATTGTGTCCCGGGTTTCGCGGAGAAGAACGGCGAGCTGGTTGCAAAGCGAGTTGAACTGTTGAAGAACAAAGGCGTGCGCTGTGGCCGCAATAGGCTCCTTCTCGCCGAAACCGGAATATTGTCCCACGCCACCGGATGGCCAGCGTCGTCACAGTGCGCTATTGAGCCCTGTATTGAGCGCTAGTAAGGTAGTTGCTTCTGGCTACTTAGTGCATGCAATTACGAGCCCTCGCACGTCTAGACTTCCCCGGGCATCCCTACTGCACTCTCTTGAATCTAGTCTCGACGAAGCATTGTGGTTCTGTAGTTGCCAAGACCCTTGGATCGCCCGAGGTAAGTTATCGCATCCATGAACTACTTAGCATGTACATAGACAGCCTCAGGCTGAGGCATCATGATGATGTAGTAAGTACGGTTTCAAGCATTGGGGCCGTGACCCTCTTCCGCCAGTATGCTCTGCATTTTCTGTTATGTGCAGTATCTCATGAAGCCAGATACTTCTGAGCCAAAATTATACGTCTCTTCCGCCGACCTGGGCCGGGTGCCGGAATGGACATCCGCTCCGCTCTCATACACCATCGTTACTCACACTGACGCTTGTCAAGGTCCTTTCGTCAACCGCGAAGCCGAGGTCACCGTTTGTATACTCCCGCACTCGACTACAGTGCTTGTCGAGCAGAACGTACAGCCCACCGGATCGCACCACCATGGCGTTGACATTGCAATCGAGGATGAAGGTACGTTCCTCGGTGTCTGAGCGGAAGACCAGTGTGCTAAACGTTATGTCCAGCTCCGAGATGGGAATGAGATCCCTGTCATGGGCTTCGGTGTGCAACGCTCATCCATTCCGGACAGACACCCAGGCAGGCTTACCCAGGCGACTGTCAGGGACGTACGAAATGGACGGAAAGGAGGCGTACAATGCCGTGAAGCACGCTTTGGAGGTTAGAGTCCGCCGCTTGCTTCGTTTCAGTGCTGATTGTATTTACTCCAGGCTGGGTATCGACACATTGTAGGTCTAGTGCTTCCTTGTTCCATCGCTACATTGTCGACTGTCGATCCGTGTTTGACCTTCGTCAACTTCGCAGGATTCAGCGGAATGGTACTACAACGAACGTGAATGTGGTCAAGCAATTCGCGATTTCTGCGCAGCTTCTGGCGTCCCGCGTTCCGAGGTCTTCTTCACCACGAAGTTGCAGAATAACTCCGGGTATTCAGCTTCCAAGGCTACCGTCGCACGGTCGCTTCAGAAGTGCGGATTGGAGTACATTGACCTGTATTTGATGCACTCTCCCATTGGCGGTCCGCAGAGGCGTGCGGAGAGTTGGAAGGCGATACTCGAAGCCAGGAAGGAGGGGCTCGTGCGCAGCGTGGGTGTCAGCAACTTCGGCGTAAGGCACTTGCAAGAGATGGTGGACGCGGGTGTAGAACTTCCCGTTCTTAATCAGGTCAGCGAAACGTTGTCAATTGATGCCTCGCCTTGAGACCGCATACCAGGTTGATCTTCACCCCTTCATGACCCGGTCCGACATCGTTGTTATGTGCAGGAAGCATGGGATTGCGCTTGAGGTAGGCAGCCCTGTATGATCTCTGCGGTACAAGCTCCTCACGTTGGTGACAGGCCTGGGCACCTCTGGTACGCGGATACCGCTTCAAGCACCCGTCGATTGTCGGCCTGGCGCAGAAGTACGGGAAAGAGTCTGCCCAGATACTCTTGCGCTATTCGTTGCAGAAGGCATGCTTTCACGATCCCGAACGGTTCACATGTCCATAAAACCACCCCTTCTCATTTAGGGCTACATACCGCTGCCAAAGTCTTCGTCCGAACATCGGATCAAGTCCAACCTAAACGTCTACGACTTCGAGCTGACATCGGAGGAAGTGGCCCACCTGGACAGCTTGGATGAACGTACGTATCCCTTTTTTGGCAAAATATATATTGTCAATGTATTTGGAGCTCACGGACGCGTTCAGGACTTGTAACGGATTGGGATCCGACGGACACCCCCTAGACTGCCAAGACACATTGACGGACTACCTGTTATGGCATGTTCGTCGATCAGACATCATGTCTACCAGTATTCGCGTCCTAATTGCTTCGAATACCAGCCGTCCCGTATGTGACAAGTTTGACATATGCGTGTGACGATCATGGCGGCAGTAAGCTGCAACATGGTACGTGCACCATCTAGTAAGCTATAGGACCGAGACACTTGCTCTTGTCCCGGTGGCAAACACCCTCGACATGGAACGACGACTCCAGACATAGCAATGATATGTCCCATCGAGGATAGCATGAGGTTTTGGGGGGCAGTACAGCTGACCCTCCTGGCGTAGTTCAACTTCAGACAGGGCTGCATGACTGTGGAGAACGTCACACACCGACGGGGGCAAGAAGCTGCCATACAGTCAATGGTTCCCCTATACAACGACACGCTCAGGGAAGAACGAGAGCCAATTAGCGCACAGCATTTTAGCAACAATAGAGTCCAGATTTCCGGGGCCGGGGCCAGCAAAATGAAGAAGTCGCGTGCATTCGCTGGGGACTGCACCCGCTCCGGTTCTTGCACCGGTACGCCGCGATCCTTCCCTTCGGGAACGTTTGAACCTTCGTTCCAACAGTTGCCGATGGCGCTCACTGGGGAGGGATCTCAATACTGACGGCCTTTTGAAAAGTTGCGTAGGAGGAAGTTTGATCTATGATAGCAAATTGGTCAGATACGTGGAGGGATAATCCTAATAAGCACCACATTCGTAAGTTCCACTAGGGACGAACGACTTGTTTGGTTGTTGAACCTCGGCTTTGACATTGCAGCGTTCCGCACCGTGCATCGAGCGCTCAATCCAAATATACTCGAGTGCACAGCCAGAATCTTGGGTGACTTGGACGGTTTTGCTGGCATCATAATCCGCCTTTGTATGACTATGCGCGCCGTCAATGTAGCAGGCATCCTACTATGTCAATGAGTAGTTTTTCAAGCTCGAATGAATGTATATAGCATGGCAGTGATCCCACTCCGAGTCGTCATGATCACTAATACCGCAGCAGCAGATCCTCCAAGGCTACAGAAGTTCGAGCTTACGTGACACTGCCATCCTGTAAATATATGATATCATGTGGGGTACGAAGCACCTGTTGAAGAAAGAGGTTTTAGGCTTAGTAAGCCCAGTGGCAGTGAAGGACTAATGAGTGAGTGAACAGACCATGTCGCGGAGCTAGGTCTGACGCGACTAGAAACAGAACTGTGAACAGAAACACTTGACCTCAAGGTGTTGGACCGAGGTCAACAACAGTCTAACAGCGTCGAACGCAATGCTAGCAACTCCAAGTTAGTTACATTGCACTCTACTTAGTACAATGTGAAGTGCTTACCTAGCAACTCCAAGAGGACGAGCTGGAGTGCTAGGCAGCGTACAGGACCCTATATATACTGGCTAGGTTGAGGGCAGGTCTACCTACGCTGGATCCGAGAACTGAGGTCATGTGTACGTATGAGTCAGAACGAGTCAGAACGAGTCAGGTGGCTAGGCGCTGCCGCAGGGCACATGATAAGTTACATAAGCAAGGCCACATGATGAACGAGTCACAAGACAAACCCTAGCACGTGATGTGTCACGTGGCTAGTCAGAAAGCCGTTCCAGGCGAAGTCTACCGTACAGCGTATTGTACAAGTCCATAGGAAATGAGCAAAAATAGGATAAAACAAAGTAAAAATACGGGGCCTCCGTGTCATACCATGACAGACCAGTCCCAAAGGGAAGATCCTATGCTGGCAGGCAGAGGAGAGGACGAAGGATCGTTATCATTACAGGGCAAACCAGCCCAGTATATATACACATTTGATACAGGTCACATGCTGTATCAGTGGTTCATCAGTAAGCACTAAGTCCGAGGTTTTGGGGATATGAGTAAGCTGGTAAGCAGCATGAGTAAGCCAAAACTCGGAGTTTGATGTGGAGAGATATATGAAACATGATGGAACATCAGGAATAATATGAGACATGATGGAACATCAAAGAGTGATATAGGACGTGATGGGACATCAAGGAATGATATGGAATGTCATGGAACATCAAGGAATGTCGTGGAATATCATGGAATGATCTGGACTAAAGTCACATGACGTAATCTAGGCAAAGTCCATCAAAGAATGTATGTAATCTGACATCGCAGAACATAAGTCCATATCCGTACATAACTGATAAGATAAGAACACTGAAAACTCGGAAGTTCAACACTCCCACTTGTTCAAGATGTCGAGTATCTCATCATGCCAACCGAAGACCTGAATTTCTCGATTCCGCTGAAGGGAACATTCTTGGTCAAGGCATCAGCAAGTTGGTCTTCACTTGCGACAAAATAGATGTCCATCTCCCCACGTTCGTAGAACTCTCGAATGTAGTGATACCGGATTTCTATGTGCTTGGTGCGGCGATCCACAGCGGGGTTCACCGCAAGGAAAATGTTGCCTTGGTTGTCAAGACAAAGTGGAGTTGGATGAGACATGTTGTCTCCCAGTTCTTCTCCAAAATGACGCAGCCAAGCCATCTGACGACAGCAGTCGGAGCTGGCCTTATACTCTGCTTCGGTTGAAGACAAAGATACCGTTGGTTGGCGTCTTGACACCCAAGAAACGACACAATTGGCCATGAGGAAAACAAAGCCAGATGTAGAGTGCCTATCATCACGGTCTTCAGCCCAGTCTGAGTCTGAGTAGGCGATCAGACCAGAGTTTGAGCCTCCATCGTAGCAAAGTGCAAGTTCCTTTGTCCCTTGAAGATATCTCAGGACATAGTATGCAAACTTCATATGCTCTTTAGACGGATTTGAAGAAAACTTCGCCAGACGCGTGACCGCGAACGAGATGTCTGGGCGAGTACCAAGCATAGCATACATGATGCTGCCAATGATGCTCTGGTAACGGGTTCGGAAAATTTCAGACGCAATGTCGGTGTTCTTCTCTAATACTGCTCCAGCGGGAAGAGGCGTCCTTGCAGACTTGCAGTTGGACATTTGGAACCTCTCCAAAACAGACTGAATATAGTCTTCCTGGTCAACGAAGATACGACGTGCAAGACGTTCTCGACGAATGTGTAGACCAAGGAAACGCTGGACAGCTCCCAGATCAGTCATCTGGTATTCCAAAGACAGTCTCTGCTTGATGTTGTCGATGAACAATTTCGAGTCGCCCATGAGGAGCAAGTCGTCGACATACAATATGATTAAGCAGTTGTGTCCTTCAGATTCACGAGAGAAGACATAAATTCTGGCATCCGAATATGTCCGTTTAAACCCTAAGTCAAGGAGAGACTTGTGGATCTTAGCGTTCCATTGACGAGACGCTTGCTTCAAGCCATAAATGGCCTTCTTGAGCAGACAGACCCAGTTCTCCTTCCCAGGTACAGCCCATCCTTCGGGCTGTTCCATGTAGATTTCCTCGTCAAGGTCACCGTTAAGGAATGCCGTCTTGACATCCATAGACTCAATCTCCCAATCTTCAAGTGCTGCATGCGCCAATAGATAGCGTACGGATTCAAACCGTGCAACAGGAGAAAAAGTCTCGGTATAGTCTTGACCCCATACTTGGGTAAATCCCTTTGCAACAACACGCGCTTTGTAGCGACCATCGTGTTTAATCGCATAAACCCACCGGCACTTGATAACCTTTCGGTTTTTAGGCCGTGGAACTAGAACCCAAGTCTTGTTGTCCATAAGCGACTTGTATTCAGAACCTTCAGATGCGTGCCATTTAGCCTTGTCTTGAGACTCCATAGCTTCCCTGTGACTCTGGGGAATGCCATGGTTTGCTTCTGCTAGCATCCGCACAAACATGAGAGTTTCAGCCTCAGATTGTTGACGGCCTTGAGCATCGGTACGACGATCAATATTCGCAGGTGGCTCGTCACCATAGGCATTGTCCTTGTTCCTCTTAGGATTTTGTCCAGCACCTTGACGACGTGGACGTTCGTACTGAGGTTGTGGAGGAGGTACAGGATCAGGTTGCGGTTGTGGAATGTCTCCCACTGGCTCTGGATGGTCTTCAGGTTCAGGTTCATGTTCCGGGATAGGAACGGGAATAGGTAAATCCTCAGAATCAGAATCCTCCAAGTTCGCATCCTCAGGAGGTTCATCAAACGGCTTATCCAGGGATTTCGGATTATTGCCTAAATCTTTACGTGCAGGAAATGTCTCTTCATCGAAGGTCACATCACGAGACACAACGATACTTCGAGTGGCCGGGTTCCAGAAACGATACCCTTTGGAACCTAACTCATAGCCAACAAAGATCATCTCGACAGCCTTCTTGTCGAGCTTCCCAGCTCTTTGTTCCTTCTGCACATGCACATATGCCTTGCACCCAAATACCCTAAAGTACGAAATGTCCGGGACTGTGCTATCCCAGAGGGTAATGGGGCATTGCCAGTTAAGGCGTCGCATTGGTTGCCGATTATAAATGTGAACCGCAGCGTCAACAGCCAATTGCCAGAAACCATGGCTTAGTCCAGCATGATGAAGCATAGACATAGCCTTCTCGACAATGGTCCGATTCCAGCGCTCAGCTCTCCCATTCTGTTGAGGAGAGTATGGCATCGTCTTCTGATGTTCAATGCCAAATTTGCGCAAATGTTCGGTAAATTCTGCAGAGGTATATTCTCCCCCTCGATCCGAGCGTACAGCTTTGATTTTCTCGTCAGTTTGGTTCTCAGCCCATGCCTTGAAATCATCGAACGCTTGGGTCGAATCATTCTTATGTTTGAGGAAATAGGCGCGGCCAAGACCGGAGTAGTCGTCGAGAAAGCTGATGAAGTAGCGCCATCCACCAATAGCGGTGGTACGCATAGGACCGTCTTCGTCGGTATGAACAATTTCAAGAGGTTTTGAAGCTCTCTTGTCTGACGCGGGAAATGGAGCACGATGAGACTTGCCCCATTGACAACCTGCACAAGGAGACTTGTCCTTGTCACCGATAGAATCCACACCCTTGGTGTGCTTGGGTAGTTGACGGATAACTTCTTCAGACGAATGTCCGAAGCGTTGATGCCAAAGGCGAAAATTTGACTTGTCCGCAGACTTAGCCAATTGCGGTTTCATAATTTCCATGTGCAACATATAGAGATTGTTGAAGGGCGTGTGATGCGCCTCCATGATCTTGTTACCACGGATTCGGTCAGAACCATGCAAAATAGGTTGGTCAAAAATGACCATACGGCCTCCACCTTGAA